AGCTGCTCTAGAGGAGTTGGAAGAAGCAGAAGTACTTGAAGGAGCGCTAGTGGTAGAGTTGCTAGCAGAGCTGCTCAGAGGAGTGGAAGAAGCAGAAGTACTTGAAGGAGCGCTAGTGGTAGAGTTGCTAGCAGAGCTGCTCAAAGGAGTAGAAGAAGCAGGAGAGCTAGAAGGCGCGGAACTGCTCAAAGGAGTAGAAGAAGCAGGAGAGCTAGAAGGCGCGGAACTGCTCAAAGGAGTAGAAGAAGCAGAAGTGCTGGAAGGAGCGCTGCTTGTGGTGTTGCTGCTAGTGGCAGCGGCAGCAGGAGTGGAACTGCTTAAAGGAGTAGAAGAAGCAGGAGAGCTAGAAGGCGCGGAACTGCTTACAGGAGTAGAAGAAGCAGGAGTGCTAGAAGGTGTAGTACTGCTTACAGGAGTAGAAGAAGCAGGAGTGCTAGAAAGTGCGGAACTGCTCAAAGGAGTAGAAGAAGCAACAGTACTAGACGATAGTGGCGTCGAGCTATTGGTATAGAAACCACCTGCCCTTTTAGCAAGGGTGTAGCCATCGGCAGGACCCTTGGAAACGGCAGATGAAATAGAGAGAAATGGAGTTGCAATCAAAAGAGCAACCGCGAAAGAAGATATCTTCATTGTGCAAGAATATAAGAATTAGGACAAAAAAATAGGTATTAGATAGAGCACAACAAAACTTTTAGGTATTCCTTTTATAGAGCCGAAAAAAATTATCTCAGGGAGTATTAATCAACTCAAATGGTATCGTATCAAAAATCCAAAAAATTAATACTAGTGGGAAACCCAAACTACAGTAAAAAAACGGGGTATAACGAACAGGCGCTATCGCAAGATATATTATTTAGAGAAACGTTAATTTCTCTTTTCTATACAGCTATGGAAAAGCTTAAGATGGATCAGCGAAGTAGCGTCGCAGTGCGAAGTGAAAAAAAAAAACTTCACAAATTAAAAACAACCAAACCTCAGTCCAAAGAAAGACTTCAAAGAGTATCTGTAAACAAAAGACAGGTAGGCTTTCACGGGAATAAGGGAGAGGTAAAAAAAAAGTTCAAAGTTTGGGAGTGTACAGTAGCGGGTCAAAGGGATGGCTGGACGGAGATATATAAGTGGAAGGAGTTTCGGTTATTGGCATGATGATGAGGAGTTGAAATGTGCAGAGCTCATGTTTAAAAAAGACCAGTTTTGCATCTAATTACGTTGAAAGCGACATATATGGTACGTGGTTTAGCGATGGACATCAATTGTGGATACGTTAAAGCTTCAAGGGGCTTTTAGAGGTAACAAAAGTTTTAGTCTGGGCGAATGACGTCTGGTCTTTAAAAGTCCGGGCTTTTTAGCAGCCAATAAAATGAAGCTACCGATTTATCGAGGTGTGCTGTCGTTCAATCAACGAAAATCGCAGGGCATGCATTTTATTAATTGGCTAATTTGGATCAGGAGAGCTATCTAGATATTTCTAATCTGTTCTTAGAAGCATGACGATCAAACGTAAACGTCTCTGATTGGTGGATCCAGTTCGTATATGGAACAGCCAAGTTGAAAAAAAAAAAAGGGGACATTTCTCTGACGAAGATTTCACCATGAATCAAAAGAGAGCAGGAGGCTTTGTGTAGTTTTCAGGGTTACAATAGGAATTAGCAATGACATAATACTACTTTTTTAATTTACAACTAGTCTGAGGGTTTCTATGATATCGTGGGCATAGAAAGGGGTGTCATTAAGGTGTAAGGGTTGTGTCTCGGAATATGTTTTGTTACTTTCCGGTGTGATATTTCCATTTAAGAATTCAGGAATTCAGTCGAAAAGGCAGGAAGGAATTGGACAGAAGAAAGAGGAGTGCAAGAGATAGTGTTTGCATTTTGTAGTCTACGGTTTAGTATTGAAAGCTCATACTGTAGTTTATCCAACTTTATGGTTGTCCTCCTTGGTCGACATTATTCTAGTTACGTTTCGAGAAAAGTCATATGAGAACGCGAATCAAATGTGACTCTACTTGAATTTTCAGTTTGCAAAAACACTAAATTTATAGATAATAAATAATAAATAATAAGTAATAAATGAGGACTTTAATGATACGAATCCTTCGATTTGGTTCTGTTACCTTTCATGAAAACTCATTTCCCAACTCATATCCTTATTCTCGATTTCTTGATGATGATATGTTACTACCCATCATCTATGCTCTTATTCAAGTCTATGCTTCTATCACCCAAGTGAGAGCATAAAAATCTGGCATAAAGGATATGTTGATCATAACAGAAATCTCAACTGGGAATGAAAGATAGGGCAGTATTCATTAAGATTTGATCATAATTAAGCATATCCTCAAAATATTTTAGGTCTCTCTTTTATAGAATGCCAAGGAGAGAAATGCACGCACTTTTGTTACCATAAGAAGGAAACAGCTCATATTAGTTGCATTAGTTGCATCCATACAAACTCATTATTGTCTACACTGATATGGAACCTACGTAACGCAAATTGGTTTTGCAATACGGCTATGTTTCTTTTTCTTACTGGATATTAAACAACCGATATATATTGATTAGGATAAGTGATGGAAGCTAGCAATAGGGGATTTGTATACTTCTTGATGAAGGATGATTGTTCTTACAATAATTTTTTTCGGTAACATGGTTTCATTATAAGTGTTTCAAATATAAGTATTTTTAATTATAAGCGTACCTGAAAATTAATAGAAACTTCTCCTACGAGAGGCTAGTTTGATATTTCCATGTTTAAAGATTACGATAGAAAGAATCCATCATAGACATATATACCGAATAGCAGTCTTGAATGGAATCAATTTTTACTGAGGCTTAGTGTAATTCGTTAGCTGCCATACCGAAGCCTACCAGTGGCTTATTAAAACTGTGTTATTAATCTACGTATGTCCAAGTTAGTAAATAAATAAAGATAGATGGATAAATAAATAAATATTTAATCCACAAACAAAACGAGTTTTTATTACAAAATGGACCTGTACTTATAGCTAATAAAGAAATTCTTATTTCGGTAGAGTCTGATTCATTTAATTTTTTTTTATTCCTTCGTCATATCGTCTTTAAAATCTCCTTTATACGATATCAATGTTTTCAGTAGCGTATTCTGAAATTTTCATTCTTTCAGATCGGTTTTTCAAAATATTTCTTCTTTTTTTTTTTTCTTTGTTTTCCTGTCAGTAGGCCTTGGTTTCATTTTACCCTTTTCTATCGTTTTCCCCTCAACCGCATACAGTTGTTGATGTCTGACGTCTGAATACCAATTTTGCTTTTCGTTTTCTTGTCTTTCTTCCATTCTCCAAGTTTTTCTTTCGGTCTTTTTCTCTTTCCTTTTGGGGTTTTCTCTCTTCATTCGTGCTTTTTTTCTTTTCCTATTTTCTTACATCTTTTCCTCTTATAGCAGCATTGTAAATGTGCTCTTCATTGCAGCAAAGTACCCAGCGCTGGAAATCCCAATGCATCTACCAAATCCTAACGGATCGTTTTGCTTTCTCTGATGAGGATCATTCGAATGCTCCCTCCACTGGTCGCATGTATCTCGGAGGAACATGGCGTGGGATCGCTCGCAAACTGGATTACATTCAGGCTTTAGGATGCACGGCCATTTGGATTAGTCCCATAGTAAAAAACATTGAAGATGTTACCGACTACGGTCAAGGGTATCATGGGTATTGGGCGCAGGATTTGCTTGATGTAAATCCACATTTCGGTACAAAGCAAGACTTAATCCACCTTGTTAAACAAGTTCATGATCGCAACATGCTATGCATGGTTGACATCGTTGTTAACCACATGGCCCATGCTGGCTCTGGTGAAATTGACTATTCAAAATACTGTCCCTTCAACTCTGAAGCAGACTACCATCCTAGAAAGTATGTCCAAAACTACGATGACACCGTCGATTGCGAGACTGGTTGGCTCGGAGACGATACCGTCGGTCTTATGGACATTCGCACTGAAGAACCTCGTGTTCAAAAGTTCTTTCAAAATTGGATTCGCGACCTAGTGCAAATGTATCATTTCGATGGCCTTCGTATTGATACTGTGAAGCATGTTCATAGAGAATTTTATCCTCCCTTTATCGAAGCCGCAAACGTTTTTACTTTTGGTGAAGTCTTTCATGGGGATCCCAAGTTCGTCGGAGATTACCTTCGGTACATGCCTTCTTCCATCAATTATCCCCTGTACTACCAAATTCGCAAAGCCTTTGCTCAACTTCCTCGAATGTCCATGAAGGAATTTTATGAAAAAGCTGTCTTGGAGGCCCGAGCCAATATTCCTGATACTACTATCCTCGGAAACTTTATAGAGAATCATGATGTCCCCCGGATTCTCAACATGACATCGGATTCTTCGGTACGAATCAACATTTTTACTTTCATATTTTAACATAACTAACCATTCTCTGCAGTTACTACTGAATACCTTAGTCACCCTTTTGTATATAGACGGAATCCCTATTGTTTTTCAAGGTCAAGAACAAATGTTCTTTGGAGGGGATGATCCTGAAAACAGAAATGCTCTTTGGAGCAGTCAATACGATACCACTCATTTCATGTTCAATGTTCTCTCAAAGATGATCCATGTTCGACAATCTCTTATCGAAAAGTTCCCCGACTTTTGCACCACTTTATCTCGTTGCGTCTATTTAGACGATTACAACTTTGCCTTCGAACGTCCCGGCTGCATTGTTTGCTTATGCAATGGAGGCTCGAATTCCAACTTTCAGTATCCCGTATCTGTTTCGGTAGAGCAGGGTTCAGTTGCTCGGTTAATGGATATATGGACAGAGGAAATCTTTGAAGCATCCCCATCATCTCCATCCACTGTGAATCTCATAGTCGATGCAGGACTTCCCAAGGTAAGAGCCGTTCCTTTGGATCACTACTAACAAGTCTTTTAGGTTCTCGTTCAGTCATCCATACTTAGGTAAACCAGTATCCTTGATTTCTACTTTTCCAATTTTGTAAACCACTCATTATTTTTTTACGAGTACATCCATATTTATTGGCTTATGTATTTATTCATTCGAACCATTTTGGTTCGACCAATTTATTTTATTTTCCTACCCTTATGTTTATCTTCGATCATTCTTGTTTTGGTTTGTCTTTCTCTTCCTTCTACCGTTTCTTTTCGAATAAATGACATTCTGATTCCCCTCCTTTTCGTCCTTCTTTTTATCAAATCATACAAGTTTGTTTACATGTCCGTAAATACAAAAAACATCATTGTCTTGGGATGGTGTCAACCCTCCTAAAACATAGTATAAAAAGTAAAAAAAAATGTAAAACAAATTTATAAACGGTAATTTTAATGAGTCATGACCAATCTGTATCTCTTTTCGTGAAAATGTATTCGTGTTGAAACAAATTCATAAATTGAAATGATACACAAGGAGACAATTTTAAGCCCTTACTTCTAGAATCTTGTAAAGAATAATACAGAATGAAGCGAAAAACGTTCACTTCTGTTCTTGAAGTGTCTCACTCAAAACATATGAATTTTCGTAAGAGCACCAATTCCACCTACTAAAAACAAAAATTTCAAAATAGCAAACAATTGTTGATAAATCAATAATTTTTGACGATATATTTTCTTTTAGAAAATATTAATTCATCCTTCTTTTAATTTTTTTTTGAAACTTCACATCACATTCAAGAAAATCTAAATGGAAGACAACGAAGCATTTCAAGATGAGTTACTTGCCCTAGAAAGTATTTATCCTTCTTGCCTTTTACCTATATCCGAGCAGAGTTACACTTACACGCTGAGTATACCCGACAGCAGAGTGCGTCTTAACCTTCAATTTCCCACCGACTATCCAGAGTCTCCACCCATCGTGCTAGATGCTTATGGAGTTGATAAAGCCCTTGCAGAAGACGTTCTGCTGTCGGTTGCTACCGGTGATGTATGTATCTTTTCATATATAGATTTGCTGAAAGAACTAGTGGATATCGAAGCCGAACAAGAAGTCATGCAGAACGAGCACAAGAAGCAAGAAGAATCAGACAAAGATACACCAGTAATGCTTGATAAAAATCAATACGTTGCTAAGACTCCAGAAACTCATCAAGAAGAATGGAAACCCTCATTTGACTGGAAAGAATCACAAGCGATCACTGACAGAAAGAGTACCTTTGCTGCTCATGCCACTAGAGTTTATAGCCCAGAGCAGGTTCGAAAGGCTTTGGAAGAACTGTATATGAACAAAAAGGTTGCCAAGGTATGCTTCATCACACTTTTTGGGGAAATACTTTGGAACACTTCTGCATGTTGTTTGACAAACTATCACTTCCTCTTTTACTATTAATACAGATTGCTAATGTTTCCCAGGCAAATCACAATATGGTCGCTTATCGTGTAATTTCTGAGCGTGGAAATGTCATTCAAGACAATGATGACGATGGTGAATCTGCAGCAGGATCGCGCATGGGTCATCTACTCACAATGATGGTTCGTAGGAGTCTGAATCTCTAAAATACTTAACTTAACTAACTTCTTACAGGATGCAGAAAATGTCTTTGTATGTGTTTCACGTTGGTTCGGAGGTACTCATATTGGACCTGACCGCTTCAAACATATTAATTCTACGGCCCGTGAAGCTGTCCTTTTAACCGGAGCAACGCCTGAACAGAAAAAGGGTAATGAAGATAAAAAGAAAAAGAAACATCGATAGAGAATCCGCGATAACTTACCTTGCCGAAAAAATTTTGGAAATAATAATCTTCACTAATTGCTTTCACATATACCAATATTCTTGGATGTACAATATTTAATAGAATGTTAATTGATACGTTACTTACTCTTATTTTTTTCTCATACTACATCTCAAGCTCAACTAATCACTTGAATACTGAACAAAAACCACTTCAAACTTTTCTTTAGCATCATTTTCCCTCAAAAAATTATATTTCTAGGAAAGCACAATATTTAATTACTTTAGCGTCTTCCGGCCTTCCAGTGAGCAATATCACCACTTTCCATTAAGTACTCTTTACCCTTGGTCATATACTTACCAGCTGCACGGCAAGCGTTTTCAGTCTTGTGGTCCACCAAATCTTGATAGTGCATAATCTCACCACAAATGAAAGCCTTTTCAAAATCGGTATGAATGACACCAGCTGCTTGAGGAGCCTTAGTACCCTTACGGATGGTCCAAGAACGAACTTCATCTTCACCACAAGTGAAATAGTTGATGAGGTTCAAAGCGGTATAGCCAGTGATAATGATCTTGGGAAGCATGCTCTTGGTTTGAAGACGTTTGCATTCTTCAGCAATTTCGTCTTCGTTCATAGCAGTCAAGCGCTCTTCAAAAGAAACAGACATGGGAATGAAAGCGTCACCAGGACTGTATTCGTCGATCCAAGCCTTAATCTTGGGGAGGTACTTGTTCTTTTGACGAACGAAGTCACGCTCGCTCATGTTGACGAGGTAAATGACGGGCTTAGCGGTCAAAAGGTATAAAGTATTGATCAATTCCACCTCACGGTTGGACCACTCTCCCTTACGGATGGGTTGCTTGGTGACAGTCAAAAATTCATAAACACGTTCAACAATAGCTTGCTCCTCCTTCTTGGCCTTCATCTCCAAGGTATTAGCACCACGGGAAGTAATCTTGCGAAGACCCTCAAGATGTTTCTCGACGAATTCAGCATCCTTAATCAACAACTCGTCACGAATGATGGTCAAGTCACGAATAGGATCAACATCACCTTCAACGTGAACAATTTCGGCATCATCGAAAGCACGAACAACTTGATAAATGGCGTCTACTGCACGGACGTGGGACAAGAATGCGTTACCCAAACCAGCACCAGTACTAGCACCCTTGGTAAGACCGGCAATATCAAAGACAGTCAAGAAAGCTGGAATCTTGCTCTTGGGCTTATAAGTTTCGCAGAGCCAATTAAAACGATCATCCGGAACAGCGACCTTGGCTTCTTCAGGTTCGATAGTTGCATAAGGGTAATTTGCAGGGTTACCCAAAACAGACTTGGTAATGGCACGGAAGAATGTAGACTTACCGACGTTGGGCATACCAACAATACCAGTCTTCAAATTGTTACCGGGACGACCCCATTGGACACGCACTTCGGTCTGTTGTTGCTTTTTAGGAGGCATACTGGATAGTGTGTTTTATAAACAGATCCAAAAAGTATCAGCTATTGAAGAAAGATAACACTAGTCAGTCGTAACAATATAAGAGATAGTGGAAACAAAGTACACTAAAAAAACAAACCAGTTAGCACTCAACTCCATTCATGTCATCAAGTTGTTAAAGTTCTAAGAAATGGTTTGGAACTCTCATCGTCAACAACCTTTACAAATCTATTGTTTTTCCATAATACGTTTTGTCTACAGATCCCATTATTTCCTTTGTCATTTTGGGCAAGAAATGTAACAGTAAGCATATTTAATATAAATATATAGCATACTTATGTGATAGCACAAAACACCTATCGACTTTATGGTTCTGTAGCAACCATCCTTAAAAAGTTAAGGCTGCATGACGACTTCAAGTTCCAGACAATCTAACTTTTTTTTTTCTCTGCGTACCTTTCTCTTTATATGCCGGGTACTTTTTATACTTGCTCTTGCAGCAGTATTTGGCTCTTGGATCGTTGACATTCGTTGCTTTCTTTTCAAATTTTTCATTTTGTCATAACACACCTTAACAAGCTGTAGTGCAGTGCGAACAAGCACTCAATACCGAATAGCACCATGTTCTTTCTCACTTTCTCACCCTTTTTCCTTGTTCCCCTTTTTTTACGAACGAACAAACTTGACTCTTATTTGGGTGTCAAAATAACCTTGCTAACTTATAATACACACGTATTCATCGGTTAGGTCGTATAGCTCACCATATTAAGTATATAATCATCACAACGCCCATGACAAATCTCTCCCATGTATGAGAATATTCCCAATAAATCTACAACCATCTATCCTCCACATACAATGAACATATAGAGAACAAAGTAGATTATTATACCCTCTCAACATTTATCACTTATCCTTCTCATCAAATCAACTAAATTCCTTAACATCATACTTATTCTTCAAATACACCCTATGTCGTATTTCTTAAAACATTCTTACAACATCTTTATAGCATACATTATCGCAATTTTAAAAACTATGAGAAAAAATAAACAATACACATTTGCAAACGCGAATTAAAAAAGAAACTATGACGATAGCCCTCATGAATTCATCTGACCCGTGTAGAATTCGACTCGACAACAAGGCAAAACAAGCCTATTAATCAGGTTACACAGGTAGAGAGTATCATTCACAAAGATCAGGGACCAACTGTTAACACTATGAAAGCGATGGTCGACATTGGCAACGTCATCACATGTTGAAGTCCCTTGACATCAAGATGGAAGAGGGAATGAAACAAACTTTAAGAATTCAAGAATCAGAAGCAGATAAAGAAACCTAGTAATTGCAAAGGTAAACCCTCACATTATCATCCTAGGCTACATTTAGCTACTTTTATTTCCACTCTCAATCAAGAACAACCATCAAGAATCCAGCAAAGAATTAAGAAAAAAATGAACAAAAGCAATAAAAAAAGATCGTAGCGGATTTAAAATTCAATCCTTCTTATTTCAGTATTTATACCACAATGTCCCATACGTGTCCACTATGTAAATACAATCGCACTTAGCATTATCCCACTGTAGTATACTCGACAATGCAACATACAACAAATAAACTAGAAAACGTCGGTAATTTGTAGGCAATATTATTGACTCCTCTACTAGAGGTATTTATGGTCAGTGAGTAAGATACTCGCAGCGATTATTTACATTCAACAGAAGAGATGCTAAGGGCATATTGTACGTATTTAAAGAGACATAACGGAGCAGGCAACAGCAATCATGGCAATGACGAAGGCACCAGAGCTGAAGTTCGTGAGAGAAGAGGCAGCGCTGGAGCTGGAACCAGACTCAGAAGAGGAGGAGCTGTTGGTGGTGTTTGAGGTATTACCAGATTGGTAAGAGGTAGAGTTACCAAAAGGAGCAGTGCTGTTGGCAGTGCTGTTGGCAGCTTGGACGGCCAAGGCCATGGTAACAATGGCGGCGATAGCAAGAACACGAGAGTACATTATAAAAGAGGATGAATAAATATAATTGGACAAAGTCAAATGATTAAGTATAGACCTAGCGTGTATAGGAATATAAAAGTCCGAAAGTGGTGCTTATAGAAACGATCCGGAGGTAGACTCTTTATATAAAAAATTATCATTTAACCCTTACCCTGGTGAAAGCCATGACGTTTTTGCATTTTTGTAGAACCTCTGTGATTTGATAGCCACCCCCCTTCTGACAACAGGTGTGATAAGCCACGAATTAAGAATACCTAACTTGCGAATTAAACAATCATTATTTTATTCCCGAAGACTAATGTTTTGGTTTCGATTGCGTTCTAGAGGAAAGAACCAAGACAAACAAAGTTTTCAAAATGAAATAACAAACAAACAGCAATATCAAACTATAAGCCAGCCAAGCAACAAATCGGTTTTCCTAGACGGTGGAGTAAAAATGTTTGCTTAGAGAGTTAAAAAAATACAAATAAATTTTTTTTGTGATATGAAAGAAATAAAAGAAAAAATGATTTCTTAAACAAGTGTTCTACTTCATCTTAAAAAAATTTTCTTTTGTTTGTATCTCTCAATTGGCTGATTGTTTACATTGCTAAAAAATTTCGCAAAATCAAAACAAGCCTTACAACAATCCAGTCATCTTCTTTTTAAGCCATCATTGGACCATTTATGTTTGTTTTGAGATCTTGGTAAACTTTGAATACAGGTCTATTATCCTATCAATGGTTTCGTCCTATAGAAACTTTGTAGCGGAGCGGGACTTAGTTGTCCTTTTTTTTTTTTTGCTTGTGATTATTTATTTGTTTATGCTGTTTCGTTCTGTTTGTTGATCTACCCTTATCATTCATTAACATACAAGATAATCACTAGCAATCAAAAGGTTTGTTGTTATTGCGTTTGCAGCACTTCTAAACTTTCACTTCCAGTAAGATAATTTATGGTGCAACAAGATAACGATCTTTGTTCCATTCTCTCACAGTATTTAGAGAGCATAGGGTGAATAAAACAATTCATCGACTTTGTTTAAACAGATCTCTTTTTTTCTTTTTATCGATAGCTTCATTTCATTCCCTAATCTATTATGTTTGTTCCTTAGTACGTATTTGGGCATACCATTTCTCCTCTCCTTAAGGTAGACAGGCAGACAAACAGGAGTAGTGATATTGCCAAGCCGCATGCGTAGCATAGAGAGAGGGGCACAGAACAGGAATGAAGGGACCCACTCCAAAAGGGTTGTCTGTTGTATGGAACGTCCGTTCTCCTTTACTCGTGATTTGTTCGTCTTGTTTCGTCAATGTACCAAACCTAAACATGCCAATCATCTCACATACACGTTACTCCAATTCGATCTTGTAAATAACCCATCATAAGTAGGTAATCAATATCACATTACAAGACGAAATTCATCCATGATTCTTATTCTTTCCGTAACAGAGAATCAGAATTACAACAATTCAAAGTCACAGCAAGACATATCATTACTAGTTCCGTCAGCATGACTCTCACAAAAGGGTTTGTTTGCTTGCAGTGCAATGCGAATCGATGATGCAAGAAGGAAAGAGGAAACATAACTGGAGGTATCTCTCATAGCATCACCATTCCATACCTTTACTTGTTCGCTTGAGAAATCTCGAAAATTACTAGCTCATAACAGGTGCCGACTTCTTGTTTGCTTCTCGGTAACACCGATGAACCTACCCCACCTTTTACCCACTTGGATTGCATAAAGCTGGTTTGTTGGTCGCAGTGGCGAAACTTGTCCCCTTCTCCACGAATCAAACGTGTCTTCAGCTGATCAGCCAATTATCGGACTCCACTACATTCCAGTTAGCGAGCTCTTCTTTTCTGTCCACTAAACACTTTTCGGCATTACCATTACATTTCTACTTAGTGCGATGCATTTTATTACGCATTGCTGTATGCTCTTTCCACTTGTATCTGTATTTGTGTGTTAACGTTTGTTGCATTCCCTTGGCTTGATCACTATAGACATTGTCAAATATATGATATCGTATTCGTAGAGCTCTTAAAGCGATCGCTTGGAGGAATGCTAGTCTTCTAGTGTTCCGTTGTTAATATATATTGATTTTCATTTTTTATTGATTTTCTTTGTTTGATATTGTTGGATTTGTTCTTAATGGACTTGGTGTTGGATGTGTCTCTCAACAAAGAGGTTTATTCTTCTGCCTTTCAGTTTACCACACAAATTAGTACACTACAGGTATTGTTTACATTTTTCAACGCACACCGTTGTTGCATTCATAATTAGAACGAGGCCTTTTTTTTTCTTTTCTTTTTTATTACAAGAGTTGGCAGATTGATTCTTCGGTTTCGTTTTGAAATTTCTTCCATTCTTTTTGTATTCATCACTTTCTTCGTATCTTTGCTAAATATATCTGTCTGGCTTGTTTTTCCCCCATCAAGTTGTGGAAGGAAATTTTGTGACTTATATTTTTTCTGAACCTCCTAATATTGTTTCGCTTTTGTGGAGTCGCTTCTGTGAAGCATGTCTGCTGTTCGAACTTCTGTATCCTGCGAAGAATTAAATCAACTCCAGCTCGGCTTAACTCAGCAGACCTTTAATCACCAATATTCGAGTATATACTTCGCGCGATTAACTGCGCTTCGTCCAAAAGTCGTCAGTGCCGCTCGGAAGAAATGGCCAAACCATCTTGAACTCGACCGCGTTTTGGATGTAAGAAATGACCAGAATTGCTGGGTCGTCGGTACGGCGTATATGACCTCTAAATTAAAGCCTAATGTTATGGACGATGTCACTCAACTTCACACCATCATTACTGCTTCCGAGGATTCACCCTATGTCTCTCTCGAAAACGGTAACTCAGACGAAATCCAGTATTCCCTTGAGGACAACTATGGTCGTGTTGATTGTACTGGATCGCTTATGTATGATGTTGGTGTCGTCACTGGTGTTGTTATGGCTGCTCTTGGTCATGAGGATGAGGCGGGTCGCTTCGTCGTTATTGATGTATGCTTTCCCGAATCTCTCTCCAATAACGACACCATTCCTATGACAATAGACTCTAAACAGGAGGAATCTCCAGAGTTTATGGCAGTCGTCAGTGGCTTAGGCCTTTCTAACGATGGTATTGAGGGAATTGGTCTGCACCAAATCATCGAGTACTTGCGTGGTGCTCTTCCATCCATGAGTTCTACCTTTGATCCTAGCTCCATCAAACGGTTGATGATCCTTGGCAATTGTCTTGCTCCTGCGATAGAAATTTCTGACTCATCGACTCCTTCTGTCCCAGTTGGGAAAAAGAAAGTAAAGCGCTACGGATACGATACTTCAAGCTATAATCCCAATCCAACAATACAATTAGATACTCTTCTAGATCAACTTTGTGCTACAATAGATGTAACCTTGATTCCTGGTCCCTATGATTATAGTACAAATATTCTTCCTCAGCAACCTCTACATCCAGCACTGCTGCAGAACGCGAAGGCATGGATTGGAAATTCCTTGCAAACAACAACCAATCCTACCTGGCTTTCTATTAGTGATAATCTGACTCTTGCAAGTAGTGGCCAGAATATCAATGATCTTCGAAAATATCACCCTCATAAATCATCTTTGCGATTGATGGAAAACACCGTCTTATGGAATCACATAACCCCTACTAGTCCCGATACCCTATGTAAGTTTTTTTTCTCTCTTACTTTTTTATTTTCTTATATTACTAACTTTTAAAATTTAGGGTGCTATCCCTTTACTGATCGAGATACCTTCGTTATGGACGAATTGCCAAATCTTTATTTATGTGGAAATCAACCAAAATTTGGAACGAAAATTATTAATAGTGAGACAAAATCCATCCGACTCGTGTCTGTTCCAGAGTTCCGTAAAACTGGCATTATAACATTGATTAACTTGAGGAACTTGGACGTACAGGCGTTAGTATTCCCCAGAAAATTAGACAGTTCTGAACTGACTACGCCAAATGTTTGATAATAACAATAATCAGGTAGACGTATGGGAAATTTGGGATATCTTCTTAGCCTTTTGATTAAAGTTTCGGATAATGATAAATTTATAATGAATGCTAGTGTCTTTTTTGAAATAAATGATTCTTTTGTTTTTTTCCGAGATTAAATTGAGTAGCGATGAAGGTATCCTTCGCATCATGGAAGCTGCGACTTTCTTTAGCAACACCCAATTGGTCCAAAAGTTCTTCGGATTTTTTTGGCATAATGCTTTGAAAAAGAATAGCACATATACGTAGCGTATGAGCTGTGAGCATCAGAATGTCTGTTCGGGTGGACGAGTTGCTGTCCAAATTCCAAGGCTCACTTTCTTGAAGTAACTTAGTGATGGAACGCAAAGTATTTTGTATGTTTTCAATCAAATTAAACACTTGTCCTTGGTGCACACAAGCAGCACAAGCGTCTGGAAGTTGAGATAGGTGATTCACAAACTCTTGATATTTTTCTCTTTGAAATAAGGATGGCCATTCTTTTTGAGTTTCTTCAGTTACATATAATTTTTTAGATTGAATTCTGGAGGTGAGAACACCAAAATTTCTTCTTAAATCGTGCTCGTAGTCTTTTTCTAGTCCTTGTATGTCAAAATTAGAATCCGAAGTCAGTCTTCCTTGCTTCAACAGATAGTATTTGACAATCTCTTCCCCATAATTCTGTATAAGCGTAAAAGGATTCACGACGTTTCCAAGTGATTTTGACATTTTCATTTTATTCATTGTCCAATGTGAATGAACAAGGATTTGTTTCGGTAAAGGAAGCCCAGCTGCCATAAGAAAAGCAGGCCAATAAATACAATGAAAGCGAATGATGTCTTTACCTATTATATGAACATCAGCTGGCCATCCTCCATTCACATGATCTGATGAAATCCAGGGATATCCAGTAACAGTAAGATAGTTAACTAAAGCATCTAACCAAACATAAATAGTTTGGGAGTCATCTTTCGGAACGGGGATTCCCCAAGATAAGCGAGAGCGTGGTCTGGAGATGCTAAGGTCTTGAAGCCCAGATTTAAGTTCTGTCAATATTTGGCTATGGTATATGGAAGGCTGAACAAAGCTGGGTTCTTGTTCGTATAATTCAATAAGACGAGATTGAAGGGAAGTAAGCTTAAAATGATAATTCATTTCACTGGACCATTGCACCTGTTTCCCTGTTTCTACCGATACTAGCGTTTTCTTCCCTGTCGCTTCGTCCACAATCCACTGAAGAGCTGATTCGGGATAAAACGTCTCATCGCTCGTAGAGTACCAACCTTCATGGTGCTGAAACTCAATATAATTCTTTTCTTTTAGTTGATTCCAAAAGTTCTTGACAGCTGTTGCGTGTTGGTGGTCTGTCGTCCGGATAAAATGGCTATATGGAGTATTCGCAAGGACAGCCAAATCCCTGAATCGTTGTGAGTTTGTATTACAAAGGTCCAATGGATGCTTATTTAGTTCTTGGGCAACGGTTTGCACTTTTAAACCATGCTCGTCCGTGCCAGTGCTGCTAAACACCGGTCGATCTGTTCTATAAAGCTTCTGAAACCGAGCAATTGAGTCACACAAGACCAAACTATATAGATGACCTAAATGGGGTGCAGCATTTACATAGAAAATAGGAGTTGTTATGAAAAAAGGTTTCGTTAAAGACTGCAAATTGGGAACTGTCACCTTAAAAGGACCCTTGAGAAACATGAAGGAAAATGTTGTAGTAGCTTCGAGATGAACGGATGAACAAAATTCTTGGTGTTAGTGTTTGATTTAAAACCCATACAATCAATAGAAAAAGAGACAAGAATGAGTTTTTGAAGATTATAGCAACAAAGCAAATTCTGTTTGGGTATTTCGCATACGAAATGCACTTGGGTATTTAGATGCTGAATGTTTGGAATAATTGCTTTGCAAAACAGACCCAAACAAAATCTTTATTTATAAGAGACATCAAATGATGTACGGTATTTAATAATAAAAAAATGAGGTTTTTGAAAGATTCTGTTATGCGTACAATATGAAAGCGAGTACTTTGTTTATAAAAGAATAAAAATATCATTCATACGAGAAAGATTACTCAACATATTATTGTGATTCATTTAGTTTCCCATTATATAAGTAGGTCATTGGTATGCATAATAGTTGTCTTCTAATGCTTGGAAACACCATAATAGGCATCTTTGTTCTTATTTTCTTTACTTTTTTTCGCACTTATTTTATATTTCATTTCCTTAAAAACAGGCGTTGCAATTTTCAAAAACACAACCCATTATATGCTTGGCTACATAAACAAAGGCTTTTACGCGTTCTTGTTCAATGAAAAAATTCAAAAAAGGTTTGGGAGATAAAGCTATTATTAATTGATTTTACAATATGGAAGGAAATTTTACAAAAAAAAAAAAACCAATCTTTACGTTTCTTTGATTGTCAGTGTTTACTAACGCATAGTAAACACACATATGCTATCTTCAATAAGCATTTAAATTCGCTAAGCTTAGATGTGATCTGTGTTACACAGTTCATTCATTTAACCAACAACAACTTTCTTCCCCCCCTCCTTTTTTTTTTTTTCTTTCTTTTTTTTTTGTTGAAAAGGGAATTCGAATTGTAAGAGGAAAAGGAACACTTTCAACGAAGATCCATTTCATTTTTTTAAGATTCTGCTCCCTTATGGTTCATTAAGACGTGGTGATAATTCTTGTAGCACGAGTATGGACGCTGAAAAACCCCATTATGGACTTGTAATATCGAAACTGCTAAAGTTTCTTATCCCTTTCATCCTTGCTTTTATAGTAATATTTGGTCTCTTTAAAAATTATGGACTAAATACTTTGCATATTATTCAATCTCGTCTCCAGGAAAAGCCATTTATTTATGAAGAATGGGGAGAAAATGCATTTTCGTACGCTACCGACCGCGATGTAGATCCTTACCGAAAAGTTATTTGCGTAAATGAGGTAGACAAAAAGGGAAAATGCGAGCAGCTTCATTTTCATCATGCTATTGCTGGGTCTGATTTTCTCAATACTCACGGCCATGCGCCGATGGATAAGGTCGTAGAAAAGTGGAATCGTAAAATCCCTAGAATCATCCATACGTTTACTACGGAATCCAATACGTACTCGTCCCAGTTTACGGAATTTGAAGTCGACATCCGCTACAGACATCCTGACTGGGACTACGTTAAGTGGTCTGAAGAAGATCTGGAAAGATTAATCAGTAAGAACTTCCCTTCTTTTGTACATTCATGGAAAATGTTCAATCGTCCGGCAAGAGCACAATGGGCAACATTAATAGGCCTTTACGAGTATGGAGGTCTTTGGATTTCTCGTTCCTTCCAGATCTTGAAAAATTTTGATCATGCGCTTCAAGTTGCTGAAAGGTCTGCTTCGCTTAATTCTAAACACTACTTTAATCCATACATGATGGAGTACCACCCTTTATTCTTGGCTTCTAAACCTTTAAAATATGACTTTTTTATGGCTTCTCCGAGGCATCCATTTGTTTTATCGCTAATTAAAGAGCTCTATGAATCAAATGTCCCAGAATCACTAATGAATAGACGTCCTCTTCGCGGATATTCAGAGTTTTCAGACTTTATGACATTGAACGCCACTAAAATGTATAATGAGACCTTTACCATTAAAGAGTTTTATCTTAAAGAAAAGAAGGTTCATGTAATGTTGAACCCACATATCATCAGTCTGCCTGATTATGCTTTTGCTACCAGTTGGTCTCATCATTCAGATGCAGAATCGTCAGATATTTGCTTCCTTGACAGCGTTATGTTTGATCCTCAGTCTTGTGTGGATAATGCTTTAAATTTAAAGGGAAATGAATGGGGCATTCTCTGGTTACCAGTTTACGATCTTTTAGGAATGTAAATAGTCTTTCTTGTGAAAGCTTTTATTTATTTATTGTCATTTTTAATTTCAACATTCTTTATCAATTTTTTTCTTTTTTAATTTTATTTGCCTCTTACATGTGCTTTTTCTTCTCTCTTATAGGGTTCGATTCCTATATTTTTGTTTTTGTTCGGAATTTTATTTACTTTCATATATTAACTTTATCTTAATCCCTGACTTAGGGTTTCATTTCTTTGCATTTATCAATACATTTGTTACTGTAAGCTGATTCGACCTTTTTCCTTAATGTAATCATACCGTTTTCTAGTCGACAGTATTACTAAAAACGTTTACAGTTATCTTCTTTCGTTACTGTTTTTGTCTCTACTACATTTCTTAGCTTTGCAAGCTTCGTTAGATATCTTTATTGAACTTACTGTTCTCGACGATAATCGCTAAAAGCACAAGGTGGTACGAGGTATACATATATTTACGTGAAATTTATCAATCACTACTTCAGAACGAAAGGATGTAAACTGGAAGATTATCATTTGTTTATCTCTTTTTAATGTGAAATAAAGTAAGGATGAGTGGTTTTAAGCTTTTGAATAAAGCGATTGATGCTGCACTTCCAGAGTTGCACGATTTTGAACTGATTTCAAAAAGGGAAAGGTCAAATCCTTCTTCTTTATTAACAGCAATTTTTGTAAAAGCATTGCACAAGGAGACGAAAAAGGAAGTAATTCTTAAGTTTTCCTTGCAAAACGTCAAGCTCGAAAATGAGTGCTTTTTGTTGCGTCAGTTATCGTCTTTCTCGGGGGGCAATAGCTATACTATATGCCCAAAGTACAGATTGCTGTTAAATAAATCTCTAGGAATGCTTGTGTATGATGACCCTGGCCCTGATCTCGTGAAGAACTGGTTGTCTGACCCCCGTCCTGTTGATCTGCGACTATTTTATAAATTCGCTTTAGCTGCCTGTCACACGCTCTCTTATATGCATGATAAACAGTTTTTTCATGGAGAAATTCGTCCAGACTCTTTTCATTTTAACATTGACAATCCTATCCATGCTAAACTATTAACCATTGGAACCAGTGTTTCACCAATTCGTTTTACGCTATCATCATTAAATTGGCAGAAGCTATATCAACTAGATGACATTCACCATAAGCTCCAATTCTTCAGTCCAGAACAACTTGGCAGTGTAGGTCGACCATTGGATAGCCGTTCCGACATTTATTCTTTAGGTGTCGCATTTTACGTATTATTAACAAAATGCTATCCATGGGGAGGAAAACCGATGCGTATAGTTCAATCTATACATACACAACAGTTCCCTTCGGTCTTATCCCGCCGACCAGACGTGCCCATTGCACTTGATAATGTAATAAAAAAAATGACCAACAAGTCTATAAACGAACGTTTTAGTGTTGCTGATGATCTTTGCATTCTTTTCTACGAGCTGCTGTTACAGTATTCATCTTCTTTTAAACCAATAAGTCTCAAGTTCGATGACTCTCCGTTAAATTCTGACAGTAAAAGCCAACCGAATTTCCCAAAACTCATCCTCAATAACCCGTCTGATTACGTTCAAATATTCCAAGAGTTGACTTTTTTTTCTTCAAAAAGGGAGATTTTCACAAGTGGAAAAAATAGTGTGCGGATCAAGAAAAAGCACCTATTCAATAATTCCTTTGTGGAAAATGAGGCGACATATTGTCATATTCTCGCCATTACTGGTGAAAAAGGCTGCGGCAAAACCACTTTATTGCAATCTGTTTCGGTAGAAGCGAGAAAATATGGCTATTTCGCAATGTGCTCTTGTCAAGGTATTCACGCTTCTCCTTTCTCTACAATGTTTGATTGCGTCTCACAGATATTACGTCAGGTGCTTCGTGAAGAGAAAGAGACGGTTGAAAATTACTTCTCTTCCCTTTGGGAATTTTTAGGAGACGAACTTGTTTACATGGGATCACTATTCAAATGTGTTCCCGAACTTAATCACCTTCTGTCCCCTAAATATAATCACCATTGTAAACATGAAAATCATATTATAATAAAAGAAAGAGATACTCAAGAAATAAGAAGTGCTAGCGGTCGTTTAGGTTTCATTGTCTGTCTTCTCGAAATCTTAAGTTTTACATGTCGGATAAGATCAACTATTATTGCTTTAGATGAAGTTCATCTGGCTGATGATTGTTCTTTTTCACTTATTCGTGGAATTATAGCTCACCGATTACCAATCTTAATGATAATGGCTTGGGGTGATCCTCTTGCTTTTGACAATCTTCCTTTGTATATAAACGAAGTGCCGTATGCTATGGTCACTCAAATCAAGGTGAAGCCTTTTAGTAGAAAAAGTATCACTGAATTTTTGGATTACTATTTGCGGTACCCGACTCAAGCCTTAGACCCTTTGGTTCAACTTTTACACAATGTTAGCAAAGGTAACCCTTTGATTCTAAAGGTTGTTATGAATACCGCTTATACGAATGGGTGCTTCAAACTTAATGAGAAGACTAATTCTTGGTCATATGATCTGGGGTTAATAGAACAAAGATTAGAAAATCTACCATCTTTTGAATTAACCAAAGTCATGTCGAATTATTTGGGAGATGCATTTTCCGAAAAAACTAGAAACTATTTGAGTTGGGCTGCATTACTTATTGAACCTTTTCCATACGAGTTATTGTGTTCGATAACGGAACCACTAGGCTTATTAATCCCGCTTAGTGAAATACTTGATAGTTCTGTTAACATTTTTACTTTTTACGAAGATGGAACTAGATGTAAATTTACTTCTTGTAAATTACGGGAAGGCTTTCTGTCAAGTATCAGCGCAGGGCAAGCAGAAAAAATGCACGCTCACATAGCCCATGCGTTGATCGAAGGGAAAGCAAGAAAATTTTTTGAATACAATGACATTCATCACGTTTTAAAAGGCTTGGGTGTTGTAAAAAAATTCTCAAATACAAAACCCTACATTATGGCGATGCAAACTGTATCTGACCACTTAGTTCAATATGGAGCGTACAAATATGCTATCGAACTACTGAAAGCCTGTTTTTTTCTTTTGCCAAAGAAAGCGTCTTATGGTTATTTAAGCAACCAAGAAATGGTAAGGCTACGTATTGGTCTAGCCATGTGTTATTGGTGGAACAAAGATAATAAAAATTCTTACGCTGTCCTGAGTAAAATAAACTTAGACTCAGTTTCTATATCTGACTATCTTCCAGCATTAAGACTGTTAGCTAAAATCGAATGCTATCGAGACAAATCGGAAAATATTATTGAAATAGTCATACAGATTTTAGATCGCCTTAACTTTCCTTTGGAAAAAAATCCGAACGAAGAAGTATTGAACGAGCTATTCGAAGAATTATCTTCTGAATTTCTATCTTGCAATTTCGAAGTCGAGCGGCGCAGGCCTATTGATCCAGAAAAAGTTGACATAATATCCACATTACTTTCTGACGTTTGCTTTATCTTATTCAATAGCTCACAAACGTACTATTACTATTTTGCTTTTTTAGTCGCAAAGCTATATTTAAAATATGGCGACAGTTCTCTTAGATATTCACTGGTCTTTTTGGCTTCGTATAGTTTTGTTAAAAGAAGGAGGCCGGAGGTTTTTTTGAAGGTAAATGAACTGCAGTTGTCGAATCATACGTTAAGAGGTAGAAATGCCAGTGTTCACGCTGAACTTCTTAAATGGATGATTAGCAATGAGCTTGATATGTATCAGGTGAAACCGAAAATAACATTAGAGGGAATTTTACTCCATTGCGTAACTTTTGGTGACAAAATATATGGTTCTTATGTACTAGCTCGCTTGACGGCAAATCGACTTTTCCATGGAGATCATATACATCAACTTTTGCTTGATCAAGAAAACGCCGAAACGCTTATACTACTATGGGAAGTTGAAAAACCTTTTAACCATTACTTGTATTTTTATCGAAACGTATTGTTGGCATTATTTGGTCTGACTGATAATAAAGACCCGAATAATATTCTTTCGACAAATCAAAAATCTCAAGAGTCGTTATCAAAAGAATTTTTGTTCAAGAAGCCATCTACCTACTTTACTTGGTATTATTCGGCTTTGATTTATCTGTGTACATTATTTAAGCATTATGATTATGTGGTGCAAGTCGCTCCAGAGTTTTTAGAGGCTTCGGATGGTAAAATACTAGAGCAATATTATAAGCTTGTGAGAGGTTTTATTGGCCTTTCTGCTGCACAAGTTCTATATAAGAAAAAGGATATTTCTACCGAGGAGAGGCAAAAATTGACATTACTTTTAATCAATGTTTTGAAAGCACTAAAGGATTTTGCCTATAACTATAAAATTAAAAGTTACTTACTATGGGTTTACTTTCTGCAAGGTATGATTTGCCGAAACGACGGGGATTTCATGAATGCAGCGATACATTTTGAGAACGCTGTAGATGCCGAGCGTCAGGGATTCAATAAGATCGAATTGGCGCTGGTATTTGAAGTTATCGGTGATTTTTATTTCACGGCTTCTTACACTTTTCTGGCAAAATCTTATTATCTGAGCGCTCTTAATCATTATGGAGACATAGGATGCTACGGAGTGGAAAATAAATTAAAGGAGTTGCTTTCCGAAAGATTTTCTTTATCGTTTAATCAACCAACTTATTCATCGAAATCGACTATGATGGATAATGTCATCGAAGAAATACCGGAGTTATTTAAGAAAAAGGACATTAACGATTTTAGTCTAACATCGCATGACTTTTTATTCCAAAAAAAGGAACTTAATTTCCTTGCGAATTGCGATATTAGTAGTGAGCACAATGAAGGCGGTAAGGAAACGTGCTGTAACAATGAATGTGAAGATGGACTTTTGGATATTGTTTCTCTTATATCAGTCATTAAATGCGGGCAGCTTTTGTCAAGCAAATTGAGGCTTGTATCTTTACTTACTACAGTCATAAAGCTGATTATTGAATATTCCCAGGTCGGTTTTGCTGCGGTTATTTTGCAAAGTGACTCTGAGTATGTATTATCTGCCTTTGGTAATTCAGAGTATAGTGAAGCTTTAGAACCTTCTGTACCATTAAATGAATCCGATATTAAAATCCCGGGAAATATTTTGTCAGACGTGTTCAACAATGCGCATACGGTTTCTCTAGAAAGTGTTTCTATGCTAAAGGACGAAAACGTTATGAATTGGCTTCAGGAAGAACATAGCTTGAATTCTTTCATTATTATACCTTTGCAATTTAAGGAAAGTGTAATTGGTGCCTTGTATCTTCGATTTCCTCGTAACTTAATGCACCTTGGAAACGTAATGTTTTTAAAGCTTTTGTCTCAGCAAATTGCTATAAGCATATCAAATGCTCTCCTTTTTCAAAATCTTCGTCGGACAATAACTGACAATGTCAAGTTGATTGAATCGCAACGGCTTTCGTATCAAACATTTAAAAATATTGAAGAACAATGTATAACGCTCTTGGATTCCCTCCCTTGCATCGTTTGGACTTTAGATTCCGAAATTGGAGACATAGAATTTATAAATGCTTCCAAGCATGATTATTTCGGAATGGTTGACGCGGACGAGTCGCTTAGTTGGAAGAAGTTTATACACCCTGAACAACACTCACTTTTCCAGAAGAAACTTGAGATTTTGAAAAGCGAAGACTTCGGAGAAATTGAACTTCTTTTAAGAAAAAATGGTAATTTTCACTGGCATCTATGTCGTGGGTTGCCTCTGCAAAAGGAGTCTAACAATAGAAAATGGATTATAGTCTGCATAGATATTAATGATGAAAAAGAAGCCCGGGAAGCTGCCATACGTGCTGTGAATCTGAAAGCTAACTTCTTGGCAAATATGTCCCATGAATTACGAACACCTTTCTCAAGTTTTTATGGTATGCTTTCGTTGCTTAGTGATACTAAGCTTAGCGATGAACAGTATGATATTGTCTCAACTGCTAAGCAAAGCTGCACGTCATTAGTTCAAATTATTGATGATTTACTCAATTTCAGCGAGCTAGAGTCTGGGAAAATAAAACTTGAGCCGAGCAAAATTTTTGACGTGGAAGAAAATATTGCGGATTGTATTGAGTTGGTGTATCCTTCAATAGCCGATAAACCTGTTCAAATTTCTTACGATATTTATCCAAATGTTCCTGCACTTTTGGGCGGTGATATTGCAAAACTAAGACAGGTTATTACAAATCTTCTAGGAAATTCCGTCAAATTCACGAATGAGGGTCATATTCTCTTGCGTTGCTGGATTAAAGACGACCTTGAATTACCAGAATCTGATTGTTATTTATATTTTGAAATTGAAGACACTGGAATTGGGTTAAAACCGGAACAGATGAAGCTTTTATTTAGGCCTTTTACTCAAGTGGATGGCAGTACTACTCGAATTTATGGTGGTTCAGGTCTTGGACTTTCAATTTGCTTAGAAATTTGCAAGATCATGGATGGTAATATTGGTGTTAAATCTGTATACGACGAAGGGTCTACATTTTGGTTTTACGTACGATTAAACAAGGCCACTTTTGAATTATCTCGTGAACATTTTAAGGAAACTCATCAGAAATTTGCCAGCATAATAGAGACACTAAAGTCTACCCGAGTGTTAGTGGTTGAATCGTTTATTACTAAAAGATCTCTATTTAAGTCACTATTTTCTCTTGCTCATACTAATACGGTAATTTCAACGAAAGAAGTTGAGAAAGTTTTACTAGAAGCAAAGAACAACGAAAAACCATATGACTTTCTTTGTATCGAAGCTTGTAACAAGCAATCAGAGAGCTTGATTATGGAGGTTTTAGCGAACCCGTTGCTTCAAAACACATGGCTGATAGTTCTAATGCCTTCTTTGCGACGAACCAAAATAAAGTCTACAATAAACGTTGATCCTTTCACCGCTACTCTTGATAAAAACCTGAATCGCGTTTTATACTTAGCGGAACCTGTTCGGTTATCGAAGTTAATTCAAAACATGAGTATTCTATTAACAAAGAGAGCTAATTATGGTAAGTTTTCCGATACTTCAAAGCTCCAAGTCTCTACCACCAAAGCACACGGGAAAGAAATATTCAATTCTGAAGAACTGCAGATTTTAAAAACGAAAGTTGCTTTAATAGCAGAAGATAATTTGATCGCTCGGAAACTCCTAAGCAAGCAATTAATGAATTTAGGGCTTCACGTTGAAACTGTGAAGGACGGACGAGAACTTGTTGAAGTATTTATTTCCAAGCCATATGGCTATTACGGTATTATATTTGCTGACTATCACATGCCAATCTGTGATGGAGCCGAAGCGGTTAGCAAAATCCGCGACTATGAGAGTTCACAAACTGTGGATAAGTTTGTCCCAGTTATAGCTCTTACAGCGGATATCCAAAAGTCCGCTAAGCAGAGATGTTTAGACGTAGGTATGAACGACTATCTGACAAAGCCCTTTACGCAGCAGCAGCTTCAGGATATAATCAGAAAATTCTTTCTGATTGAACAGTCTTCTTAAAAATATCTTGGAAAAAGTGGTTTATTTATTTAAAGCATCTCTACTAGGTTAATGATTGTTTAATATTAGGGTTTTGGGGAAAATATATTTTGAAAGGAATTTAAGATTAAGGATACTCAGCGGTAATTAGTATGCATTTACAATAGTTTCTTTTATTACTTTCTATCTGAATTGGTGATAACTTGTCAATCACTATTTTCTTAAATGTGAGGACTTCATTAGCTTTTAGCTGCTAGATCCACACCAGACTTAATACTTGCAATCATAGCGCTCAGTTGAATTTTCTCTGAGCAACCAAAAGACATACGATGCTCAATGGAAGCCAATTGATCTAAAATGAATATGCGTGTATTTGCCGGTACTTGAAGTTCGTCCAATGCTTCAAAAATGCAAGTAATTATATCCTGTAAAGCCAAACCCTTTTGCTGCTTAATGGAATTGATAGCTAAAGAATGTTAGCTGTTTATTCTTAAACATAAAACCTTACCATTGTAAGCAGTAACGAATTCTTCATTCATAATTGACTTGATAAAATAATCTATATCCGACGGATGAGGATGACCAACGCAGTTATAAATCGAGGACTCATCAATATGTTCGTAAGCAGCATGGCAAGCTTGCAAAATATTAAGTGCTTTACGCATGTCACCTCTTGATAATTTCAAAAGAGCACCTTTAGCCTCTGAATCTATATTACAGCGCTCATTATTGATAACGTGGTCAACGTACTTTTCAATTTCTAAAGAAGGAAGTGGTTGAAAACGAAAGCGTGTACACCGTGATTGAATAGCAGGAGCAATTTTGTTGATATAGTTGCAAATGATACAAAACCGAACATTTTTGGTATATTTTTCAATGACTAAAGGCAAACCATTAACATAATCGTATAACAACCCATTGACTTACCTCTTCGAAGTGCATTTTGGGCAGCCAGAGTCATAGCATCAGCTTCATCCAAAATAATCATTTTGAAAGAAGATCTGAATCGGGTGTTAGTTTGAGAGTAAAAATTTAGTCTATATAGAAACAAAAATATTAGCTTACGAGAAAATTTGACGTGTGCTTGCAAAGTTTTTTATTTGTTCTCTGACAGCATCAATACCACGGTCATCACTAGCGTTCAGTTCCATTACTTGGTTGCGAAATTGAGGGCCATAAACCTTGCGAGCACAAGCAAGAATAGTAGATGTCTTTCCTGTTCCTGGGGGACCATAAAACAACATATGGGGGACTTTATTTGTGCTGATAAATCGATCCACTAAAAGGTTAGCGCACATGAGTTTCAACATGAACAGCTAGATTAATAACTCACATGTAGAAATGATATCTTTATGCGCAACTACATCCTCTAATCCAGAAGGACGATATTTTTCCACCCTAGTCAACTGTTAGTATGAAACTGATTTCACGCTCGACTAAACCCAATGTCCATGTATTCCCATTCGCTTCGATAAAGTAGCTCATCTTAGACAGAGTTTCCCTTCTGGATTCAGCATAAAATACATTTGGGGACATTAAGAAATGCAATCCATGCACAACAGAACATTCTCATTACCGAACACGATTCATTCACAATACATACCAGGGAAGAGTTGATCCATCCTGTATGGGATTATCTATTTCCATAGCACGACCCTTTCCCTTGTCCATTGTCATTATGGAAGATTGCAGGTTGTCAGACTACAGCCAGATGTTTGTCGTAGGATTACAGAAGGGTTGAGGTGAGAAACTAATAAAGTAAGGTACTAGCAAACTTTTACTAGTAATATGAATCTGATTAACTTTATAAATGAATATTGCTTCCTCACGTTGTTTACCCTAGAAGAAACTATTTTAAGGTAGACTTTAATGGAAAATTTATCTCACCATGATGCATTGGAAAGCGAATCCAATTCAGTACAATTTATACTGAATTCACTTTTTTGTTTTTCTAATTACTATAGTACACAAGTATTACCAGTACGACTACTACAAGGTCACATTGCTAGTACATATACATCAACATTATTGGCTTGCTCACTACCACATATACACCAAAAGGCTTTTAATTATTAGCATAACCTGGATTGAAAGAACTTTCAACAGTGAATGTTTTTTAACTGTATGATAATAAGACACAGAAATTAAGCCCATTCGGAGGGAGCAGCACCGGTGGTATTCCACTCAGCGTCACCTTCCCAAGTAGTTTGACCAACTTGACCGGCGGTAGCATTATCCAAAATGGTAGGATCAACGGTACCAGCAGCGCTGTCAGTGACCTCGAATTCGGCAGCAGCAGTTTGAGCAGCCAATTGAGCTTCCTCTTCAGCAGCAGCGGTAGCAGCAGCCTTAGCTTCCTCCTCACGCTCAATCTCCTCGGGATCACGGTAGAAGTAGAGGTCAGGCATGATCTCCCAAGGAGTGTTGCGGGAGATACTACCACGGAGACGAAGGACTTCACGAGCCAAAAGGTACCAGGACAAACCGATGGCCTTGTAGCCCTTGTTGTTAGTGGGGATAGCTACATCAACATGGTTCAGGCAGGAGTCAGTGTCAGTAAGAGCAATGACAGGGATGTTGACAAAAGAAGCCTCTCTGATGGCTTGAGCATCAGCACGAGGATCAGTAACAATGATCAAGCGGGGCTCACGGTAGGTGCGAGTGATGTAGTTAGTGAAGTTACCAGGAGTGAAACGGCCAGCAATAGCGGTAGCACCAGTGTGGGCAGCAAACTTCAAAACTGCACGGTGTCCGTAAGCACGAGTAGAAACAACACAAACATCAGCAGGGTTCTCAATGGTAGCAATGATACGAGCAGCGAGAACAAGCTTCTCCCAGGTCTTGGCCAAGTTAAGGATATGGATTCCATCAGAACGACGCTTCCAAACATAGGGTTCCATACGGACTTCCAAGTTCTTGGAGCCGATGTGGCAGTCGGCAGCTAAAAGCTTCTTGATATCATCATCAGCAGCATTTAAAACTGATGGACGGGCTACGGATTCTGCCATTTTGCTTAGTGCACCTCTTGGTGGTTGGAGGAAATTTCGCATTCCTCTTGGTCTTGGTGTTGTCGGTCTGTGACTGCTTTTCACCCCAAAACAAATTTAGCGCCGTAGCTTAAACTCTTATAGTATATAACGTAGAAATAAGAGGACGAAGAAACTACACAAGAGTACGCTACTATTAGAGTTAGGTATCATCCCTGGCTGTTATACGCTAGTATAAGCATACTAAAGCATCGAAACGATGTCAGTGTTTTTGTAAACAAGAGTCAAGCTTAGTTTCACTATGATCAATTTCGTGTTAAAGAGTGAACTATATCGGAAGTACCGTGGAAATTATTACTTTAAAGCTTATAAATATAACTTATCTTCTTAAATAACGATAGGTGTGTCGAAAACTGCATACGAGAGATGATTATCAGATCTTTATTCGTTCATAGCATCAAAAATTTTTGATTCAAATCGTAAAATCTTTTTCTTCATTCATAAGCCATTCCCTAAAAACTACGTACACGAAAATCTTCTATTTTTTTTGAAATCTCAGCGACCGTGCGATCCAGTTCATTCGCAATCAATTCCTGCCTTTCGCGAGGAAGATGATAGTACATTTCACATAAATCTCCGTCGATTACACCTTTAACAGGTGCATAGTAGCTGCGATACGCTAAATGATCCCGACCAGATAGCAATGGAACTTCCTTTCGCAGAAAAAATTCTATTTGCTGAAAGAATCTAACGTCTTCTTGATTAATAAAGGGGGTGAAGACACCTACCGTTCCCAAAAGACCAGTCCATAACAAAACTTCTCTTGCTCCTTCAACCAATTGTACCTTCTCCATAGATGTAGGTATATCATTTGCATAAAAATGAGCCAAAAGTTCCAACTTGTGAGGGGTTGAATTCAGAAAAGCTTTCTCGTGCAGAAGCTTAGATGCAGAATTTTCTTCATCAGAAAGCTTTGACACTTCCTCAGGACATCTTAAAAGCCACAAATTACCAAATTTGTCACCTCCTGCCACCGTATCATAATCAACCATAGTCGACGTCGTGCACCACCTTTGAACAGGATCGTCTGCAAAGATGACGAAGCGGTTTTCATCATGCTTGTACACTACATATCTAATAGAACACTGAGAATCACCAACTATAATTCTGCTCCCTTGAACGTCTAAGCGGGTTATAAAAAGCGGAACAGGAACCGTCTCACATTTCCTTAGAACTTTCTTGTTACCCAATTCATATATTCTTAAGTATTTGCCTACACCAGCGAGCATCCTTCCTTGAAAGGAGCGAAGGCACATGGGGATGTCGTCTGTTTCGGTATGACTAATTAACTCAAGGCTATTTCCCTCGTCTTTAAGTCGATACACACGTATATTACCATGTGAACAACCCCGTGTTTCCAGATTAACATCCGTTGCCGAGCCAGTGACTATGAATAATTCATCTTTCGATTTGAAATGCACCATTTCAATACAAAAAGCTGCTTCATTATCACCCAGTTTACAAGTGTGAATCATTTGCTTAGATCTTAAATCAAATATAGATATATATGATGACCATTCCATTTCCTGTAGTGGACTCAAGTCCTTATTCGCGCGAGACGACAAAGAATGACTTCCTAAGTCCTGATAATTTTTGGAACTAGTGAAATTCCTTTCACTTTGCAAAATACATAAAATAGGAAGTTCTGGGTGTTTCACTAATTTCCGTGGTGTGCACATAAGCGGATATATTTCTGATTTCAAATCATCTTGCAGACTGTCAATTGTAAAAATTTTCAAAACATTGTGATGTACAGCAACAATACCTTGCGGGCATTGCTCACTAGCGAACGAGGAAATATGTTCAATTGCCGAATAAGAGATGGGCGAAAGCTGCAGATTTTGTAGAAAAGAATAAGCTAAATAAGCTCTCGTGGAAACAGCGAGTACTGTTTTTTGGTCCTTTATAGAAACTGGATATAGTTTAACAGGCTTCGGACCCAAAAATCGAGTACGCGTATCTAATAGTTGTCCAGAGGTTACATCCACGACAGTTCGAAGGTAGACACCATTCATCAAACCAATATGGAGATACAAAGTAGAATACCCACCAACCACCATTGGAATGATGCATAATGAACTAGCGGGTGAGCTTAATGCTTGAACACTCAAACTTTCTAAGGTCGTGTAAAGATCTAGAGATAGAACTCGTACTGTAGCGTCATCACAAGCGAGACAAAGAAAATTACTGCGTTTCGAACCTTCAGGTACAGGTCCCAAAGCGAGTGCAGTGACATTCGCTGTAAGCGTTTTCCTTTCCTGATATTCATTTAACTGACCACCTTCAATGTCATCACTCATTTCGAAATATACAAGCTCACCATTATTCAAAGCTATTACTATTTGAGTGTCATTAATAGCCGACTGGGTGATAAATAAATCAGCCGGCAGTTTCCATTCACTTACTTGTTTATTAGAACGAATATGTCGAATACCCTTAGGATAAACTTGAAGGAGGGAATCTTGACCCATTTGATGCACATTAAGTGTGGAAACGGAGGATAACAATCCACTGTCAGACACTTCTTCTACGGTTTCTCCGATGGATAAAACTAACGTACCATTGGTAAATGACAGAATTATATAAGCATCATACATATCATTGCGGGACAGCTTCAAAGTCCAAATAGCGACAGGAGCACCAGGGATCTCTGAGGCAACTACTTCAGTTGTTTCCAAACCACGCTTTAAACGACGAAGAGAAGAAGCATTACCACGTCCGCAAATTGTGTATATCTGAGTTGGGTCATCTAAAGAAGGACTCTTAACTACTGATGAATCTGTTACGGGATAGAGACAAGGAACCTCATCGACTAACGACAAATTCTGTAAACCACGAACTTGGTAAAATACATTCTTACCAGTGGTGATAAGAGAATCATCAGGATATTCCAGAGAAGAAATCTCTAACTCTCCATCATCCAATCCAAGGTTCTCAAATTGATATAATTGATGATTTCCACCTTCACATGAAATGAATAAGAAACCAGTCTTTAAGATATTGAGTTGTACGGAAAGAGGTATCGTATCAAAGTACTTCAGGCGTAACTCGCTTACATTGCCTTGTCCATCATGCTCTATGGTAAGTTTTAATAAATCACCTTCATGAGTTTGAAGCAAGTAGAAAAACGATCCCTTCATTCTGTGCATTACAGCGGAAACAATTAAAGGATATCGTAGGCTTTTGTTCTTGGATTTTGTTCCTGTCCACGGAGTAACTGTCTCATCCAATTCATTGCCTTTTCGACGCATTATAGGTACCTGATGAAACCTTCTTTGTAAATGCCTATAAGAAATCCATCCTTCGGATATTACAAGAGTACCAGATGGGCCATCGTTGCCTCCTGGCACAGAAAGAAGCATATAAGAGCTACGATCAACCACCTTTGACCAACGCCTGACGACATGGTTAAGTCCAAGGTCTAGTTCGTAATACGTCAAGACCTTTTCTGCATTCTCATAAGCTTGACCTGAGGGGTCGTGATCCATGTCACTGTAGTCAACTTCTATAGCTGCAAATATTGGGTTCGCATACCCTGTATCCAAACCCACAAGACTAAAGCAGATATTTCCTGCTTTGTGAGCTTCAAGAGGAGAAGATATTGTAAGATCAGCTTCCGCATCTCGATTTAACACATAAACCAATTTATTTTTTTCAACAGAAGCTACCATTGCTGCACGACCCTTGGCATCAACAGCCAAGTATTCTCCTGGAACAACTCTTCGAATCCCCGATTTTCCAAATGTTTCCTGATAAACAGGAACCAGTTTATTAGCACTAAGGTCATACTGCAAAATAGTAATCCGTCCAGAATCCGAAGTTACAACCAAGTAATCGCGTTTGAAGCCCGTTAAACGAAGGGGAGCGACATTTCTAATGATTCCAAAGCAATTATGATTCAAAATACAGCTAATTTGACCATCATTTGGATCCACTTTATAAACCAAAAGCCGAGATTCCGTAGCTATAACAATCTCTTGCACCTTTTTTCCAGATAAAGATGCCACGCACGAGCTCTGCACATAATTGCTATTTTGTATTGTCAATGAATACAGAAACAGAGACGGAAAAGTATCCATCTTGTGTCTCTTAGAATGAAACACAACTCTCGATGAATTGAACGTATCTAAGTGAAAAATGTGAACTTTTCTTAAATTAACGAGATACAACGTAGTCCAGTGGTCAACAAAGTATATGAATGATTAGCATGTTCATTATTATTTGTATATATATAGATTCAAATAATTAGTTAATAAGGCGTAAGAGTGCGAGAATTCCTTTTTATCATAAAATTCTAAAATGAAAGTTGGTCGCATGCTCATATTTTAAACCATCGATATTTTTGGGTTTCTTCAGAGTAAACAATACCATAGGAGCTCGTGCCTTGCTCTATATAGTCGAATTTAGAAGGTGCAAAGCTATCGTCGAACACTTGAACCCATATTGTATCACGGACTGGAATAAGGGGAATAGTATTCATATGTTCTGGTAACTTTCCGAAATCACAAATTGACTTATCAATAGATGTGAAGGGTATTTTTTCTATGGAAACTTCACACATAAAGGTTTTGTTTTGATATTCAGCTAGAATTATCAGTATGTTGCTGGAATAGATTTTCGCATCCAAAACATTAACTGAAGCATTATCAAGTTGTTCAATTTGGAGAATATAAGAGGCATCCAGTTCAAAATGACAGCACAGATAGGGTAACATCTGTCCATTTTGCAGACTGCATTCCCATATATAAATTCCTGGAAGCTTTCTTTTATAATATATGGATTTTTGAATTGAAATATCAGGTTCTGGTTGAAAAAGACAAGCAGATACATCCCAATCGTTCCCTCGTAATAACTGAATATTCGCTGTTTTCATCCACTGGCTGCGGCAAGCCAAGGATGGATAACTAAAAATGACATCAAAAGAAAGTCTTAAAGAGTTTATAACATCCTGAAACGTAGGACTGTTAGATTTTGAGTCTCTTGCTTCTTGAAGCTTCTCGACACCCATAAAATATGGTGTCAACTGAGAATGCATTAGGGAATTCCGAATATACTTTACACAATCCTGTATATGATCAACGATTTCCTGAGGAGGAATTGTTGCTGGTTCAGTCGTAATAAATTCATGCATAGCGTAATTTAGCCAACAAACATAACGTTTCATTTGAGTATTTTCCTTCTGAAGCGAAGATAAAAATGTAAAGGAAATTGTTTGAAGTGATGAAAGCGAAGATAAACATTCATCAATTAACTTTGGATCAAGTAAACTATCTCCTTTCATGACTCCCCAAATTGCCTTTCCTCGTATCAAGTTAAGCAATATCCCCAGTCTTTCGGAAGCAGGTAGTATAAATTCCTGACAGAATGTCGATAAAGACCGGTTAGCATTTACTATCAATTTTTCCCAATTTTTTAAGACTCGATCGCCGACTCTCTCTGTCAACCATTCCCTCAATATGGGAGTTGGTAACCCATTCATTATAAATTGATACAATTCAAGCTCGGGAGAGAAAGGATTATTTTCATATTTGTCAAAAATTTGGGTAAAAGACTTTCGTAGGCTATTTTCAGCTTTGGCAATATTATCGAACTCTTCATACATTGCATCTACTGTTTCTTCGATATACCTCACAAACAACTGCATTTTCGTCGACATTGTGGCTATATCTACAATGTTTTGCAGCCCTTTCTCCAGCAATGGCATATATAGTGTCTGGAGACTGCTATGTTCCTTGTCAGCACAGTTTAAAACATGATATGCCATCTGCCTGCAAATATGATGGGACTTTGGTAATTTCTTTCAGATTAGAAAATGCTCTAAAATAAATTATAAACATACCATATTAAGTGCTGAGTATAGCGAGTCACCTTCCCCAATTTTATAAGACGAAAACATGCTTAATTTCATTAGTATTGGCCGTAGAAAAAGTGACTTACTTTATATGGCGAATTCCTTCCTCATCGAGTACGCTTAAAAGTTCAATTTTCTGAGCTTTAGAGCGTTCAGGACTAGATGGCTTAAAGAATTCAGCAATTGCTTTGGAAGAAAATACTCGTTCTCTGCAGCCGTTGTCAATAATAAGTTAATGCATTCAAAGACTTACCCTTTAGAAGAGCTAGGAAGAGTTCCCAGCAAGGGCATATAAGATATAGGGTCGAAAGAAAAATCGTTTTGATTGAAAAAATTAGAAGAATCCTCAACCATCCAGGTAATCATTGTTATAGGAATATTTCTTGAAGCCGGACGCTGTTCGACAATATGACCCGAAGACGAATCTATAAACTTAAGTTCTCCATTTTCAAATCCCACTACCAAAAGATGACCTTTTCAACGTTAGCTTATAATACGATAGCTTTCCCATTTGCATAGGACATGTAAAATAATACCATCTTGGTGCCAACAAAGAGCAGTAGCATTCAATCCTTCAAATCCAACATCCCAAATTCGCTGTCCATTATTCCTAAACGCAATTAGACGATTTCCATTCGTTATGACAGCTAATAGTTCCATGCTTGGACATAGTGAAACCTTTCTTAAACCATCGCGAATTGTCTCAAGCCGACTATTTTCTTCGTGATATTTGATATTACGTTGTCTATTAGAATGGAAAAGTTGTTTTTTCATACTCACTGTACTGAAATTATGTTGTTATAGGTTTGTTTATAGTTCAGGATATGGCTTCCAGCCAAACAATACCTAAGATTAACTTTTCCTGACAGATTTCAAGCAAAAGTTTACTTAATTAACCTCTTCAAAATCGTATATAAGAAGAAACTGTCTTAACTTAGAATATCTCACTATTATTTCTCTATGTTAGTTGTTAACGAATCAAGGTTGGTCGCAGTAGAAACTATTCCCGGAGCAGTTTGTTTGAGTGGATGTTTATTTACTTTTACAAAATGAGAGTTAAATTATTCAAAAACGAAATAATAAATTAATGTAAACAACAACAATTAAACAGCCACGAGTAAAGGTGATTAAAGAAATCGGTTCAAGAATTAGACTTTTTCATACGAAAAAGGTGTCGCATGGTCGGTCTCCCGTGAGGGCAATTCCACGGCTTACTTAGTTCAGCAAGGTGTCTCACAACCGTAGTCATTTCTGATATTGTCAAAGCGCGACCAATCATTATACTACTTCTACAGGCTTTAGACGCAAGCATCCTTTCTAACTTGCTACTGATAGGATTGATACGTGGATGCTCCGAAAGAAGATTTAACATCTCCAATAAATCTATCGTGAGGTTAGTAAAGTACTGGGCTGGAAATAATTTTAACAGAATACATACCTCCCACATCAAATACAACGTTTTTACCAGAAGGAACGGCTACTAATTTACAGCGTTTTCCTACCGGTTGATCCATGTCCACCAGAAGTTCAAATCCCTTCTCACGGATCATTCCCATATGCTCAAATAGGACAATTTCCTCAGTGGCTGCCAAGTTGAGTTGCTTAGGTGCCACCAATTCTTGTGGTTTCAACTTGATTCGATCCTTTAGTTTTTCATAATTGAACTTTTCATCGCTGGCATGCTGATCAATAATGAAAAGGTTATTCTCATGGGTGACTACTATGAATCCCCGATTAAATTGTCCGACTATTCTCATTTTCAAGAAATCGGTCTTGTGAATGATGAGATTTAGGTGCTCTTCTTGATTGGCATCAGAAATATCATGAATTAAACCAAGTTTGGCAGGTTCTTTCGAAATATCGTCATTATAAGTCAGGTTTTTCTCCAGTTCATCAAAAGAAACCTCAAAGTTTTCTTTTATTTTTTTTAGATTATCATTAGGTTTTCCGAGGAAATATTTGTGTTTTTGTAATGCGACTGTTTTCGATGGAATTGGACTAGAGAATGGTTTTTCGTTCGCTTCAATAGGGGAAGAAGAAGAAAATAAACGTTCATCTACTACCGAGGAAGATTTAGGAAAACTTCTCTGGAAAGGAGATAATGATGATTCAAACTCGTTTGATGGAGTACTTTTTAAAGAATCAGAAGCCGTACTTTTTGCAGACGAGGGGGATAATGGTAAATTTTCAGCCGTTTGTGGTTGGTTTGAAGTAGAATTTGAAACAAATGCTGATAAGCGTTGTCGCATTTTCTCATGAGAAGCTGAAAACCGACTTTCTAAATTGTCATCTACCGCACCAGGCCTTGATTTATGTTTATGCATGAAAGCTTTATTAAGTGAAGGGGCACTTCCACTATCACTTTCGGCCGTTTTTCCTGAAATAGAAAGTTTTCGCTTGTTTCTTGGATAAGAATTGTCAGACGTATGGGGATCAATCAAGTCATCGTCGTTGGTGAAGTCAATTGTAGCTAGCGATTGCTGTTGAGAAGAATCATTGGGCTGAGAAAAAGAAGCAGAGTGTAATTCATAAGGGCTCGAAGATGATGTTGTACTAGAGGGTTGTACTTTAGATTCTGTCAGCGAGTGTGCAGTGCCTTCACATAACCGTTGTAAGGATTCCCTTACGAAATCTATGATATAACTTTCTTCAGAAAGAAAAACAGATCGTTTATCCGGAGACACATTTACGTCTACAGTTCCTAAACACATATTAAAAACACACTCATATTGAGACTTGTGCGTACCTTCAGTCAACGTTAGGTTAATAGCAAAAAAAGGGGCTTGAGACAAACTGTAAATTTTAAAAGTTTCTTGGATTGTTTTCACTAGTTTTGGCAAATGGATGGGTCGCCCATTGATAAATAGCATTTGTTTATCGGAAGACAAACGAACTGAACCGACATGTGGTCTCGAGATATATCCATCTATGAAACCATCTTTCCATCTAATTAAATTCGTTGATATTTTCGTACCGAATATATTCATTATATTCATTTTCATATCCGAGTTCATATTTGTTGAAAGTTGAACAACTTTTCCAGAGCCCTTTGTTTGATGGAATATTATAAATTTCTTTTCTGTGGAGATAACAGCATACGCTTGAAGTAAAGAAATTGACTTGGAAAAATCGCGCCGACAATTCCGCTCAAACACTTTCCTCCTCACAGGTAAAGTGGAAAAAAGATCATTAATAGAAACCATTGTTCCTTTCTATTTTAAGTTAATAAGAATTTTCATTGGAGAAAAGCCTCATACTTGTGAAGCAACTGTAGATTTACTGATCACAGTCCCTTCATGATCAAGTTTTAGTTGGAACCCTTTTGGTGCTTCTGAGGAAGTTGCAGTTGTAATTGTCACATTAGAAACAGAACAGAGACTGCTTAGTGCTTCTCCACGAAATCCGAATGTTTGCAGAGTATCTAAATCCCTGAATGCTTCAATTTTTGACGTATAGTGTTTCTTTCCTGGAGGAAAATAATTAGACTATAAAACATTCCCCTTGATTGTAATTCATACCGATGGAATCTTGGTCTTCGATTGAAATCCCGGAACCGTTGTCCAAAACCTCTATACTATCAAGACCATAATTTTTAAAGCGAACCTCTAGGCGACAAAGTAAGAATAGGAAATGAAGAAAAAAGGTCTTACCGATTGTTGTAGCGCCGGAATCAAGAGAATTTTCAACCAGTTCTTTCACTGCTGATGCTAAATCCGTGATTACTTGACCCGAGCAAATCCTATGCTACAAAAGTTAAAGCATATTCATGAAAACCACATACCACAGTCTCATTCGTGATAGGCCGTATAATTGACATGAGGAAAGAAACCGATGAACTCGTCTAAAAGTTCAATCAATGAAAGTGTTTCCCGTCACTTTACAAAAATAAAGAGAAAAAAAAAGAAAAAATAAGAAAATAGGAAAACGAGAATGATACAACAGCCGGGTTGTAATTATTCTGCTCGATATATATATATACCGTTGTACATACATAAGTTCGCTTCTCTTAACCATAAGTAAGGTATGACTTAACGAAAATAAAGTCATTAAACAAAAGTGAAAGATTCAAAATCTTGAAACTGCTTTAGATGATAATCACCGATATCTAGCAAAAAACATTATCAGTTTCACTTAATGGTCATAAAGAACTTATGACTTGAAGAAAGACCGTAAGTCATTCACTAACTCGCCGTTTCCCAATATTTATACTGAACGGATTTGCTAGAGTAGGTAAGAGAGAAAGGCGGTTATTATGTAGAAAATTTTATTGACAAATAAACAGGCTCATACGTTCACTAAAAAGTTAATCGTCGGGCAAATTGGAATTGACTGCTGTTAAAACATTTATAGTATAAGTTTGAGGCACTATGTATGAAAGTCGCGATTTAACGGGAGCTGCTGGACGAATTGTGGACCCAAACCCTTGGCCAAACAATAGCAAAATTGCGGTTTCCTTTGTGGTAAACTACGAAGAGGGTGGGGAGCGTTCATTGTTGTACGGCGACGAGGGATTTGAAACGTTTTTAACGGAGGGTGGTTTGATGCCTTTCCCTAATCGTCCCGTTCGCGAGCGTTCCATTGAGTCTTGTTTTGAGTACGGATCACGATGTGGCTTTTGGAGAATACTGAACTTGTTCAAGAAGCATCAGGTTCCCTTCACATGCTGGGCTATTGGCCAGGCTGTTGAGAAAAATCCCGCGGTCGTTAGTGCTATGGAAGAAGCTGGATGTGAAGTAGGCTCTCATTCTTACCGTTGGATTAATTATGAAAATGTTTCAGAGGAAGTAGAATACGAACATATCAAGAAAACAATCTTGGCTATCCAGAACGCTTCCCCTACTAACACTCCTCCTCGTAGTTGGTACACAGGTCGTGCTAGTCTTCGTACCCGTAAAATTGTTTGCCAAGTCTATCGCGAGTTTGGTTTACCTCAACCTTTCGATTCGGACGAGTACAATGATGACCTTCCTTACTGGGTCCCTGATCCCTTGGCTGAAGATAAGGGCAGTAAGGATGACAAGGGCCTTTTAATCGTACCTTATACCCTTGATGTTAATGATATGAAATTTGCTATTTCCCCTGGGTTTTGTAAAGCGGAAGACTTTTTTACCTACTGCCGTGACGCCTTTGATGTTCTGTATGAAGAGGGACAGAACGGTTCTCCAAAGATGATGACTATTGCCCTCCATTGCCGAATGATGGGTCGTCCAGGTCGTTTTCGCGGTTTGCAAAAGTTAATGGAGCACATTACTTCCAAAGAAGGTGTTTGGGTTGCTACTCGAGAACAGATTGCCAATGCATGGGCTGTTAAGCACCCTTATTAAAAGGAATGCTCTTTAATTGATCCTTACGCCTGGCACAAAAGCAGCCCAATGCTAAGGTTGTAACCAAACTAAACTATATGGTAGTAGCAAAGACTTTCCTAGGAAGGCAGACAATCTTTTATTAAGATGATTAGATTACATGTGATTTAGATACTAGTAAAATTCCTTTTAAATAGTTATGATGCCCTTAATGAGACTGAACTTGGAATAACTTGAAGTACTTCAATATTATTATTGATTGAATAGAAGTCATTGAAAATAGATTTTCAGCTCACTGAAGAAAACTATAAAACATAATAAACTATTTCTTTCACTAATGCTATTCCTGTCCGGCATTTCGGCCTCGAAGATGAACAAAGCTTTCTATTATTCACATGTAAAGATTACTATCTCAAAACACCGGCCATTTTAGGTATGTTAATCTTATTCCTTTGCTGGGACTACAAACTAACTAGATATGCTGTAAGTTAGAAGCTAACCATTTCCATTGAACTCGGCAACGCACACTTACAATGGTACCAAAAGGCCTTTTTCCCAAGCCATTTACGTCTGAAAACTTTTCTCCATATGGAACGGTAGTTCAGCCAAAAGATAATGGCCCTATGGTAGTAGCGAACGGCGGTACAGCCACGAAATATCTTGGGGTATCTGAATCCGTAAATAACTATAGTAAATCTTCCACTCCTTCCTTTAAAGCAACTTGGAATTTCTTTTCCACCAAACCGTCTGTTGTTCCTGCCGATGAAGATTCACCAGCCTTTCAAATAAAAGTTTTAGAAAGGCACCCTTATACAACGCAGACGTTTATTCCCCTTTGCAGAGACGCTGAGGAGGACAGCTACCTAGTTGCTGTCGCTCCAGATGCTCCTGATGGGTTGCCTGATTGGGATCACGTTGAAATCTTTGTTGCTAAAGGCTATCAAGGTGTCACTTATGCCGCTGGGGTTTGGCATGCTCCTATGGTCACTATTGGAAAGGAAACTATGTTAGCTGCTTTTAACTATGAAAACGGAGTAGGTGATGATGACTGTCAAGTTCAATCAGCTCCTTTTCCTTTGAATGCATACGTGAAGCGCAATTAAGCAGATTTGCCTTTTTTATATACACCCTTACCAAGGAAGCTACTATTCAACTTGGGAGTTCTCTTCATTCCATAGCTTAACGGAGAAAGGACATAATTCTGCTAAAAGGCAGCCACCTTTTTGTCAACGCTTTTCTGGCTACTAGTAGTTTTATGCTGTATTCTGCTGGAGACTGTACGACTGCTTACATACGAACATCTTCAATTCAAGTTCTGTTATACACGCAGAAATAAGAGCGAAACCTTGATATTCAAATGTATTCACAAGTTCGGATGAGATAGCAACATTTCTTCAAAATCCGATACGAATGAATGAGGCCTGACAATCATTCATAGGTATCGACGCTACAATCCCAAAAAAAGCAACGTCCAGAAGGTTTGGCAGCTCTCATAGAAGAATCCTCTTTTGAATTATCAGAGTAGTAATGAATTATAGAAAATAAAGCGACTATTTTGACGATAGCATCTTGCTTCAACCGTATGTATCCATGACCATGAAGTCATTTGAAGAAAATTAGAAATAAAATGATTACTTCCTTTTATATTTCTAATAAGTTTGTATTTCTTCTAATTTAAGTATCTAGTTTCTTCATAAATGTTTCATAATAACGTCTACTTCGATTCTGAATGCTTCAGTGAACCAGCCAAAACACCCTTCATCATTTAGAAATATTAAACACTGGTTTCTCCGCCTTCTTAAATAGTTTTCCTAAAATATTAGCTTTTAAACGCATATATTTTTTATCTCCATTGCGGGCTTTTGGGTAATTAACAAAAAAAAAGAAAATTTGGTAGTTTTCATAGGGACCAACTCGTCTGCAGACTTGCAATTCCCGTAAAAGACTTCTTTGAACGGGTTCTTGTTTCCAGTGAGTCTTTTTTCTCAGAAGACAAACACAGTTGTTTTATCTTTAGCAATTCCTTAAAACAAAAATGGCTACAACTGTACAAAATGACAAAAAGATCATGAACGCAAATCACCCTGGCCCTGGGAAGAGTATTTTAGCTGGCGGTATTGCTGGTGCAGTTGAAATTTCCATTACTTACCCAGCTGAATTTGCCAAAACTCGCCTTCAGTTGTATCGCAATGTCGAGGGTGTAAAAGGAAAGCTTCCTCGTTTTGGTTTAGAATGGTACAAAGGTTGCTCAACAGTCATCATCGGAAACTCCTTAAAAGCGGCTGTACGGTTTTTTGCTTTCGACAGTATCAAAAAGACACTTGCCGATGAAAATGGTCATCTAAGCGGGCCTCGAACAGTACTTGCTGGCTTGGGGGCCGGCGTTGCAGAATCTATACTTGTTTTGACTCCCTTTGAAAGTATCAAAACTGCTATCATTGATGAAGGGAAGAAGCCCAATCCTCGTTTTAGTGGATTCCTTCAGGCTTCCAAATCTATCCTCATAGAGGGAGGTATTTCAGCTTTGTATCGTGGTTTGGCTCCCACAGTAGCTCGTCAAGCTACCAACTCTGGTGTACGCTTCACAGCTTATAACAGCATCAAACAATCACTTCAAAGCCGACTTCCTCCTGATGAGTCTCTTGGTACTGTATCCACCTTCCTCATAGGTTCTATAGCTGGTATTATTACAGTTTATTGCACGCAACCTATTGATACGATCAAGAGTCGCATGCAATCTTTAACCGCTAAGCAAGAATACAAGAATAGCTTCCACTGTGCATATAAGGTCTTCACACAGGATGGCGTCTTGCGATTTTGGTCCGGTGCAACCCCTCGTCTAGCTCGATTAATTCTTAGCGGCGGTATCGTCTTTACTGTATACGAAAAAGTCATGGGTGTTCTGCAACTCTTTTAATTTATTTACTCTTTGTTCTCTCATTATGTTCACTGTATTACCCGTTGTCTAATTTAAATCAATCTATTTAACTAACTTCATATAAAGAAAAGAATCCATTACTTTTCAATAAACTAATATTTACTGCTTTCCAATCTACATAAACAATTTCCATACTTCCATTTTCCAGAAACCAAACAATTAGGCATGAATATTTTCATTAATGAATAAACAAGAAAACAAATTACACCTAGACGACAGACATTCACCAGGTCATAGGCTATAAAATAAACAGGAAAAACCATTAGAAGAAATTCTACACAAATGTTGAGATTACAATGCAAATGCTCCAGGGATTGCTTCTCTCTGAGGTAGAGGTTCAAAGAGAGCTTACATTTGTAAACGCATTAATGTACAGGCGGCTATTATGAAGCGATATCAGACCTTGCGGGAAAACTTTACAAGATAAACCTCTTTCGTTTATGACATACGTCTGAATTCGGTATTCTCAATACTTCGTAGCAAAACCCTGCAAAACGACACCTCTATGGAATAGCCATGAGGGAAATTGGATCAAAATAAGACATCCAAGAAGGCAAACAAAACAAACCAATAAACCTTGTGGATAAATTATTTAAAGTTCTTGGCTAGGGTTAGCCTTGCCGGATTGCTTGGGCAAAAGGTGAGCATTGATGTTAGGAACAACACCACCTTGAGCAATCGTAACATGGCCCAAAAGCTTGTTCAATTCTTCATCGTTACGAATGGCAAGTTGAAGATGACGGGGAATAATACGAGTTTTCTTGTTGTCACGGGCGGCGTTACCAGCCAATTCGAGAATTTCAGCAGCCAAATATTCCAAAACGGCGGCCAAATAGACAGGAGCACCAGCACCAACACGTTGAGCATAATTACCCTTACGCAACAAACGGTGAACACGACCAACAGGGAAGGCCAAACCAGCCTTAGCGGAACGAGATTGAGCAGACTTGGCAACTGCGGCCTTACCACCAGATTTTCCTCCAGACATTTTGATTCGTCTTGTTATAAATTAAATGGTATCCTAGCTGAGATATACTCTTTTAGGGATATTTACAAAAGCCATGTCGCGCGACTCAATATATATATTTGACTTAGCGGGGTTAGGGTTTTGATGAAATGTGCGGCGCGTCACGAACCCTGTGATTAAGACGCGTAGCGCGACTCCCAAAAGCTGATATAGCAGAAGGAAAAGATACCGTACTAATAATTTAAGACTAAGGAAACGAAGTGAAAGGGGTCGCTTACGCTACGCTATACTTAGGTTATTTCCTTGCTTCTAATAGTTTGTTGAAGACAGGCGTCTTTTTATATTAAACAATATAAAGTCCTTTAAGCGTATTTCAAGGTTATTATATTCAGTCCTATTATTAAAGCGCGGAACAATCGCGATTTTGACTATGTAAATTCATTCTTCACTTGCATCAAAAGATAAAGTAGCGTTTGATTAGCCTTTAATAAATTATTTTCTTTTCATCGAGTTTTAGACCATCTTGTATCTTTCATGCTCTTCCATCCATTGTATAGCCTCCTTTGTTTATTGCCCAAACAGGAGATTAACCACCTAAACATGCTTAGCATCAGGAAATCTGATATTATAATCAGCTTCAGAAATTTTAGAAGCTATAATTTTTCGGCCACCAAACCATCGCTGATGAAGTCCAAGAACAGCTTTTTCGCATTCTTCAAACGTCTTAAACTTGACAAAAATTTCACCAGCTTCACTTGGCACTACCGTAATATGCATTACTCTTCCATATTTATTTTCACATTCTTCACGAACGTCTTGTTCCAATTCTTCGACCCAAGTAGCAGACGTTTCCCTAGAACAGACCGTTAGTACTAAGAATGATGGCAGTTGAGTCAGACTTACTCTTTAGGATCAAACATATTTTTCAAAATAACAGACCGATATCGAGTTGGATCAGGGTGCACGTCCATAGTTCTATAGTTTCGTTAGTATTGCTGAAACTAGTTAATTTAAACTAGACATACGGAACAGGACTAGCATCGTCAATTCGAGCAAGTTTTTTCATAAGCTCATCACGTGAAATAGGACGGCCTTCTTGCTCACTTGGAGATAAAGGTTCTGCTTCTGGAGACAAATCCCTAGATGCAGAAACGGAGGTTTGACGTGTCCGCCCTTGTCGATAATGAGAACGTTCAGTTCGATTCAGCATGTCATCAAATCGCTTTAGCATGGAACTAGTTGTCTCCGTAGTAAATTTATCATTTCCTAAACAAACCCGCATGCTTCTTCCAGCTAAATCAAATCCGTTCATTTTTTCAAGCGCATTTCGAGCACACATCGGATCTCGATATCTAAACCTTTGGTCAGTATATTGGTAATTAGACAATAAGCAACATACTGAATATAGCCAAACCCTTTGCTTCTATTTTGTTCATCTCGCTGCAAACGAACAAGTTCAATTTCACCAAACGGATCAAAAATGGCTTTAACGTCCTCATCACTAAGGTTAAAGTGAATATTAGCAATACATAATCTATGAAAGGGGATTTCCGCATTGGCTGCTCGAGTCGTTCTGATGAAAAGTTAGTTACGAAGGCTTATTCCATTTATTCCATATAATTATAATATGAAAACACATACTCTGCTGCTTCACGAGCTTTACGGTTTTTCTCCGCTTCTGTGAGCTGAACAATGACGGGAATACCTAAAAGACGTTTTCCAGAAAGAGAAAGTGCATGTTGAACAGAATCTTCATCTCGAAATTCCACGTACGCAACACTAAACGCAAGTTGTCAGTAATTATAACGAAGATTATTCGTTTCATACCCTTTGGAGCGACCGCTAACCTTGTCTCGAACAATTTGAGCATCACGAACAGGACCAGCCTGTTCAAAAAAGTCAGATAATTCTCTAGTTGTTAATCTATTTGCTAGCTGAGAAACAAACACGGTACGTCTGTCAAGATCGTCTTCGTTGATAGGAGAGGGATCACGGCCGCGAGACCTGCCTCTACTGTGATCGCGACGTCGGCTTCGGCGCTCAAAATCATCCTCAACACCTCGTCGGCGAGAACGATGATCATCTCGATAGCGACTACGTCTGCTAGAATAGCGAGGAGGGCTTTGAGGACTTTCCTCGTGACGACGATAGGAACGGTCACTGCGAGAGTACCGTCTACGTGATCGAGGACTGTTGTCACGTAAGCTTCTAGGAGAGCGGTAGCGACGGGAAGCACCAGGGGAAGGAGACCGCGAGGGAGAGCGAGTTCTCCTAGAAATTGGGCTTAAAGAATTGTGAGAAGAACGGCGGGGTCGCTCGCGTTCATCAGATAAGCGAGTGGGGCGAGACCTGCTTTCACTGTAGCGATACCCCATAGAAGCAGGAGGAGGGGTCAATCGACCATCATTGCCATGATCTTTATAGGTTTTATGAGAGGTGGAAACGGAACTAGACGGTACTCCATTAGACCCATACCTAGGAGGGCTGGGGATGGAAGAAGCCGAACCAGCACCGGGTTGGTGAGAGGCGGAAGAGGAGGCAGGTTGCTGTTGTGAATTAGTGTTTTCAGAAGAGTTCTGATAGAATGTTAGTTATGCTATGCTGATCGGAAGATCGATGCGCATCTTATGAACATAATTGCAATTTTGCACCGCATGGGCATCATTGATACTACATACCTCTTGCTTACGGTAGGGAGCCTCTGCCAAGGCTTCTGCATCTAGATACATGTTGGAAGCAATCCTCTAAAACAACTTTGAGATGAAACAGACCAATTGAAGGAAATCACTGAAAAAAAATCTTATAGAAACAAAAGCAATTTGATTACAAATTGTGAGGACAAGAGGAAACTTCGACACAGCAATCCCTAAATCGCACTATGAGAAAACGAAATAGCACAAGTAAACCAAACGAGGTAAACAACTATAGATACTTAAAAATGTACGTTAATTAGACAAAATTTGCTCTAGTTGATACAGAAATCCGGCGATTCTTTTCGTTTTCGTCGTCCTGGCAGTATCACAAGGGAACCGAACCGAACCGGAGGCAGAGGAGGATCGTTTACCGCGTTTTCGTAAACCTCGGTATTAATATTTCCGAGGGAGTTTGATGAAAAGTAACCTGATTTTTTCATGTGAGCCTTACCCTTACCTTGCATTTGACCGCGGGGCATCTGGAGTATACCTATATTTATGGCGAGCAAGAACCTGCCGTCTACAAAATATTGCGATTTTGACAATTGACGGATTTGTCGATTCAGAAGTTGTTGCATTGTTACTTCTTTTTTTCAAAAAAGAAGAATTGATTTATCCTCATACTTATTGGTTTGTGTTGTAAGCTTGCTTTTTGTGTCATCGCTGCAATTCGAATTTTACAGGACGCCTATTAGCAAGGAATACTTTCTTTTAGTAATCTCTGTAGTTAAGTTTCTATAGAAGCTTTGTACTTGGCTTTCTTGCAATAATGGCTAGTCTCTCCAACCGTTGTATCATTTTATCAGATGGTGTCGAGTATGATGGTAAGTCATTTCTAACTGAAACCGGCGTTCATGCGTTTTCCTCGGACCGATTTTTATTTCAGTGATGGATCACATGCTAATTTAATATATAGTAACTGAACAAATTCACGCCAACCCTGAAGTTAGCGAAGTTGCCCTCCGGTATCACAAGAAAGATGTTGATGGTCTTTTAAATAGCGCTAGCAGCACTGCCAAACAGAAAGATGCCGATACGATTCGTAAAGTCTTGCAGAACACCTCGGCTCCTGTTAAAAATAAAGAATTTAGTGATCTAGTGGATCAAAATATTGGTGATGGCTATGGTAATGATTTTGTTGTTAAGCCGACCAATATCGACAAAGATTATGAAAAAAATCATTTCTTAGATTTGAAGAAGCCATTATTGCCGCAGATTCTATTTAGCAATATCTCCAAAGAGGTTTATCTCGATCAAGTCCATCGTCCTCGACATTATAAAGGAAGTGGCTCTGCTCCTTTGTTTGGTAACTTCTTGGAGCCCTTTAGTAAGACCCCTTGGTACATGATTCCTATGATTTGGATTCCCTGCATCACATACTTTTTCTTGCAGGCTTGTACCGGTATTCCTGTTCCTGTCGCCGTCAGCTTCTTTTTTATTGGTCTAGGTGTCTGGACGATTGTGGAATACTTTATGCACCGATGTCTATTTCATTTGGATGAGTATACCCCGGATCATCCCGTGTTCCTTACTCTTCACTTTTTGTTCCACGGTGTTCACCATTTCTTGCCTGCTGACAGGTATCGCCTTGTAATGCCTCCAGCCCTGTTCGTTTTCTTTGCTACTCCCTGGTACCGTTTGGTTCGTTTAATTTTCCCCTATCATATGGCGATTGCTGGTTTCTCTGGCGGTGTCTTTGGTTATGTCTGCTATGACTTGACTCATTACTTTTTGCACCACAGACGGTTGCCCAATGGATATTTCACTCAGTTAAAAACTTGGCACTTGGATCACCATTATAAGGATTATAAATCTGCATTTGGTGTCACCAGTCCGTTTTGGGACCGTGTTTTTGGAACTGTTGGACCTATGTTGAGTAAGAACAACACATCGGAAACTGTGAAGACCAAGTAAGCGGAACCTTCGCTATTGAGGAAAGTGCTGCTATCGTTAAAACCTTCGTCTCACAGTTGATTCTTGTGCAGTACGTTATATTAAGTCTTACTGATATCTGCTTTGCTTCCTTGCTTTGCATCAGATCCGTTCAGTCGTTACTTTCCTCGTGGTAATGCTTTTCGAATTAGCTGAGTCTTTCTTTTTGTACATTTTATTATCCCAAAGTGGCCTAATTAATTATTCCTATCTGTTGTGTTCAAGGGTTTTCGTGGGTGTGGAATTCCTTTTTACTAATTCTTTCTGAGCAACGTTCCCGAAGACCTTTTGTATTCTGTTTTTTGTTTATTATGTATTGATTGTATCTTCCTATGAAGAGCATTTGGTTTTTCACAGAGTATATAAAAAGAATAATATTTGTTGATAAGAAATTTGTTAGGAGACAAACTGTCTCGTATTAAGTAATGTAGAAGACTTCAATAAATAATAGGACGCTTTGATAAGCTACTTACAACTATCCTTCTGATTCCCTCCGGTTCCTGCGAAACATCGATAACTAGTTTTCATAGTAAAAATGATAAAAATTACTGAAAGGGGTGGGACTCGAACCCACGAGCTTTCGCACTAGTGCCTTAAACTAGCTCCATAACCACTCGGACACCCTTCCTTTTTCATGCCTACACAAACATGAGAGCCAATTTTAAGCTTCTTCACATAAGTATGCGTTCCTGATTAATTATGGTTAATTTCAATAAGGTATGGAAAACGAAATGTCCGATTTTAATGTCAAAATACAGAGAAATTTGTTTACGCATATAAGTGGTCTCACAATTTCGTTTGTTGATAGCACTTTTTAATCTGGTACACCGCAAGCACCGCAAGTTAACAGTATTCACGTCAAATCTACCTTTTATCGGCTTATATGAATGATGACATCAAGCTTTGGTGCAGTGACTATATAAAATGCTACAGTCCCTTACTACACACACTCACTCAGGGAAAGCTTAGTTTCATTATACTATAAGATTGCTATACTTTGCTAAAAACTCTATACTCCTACTTTGTATTTCATTCGCCTAACTTATAAACGCGATATTCAGTATATTTCACTGAAAGACGATTGAAATTTGTTGCAAGTCTATCCTTCTTTGTATTCTGTTGATCTTAACTTTCATAAACTATACACACGAAATATGCTGATTGCTGCTTTGGGTCCCCATATTCCGTTTCCTGCTTATGGTGTGGGTACAGCCTTATACAAAAACGATAAATCCCGATTTCAGACGGAAGTTGTAGAATCGGTAAAATGGGCAGTCCAAAACGGATTTACTCATATCGACTGTGCCGAAGCATATGGAAATGAAGAAGAAGTCGGTATTGCCCTCAAAGACTTAGATGTACCTCGTGAGAAACTCTTTATCACCTCGAAAGTTACAACTAGTATTGAAGACATTTCGGCTGCATTAACTACTTCTCTTAAGAAACTGGGGCTTACCTATCTTGACCTTTTCTTGTTACATTCCCCTAAACCTTTTAAAGAGAAAAATATTCCTCTCTCAAAAGGTTGGGAAGCTTTGGAAAAAGAACTTGGTCAAGGCCGAGTTCATTCTATCGGCGTCTCTAACTTTTATGTAAAGGATTTGGAAGAAATAAAAGAGAAAGCTACCGTCCCTCCTCGTGTTAACCAAATTGAATTCCATCCTCAAGTCTATACGCATATGAAGTCTCTGCTAGAATACTGTAAAAGCAAAAATATCATCATCGAAGGTTATAGTTCTCTTCTACCCCTCAAAAAGGATCCTGATGGAACCGTTAGCAAACTTGTCAAGTCTCTTGCTAGTAAATACAATGTTTCCGATTCTTTGATTTTGTTAGCTTGGTCAAATGCCCAGGGCGTTTTCCCTGTCACTACTACAAGCAAAGTGGAGCGTATGAAGGAATTCTTATCTTACAAAAGTGTGAAGCTCGAGCAGGCAGACATCGATGCTATCACTGCAGCTGGAGAAGAATCTACCAGACCTTTACAGAACTTCTAGATGGTTAATTGTTTTCCTTTCGGAAATACTATTTTGATTGCTTTATGATTTTCTGATTGATCACGATGCTTGTATATGCTTTACCTTTATCCACTATATATATGAATGATATTAATGTTATGACCCGTGTCTTTTGTAAATGTCGTATAATAAGGTCTACTTACCGTAATAAAATACCTCATTATATTATAACCAATCCTTTCAAATCTTTATTTGCGAACTTACTAATATGTATTAGTTAAGTATCATTCACTAAAGGAAATCAGAAAAATACGAATATAATAATCACAAACCAAAACAGGAAAAAATTTAAATTATTATTGAATTGTTAATCATAACTTCATATCATAATTAAGCTGAAAATTGAAGGTTTCCATTCAACCATTGGTTCAACATCTCAAGACTAGCTTCAGGTTGGTTGAAAGGCACCATATGACCAGCTTCATAAATGCGGAGATAAGAAAAGTTCTTATAGGTCTTACCACGACCAGCTTCAGAACCGGCAGGGCTCCAGGGAGCTAAGTCGGTTTCGTAAAATTCTCTGTGTCCACTCCATTCCAAAGCATCAGCCCAAGCTTCATTGCCCATGTGGTTGCAAATGTAATCAGCATCACCAGCATAAATTAGAACAGGCAAACCCTCTTCTAAAATGGCAGTAACGTCTTCCCGGAAGGTCTTGCGCATCCAATCGCCCTTAAACAAAAATCCTAGGTTAACTTCCATATTGCAACCCTTAAAACCTTGTTCAACACCAAGAGCTTCGACAACATCTTCCTGGTTCAAGTACTCTTCAATAGCACCGGTTTCAGAATAGCACATGTTCTCAGGGTCATGGCATTTCTCACGAATGTCATAGACATTCAAACCAGTTTGTTGGAAAGGACCCATCATGGCATTGTTGCAGTACAGAGAAGCACCGATGCAAATAGGAGTGAAACCGGTTTGATAGCAAGCGGTGATCAACTTTGAGCAAGTACCGTATGCGTTAGTAATACGGTCGCATTGCTCTTGTGGCATAATGGGACCGTAGGAGTTTTCACAGGCCATCTTTCCATAATAATAGTATTGAATAAGAGGATCCGTAAGACCATTGCCAATTGCAACACCCTTCAAGTTAATGTAAGATTTCTGGTGTTCATAACCGGTAGCAACAAAATCGTTAGCACCTTGGTTGTGTTCAAGAATTTCCTTTGCAAATTGAGGAATGTAATGACCAGCATATGATTCACCAGTAATGTGGAAAGGAAGGTGGGAGTATTGAGGGAACTTGGCAAAGAACAAAGACAAGAAAGCATAAACATCCTTACCGGCAGTAATGGTGTCAAGAACAGAGCCATCACCATTACTGAAGCCAGCACCAATAGGTTGATCGAGGAAAATAACGGAAGCATTGGAGTTCCAACTGTGAGGATTATATTCGGGTTTCAAAGTAGTCAAATTGATACGAGAAGGTCCTAATTCCATAAACAAACCAGTCATGGAAGAGCAACCTGGACCACCGTTCAACCATAAAACTATGGGATCATTCACAGGATCATTACGAGATTCAAAGAACCAGAAGAAAAGATGTCTATCATCATCAACATCAAGGTAACCAGTGTATTGCTTAACAGTATCAATACCAAGGGACTCCGGATTTGATTTCTTAATACGCAATGTGTGATCCGGGAAAGCTTTCATGTTGACATGTTCGCCGTTTTCTTGTTCGACAAAGACAGCACCTTCTTTTTCCTTACTTCCCTTTGTGTAATCGAACTCAGGAGAGGAAGAAGGTTGTTGGATAGCAGCCTTAGGGTCAATGCCAGCAGCATTAAGCATTTCGAGATAAGCAAATTGTTCAGGAGTAAGATCGTTCAAATCCCAATTACTCTCTTCCTCATATTTTGGCTTCCTGTTTTCTTCACGGACATCTTTCGCAATATGAACGGGCATGTTACCAAAATATTCAATGTCAAGGGCGTCTAAGAAGCTGGCAAACTCATCAGCAATATTTTCAGCATTGTTCTGCATAAGCTCGCCAAAAGCTTCTAGAACGAGGATATCGCGTTGGGTGCCATCAAATTCATTATCCTCTGTTTTTGGACCCTTTTTCTCCTCTTTAGCTTTGTGATGTTTCATTTTGGCATCCTTGCTCTTCTTTGGAGGAGGGGAAGGGAAAAACTCATCGTCGGAACCTGGCCCTTCATGATGGCCCTTCTTTGGAGGAGGGGAAGGGAAAAACTCATCATCGGAACCTGGCCCTTCATGATGGCCTTTCTTTGGGAGAGGGGGAGGGAAAACCTCATCGTCAGAACCCGGCCCTTTATGATGGCCCTTCTTCTTATGACAAGGCTTCTTATGTTTGAAATCTTTCTTATGGTCACGATCTTTGGGTTTCTCTTCAGGATCATTAAGGTAAGAAGCATCATCACCCACCTTAGAGCCCTTGTCATTTGCTTTACGACCTTTGCAGGGGCAGTGTTTGTTCTTCTTGCCTTTCATCTCCTTCTGCTTGATAGCGGACTCCGCTCGGTCAAGCTCATCTTCGGCGTCTTCGAACATTTCGTCAACGCGATAAGCCACGTCCTGAATCAAGTCCAAGGCTGGTCGGAAAATATTTCCTATCTTATCCTTTACCGAAGGATTGTTAGTTCCTTCTGTAGACGGGACAAGAACAGGATTCAAGTATCCTCCATCTTCAGGTTTAGGTATATCGGCGGCATGGACTTCACCATATTTTTCATCGACAACAGCTATGTCTCCACCATCTTGTTCATAATCAATTCTACCCATGTACTGAGCAGAAACTGCACATGTAAGTAAAAAATAGAGGAAAGATTGTTGAAGTTGCATGGTCGCAAAATTGATAAAGATTAATCAGTAAAGCGGAAATAAAAAAAATAAAAAGAATGTATCTAAATGTAGTGTTCCTTAAATCAGAGAACCACCAATTGAAGCTTGTAAAGAAAGCAGATAGAGAACCTCTTAATGGAACTCAAAAACTTCCTTCTGTACTTGAACTACAATTTAGTTTACAAGACGTTTGCTTACTTGGTGAATGGTAGAAGGTAAGTTCAATAGACCGGAGTAGGAGCAGTTAAGTTTGATAAGCCGCAATGACGCCAACAGCATACAAGGAACCATCATCATGCGATAGGTGATACCTGCGTTACTGTATGCAAAGTATGATAGCAAACTTCTTTCAGTTACCGAAAACAGTTAACGAAGGAAATAAAGGACGTAAAATTTTATCAGATGTAAACAAAAAGAAAACATAAGCAAGTTAAAGTATCTAGTCGCATGATGAACGTAAGAGATTTTCATTCAATAGAAAAAGATGAGAGCATCTGCACCCTTGGTGTGCAATATGGTTGTTGCAAGAGATGTCCCTAAAGAAGAAAAATTATGCGATTGTACGCGTTCCAAAAATACATCTATTTTATTTATGAACCTTCATTAATTAAGAAGCAAATGAACTTTCGCTCATCCACATAGAAAAACAATTGGTGAAAAATAGAATCCGATGCCGGCTTGCACTCTAAGCTTTTTGTGAGCAAGAGTAACAAAAATAATAAAAAACATTGGAATACAAAATCAACAAACAACGATGGATGGATTTCCTATGCGTTTTTATTCTAAAAGTTGCAGTTCAGCAGTTCACTTAATAAGGAAAACTACAAGGATAATCAGTAGGCGACATTAGAAGATCCAATATTGAGAACATCCATTTCTATTTTCTAAACAACTGGCTTGTTTGTCTTAATGTATTCTTGGGCTTGGAACAGTAGCCACTGCTTATCGTGAGGAACTAGACAGTGTCAGCAAGAATATTTGAGAGAACAGTAAAATTCGCAAACAGTAGATGCTGAAGCTTTCACTTACTATAAGCACGGAAATGACGGTCGTACACCAGAGGCACACAATCGTAAATATCGTCAAAAAATGTGTAGAAACGAGAGATATCCATTGGTTCTCTGTTTGGATGTTCTAAAATAATTTTAACGTTAGTTCTGTACAACACCGTTTCCATTAATTTCTGACTGAGGAGAATTTACCTTGACCAGTAGAATAGACGCCAATTATATCTACGGATATGTTAGCACAAGTCAATAAGTAAAGAATTATAGAACTGGCAGTATCTTCTGTTTACGTACATTCAATGGCCGATCGTACACTGCAATGGTCACTCCAAATACGAGTTTTGGGATCAGACTATACCAATGGAAATGTTAGCAACAGTTGCGCAAAACGGTAGTAAAAAAGGAAACGACTATTCACATTACACCTTCCTGAATTAATAAAATGCTAATATAATGGGGTTAATACAGGTCTGTATCTTACTCTTAGTGATCTTGTACAAGCAATCCATCACTAATTCGGTTCTAGAAGGAAAATAAAACATACATATGCATCTCAGATGGAGGAGGAGTCATTTTGGATGCTGCGTTATAACCTAATAAAGGACAGAGGAGCAATGGAAAGGATTATCAAGAGTTGCTATTCGATGTCTGCGAGTGATAAATTTTGCTGACCTTTAAATATTTTTAAATAGAAAAAAGGATATTACAAAAGCTGATATGCAGTTTTTGGAGGGTGTCTCAAGTCTAAATCTAACAGTAACTGTTTTGCAGAGTCGCTGAGGAAATTGTATAGTGCGATCCTCCAGACTTGCCCTTGTCCTTTGCACCATCCCAATTTATCTAGGAAAAATAGAGAAATATATTTAAACTGTTTCTCTTATAATTCAGGTAGTGTTTAACACCATAATTTCTATAAAGCTAGCCTTTTTTGTGTCTTTTGTCAGATCCTAAGGGTTTTTTACATCCTGTCCTAATGTTTGGTTTCAAAGGAGCTCATAGAGTCTCGCATTTGCCCAATTGTTTTTCTTATGCTCTTCCATTGAGAATCGCTAAGCGTTCTTACCAAAGTGCGACCTTTGAAACTCGCCCTCCAATTTCTGGTAAAAAGGCTCAAATCTTGAAGCATGCTTTGGAACATGTCCCACAATTAGGCTTTTCCGAAAAAGCAATCACAATAGGTGGTCGCTCGCTTGGATATAGCAATCTTCCTAAAGCTCTCTTTCCCTCAGGTCCAATGGATCTCATCTCGTATTTCTTATTACAGCAACGTTACGCTTTAAGGGAACAGAAATCTCACCTTACAATTTTGCCTAGTACTACAGAAAAAGTAACACATTTAATCTGGTCTCGTCTTCAAGCCAATCGTGATATTTTGGAGCACTTACCACATATGATTGCAACCTGCGTAACTCCTTCCAATCTTCCCTCATCTGTAAAATCCTTAGCATATCTTTCGGATGAGATCCTTTACCTTGCTCAGGACAAGTCTGCTGACTTTCATTGGTACACAAAGCGCGCTGCTGTGTCAGCCATCTACAGTGCCTCCGAACTGTTTATGACGAAAGATAATTCACCCAATTTCCAAGCTACTTATGATTTTGTTCAACATAGAGTTCAACATGCAAAGGCCTTGAACAATATTCGGGAAGATATTTTGGAATGGGGTTCCTTTCAACTGAATGCCATTCGATCAATCCTTCGTTCTCGAGGTATTTGATTCTGGCCTTAATACAATGCCGGATAAGTTTTACAATCTTTTGAAAGTCATAAGAAACAAAAAATTTTTTATTGTCAGTAGATATTGTGTTTATGATTTTATTTCTCTAGTGAATGAAGTAAATCCTAATGAAATATATTCACAACGAGCTCTTCTCTTCAGCTTCAGGTATTTCAGCTTTTAGTTCTTCTGTTTGGTATTGAAGTTATTTAAACGATTACCAGAGTCGTATATTTTTGTATTTCACCGCAAGCTTACTTCCCATCCTACTACTCCCTTTGCAATTTTCGAGTGCAGATAAAGGTAACAGTTACTTTAGTACAACAATAATGAATTGGATTTATAAAAAAACCGATTCTATTTTAAACGCAGTAAATAATTCATTTTATTCTTTATAATTTGTATTTTGTAGACCATTTTATCAGTCTCTTTAGTTTGCATCTCTATCATACGGCTCTAACCCATTTTGGAGAAATTGGCAATTGTCTATACAGGCACATATATACAACTACAGCAAATCCGACATTAAGCTTCTTTCCAAATGGGTTTACCACTACATATACTTCGAAATCCTTCTCTAATATCCTCTTACTTTTCTGTGAACAAAAGTAGTTCTTGGGCATCCGTTCTTTTAAAGGCCGTCGGTGTACTTTCACGAGATTCCAGATGGCATGCAGATCTTTTAAATGTTTTGACTGAGGAAATGGAATCCCTAAATAAGCAACTAAATGCTTGGACGGGGAATAATCCGCTATTGGACCGAATTACTGAACCCTACAGACGTTCAAACACTCAGTTTTTCCATCCGCTTTTAGTTTTATTAATGTCACGAGCTTCCAGGATCGAAGGAGATACAAGTCAACAGATGTTTCAAAGATACAAACAGTTATCACGTGTCACAGAACTAATTCATGCCGCGAATCTTATACATATCAATATCCGAGAAGACCAAAGCACCGAAGAGCTCAAACTAGCAACATTGGTTGGTGATTATTTATTAGGAAAAGCTTCTGTTGATCTTTCTCATCTAGAAAGTAGTGCCGTTACAGAGCTTATGGCCTCTGTTATTGCAAACTTGGTGGAGGGACATTTCATGAAACCAAAATCTCACGCGAATTCCCAAAGTGAACGGATGCTTTTGCTTCAATCTGCATTCCTTCCTGCGAAGGCTTGCTTATCTGCTAGCATCTTGAACAATGCTTCCGCTTATATGAATAAAGCTTGTTTTACTTACGGCAGGTACCTGGGTTTGTCTATGCACGTAGCACATGAAGACCTCTCGGAGAGCATAGAGGATAAAACCAAGAAAAAAGAATTACTGAATGGCTATAGAAAAAATGCAAAGGATGCATTGACTGTTTTCCCAGATGTGGAAGCCAAGCAAGCACTAAGAGAGATTGCCGAAAGAATATCAATTGCTTAGCAAATGACCATGGAATGTACTTTGTATGGTATTGGATGTTGTCATGAATGATGAAAACGATCATTAAAAAAGAGTTCCTTTCATTCAAGGTTTTTTTGCCTCGCACAAAAAAAAATTCGAGTTAAATTTAAAAGAAATTTAAAATTTTTGATTGCTGAAAGTTATAACCATGAAATATCTCTAATTCTAATTTGGTACACAATAGATAACGTCCAAGGATGCTATGTATTCTGACCCATGGCATCTCCGATTGAAAGTGCAAAATTTTTTGGGTCCTTTTTTTCTCGTCTAGTGTTGTTATCTTTTCTAATACCTTCTTTTCGTTTGAGCTATCCGCATACCAAGTATCGAGAAAATCTGAAAATGATTTCAAATCAACGTGCCTCTGTTCTAACAGGTGAAATATCATCTAAACCGATGTTAACTTTTTTCCCTCTCTTATTCCATACCCAACGTAGAATCCCTGTCTTAGCCACAGCATATAGTTTCTTAGCCTCAGCATCCAAGTTGATTTCTTGGGCCAATCGCTCATCATCCTTATTGCTAGATGAAGTAGACAAATGAAAACATTCCGTTCTCTCGTTTTCAATGTATGATAACCTTTGTAAAGATCTACTAATAAGGTGCGTATCCCAAAGTATAAGCTGCGAGAGGGTCAAGTTCGAATCATCGTTCATGGATGGAATTGTACTCACTCCTAGAGCAAAACAATGATCGATAAAGGCTATGTTCATGAACAATGGAATTGGTACACGGTTTAAAGACTCACAGGTCCCCAAATTCTCTAGACAAGCTTTTCATGTTAATTTTATAAGCGTCATGAAAAAAGAGTTACCTTGTACGATCGGTGCATTTTCCTTGGTTTCTTGAAAATGATTTTCAGAAACAAAAAAAGCCTCTAGCGACTTTAAGGTAGCTGATACTTGACTATGATGTTGCATGCTTCCTATTATTTTTCTTTGCGTTCATAAAATCCTTATAGAACAAAATTTTATTCTTTCTTCCTTTTACTTTTCAAAATTGAGGAAAACCATGGAATCCAGTTTTCTCGTTAACCAAAAAGCATTTCTTCCTACAAATAGGGTTTCCTTCATAGTAACAGTTTTCCATGGGGTTGCTTCATTACAAGTAGAAAATGGAACAATCTATAAACTCTGTTAAAAAAATCAAAAGAATGGTAATAAAAATGAAATGAAAGGCATTCATATATTTCTTTTTAGAAAATGAGTAACTGGAACTTCCCTGTTTTATGAGATTCTTGTCTCTGTATTAAAATGTGAAAACAAACGGTAGAAGGGATGTAGTTTCCGTTTTCAGTACTTCCTTTCCAAGCTCCTTGTCGTTCACTTTACTCCATGAAAACCCCCAAGTTTTCCTTTTCCATTCGATACGTATGAATCTTGTTTCTTTGTTTACATTTTAAAGGATTATAAGTAGGTATACAGAACAGTGGTCGATTGCACTAGTAAACAATCTAGAGATATTTATGCAGTTTACGAAAACGATCGTTTTCATTTTTTCGTGTTATTTACAACGATCAAACACACAAATGAATTCATTTCTTTGAATTTGACTCTTTTCTAGGGATCGAAAATCGAAAATCGAAAATCTGGTAAAGAAGTGTCATTTCATGAGAAATATCTTTTCAATAAAAACCCATCTTTCTAGAGGAAACAATTTTCCATTCGAAGGTATTCAAGTTTGTTCTCTTAGTTGAACTTTTTTCTTCTATTGCAATTTGCAATTTGACATTGATAATTATTTGATCTATTTTTGTCATTAAGAAATGTTTGCTCTACATTTGATTAGTTTCCTTTTTTTCTCTCAATAACCAGATGTTTCTATCATTAGCTATGTTTAATTCTATGTTTATTTATTTGCTTTTAATCAAATGTGCCTTTCTTTTGACGCGAATAACCCAATCATCCATTCCATCCAATTTTGTTTACATCTTACATAAACAGACGATTGCAAAACATTTTTGTGTAGACCCAGATTTTCAAGCTGTTTGTTTTCGTTTCTTTCTCTGTAAATACTTTCACATGAAAACCTCTTTTTCCAACCTTTCAAGATTGGTTTTTTTATATGGAATAAACTAAGAAATCGTCTTCTCGGTGTTCTTCGGAGAATTGCGGTAACTGAACCCATTGATACTCACCTAGAGAACACCACACAGTAAGCATCATAGAAAAGGTAGAGAAAGCGCTGGAAACAGCAGAAACTTGTTGTTTTTATTTATTTATTGGAAAATTCCTATTTAAAAAAACCACGTTAAAAGGTTTTTTACGTGACTGGCAAACGAAGAAACGAATTGGAACCTTTGGAAAGGGGGCAGCGATACAAACTGCAAGAAACTAGAGCTTCGTTTGTGGGAACATCGGGATAAGTACTTTTAAAATATTAATCATCTTGTTTACTTATGTTTCATTGAAATCCTGATGAAAATTGACTCAAACAACTTTATCCCTTCCAAATCCATACCGAAAGAAACAGTTTCTACTCATGAAGAAAAACCGGAGACGCTAATTCGTGGCGAAAAGCATTCCGCTTCCAACTCCTCTCATTCTCAGTTTGGAGATCAAGCAGAAGGAAAAATCCTTTCTCGTTCTAGCTTGGATTGCCCTCCTAAGATCGCTGATATGCATTCGCTGCAATTGTTTACAGAAACAAAAGTATTTGAAGATTCTACAGAGCCTTCCGTTCCTCAAACTGCAACTTCGACTAGTTCCTTTTCGTATGATAGCCCATCTTCTTTCGATGCAGGAGCTCTAGAAAGCAACATCGCAGCATCAGCTGAAGCAACTTCTCCTAAAAACCCAGCTCCTCAAACCACAGATCACAGATCGACCCTTCCGAATCGACGTTTGCACCCCGAAACCCCCTCCTCCAGGAATGACTCAGGTGCCAAACGCAGTGATGATCGTAAAGCCAGTTTGTCGAACTCGGCTTTGGATGAAATTCCTCCTGATATTGGCTCGGCTAGTTGGGCAGAGGCTGTGAAACAAAAGCGATTGAACATGAGACGCCGGCGCGAGGAATTGGACGACGATTGCGTTTTAGTAGGAACACGTGTTTCAGAAGGCCACGAAAATTACGTTACTGCGTATAACATGCTCACAGGTATTCGTGTAGGGGTTTCTCGATGCCAAGCCAAAATGGATCGTGCTCTGACCCCGGCCGACTTTACTGCTCGACACAAATATACCTTTGACATAACCGGTAACGAGTTGACTCCTTCCGCAAGGTACGATTTCAAATTTAAAGACTATGCTCCTTGGGTATTTCGCCATTTACGACAGCTCTTCCATTTAGATGCCGCGGATTATCTCGTCTCGCTTACTAGTAAATACATTCTCTCCGAACTTGATTCTCCTGGAAAGAGTGGTTCTTTCTTCTACTTTTCACGCGACTATCGCTTCATTATCAAAACTATCCACCGTTCCGAACATAAATTTTTACGAGAAATTCTTTATGATTATTATGAGCATGTCAAAAATAATCCGAACACGTTGATCTCACAGTTTTATGGCTTACACAGAGTGAAACTTCCTTTTGGACGCAAAATTCATTTTGTGGTCATGAATAATCTCTTTCCTCCCCATCGTGACATACATCAAACATTTGATTTGAAAGGTTCGACGCTGGGACGCGAACTAAATGAAGATTTACCATCTCAGAACCCCATGTGCACTATGAAGGATTCGAATTGGTTAAGAAGAGATATGCATTTACAGTTTGGACCTTTAAAACGTCAGATATTTTTAACTCAGGTTAAAGCTGACATCGATTTGCTTTCTTCTTTGGGTATTATGGACTACAGTCTTTTAGTAGGTATTCATGATCTTACTCGCGGAAATCGGGATAAAATTCGAAATAGCATATTATCCGTATATGATCCCAATGTATCACAACACCAAGTTCCGTCTGCAGGCGTCGGTGAATCAAATGCTCACGTTCTTAGGCAAGTCGTGAATAGCACTGGACCGGTTTCATTGGATAGATCATGCAATCGTCTTCCCAGCAACCAATTTATGGAGTATGTATACTTGCCAAAATTTTTATTAACTGTTTGTTAGGAGAAGTAACTTTATGTTCTATAGTGATGATGGAGGGTTTCAAGCTACCAATGAAAATAACCAACCTGCCAATCATATTTTTTATATCGGTATTATTGATTTACTTACAAAGGTTCGTTCATCTAAGCCTTTATTTTCGTTTATTAACTATCTCTAGTATTCCTACGTAAAAAAAGCTGAACATTTATGGAAAGGAATCAATCATTCTGAGTCAGCAATCTCAGCCGTTCCCCCGGCTGAATATGCAAACCGGTTTTACAAGTTTATTGAGTCTGGCATCAAGCCAGATCATCTAACTTTAAAACCTATTCCTATGTTCAAACATCAGAACGATAACGTTGTTCTTGTAAGCAATCACCAAAATGGAAACGACATTAACAAAACCGATGATTCTCCTACCAAACCAAAAAGTAAGATTGGAGACGGTAATCTCAATTCTGAACAAAGTCCTTTACCAAAAAAATCCTCAGCCCCGATTCAGATGGCATCAGCTTCCCCTAAACGGTTTCCTTTTATACGAACCAATGTAACTGGCAACAGTTTATCACCCTCTAAGTAATAGTAATTTTGAAGTGCGATCAACTATTTTAATGCATTGAGACGTTTATGCTTTGTTCTTGTATATAATCATTAATCTATCATTTCGTTATTTCTAGGATAAAAAGAGCAAGTTTTTAATATATTATATAGACGTTAATGTTTTTTATTCAACTAACAGATCACTAAAGAGAACTTTTTTATAACATCGAACTTAAATTCACAAATTTGAACTGAGTAGGAATCATCATAAACACCGATAATAACTTAGTACTATTAATAAGGTCCTTTTATAGCTGATATTAGAGACCTTCACAGAGCAAAACTCAATTCATTGCTAGTCCCTTCATATAATAAGAATAAATATTTGCTTTACTGAATTCATAATACCAGATTTGCTATTGTTCAGTCAGTAATGCTAGCAAGATCAGCAAGAAAGTCTACAACATTTTGAGCTTCAGGAATACACCAATCGGCTACCGTAAGCTTATGTGGAGAACCAACTGTAACAGTAAACGAGGATTTCTCATGGAAACGATTGCCATTTTTATGTAAAGAGCGAAACATATCCTCATCTGTTCTATCATCGCCAGCGCAAAAAATAAAAGATGGGATAGAATCATCAGAGAAAGAAGACAGAATCTGTTTAACAATACCACCTTTATTTATACTTGAGGGTCGTACTTCAATGTTCGCTTTACCTCTCATGATTTCAACATCATACTTCGAGCAGACCATCTCTTCAATTAATGCTTCACATTCAAGTGCTTGGAACGATCCATTTTCAGGATCAGCTTTGCGATAATGCCAAGTCATACCACAACGCTTTTCTTCAATAAAGGAACCTTGGGTACGATCAGTAAAATATTGAAAAATCCGTTTAACATCTTCCTTCCAAGACAAGTCAAGCAATTCTGCCAAGTTCGTCCATTCATCGCTGTGAGGCTTACGAACAAAACTGCCATGCTCAGCAGAAAGACCAAGGCCTTTAATGTCGTTCATATACTGTCGCAGGAACTGTTGATCACGACCAGAAATAATCCATACCTGATTTCGTTCATCAACGGCAAGCTTTTTGAGACTATCTAATAACTTCTCGGATGGTATAGCCGCATTTGGGTCTCGAACAATAGGAGTCAAGGTACCGTCGTAATCTAACATGAACAAACGACGAGAAGCCGCTTTGTATAAAGAGATAGCATTATCAGAAACCAAGACTGGTGTCAGCTGACCAGATTTTGCCGCAGCTAATTTATTAGCCAAAGTACGAATTAATGAAGAGGTCCATGCCTGCATCGTATGAGTTGTGACCTGCTTATAAGACTCGTGTTGAATATTTTTTCTCTGCTCAACAGACATATTTAAGACTTCATTTATGGTATCTGCAGTCTCATTATGATCCCACGGGTTAATTAGAGGAACGTCGTGCAACAACGCGGACGTAGCTGTAAATTCTGACAGCATTACTACACCATAGCGATCTCTTTGGCAGACAACATACTCCAATGCAATATTGCTAATGCCCTCACGAATGCTATTAATGAAGAGAGAGTCGGCAAACGTGAGAAGAGCAAAAAAATCAACAGCTTCTATCTGATCTTCATAATAAATAATTGGAGCATAATTCTCGGAGCCATAAAGAGAGTTTGTTTGATCAATAAGCCTATGAATATGAGAAGAGAGCTTTGGATGACGGAAAGCCGAAGAAATCGTGATTTGAACTAAAACAACTTTGCCACGCCACTGTGGATATTGCCTTAAAAAGCGCTGAAATGAAAGAATTTTTTGAGGGACACCATAGATTTCGTCTAAACGATCGCGACCTACAATAACTTTCATACCCGCAAATTTCGACGTGAGCTCTTCAACTTTTGCTGAAACAGCAGCATTGCCACTTGATCGAATAATTCGTGGAACATCAATTCCTACAGTAAGAGGACGAATTATAACTCGTTTGGAATCATAGGCAACCCAATCATGTCCACTTTCTAAACCTATAACACGGCTACAGCAGCTGATAAAATGGCGAGCGTAAGAATAATCCTCGAATCCAACAAAATCAGAATTTAATAAAGCATGAAGGATGGCATTACGTCTAGGGAAGCACCTTGCAATTTCAGAGCTTGGGAAGGGGTGATGATGATAAAAGGCAATGACAGCATCAGAGAGTTTTTCGCGCAAAAACTTGGGAACAAGAAAGAGAGAATAATCCTGTATGAAAATTAAATCACCTGGGGTATACGACTCATATATTTTCTCCGCAAAGGCTTTATTCATGGTGACATAGTCGTTCCACCATTGCTCTTCGTTCTCATCCACTTCTGTGCTGGGCCAATATTTATAATGGATTAAGGGACGAATCACATTTTCAGCATAAGCAAGCCAGCGAGATTGAGAAGAACGGCTCTCACAAAGGACAACTTCTTCGTCATCTTCTCCTTTACTCAAAGAATTAGTAAGCCAAACTGGGACATCCTCAGTACGCTTGTCAGAATTCCATTCTTTATAGGCATTTTCAAAATTTTTCAAATCTTTTTTAGTAAGTTTCGTTACAGGCTCCGCATTCTCCTCATTCGAGTCATCAGACACCGTCGGGATCGCACCCGTCCATCCCACAAGTTTCGTCTTCCAATAAGTGGAGTTTGCAAGCCAATTCATGCTGGAATACATCGTCGTGGCTCCTCGGCGGCCTTTGAATTCCCATGTACGATTTTTTCCATGAATAGTTGATTTGAACGGTAAATGCCGTAACACATAAATGATGCGTCCGCTAACTCCTAAACTTTTCAATTCTTGAGGATCCAGTAAGTCGCCAGATAATTCGTATACATTTTCGCGTTTGAAATTACTGGGTGAATTCGATACGTGAGGGTTCATTGGTTTTCTACGCTCCTTTTGCTTTGTAAGAAACGTCCCAAATTTGTAAAAGTTACTTTCAAATTGTTTTTCTTAACTTCAAAGGCTTAAAAATACCCTTTTTTTCTACAATGAAGGTTGTTTATGTCGTTGGTTTAGGGAGGATTAAATAATCGCATAGCCGTATGTCACTTTACACCGAAATACCATACCCCGCTTCACGTCACCTCTAAACCAGTTCGTAAAAATTGAAGGATCGAGAATTGGAAGAAAAGAAAATCTTTTCTTTTCTCATCCTTTGTAATTCTTTTATTCGGTTTTTTTTCGCTTGCCGTATTCAATGAAAGTTCTTTTTCGTGTAAAAAAAAAATTCTTTTCACAGTATAGTTATTGTATAGGTATTTGTTTGATTGTTTACTGATATAGTTTTTTCAGTTATCATATCTTTCTCAATTACTTAAGTCTCTTGGATATTTGGGCTTTAGTATGACTTTTATTTTCTATGCACTTGAATCTAGAAAGAAAGTAAACTATGAATAACGAAAGATGTAACCAATAAACTATGTACACTAGAAAATTATAGAGATTAAAAGTAAACACACCACTTGACGAAATGGCAATAAAAATAAAACATGAAGTATCCAATAAATTCATCAGACTTCTCCAGTAATGCAACTAGCACTTTGTAAGAAAAAATATATAAAATGGTAATAAATCCAACCATGAAAGATGTATGCCCGTCACCATGTATGCCCAATGCTAGATAAAAGATTTCAATTATCATGAAAAGAAAGTATACAAACAAAAGTCCTGCTTGCATTTTTCAAAAAAATGCTGAAAATAATCATGTAATCATGATAAATGGGTATCCTTGGGTATCAATTGAAATGATAATAAAATATGACTCTCAATATTTTGAAGCAAATCTTGTATGGCCAGCATACAAGAAATAAATTCAGCCAAAGCTTCAACTCATTCCTTATGAAATTAATCTTACAAAAGGACAATCATCGACATTAAGATGAGAAGAAGGGAAGCATAGCTAATGCTTACTGTACCAGAGGCACCACTAGGAACGCTCCTTGAATTACTGTTTCCAGATGAGGATATCGATTTAGAAGATGATACCACCGAGGTATGCAAAGATTGAGTAGAGGAAGCACTACCGGCATCTTGGCCTGCAGAGGAGGTAGTGTCAGAAGGATCGGCATAAGTGGCATCAGAAGGTCTAGGAGCAGCAGAAGGTAAAGCCACTGTAGGAGTAGAAGAGATAGGGATGTAACTAGGGGTAGTTACGGTTACGGTAGTAAAGGCAGAACAACCAGTACCGTTGTTTTGACTAGTAACAGTGGAAACAGAAACCGAGCTATCAGAAGTCAAGGGAGTAGAAGTCAAGGAAGAATTCGTCACGATGGAGGAGTTTGTGAAGCGAGGGACAGCGGTAGAACTCACAGAGGAAGGAGCGGAAGTGACAGAAGAATTAGTAAAGTGAGGAAGAGAGGTCTTGTTAGCGGAAGATGTGGGGATAGAAGAGAAAGAATTGGTATAGATAGGAGTAGATGTAACATTGGAATAAGAAGTAGTCATGGATGAGGAGACATTTGCGGAAGAATTGATAGCAACAGCGGTGTTCGTGAAAGCGGGCAGAGAGCTGGTAAAGCTAGGAGTAGATGTAACATTGGAATAAGAAGCAACCACGGGTGAGGAGACACTTGGGGAAGAAACAGTGGTGTTTTTAGAAGGCACCGAACTAGAGGTATTGGTATAACTAGGAACGGATGTAACTGATGCGAGCGAAGTGGAATTTGAGTTATAAGGGACGGACGTAACAGTATGTTTAAAAGAGGTAGTAGAAGCCACGAATGAGCTTGTAGGATGAACAGTTAGAGAGCTAGTATTGGTAAAATAAGGACCGTCACTCATGGAACTGCTAGTAGAAGCACCGCTAGCACCAATACTGGTGACACTAGTGAACATACTAGTGGATTTGGAAACAGTGGATGACTGACCAGGGTTAGGAATCATGGTCCAGTTGCCAGTGCTTGAGGTATTACTACCTAATTTCTGAAGTAAAGGAGCACGCAAGGTATTATCATCGAGAGAACCCGTTGATTCTTCCTTACTCATTACAGTAAAATGGGGAGATTGGGCATAAATAACGGTACTGTTAAGAATAGACACAAGGTTTACTTGATATCCTGAGCCAGGCGTAAGCTCAAGAGGAGGAAGAGTGGCACTCTCGTTGAACGTGTCAACAGTCATTGCATATTTACTAGTAGCAGGGTAAACTTTTTCGTTTACAACGTAAACATGCGCTTGCAATGGGTCTGTATCAACGACAGACCATTGCAAAGCCTCTGAATTACCAGAAAGCCAAATAGAATGATTGGAAGGCTTGTTAACAGCCATACCAGAACATAAACGCAGCAAAGTAAGCGCAGTAGCGATTAACGTAATATGTCTCATATTTTTAAAAAATAAACTTGTTGCTAGTAGGGGATAGAGGGTATAAAGTTATCTTAATATCGACAAATAGGAACGCCGAATGAATAGAGCAACTTTCTCTAATAAGCAATGTATACGGGTTTGGACAAGGGTATCTTATAAATAGAGGGAAACGTAATTTATAGTCTTCCAAAAAAAGTAAACAATAACAAGAGACCCAAAAAGTAAACAAATCCTAGCTACATTAGGGACTGTAACAAGTCTTTTATAGTTTCCGTAAATTGTGTTACGAAATTCGCAAAATTAGGTTACCATGGTAACCAAAGTGTGCTGGTAGTAAACAAGCAATAAAACAGTATAGACAAACCACATTTATGACGTTTTAGTAAATAAACAGTGGAATATCATGCGAAACGAACCAAAAACAAAAGGAAAACTTGAAGGATGGCTGAAAAACGGTTTCGATTACACTTAGACATAGTCCATGAGGCTGGATGTACAAACAGTTGAATACCGACAAATTCAAATAGAGTGCATAAAAATATTTATTTTGAAATTAAATTTAGGATATTTAATTCGCCTTTAAATTAAGGATATTAGTAGAAGACGTAAAACCGTAAGAACACAGGTAGAAATATGAAGAGCCCACCAAATGTAGGAAGGGCCTGCAAAGGTGCGAGTAAAAGTCATATCCAAAAAAGGCCCGAATGCTTTTGTTTCACTGTACACAAAATCTTTTACCGAGAAGGGGAGAATCGAAAGGAGGTTACAGAATTTTGCGTGCAGATTTCTGCGAAAAGAAGGGATACCCCTTAAAGTCAACTCCACAAAACCGATATTCCCTCCAAAAAACCCCATGACACTCGGCAAAGTATGTTCAATTACCCCGTTAGGGTGATTATAGTCGCAACCCATATGATCGTGCCCTGAAAGGATCAAGGCGATACTAGGGAATAAATGAAAGATATGTTGCGTTGCCTCAAAAGAGATATGATTCTGCAAACGGACTCGATTGTTGTCTGAACGAGAAATAAAAGGGCTATCGACACAAGCACCTGCTGGTTTATAAAATGGAATATGAGTTAAAAGGATAGTGGGGATCTGCGGCTGTAGGGCTTGCTCATAGAGAAACGTCCATACATCAACGGCTTCCCTTGAGAGAGGAAGGATCCCAGAGCATGAAAGACTATTGCAAGATCGAAACTTTGAGGCCATCTCAGGATAAAATTGAACGTTATCCAGAGCTAAACTATTAATACCAAGAATGCGTACTGGGGAACCAGCAACAGAGACTTTCGTAACCCAATTCAATGGCCCGAAAGAAGAATTCCACTTTTGGGTCTGCGCTTCAGATAGCTCATACCCATAACCGACATCATGATTCCCTGGTACTGTCCACACGGGAATTTCATTGACTTGAGGAGAGGATACAGCTGCTTCGTTGATATTGAATGTTGCGGCCCCTGTAATACGTTTTAATCTTTCAATACGATTTTGAAACTCCGTAACGTCTAAATGCTGGAAACTCACAAGATCACCCAAAAGAACCATAGCGTCGGGCTTTCCCCAAAACTTGTTCGTTTGAACCAAGTGTCGCAAATATAGATCATTCCCTAAAAGATCAACTGTACCTTTAAAAAATCCATTGGCCTCGACCTTATGGTTACCTTCAATTTGTGGGTCGGCAACCCCCATAATTGTGAATGAACCATTCGAGTCGGATGGTCCGATTCCAAAAGAAGAAAAGATCCCAAACCAAACGGGATAAGCATAGTAAGCTGCCAATAATACCAAGGAAATATATTGAAATATACCTATAGTCTTGCTAACCCAAACAAAAAACTGTCGAATTGAAATTGAAGACGCCATTTTTCAAGTTCTAATATTATTGTTTTTCCACCAAAACACCAAATTATACTAAACGAATGACAAAAAAAATAAAAAACTGCTCTTTACAAGATCAAAGCAAAACTCATATATAGAAGAATGAGATCAAAGACCATGAACAAGTGAGTGTTAAATCAAAAGAAAAATTTGGCATAAACAAACCTTTTCATCAAAACTTGGAGTATGTACGTCTCTATGACTATTGAACAGTTAAACCGTTTTGAGTGTTGATTCACATACGCATCTTCGTGGTGAGTCTTATTATGAGCTATAATGAAAAACCGAATACTATTTAACGCCTTCCTAATGGTTTGTTATCCACCCTCAATGAAAGAGAAAATACTGCATTGATAAACAAATTATTTTTCACATAAACAAACTCTTCATTAATGGTTTATACGTTCTTTCACTTTTTTTGTAATTACAAAGTTACACGAGTGGATTTAGGATGCTTCAACGGATTTTTGTAATCTCTACTTTTTCATCCTTGTTTTATTTATTTCTTCCCCTAGTACAAGTGCATATAAATCCATGACCTGAGAAATGGTGTTTTTTTTTTTTTTCCTGATGAAAACAATTCTAAATAACAAATAACATACATAGATTTAGCTTCCAATAATGAATACTGATGCTTCGCGCTTTCGTTTTCAAGAAATGTTACTTGAATAAAAGCAGTCCTGCTACCTGTCGTAGAAAGACAAAAAATTTTAAAAAATAAACAAGCGCCAAACTTGGCAAATTATTCAATTCTTATCCCTCATTCCTCTTTCTTTTTGAACCATAATGTCTACCGATCGTATTCAATTTCTCCGCTCTAAATTGGCTCAATATCCCGATTTCCCTAAGAAGGGAATCCTTTTCGAAGATATCATGCCCATTTTCTCTGACCCAAAGTCCTTTGGCATCCTCATTGATTTGTTAGTCGAACTTATTCAAAAAGAATTTAAGGAAATTGATGTTGTTGTCGGTTTGGAAGCTCGTGGTTTCCTTTTCGGTCCTACTTTGGCTTTGCGTTTGAATGCTGGATTCGTCCCCGTCCGTAAACCCAACAAACTCCCTGGTGATTTAGCCACTATTACTTTCAAGAAGGAATACGATGAAGATGCTTTTGCTATGCAAAAATCCTCCATCAAGCCTGGCCAACGAGTCTTGATCGTTGACGACATCTTGGCTACTGGTGGTACTGCTTTGGCTGCCGATGAACTCATTTTGCAATTGAATGGTAGTTTGTTGGGTCACGTTTTCCTAATGGAATTGGGCTTTTTGGAAGGTCGTAAACGCCTTAAAGCTCCTACATTCACTCTTTTCAGTGGTCAATCTGAGGCTCCTAAGGGCAGCGAATTCGCTTAAACCATCTAAGCTTTCATATTTGTTTATTAAGGAATTTTCGGTGGTAATGGCTTCTTGTGGGTTTTTCAAATTTTCATAACACTGACCAGGTGCTCCTTGTGTTTTTGGATAGTAATTTTGCTTGTATACTAGATCTTGAAGAGCACTCTTTTCGCAATAGAACTATTGGTTTTAAGAGATTCTCCATGTAATTTTTTAACTGAAAATTATAGTATGCTCGTTGTAGATAATTTATCAGTCTTTTTATTATAGAGTCATACCTGAAACAAATAAATAAGCAGAGTAAAGTACTCAGTATTACCCATTTTTCCATTAGTATACTTTTTGTTCTTCTGAGCATGTTTCACACACATACAAGTTTTCAATTAAAGAGTTTTGAAAATAACAAGGCGCGTCTTTGTGAATCCTTTGCGCAGTCATGTTGTTCCATTGGAGAACATAACCTTGATTCATATCAAGGTGTACCGTTGGAGGCACATAAGGCTTAATCAAGCCGAAAAAGTAGGAAGAAGGCGAATCTCGCATCAGTTCAGTTTTGTTGACCTTGGAACCTTGATCCAATAGTAAGAGCATTCCAGCTTTTTGTGCATTTTTTGCTTGCTGCAGCCAACTGCAGTTACCTGTAGGAGCTATATAAGCCATATCCGACTTTAAAGATACAGGCAATTTGTCGCACAAACTGTAGTTCAAAGTTATCAACGGAAATTGAAATGGTTGCAGAAAAGATCCTTCATGAATATGAAGAAATTCGGAGTAAGCTTCTTCTCCCGTAGAAGAGACTATGTGCACAAAAGCGGTTGTCGCATACAGGGCATCTCTACTCATAAACATTGCGTAATTAGGGTCAGTCAAGTAGACCGTATCGTTCTTTTCTACCTTTTCCGCTCCAATTTTAAAAATACTGTAGTTTTCATTATCGATATATTTTATCAAGCGAATTCTGTTCCCGATCAATGTTGGAACGTATATGTCGTTCATGACACGTCTTGTTGGCTTAAATGGCGGTAATAAAACGTTTCCGTAAAGAACCTCTACGACATCTGCAATCATAGGTCTTGCGCAAATTCCATAAGGATCAATTAAATCCTCGGCAATTCCATCACAGTTGGACTCGACCATTTGAAAAATAAAGTCGAAATCTTCTCGGGACGCAACTTTAGAAAAAAATAAAGGCTGTATAGAATGGTCATCAGAATCTAACGTACATGTTCCCGGATGGCGATGTTGGTCAAAGTCAAGGGCTTCATGTGTTTGTCTATTGATGGGTAATAAATGGCCTTCGGTAGTAAAAAGAAAGTCTTGAAATTTTGAATGAAATATATTCTCTTCATCAAATAGTAAATACAGATATTTCAAGGTCTCGCTAAGGAAGAAACTCTCCATTCGGTCGGAACGTACACCTGTTTCAAGGTTGTCCAAGGAAGCAAATCCACATGACGTACGAAGATTTTTTTCTATATTGTTTAGAATCGTCTTTCCTACGTTCAAATAAAACGGATCTCGAGTGGCACGGTATAGATAATAAGTGGATTCAGCAAACTCCGGTCTCAATGGGTACCCTTGTAGTTCTATGGTCTTGGTATAAACGTTAAATCGTTCAGGAATCTGTCCATACTTTGAGTAAATTGAAAAATAGTATAGATGCGATTTCTTTGCAGATTCTAGTTCGCCAGCGAGGACTAGTAACCCGGGAAAGTATGCCCCCAATGAGTCAACCCAGTAACTTGCGGTGGTCCCACTATATGCATAAACGCTCTGATAGTAATGATTTTCTGTCGAAGACATAAATTGACGAATACTGCTCAAAGACTCTTCCCAGACAGCAAGAAATCGTACGTCATCAAGTAAGATGTACGATTTGAGAGCGTATTCATAAAAACTGTCAATCCCAGCGCCAATTCCTGAAACTGGATAAATCCATTTTCCACTCATTACATCAATGCTGTTTCCTAAAAGACCAATACTGCTTCTCCGATTCCATATGGCAAAAAAGGCATTTTCAGCTGCCTTTCGAAATTTCTGGTCTCCAGTAAGAATGCTCAGCATGGAGAATTCAAGCATGAGACTGGATGCTCCGGCAGAACAAGACTCGTTGGTCTCTTCAGGAGACACTCCTTTCATCAAATTTATCCTCGCAAAAGGGATTTCCGTAGGTGTCCGGAAGGCAGGCAAAAGACGCTCACCAAGTTCGGTTGCGAAATCCAATAACTCGTTATTATACCCGGGAAGTTGAAACCCGTACTCTGGGTTAGAAGCAAAGATATGACCAGACAATAGTCCTCCCAGAATCCTAATAGTAGCTTCAAATATTTGAACTTTCGTGTCAGTTTCAAAAGACAAATGTTGAATGATCCTTTGAATAGATTCATGAAAGCCTTGGCGATCATTCAAAACGATCAAGGTATCTATAGTATCTATCAGGGTTAAAAGGTAATTTCCACGAACATCATTGATGCCAAGATTAAGGGGATTTTTAAAGTCTGGTCCTAAACCTTTACAAGACAAGGGAGCTAGTTCGTCAAGCGGAAATGCCAAATTCAAATAATTGTCGTACCCATGATAAAACAACTCTCGAGTAAGTTCTCTAAAAAGGAGTAAATAGAAAATCCAAAACTTATTTATTTAATTTCTTTTATATAAAACCATACCTCAACTCGAGTAATTCAGTCGAGTTGACTCCATATCCAAGAATTCCCTCAAATAGCCATAAAAACGCAATAAACCATGTAGTACAGCTTAAAAAGAACATAGGTTTATTTCCTTAATTCAATGAATTGCTGGAAAAAATGGAAATCAACTGAATTTAGCAAACCATATAGAATATGGAATCAATATATCTGACACTTTCCTATACGTGTAGGCCACGAAAATTGAAAAATATTTCAATCAGAATATTAGAATAGGTTATTAGTAATCGACAACAATTTCCTTGTGGTTTTTGTAAGATGTTTTGGGTAAAGTGTTGTTGGATATACTTCATCTTGACGATTTGAAAACATAAAGAAGTTGACCTTAAACTTCTGCAGCATCTATACTATGAAATTATAAGCACGGCTCAACAAAGAAAACACCAAATAATTTATCTGAAAAGCTTGCAGCTTATTATGGTTGCCTTCGCATTGTTTACCATACGTAAGTGTTTATGGTTGATATTTACGAATGTCTCATTTTTTCAATAAAGTTCAATTCCAATTAAATCAGAAAAGAGAAACAAAATTCCGACGTAGAAACCGTTCGCTGAACAGCTATGGTACATTGAGTTTCCTTTTCCAGGTCTTTCGTTGTTTACAAACAGAATTGTGCCTACCACGACAAAACATTTCCTCCAGATGAACAAATTTTTTCTTTTTCATCCATGATAATCTCCTTACCCATCGTATGCATTTATTTATTTATTTTTATTTTTTCAAATTTTTTTACAGAATAATAATCCTTTGTTTGTGTACTTTCGTCGCTTCTTTATTTTTCTTCGTTTCTATTATATGAAAATAATATTACCGTAAAGAGGTATAATTCCTTTCCTTCTGAGACTTACAGCAAGCATTATTTACCAATAACCCACTTCCCAGAGTGTATAAATTTCCTTAGAAATCAAAGGAAAGTGGATTGTTTTTAAAGCTCTTTTTATACATTAGTTCACAGCATCATCTTTCTTTCAAGCTGTCGCGGGATAACTAAGTCAAACAGGATGGGAAAACCAGTAATCATCAAGGCTAAGAAAGATTATGATGGCGTATATGAGCCAGAGCGTATGAATTGGCTTCGATTGCAATACTATCGATACCAGGTTACCTTTGGCCCATACGTCTTTACTTCTCATGAAACATTTGTCTTCAATACTATTGTTTTACTTTTGCTTTTTCTAATCGGTTGGGCCGTTAAATCTATTCTTGTCAAATTGGCACCTCCTCTGTGGAATTTAGGATTGCATATACCTAGTGCTACATCGTATTTTTTCCAAAAGAATGCTTAGAGAAAAATGTAATGGCTCTATCTGATCATAATTATACCCAATCTGATAGAAAAACAGATACTCGAGGAGTTGAATGGCTTTCTTCGCTTTTTACTTACATTTCCTTATTCCCTGGTTTCGTTTCCCTTTTTCTCGCACTCAATGGCACTTCCCTGATCAGATTACTGGGCAGTCTATATAAAAGGTAAAGACATCCTATTTCTAAATCCATAACTTATTAAATTTAATTTTGAAATGATGCATACCTTATGAATCAATTTTGTCTTTAGACACTCTCAGCAGCTTTATTCATGAACTATGGGCGGTTTCATAATCATGGTCTCTTGAAAAAAGAAATCTGCTGGTGATAATTTCTTTCCGTGATGTTTGGCATAGATTATGTATTCTTCATATTTCAACTTCTACATCATTTGCTGGCTATAATAACATTCTTTCTACAAATGCACTACTTTTTTTTGCTAAACATTACAAATAGCAAAGTGAGTTAGAAAATTTTATACATTACTAGATACCAGAAGAATATAGAAAAGTAGGAAGAAAAATATTAAAGAGTGTAGGGTCCTTTGAAAGCGTGACCGTTTCGCATAGTTAATAAAATGATGAGACTTAAAAACGAGCAACGATTGTTATGCTAGGCGTCACCGCATGAAAGAGAGAGAAGAAATGAAAAAGAAAATAATGTTACCAGGAGATATGTTATGCCAAGCCAACCCGATTCATACATAAATGAACGCCATTTCAAATGGCCTGAAACTCAAAATTACATTGGACGTCGTCGAGCAGATCTTCTAGAAATAAGGGATGATTGAGCAAGATCCAACTGAAAAGAGTCTCTATCATCACTATTGGAAATATCGCTAAAGGGAAAACTGTTTCCTGCTTGTTCATCACCAGAATCTTCTTCAACAATTAGCTCCGCTACTGAGTTAGCTCTTGAAGGTTTGGATTTCTTATGGGCATGACTCATTGGAAAGTTTGAGCGACGAACGTCGTAAGCAACCATCATTGCATCACTCAATGTAGTAATGGAGGGTGATTTATGCATAGAAGCACTGGACAAACGGGAAATCATTGTTCTCCTTGGTCGCTCTTTTAAGTCAGATGTCATTCTGCCAGGTGAAGAAGATGTAGAATCTATAGAACGCGTATAGAATTTTGGCTTGTGGGATGGAACTGAAAGCATCTTCGGTTCACCGCGAATCCATGGATGTTGAAAAAATTGGTGGATATCATACCGTTCTCTTGGATCCACGGTAAGTAGATGAGCAACTAAATCCTTTGCAGATTCCGATATGTTATCCCACCAAGGAGATAGGAACTCAAATTCGCCTCTCACAACCTTGGACGCTAATACTCTAACATTATCATCAAAAAAAGGTGGAAACCCACACAACATCGTATGCAAAACACAGCCTAAAGCCCACATATCTACATTTTTTGAGTAAAGTTCGTCGTTAACAATTTCCGGCGCCGCATAACCCACAGTTCCGCAAGGAGTAGATGTTTTTGTGTTCCAAACAACTTTGCTAAAACCAAAATCACCAATCATAATTTTTCCAATACCACCTCCACCAACTCTGGGTATGAAGGCACCTTCATCACGCTTGTTTGGATCCAAAGGAGGCGCCTGGTAATTCTCTGAGGGATGATAATTAGTCGGCTTAAACAACACATTTTCAGGCTTGATGTCCCTATGAACGATACCGCATACATCATGAAGATGTTGTATCGCTTCTGCTATTTGGATAATGACATGCCTGGCTAGTTCTTCTGAAAAGTAAGTGAAATGAACAATCTTGTGAAATATTTCTCCTCCTTCAGCAAGTTCCAGAATAAGATAGAAGAAATCTTTCACTTCAATAAAATCCAATAGAGAAACAATATTTTTGTGATGAATTCTCCGCATTATGTTCACTTCCTTGTGTACACCGCTTTTCTAGTCCAAGTTAGCTGATTTTGATTCTACCGTTGATCCTGATGCTATAAAAATCATAGTCCATAATAGAAATTCTCCACATTATTCTCGATCAACTGTATAGCATCATCTAAAAACATATTCAATGGTCATACCTGTTTCGAATTCATTTCGTACTTGCGAATGACTTTGACGGCAACGTCTTCTTGAAGATCGAAGGAATACGCTTTATATACCTTGCTATAGGCTCCACTATATGTCACCGTTAATGCCCTGGCTCTTTTACACGACACCGAATAATCCACTTACTCTCCCAGCTTTTCCTTCACTTGAAACCTTTCAAGTCCAGGAAACTCCGTAGAATTAGAAGAAGGTTCATTTGTTTTATGACTTTGCTGGCTGACTGTACCACCGGACTTTTCCGAACCTGAAGTTTTACTGCCCTTCCTTCGTTCTTTAGACGATTTGACGGATTTTATGAATTTACGAAATCCCTAATACAATGCAGTTAGTTAATTGTTTATGATTTATTTTCTTACAGTCAAAATTGACATTCTGTCATTTGATATTTGTTGTTGGTAAGAGCGGACTTCAACCCATATTAAATCGGTCTTATTTCGACTGCTTCAATTATAACCAGAAAGGACCGCTAAACTCTTATAGATAAATCTATGAAACTCTTATTTTATTGATATGCGTGGATGACTGACAAGGATTTTTAACTGAGAGGATTAATTCAGCGTGACAAATAATTATATAAACAACGATTTTATAAATTGGATTCATTGCAACGATGACTTCGACTCGCTGGGAAACAGTAGTAAGCGCTGATACTCAAATACAGACCATACAAGCATTGGTGGAAGAGTACGACAAACTTGTAATAGCTACAAGGCCTGTTTGGAAAGAGCAGTTGCGATACGTGATTAGTTTGGGATTATTCCTAAAAAACCGTAAAGGAAATGCATGGTTGTATTTATTAATGCTCTGGAAAGTAATCTCAGCTTCGCTTTCTCAAAGCACAAACAGTCTAATTCGAAAAATTGAACGCGCAGGTAATGGGTTGTTCACTCTTATCGCCGTGCTTAAAGCTCTTCTTGCTTTTAATGGACAAAACACTTATACCAATATGTTTCAAAGTTCACTGAGTACTGAAAATATACTTCCAGACCTCGACACTCATCAAGAAGGCTCCACAGGTGCAAATGACCAAACAATTATCATGCGACAAATTGTTATGGGATTAATCGATGGGTTGTTTGAAACCCGATTGCCGGCAACCCTTTGGTCCAAGTACAAAGAACTTCGAAACACAACAAAAAAAATTTCCTGCCAGCCGAATGAATGTGCATTCTGTATTTTACGTGACGAGACCAACTCAGTCCTCACGAATCCATACAGTGCTAATTGCGGTCATACTTTCTGCTATGCTTGTGTTATGTCACGTAAAGAACTGATAGTCGATTTGAAATGCCCTATATGCCATGCCAAGATTCATCGTTGTACTCCAAGCACTCATTATGGCTAAACCACATTACCAACCTCTCTTTATTTAGTTATTGAATAATGATTTCGTTTCCATGTGTGTGTCCTAAATGCTTTTACCTATAAAGTACTCCAATCTCCGCATTTGTTTACTTTTACAGCTGCTATAGAATCCCACACTACTTTTAAAGATAGCTACTTGATTTCAGCTTATACGCACCGAAAATAGTCTTATTTAATTTCCGATAATCAAGGAAGTTATTTAGATAGAGCAGCTCAAAGAGAGCTTTCCGGCTCAACCTTTACCCTTTTACTTTTGGGAAGACATTTGCTTAAGCTTTTGCTTAACAATCTTTTGTTCCTCGATCAAAAAGGCACGAATAATACGATCCTTGACGGCATTGGCACTCAAGCAACCGCCATAAGCGCGTTGAACGGTCTTCTTGTTGTGTGGAAGACGAGCAAACTCACGAGGACGCAGAGCGGGAATACCTTGCAAAGGAACGCCTGTGTCACCGCAACGGGGGATGGTGCCAAGCTTCTTGATATGCAAATAGCGGACTTTGTTACCAGGAGTCTTGATAATTCTGGTCTTGTTGCTACGAGTGTTGTAAGCAAGGCGACGGCGGTAGGTAACTCGTTGAGCCATTTTGATCTTTTTTTCGTTTGTTCTGCGCAGGTTCTTTTTTGTACCTCCTGAGCAATTGTGTTGAGTGTGACTGTTTTTGTATGCAACATGAATCGTTCTCCTTCATAAAACCAAGTTAACGAAATAGGAAAATGAGACAGGTAGTGTCTTTAATGCTTTTATAACGTATTCGACCGCGATACTTCTAGGGAAAGAAGCGAGTGAGACAACAATACACGTTTACTGAATTCTTCCAACAATCTCATCTCAAAGGTCTTTTTTAAACGAATAACCTTTCGTTTGTCTGTTTTATTTTATTTTTCTTTACCTCTTTCGTTTTTTACTTCCTTGCAAAAATTTGCTTTTTTCTGTAAAAAGAAACGCGTTGTTGTCTAATATCGGCCATCAATGAGTCAACAAACGCGTCCTGCCAAATCTGTTGAAGGGTACATTATCATCGTCACTGGCTTGCATCCAGAGACTTCTGAAGAGCAACTTGAAGATTTGTTTGCTGATTTTGGTCCTGTTAAAAATCTGCATTTGAATTTGGACCGACGAACGGGCTATGTCAAAGGATATGCATTGATCGAGTATGCTGAACTAGAGCAAGCTGAAGAGGTTGTTCGTCAAAAGTCTCTAATGCTATTAGACAGGAAATTGGAAGTTGACTTTGCTTTTTTGGAACCTCCAGTACGTCCTCGTAGAACCTCTTTGGATTCTCGCAGTCGTAGTCCTTCACCTCGACCTAGTCGCCAGGATCGTGATATTACTATGGAAGAATCGTAGTGCATGGCGAAAGAAACAGTTTAAAAGGTTTTGCTATTGTGATTTATGGATCCCATTCATTCGGTAATGATGTCAACAAAAGTTCGTTTTATAAAAATGCTTATACGAGTACACAAGTAGTACTAGTGTTCAAAAAAGGATTGAAATGTTCTCACTTTGGGTGAAGACGAAGTGTTGAAAACCGGAAATTTTTGTAATAATTGCAATCACAGAAGAAAGCATAAAGTTCATAAGGTACTTTGTTGTCATTAGTCTGATTTACAACATGCTTAAAACGAACGCTTACCGAACTTCCAAGGAAGTAAATTCACCTCTTTGTTTGATCATTGGAAAAAAAATAAACGAAATAGACGAGGGATTGGTCCGGTGTATGTTTTTATCCCACACGCAAGGTTTGAATAATGAAGGCTTTACGGATAAAGTTCTTCTTCTCTGTTACAGTTGTTGTTTTTTTATAGAAATCTTTTTATGATTGTTTGAATGCTTTAATAAGTACAGAAGCTTCGAAATATATAATCAATGTCTGTTGATGAATATGTCTGGTGATAATTATAGGAACAGGCCCAACAAGTATCCCCAAATAAAAGATTTCTGCTGTTGGTAATCAATATTTGTTTATAATTGAACTAGAATGAACCCCTTTAATGTGTTGACTTTGCTATATTACCGTAAGTACTAAGCTGTTAGCTATATATTGAGTATTTATAACCATTTTGCTCAAAAGCAAACATAAGGAAGAACAGCTTTATAGAGACTAAACTGTAATTGTTCCTAGATACTATTTTTTGTTTGTTTTGACTAGCAGTCCCTCCATTTGATTCGCACACAAAATGTATTTGCGTAAATCTCTCCCAAAAATCCAAACAGAGCACTAAAAAATTTTGCAGGAAATTTTTTTTTCTAATTACCTGATTCTCGCCTCCTTTAGTTATTCCATTCAGCCTATCACAACATCTTAACTATTGTATACATTTTTTTCACAAATTCAAAGATCGCTATAGAGAGGTATTTGGCTGGTGAAGGGATTAATGTCTGAATACCCCTGTAAGCTGATATTGTCTTCAATATAAAAGAATCACTATAAAGAACGTGGGGCAATTTGCCATCCAATATTAGAGTTTCCATGCCAACAATGTGACTGCCTTCTTAGCAGAATATATGAAATTGGATCCTGCTACGTCCCTTGTCTGCAACACCGTAAGCCAAGCGCTACATCTTGCGATTTTTTATTTTACAACATGGGTAAAGAAAAGGGACATATTAACATTGTCGTTATCGGTCACGTCGATTCTGGTAAGTCTACCACTACCGGTCACTTGATTTACAAGTGTGGTGGTATTGACAAGCGTACCATTGAAAAGTTCGAGAAGGAAGCCACCGAATTAGGTAAGGGTTCCTTCAAGTACGCCTGGGTTTTGGACAAGCTCAAGGCTGAACGTGAGCGTGGTATCACCATCGACATTGCCCTCTGGAAGTTCGAAACTCCTAAGTACTATGTTACCGTTATTGATGCTCCCGGTCATCGTGACTTCATCAAGAACATGATTACTGGTACTTCTCAAGCTGACTGCGCCATTCTTATTATTGGTGGTGGTACTGGTGAATTCGAAGCCGGTATCTCCAAGGACGGTCAAACTCGTGAGCACGCTTTGCTTGCCTACACTTTGGGTGTCAAGCAACTCATTGTTGCCGTCAACAAGATGGACTCCGTCAACTACTCTCAAGCTCGTTTTGAGGAAATTATCAAGGAGACTTCCAACTTCGTCAAGAAGGTTGGTTTCAACCCCAAGACTGTTCCTTTCGTTCCCGTCTCTGGTTTCCAAGGTGATAACATGATTGAGCCTACCACCAACATGACCTGGTACCAAGGCTGGCAAAAGGAGACTAAGGCTGGTGTTGTCAAGGGTAAGACTCTTTTGGAAGCCATTGACGCCATTGAGCCCCCTGCACGTCCCGTCGAGAAGCCCCTCCGTCTTCCTCTTCAAGATGTTTACAAGATCGGTGGTATTGGCACAGTCCCCGTCGGTCGTGTCGAAACCGGTACTATCAAGCCCGGTATGATTGTTACCTTCGCTCCTTCTGGTGTCACCACTGAGGTTAAGTCCGTCGAAATGCACCACGAATCTCTTGAAGCTGGTCTCCCCGGTGACAACGTTGGTTTCAACGTCAAGAACGTTTCCGTCAAGGACATCCGCCGTGGTAACGTTGCTGGTGACTCTAAGAATGACCCCCCTATGGGCTGTGCTAACTTCACCGCTCAAGTCATCATTCTTAACCACCCCGGTCAAATTTCTGCTGGTTACTCTCCCGTTTTGGACTGCCACACTTCTCACATTGCTTGCCGCTTCAATGAGCTCATTGAGAAGATTGACCGTCGTACCGGTAAGAAGCTTGAAGAATCCCCCAAGTTCGTCAAGTCTGGTGATGCTTGCATCGCTCAAATGGTTCCTACTAAGCCTATGTGCGTTGAAGCTTTCACTGACTACGCTCCTCTTGGTCGTTTCGCCGTCCGTGACATGCGTCAAACCGTCGCTGTCGGTGTCATCAAGGCTGTCGAGAAGACTGCCCCTGGTCAAGCTAAGGTTACCAAGGCTGCCCAAAAGGCTGGTGGTAAGAAGTAGATTCTTATTCCATAGGTTTTGTGAATTAAAAGCGATTTGATGAATTATATTGAGTTGGTCTGTAGTAGTTTCAGAAAAAGTAGAAAACGACAGAGGTAAGTGATACTGTTACATAGATATCTATGCTGTAATTTAAAAGCTAGATGGTTTGGTATTGAGAACGTAGAACTTTATGGGATTGATTAAATGAGAATGAAATCGTTTGAAACTTCAAGGTGAAGTATTTTCCAGCAATAAACAACATGACGTGCAAAAACAAAGATTCGATAGTCTTGTTACAATACTGAGCTTTTTTTTAAACTATGTAAATTGTTTACTGTGTGCATCGTTGCCATGCATTATTCTAGATGTTCGCCTAAAAAAGCAGTCACAATAATACTGTGCACAATTCTGCAAAGTTCAACAATTCATCCAGCACACAATGTCGGAATTCCAAAAGGTCGTTGTGATTGACGCTAAGGGGTAAGAATTGATTGAGATTATAGAAAATGAGAGGATTATACTGACAAGAAATTTAGTCATCTCCTTGGACGTTTGGCATCTGTAGTCGCCAAGCAGCTTTTGGGCGGTCAAAAGGTTGTCGTTGTTCGCTGTGAAGAGTTGAACATCTCCGGTAGCTTCTTCCGTAACAAACTTAAGTATCTTGCTTACTTGCGCAAGTCTTGTCGTTACAACCCTACTCGTGGTGCCTTCCACTTCCGTGCTCCCTCTCGCATCTTCCAAAAGGCTGTCCGTGGTATGCTTCCTCACAAGAGCCCCCGTGGTCAAGCTGCTTTGGAACACTTGCAAGCTGTTGAGGGTGTTCCTCCTCCTTTTGACAAGCAAAAGCGTGTTGTCGTCCCTGCTGCCCTTCGTGTCTTACGCCTTAAGCCCGGTCGTAAGTACTGCACTGTCGGTCGCCTTTCTTCTGAGGTTGGCTGGAAGTATGCCGACGTTGTCTCTAAGTTGGAGGAACGCAGAAAGGTCAAGAGTGCTGCTTTCTACCAAGCCAAGGTCTCCAAGCAAAAGAAGGTTACTGCTGCCAAATCTGCTTCTTCTATCAACGAAAAACTTGCTTCCTATGGATACTAAATAAGCAACTTTACTTGTCCTATTTTTGCCCTATTAGCTACGTAGGAAACTGAAATATGAGCACCAAGTCCCTTTTTTGTTATTGTTTGTATTGTACATACTTAATTGCTGGTGTTTAGCATGTCTTATACAAGCTGCTTTCTCTTGTAAGTCTTGCTCAAATAATCATTCCGTAGACAATTTCTTTTATTACCATACAGTGAAGCATTTTTTTGGCTATCGTCAAATAAATAATGCTTAGTATAAAACCCAAATGTATTTTCTATAGGTACAACGATTGTTTCACACAGTAAGGACTATAATAATTTTCTTGCTTCTATTTTTAAGTTGTTAATCAAAATTAAACCCAAAGTGTCAAGTCCAGTTCGATAGCAGATGCTGCAATGGACAGTTCAAATTTCTCGAGTACAAGGGGATGAATAACGCCAAATGTACCCACACGCACACCAGCGGTGCCTGGGTCTTTACGATAGTATACAGCAGCACAACGACCAGGGAAGAAAGTTGCATCGTCGTCTGGTACAATCCAATAACCGGAACTGTCAGAATCCTTGGGATTAAAAATGCGCTTCTCATTGAGCATAAGCATCACACGATCCAACAAACCGTGAATCTGTTCGAAACCGGAAGTCAAACCAGCTTGGATAGCACAGAAGTGACGCTCGTTCCTTGTCATGCGTTCTTGAGTTTCATCGATGAAAGCAACGTCGCTGACTTCGAAAATCTTTATGGGCAAGGCATGAGTACGATTTTCACGAGTAGTCTTGAGAATACCGGGCAAAAGACTGGAACGGACAACTTGGAACTCTAAAGTCTTTGGATTGGCTAGCTGGATGGCACGAGAGTCGTCGGTCTTTCGTAACCAAGCATAGTTCTCATCATGAGAGCAAAGAATGAAGGGCAAGACTTCGGACCAGCCGGCAAGAGCAGCTTCATGGCGAACGATATCAGATAAACGGTTAACTTCCAAAGGCTTACCATAGGTAACACTTTGGTCAGGATAGGTATGTTTGAGATTGTCATAACCATAAGAAATACCAAGATCTTCCATGATATCGCACTGGTGAAGGATATCAGCTCTTGTGCAAGGGACGTCGACCAAAATGATCTTTTCGTCAGAAGGATCAGGCTGAGCTTGAAGCAGCATACGAGAAAGAAGGTTGCAAACTTCCTCACGAGGCAAAGAAATGCCACAGCATTGGTTCAAATAGTCAGTCTCAGCTTCGAAACGAACAGGCTTCAAGTTAGGAGTCATGCGGGAGCAGTTATTGTGCTCGGAAACAACTTCGACAGGCTCAATAGTGAAAGGTTCATCGCAATAGCAAGTAAACATAACAGCCATCATATTCATGACGATGTCAAGCTTGGTTTTGTCAGTAGCAGTGCATTCAATTAATACATCACGAGTGTCAACACTAATCTTGCTAAAATCGCTGTTAATAATGGGAGGAAGAGAGCAGATACGACGCTTGGAATCCAAAATGACGGGGTATCTGGGAGAGTCAGCAACCAAATGCAAGTAGCGACTAAGGTGCTTGCTATCCTTATAGAAATCCAAGAGCTCAGTTCCGTTGATGCTGCGAGTTTGATTAAGAGGAACAAAGTTGATTTCTTCAGGTTTCAAGGCCTCATAGGTGAAAGGACCCTCGACTTTGGACAAATCATGAGTGCCAATGGCTACCAAACTTCTTTGGCGGCACAAGTTAGAGTGCAACTTATCTTGAAGAGCAATGAAACTTTGGTATCTGATGGGATCAAATTTCACACCACGCAAAATGGCCGAGGCACAATAAGGACGAACATCAGCAGTTTCGGGAGAAATTTTAAGAGAAGTAGTAGCAGGGAGTAACTTATATTGTGGAGGATCCATACGGCGATTAAAGACATTCAGTGCTTGAGCAATGCCCTCCATGCAAAGCATATCATAGCGATTAGCAGCAATCTCAATCTTCAAAGCAGGACGCTCTGCTGGATCTCTTTCTGGGTCATTTGTTGTATCCTCATCTAGCTCAATACCAAACTTAAAGCATAATTCATCGAATTCCTGGGTTGCTGGTTTTATATGTTAGCTTCCGATTCCAGATGGCTTTTATTCCACAAAGTTTTTCACATACTGTAATTTCTTCCCAATGCTTTATATAATGCTTCCTTATCACAGGCGATAGTTGGCATTTTGCTCCAAATCCAAAATCTCCAAGGAATCCGTGGTAAACCAAAGTCACTTTTGCTCAGGTATACCTAGTTTCCGGGAAGGGTACTACAGTTTTCAAACAAGTAACAACGTTCTTTGATTGAGAGGGAAGAAAATTCAAAGTTGGATCCTTTACGATGCAAGTAAGAAATAAATAATTATGAAACACGTAAAGATGTAGAAATTTGAAGTACAAGATTTCGAAACAAAATGGGAAATCGTTATAGAATTTATCTATATTGTATATATTGAATCAATGTTAGCTGTATATGTTAAATTTTTTTAAAAAAAAAGATCTATGAAGGATCATAAAGGACTGTTGTATAAGCATTTCGCACCATATTTAGGAGCTGAGAGAAGCGAAGACTCGGTTGAAATCTTGAATCAAATCATTGGCATCCTCAATACCAATAGATATACGAATGAGTCTTGGGTCAATGTGCTGATCGGTCATTCTACGCCATTCAACCAAGCTTTCAACACCACCGAGAGATGTAGCATGATGGAAATATCTCAGTTCACAGCAGACATGTTTGGCAACTTTATCTGACTTTACGAGAATGCTGAAGCATGATGAATGGCCACCTGTCAAGTTTTGAGAAACAAAGTCTTCTTTCTGCAAGGAATCATGATACACCTCTAAAATCAAGCTGCTATCTATACCAAGTTTGGAAGCAAAGGCGGAATCCGTAGCAAGTTTGTTCAAGTGGGTAGCTATTAGATATCCATTTTCGCTGTGCTTGGCGATGCGCAGAGGGAATGTACGGAGCGAGCGTAAGAGCAAATAGCATTGCTGGGGATGCAGGATTGTGCCGATATAAGCGCGATCTGCCTTGAGAGCCTTAATAGCAGCTGTGTTATACGAGGCTGTGGCACCAGCCAACACATCTGTATGACCACCCAAGTATTTGGTCACGGAATGGACCACATAATCAGCACCCAAAGCTAAGGCATCTTGAATTGGAGGAGGCGCGAATGTAGAATCAACGACCAAGATGGCACCCTTTTTTTTGGCAAGCTCCTTGTAGTAGCGAATGTCAAAGACAATACCTAAAGGATTCATAGGTGTTTCCAACCAAATGACGTCGCCTTCATGAATTTCATCACACTTTCCATCAATGTACGAGGTTTTTAATCCTGTCAAGCGATTGATACGTTGAATAATGGCAACCGTACCAGAGTATCCACCAAAGCCAGGCTTATGGACGGCAATGTTTTTGGGGTTCAAATAAGCAATTAACGAATAGACCGCAGCCAACCCAGATCCATACAGAACACTAGGGGCTTTCAAAATGGAACTGAGAGCCGCCTCTGTAAGGTCGCAATTTTTCGCGCAAATACGAACGTAGTAAGGAAAGTCTTCCTCTGCCAATTTTTGGAACGGCTGCAAAGTTTCAGGTGTTCCTGGATATGTATATGTAGTGGACAGATGGAGTGCCGGTGCTACATCGTTTTCCATTGCAAGAGGATCGTCTGCATGTAAAACAGATGTGCTCATATTGGCAGCGAAAGATGCATCCTCCATATAATCAACTTGTTCGGGCATGATGTCTACCTATTTTTTTTCTTAGTAGTATTCTTCAAGGCGATCTATTTAAGTCGTATTTGAAATTATGGCTCTGACCACAGTTTAAATATAGGCCAATTTTGGTCCCATGGTATGATAAGTAACAAGGATTACCAATAATTTTGGACTATGACAACAATGGTCAATAGAACAAAGAAAAGTATGTAAATGGGAAAGAAATCACTACAGTTTCTTCTTTAATTATTTTTTCTTAAATAAAGGAAAAGGTTTTTTTCTCAAATGCAAGGTTTTTTTTTTTTTTTAAACGAAAAAAAGTGAATCATTCTTAGAAAAAACACGCTTTCGCTTTTGATAAACGACAGAAAATAGCAAACTGTTTTACTAAAACAATGAAAACAAAAGGGTTTTACTTATTTAAAATAACTTTCGTTTGGTCCATCTTTCCGTATTGTAGGAAAAGCGACTTGCTTACTAACGTAAATAAACAAATCCGTAAAAAACCATTTCAAAAGCATTTCGTTCTATGGGTCATTAGTCAGCCTCGTATTTACTGATTACAATGTTTTGAATCATTATCATGAAAACGACCTCAAAACAGTAAAACAAAAGGATATTCAATCTGTTTATGATTTTATACTTTTGATCAAGACTAACCTTGGTTGTCCATTTCTGGCTTGATTAATTATGATCCTCAATAAACTAGATTTTTCTTTTTTCTTATACAGAATTTCCGTTTTCATCTGATTTCTCAATAAAACAATCCATCAAAGTACGACTTTTACTATGTATGAGAAATCATAATACCATTCAAACCGTAAACGAATTAAAATACACTTTCATAAAATATTATCAAACAGAATACAAAGTCAGCTCATAAATGTCCGCACACTGTACCCCGAGATTATATCATCAGCAAAGGAAAAAAAAAAATTGATCACCTTAAAAACCAGAAAAACATAGATAAAATTGGCCATATAATTCTTTTCCATAAAAGATAAAACAAAACAAACATAAAAAAGCCGAACCCTGAGATAACAAGATAATAATCTTTTTGATCGTTCAGCTTAAGCGATCTCATAATCTTTTTGCTTGCATACAATACGTCTTCGACACTAAAATACTTTTCTTGCAAGCTTTCCAATAAACTGGTGCTTGAAGCGAGTTCATTAGAGTTTTCAGCGCTCATGTCCACCGCTTGAACCATTTGTACATGAAGATCTCTCATTGCAGCAGTAACTTGGCTTGCACTTGTCAAATGCATATCGTCTGTCGTCAAAAGCTCAGGTTCATTCGCTCCCAAAACCTCGATATTTTCTGATGATTCCTGAGGAACCTCAGGAAGAGCATTCCGCTCAGACGCAATCGAAATCCAAGGAATTCCAGCTGCAATCTTATCTTTGAACCGTTTATTTAATCGTATATACTCCTGAACTGATTTTTCATAGCGTAGAATCAAATCCAAGTCCACAGCAGAGTATTCGAATTCCACACGGGCTGATTCCCATAATCGCCGAAATTCACGAAAATGAAGCTTTAATTCTTGCGAAGTTTCTGCCCTTTGTAGCTCGGAAACCTTTAGTTCCAGCAAATGTATGATTTCTGCCATGATATTATCTATAAACGCAAGAGGCCTCCACACAAATAGAAGTTGGGTAATTCCCACCAGTAATTACTTTTTCTATTAGATAAATTATCAAATAATACTCTCTTTCAAAGTTCCAAGAAAATTGCCTGTTTGCTTTTCTCACACCATGCAGTGTGGTACTTGTGCAGTAAGGAGGAGGATCAAGTAGGGAATAGGGAATCATAAAGTACTTCAAAGAGGAATTGCGCTTTGTTCAGGACGAAATGTTTTCATTTAATAAACCAATTTCCAAATTCTTTTCAAATGAATCAACTTGGTTTTTGATTTTTTTCTGCTGAATTTGGAGGATGTTCGACGATGTCACCGACAACGCCTTTGGAACCGACAGGAAGCCCTTGCAGCAACAAGCGTACATGCTCCACGTCTTCGGATTCAAGTCGTGCTTGAAAGTTTGCTTCTTTTTTCGGATCAAAGCGATGTTGCAGGATTCGTCGCGCTCGTTCGCGAATCCAAAGAGGCTCGTCACTCAGATTCACCATAAAATCGCAACTTTTCAAAAAGCAATCCTTGGAACAATAATAATTCAGTCCAGCATAACGAACCATTCCTTGATTTTCAAGGCGAAAACGCGTTTGTTGTCGGGGCGCGTTGTTACAAATGGGATAGCCGCATATATGAGCGAGCTTTCGTTCCTTGACAATTTGATCATAATCTGATTTTTTCAGATATTCACGAGCTTCATTCAACGTGTGTTCATCGACGGGATCCACCAGTTTTTCAACCCATTCCAATACAAAGTTGTCGTATTCCAACCGACTTTTCGCTTCTAGTAAAAGATCCTTAGACCATTCGTTTAATTGGGCTTCTCTTTTTACTTGTGCGCTCTCCTTTTTCTTCAAAATTGATTTATTAGCAGACATCGAATGCGACCTCAGTCGTTTGGCATACAGAAGAATTTCTAAACCACACTCTTCAAATTCAATACGGACTCCTATACGTTATACATCGTAAAATAAAATATCACAACTTTGATCTTCCACTATTTTACACTAACAGCTTTTACACATACCAACGATAGGTAGAGAGATTTTCATCCAATAATGCCCTTTCAATAGTTTCCTTCAGTAAGGTACAATGCGTGGGAGCCTATTCCTCTAAGTCAATACTTCAATGGAGTTTCCAGACCTTTTTTATTTTGATAGGAAACATCATACATTATACATGCAACATGGAATTTTCTTTTTTTGTAAGTAATTAAACAAAACACGGGACGATTCGAATCTTTTTCCATGTTTATTAAGAATGCCGGTTTTGCTTCATTAAAGTTCGTTAGTAAATAAAATCAAACTAAAGAAAGCCTACAGAAGAGGAAATTGACCTAAGAGCTGATCGGACGACAAGTACCAAAGGTGAACATTGCTGTTTTCGAGTCCGTTTCTAATTCATATTTTCTTCTTTTAATTAGGACTGTACGATAATATCATATTATTTCGATACTAAGAAACACTATTTCATACTAAGCAGAAAGTAGCTGTGAATTAAAGAGGCAAGTGATGAATTCTTATGAAATTATCGTCAATTTCATTCATTCATGGGTTGTATATCTTGGATGACAATGGTAGAATCAATAGACATAGTAGCATGGAAAGTTATTTTCAGAAAAGAAAAAAAAAAAAAACAAAAGGTTTGAAAGGAATTAGAGAAGAAAGAACTTAATTCAAAATAACTCCTATTATAACAGTTCAAGCATGGGAGACCTTGCCCTAAGTTTACAAAAAAATCATTTCCTCTTTCAATATATACCCATAGAAAGAAGCTTTTTCTTTGCAAAAAAAAAAGAAAAAAAAANAAAAAAAAAAAAAAAAAACCAAATCCAGTTTTAATTCCTTTACTGATCCATTGTATCTTTTGAGAATTTGTTTTTTAGCAGCAATAAACAAAATGCCTTTAACTCTCTATCTTGTCTTGATGAAAATTCATAATTAACAACACCTGTATATATCAACTATCTCGATTGACTAATTGTTTTCACTCTTGTTTTAAAGGCTGTAGAACCAAGAAAAGCATCACTTTCATTCTCTTTCTCCACTGTATTTTTTTGTTTTCCCTTTTTATTTATTTATTTTACGTTTCGTTTTCAAATCTCGGTTTCATTGCTATTGCCGCTCTCTTTGGCAGCTCAATTCCTCTTCTAGTTGACTCTCTTCTGTTCTTTGTTTACAAGTGCAGACTCGGTTCGCATTCTTCTTTTTCACCTTATCAAGAATCTTGGCCTTGTGACCTCATTCCTCCTAATTACCTTATTACATCCTGCCACTCTTATTCAGGTGCCCTTTGAGTTACAACCTTAAGAGTGGTGACCCTCAACAACCACTGCTCCTACACCTACCTACTACCATCATTTTGAACAACACCACCGTAAACAGGGAATAACTGCCCTTCTTCCTTTTTCACAATATTTACATTTTCCTTCTTCTTTCTTATTTCTGTACAAGGTTTTTTTTTTTCTTAGTTTTTTTTATTTATCACGGTCATTCATTAATCCAAACAAGATCATCGGTATTTCTTACGCATCCAAAATTGCTCGATTCCTCTTGGAAATTATCGTCATCTGATTCATAGCCGTCATCTATTCCATCTGAAACATCTCCCAAAGCACTGGATTTTCTTCGACCGGTGTGGATACATATTCCTTTTGACCGCTGTTAAATTCAGCGAATTTTAAAGAAGGCTTACTATATATTATAAGTTCTTATTTCAAGTTCATTTTTCTCAATGTCCAATTCATCGTTCCCTGCTACTGACGTTCCTTCTCACTTTTCTTCCGATGAACAGGCTCCTGTAGTCCATAGTTCTGCTGATCCTACTTCATCGGCAGCAGCAGAAACTCCCTCTACTGCACCCCCTGCTCCTCCTTCTACGGAGCCCGCATCCTTCGACAACATAAAGTCCGAACCTGCTGCGGAGGCTCGCAAAATCCCTACTGATACTGCTACTGCTGTCGCTCAAGAAATTCAGTCAAAGCTTTCCTTATCAAGGGATCATTCTCTAAAAGAGCATTCCGAAGCTCCTTCAACAGGTCCCATGATTGAATCTACTATATCTAAGGAAGCCGCTCCTCAAGATTTGGAGGATGCTGCTTCTGATTCTTCTTTTACTGAAGCTTCTGAAAAATTAGAAGAACAGGAAAAGTCCGAAGAGGAAAAGCATGAAGACATTGATCCAGAACTTTCTCGTCGCATCGCTCTTCGTGAACGTATGGCAAAGATGAGTGGTGGCCTTGGTATGCATGCTTTTGGCCTACCCGGAATGGCTCCTCCTCCTCGTTTAAAGTCTTTAAAAAAGGGTTCTGAACCCGAATCTGAATATCAACCTATCAATGATCACGCGGAACCCGAGACGAATCCCAGCAAACCACGAGACTCTGCTGCTCCCTCGGGAATGTCTTCCGTGACTATGCAAGCTTCCCCTGAACCTTCTACGAACATAGAAGAAACAGTGGAACCAAATGCCGACGATGAGGCATCTAATACTTCTCTTTCAGCTTCCCCAAGTATGGAACTTCCTGGTTTAGCGATGCATATTCCTGGAACTGAAGAGTCTGGTTGGCCTGAGGAAAAGGAACAAACGTCTCCTCCTCCAATTATCACTGACTTTAGTAATCAAAAGGATTCTCAGGTAGAAGAAGTTTTGCCTCTTTCGCAGACTCACCTTTTCACACGCCTTAAGCCTCCTCAAGCCAATAGTTCTTCTATAGGCCAGTCTCCCACTTCTATAGTTGATCCTGCTCATGCTGTTCGTAAAGTTATTGACTCCATTGATCCTCCAAAGGAGACCGTGGCCGGTACGGCTGCTGACGTAGAGTCTGCCGCGAATTCACCTGTTACTCCTCCTCGATCCTTGAATAGTCGTGAACAATCCCCCGATTGGAAGGATTCTTACAATAACAATGATTTTGCAGAGCGGAAGTTACCTAGCCGTATCACAGAAGTCTCAGAATCCCAGGCTTATGATTCTGATGCTGAAGTAGCTCCCTCTCAGCGTTCTTCGCGTCGTCCATCACTTCCTTCCATAAGGTTCAACAAAACCAAAACTATTGCGGATTTTAACGAGGATTTAGATGATTTACCTGCTGTTCCTCGTATATTTAGTCCTCCCCCTTTACCCAAAACTCCTTCTGGAGAATTTGGTGATAGTGAGTTCATTCAACCGAAGAGACAGCTGAAAACGAAATTTATTCCAGGCCATCAATCCAAGCCGTCTACCGGTTCTTCGCTGCGAAATCCTGTTTCAATATCTACTTCGGGTGGTCGACCTGTTCTATCTGATGAACCTGATGAACCTGATACTCCTGATTCTCTTACTGAGCATCCTCTTCCTGCGCTCCCAGTATCTGATGAACCTGTCGAGGAGAGTAATGATTCAATGAATTTTACTCAAAGCGAGCGTAGGACAAGTATTATAGCACCAACTCCAAGTGTGCCTGTGGCATCTCCACCTCCAATTCCGGTGGCCCCTGTAAATACTGAACCAAAAGCCCCTTCAATTTCTCCTCCTCCGATACCCAACACTCATTCTGAACAATTCCATTATGATTCCACCAATTCTTCTGCGGTACCGGCTTCTGAAACTAATCAGAATAATTCCCTGACCCAGGATATTACACAGTTAGGAAACAGTATGCGTTTACCTACTAGACTTGTTCGTCCATCTTCTAGTGGGAGGAAAGCATCAGGTCCGCGACCAGTAGCACCTCCATCTATTCCACCTCCACCTCCTGTTTCTGTGAGCAAATCGGAAATATCGAAAGAACCAGTGCCCCCGCCAGCACCAACTTCAAGTCCTCCAGTTCCTCCACCCTTAAGTCATCAGGTTCCACCTGCCCCATCTGCAGCTGTACCTCCAGTGCCCCCTCCCACGACGGATGTACCTCCTATACCTGTTTCTCCTTTTTCTCAAGATGTAAGGAGTAGTTCGAGTGAAAGTGTGCCACAATCTCCTGATCCCATCAAACAGGAAGTAAGTCCCACTACTATGCCACAACGAAATGATTCTGTCTCGCAGAAATCTATTTCATCTATTTCTATACGGCAAGCCCCTGACATGAACCCTCCTCTTCTCAGTCAGAGACCATCACAAAAATCAATTAGATCCACTGCTTCTGTTAAACGACCTTCTATCGTCGCCACGAATGGCCCATTTAATGACGCTTATGTAGCTAAGATTGTTGATCCTTGTGCTGAACAGAAATGGTGGCTTGACTCTAGTACGGTGCCTAATTCCGTCTTGAAATTGAATGACTCTGTTTTATTTATGATTAGGGAAGGCACGACAGGTCCAAACAAGCATTTTAAGTCTATACACATATTGTTTCATGATTATAGTCAGACAGTCCTGACTTCTACTTTTAATCCTGCTACTCATTATGTAACTCAGCTTTCGCAATTACAACTGGCACCTCCAGTTCAGCCGTCTAAGGAGCGACTTGCCCAAGAATTTGAATGTTATGGTAACACCATATTGAGACAAGCCAAAGCTTCTCAAGGGCTTACAATTGGAGATGGTAGCGCATATACCTTTGTTAATTCTATACTTGGTAATCTTACACAAAACATTGAGCCAATTAATAAGCGTACTTTTGGTGCCGTTGTGTACGCCAATGACTCAAATGTTACGATCCAACAAAATGGCGAAATTAGACCAGGTGATATAATCACTTTTGATAATGTTAGGTTGAGTGGTCAAAAAGGCACACTCCGTCACAAATATGCTTTTGACGTTGGTAATCCATTCCACGTCGGTATCGTTGCAGAATGGGAAGTTTCAAAGATGAAAATTCGCGCTTTAGAACAAGGACGCGAATCCAAAAAGGTTTCTTTAGTTAGTTACAAACTTGGTGATTTGAAGAGTGGTGAAATAACGGTTTGGCGTACAATGCGGCGTTCATGGTTAGGCTGGAACTAGTCCAAAAGCAGTCTTTATAATTACTTTTAAGCGTTTATTTTTGGATGATTTACGTTCATTTTATGCATTTTTTATTCTTCCGTTCGCCGACTTATAATAGTATATGTTATATATGGTATCTGATTATACATGCTATTTACTTGTATTTTAAGAATGGTGGTTTAGCAAATATATGTATAGACATTACTGACAGTATTTAGGTTAAGTCTGAGAAAAACTTCAGGTTGTATGTATCTAATTCACATAAACAGCTCTGTTGTAATGATATCTTTTTAAGTATTCATATAGCCATTATTTTAGCTATCACATTTTTATTTAATACACAATAGCTTAGATATTAGTATTGATAATTCCTTTGAATTTTGCACTTAAAAATATTAAGATCATTTTGAGTTCTGGCTCATGATTGAAGTGATGAGTAAACTCAGTAAAATTAGTTGTACTAGAAACGAAGGATAGTGAAAGGCTAATCAAAAATATTGATATCATAAACAGAAAACCATTTACAAGTAATAAATAACATATGAAGGTTCCGGAGAGAAATGGAACATCACCGTAACCGATCAAAAATTCAGGAAGTAAAGCTGGAAAGTAGAAAGGAAAACATTAGATACTTTGTAATAACAAAAGTTCCGAACATGTAGATCAGCGAAAATAAAGGAAATTAAAGAGGGGACAGATAATTTATAAGTTGGGACAAACAGAAGAAAGAGAGCGACATTACAATGGAGTTTTGGGTGATGGATCAAATTCGTCTTCAACGTCCAACTTGACTGCCGGATTTTTCCTTACTTTTTGAATACTACTTGTCATAACAGGTTCTTCGGCTACCGATTTCAAATCCTTATGAAAAAAGGAGTTCAACTCATCAGGTTCCATAGCAAAGACTCCTTGTCCTCCAAGAAAAGGTCCTGAATAAGGTTCAATACGAAGTTGCCCATTTTTGTACATGGTATACGATATGCGGTATTCCTTAGAGAAAAGTGGTAAAGTTCTATTTCGAGACATGACGCGAGTCTTGGGCAACCTAAGAATCAAACCTCCTAACCCGTAGTGTGCGGTAGAAGCGTCTGAATTTAAGGTATGCGCGATTAGTTTGCGGCGATGATATCCGCAATTAGACTCGTACTTAGGTGTAACGTGAGAAGTTATTAAAGGTACATTACTGTACTGTATACCAGCCGCAACATTAAACCTCCTAAAATTGGAATTTTCTATAGGACTGGAATCATTCGACCTCTGATTTTGTAAACCAAATCGATTGCGATAATTTGACTGGATGGGTTTGGATTCCTTTACCAACTCTTGGGTTATTGCCTGCTCTGCCGGATCCCTTACGAACCCAGCATCAAACCAATTCCGTAAAAGGCGAACAAATCGAGCACTCGACTGAAATTCCATTTGGTTGTATACACTATCCAACTCATTTACGGATATATATCTTGTCCTTATCCGCGGCAAATTTCGTTTACAACCCCAATCTCCACGAGCTCCGTCTGCTCTTTTTGTTGTTAATGATTGTTGCAAAGGGAACAAACTATGTGTAGTAGATGGACTAGATTCCTGAAAACATTTTGTCAAAGTAGCAGCTCTCGAATTTCGTAACAAATTAGCAAAACTCATTGCTTTTTTTTTTAATTTATTTATATTAGATCAAAGAGTGATCTTCTTTATACGAAATACTTTACTTCGTATTTGGTAAAAGAGGAACGTATGGTACGGAGTGGATGCCATCCTTGGTTATAGGGTAGGGTTGTGAACTTAGGTTATAAGCTTCACGAATTTTTTGACATATAGTTAGAATCACTTCATAGAATAGACGTAAGAAACATTAATTATAGTAATAGTATTAAGTTGGTATAAGTGTCCTTAGTGCATGGTACTCGTCTATTTCGGGGCCATCTGGGAAAAGGTCAAGATTGACATTCTGACCGACTAGCATTTTTAAAAGTATTAATGCTCCATCTAGAAAACTATTAGTAAACCGAAGTATTATAAAACCTACCTTTGTCTAATACTTCCCCAGAGCAAATTCCTCCTTCAAATTGTATGCTCGTAATACATTGTGGACAACCTTCACGTATTTTGCATCCACAATGTTCTAGGCGATCTATTGCCATGATCGTCAATTCGTCGATATGTTTGTAAGCCTTTTTGCACAAATCGGCCCCACCGCATTCACCACAATTGTCGTAGAATATCAATCGAGATGGCCTTCTTCGCTCACTAGCTTCTTGCTTAAATTCTTTTTCGCCTGACTTGCATTCCGTTCGTATGTCATTCCCGCCGTTTGCAGCGAATATCGGCATTAAAGACATCAAAGCATGCTGAGCAGCATGTATACTTGCCGCACCGTTGATTTTTTTCCACGATAAGATTTCCACAATGTGCCATGGAACATCAATCCAAAACCCGCGGCTAATCATTTCAACAGGATTATCCACAATATCGACAACATCTAGTATATCCCGTTGTTTATTTACTTTAAAGTAGCCAAACACATGTAATGCCACCGAGACAGTTCCGTGAAACACATTTATGTTAGCGGATTGTAGGGTCTTTCTCGAGAGATTTCGTTGAGGATCAATGTCAGTATAATCTCTTTGCAGAGTAGACCATTCTACATCTACTCTGTTACAAGTTATTAATCTTCTAGGAATATTCAAAGTTTTCACAATGAATGTCTTTCCTTGATATACATAAACAGCTCCCTCATAGGCACTAAGCATAACTCGGAATGGCTCTAATTGCTCTAAAACAACATTCCTATTATTGGTTACGTCCACCAAAGTATACATGTCTTCATTGATGTTGCGTATTTGTACTTGGACTGCAGGAAACGGTAGGCATTTTGGGTGAGGAAAAAACAAATTATTTTCTTTTTTTACCAGATGAGTAGAGCATGCTTCGGATAAATTGCCCTCAAAAAATCGGCTGTCGCTCATCTCATTAATTGGCAACTCGAAGGCTGCACACTGTAGATGACTTGCAATCAGAACCTCATTGTCAAGGTCCAATGTCAACTCTGCGTTAGGTTGTGTGTGTATCAACATAGGGTGTTGTAAATAATATTGGTCTACAGGGAATGTTTCAACAACGTAGATCGCTAATGAGGATTTATTTCGTCGTCCAGCTCTTCCAAACTGTTGTCGTAGATTAGACAAAGAACACGGGAAACCAACGGTAATGGCGGCATCTAAGGAACCTATGTCAATACCCAATTCGAGGGCGTTCGTTGCAACAATCCCATACAGATTACCACAAAACATTTCCTTTTCTATTTTCCTTCTCTCTTCAACCGTATACCCAGCCCTATAGCTTTGAATTTTCTCCAATAAATACTCTTTATGAGACGCTTTGAGCTGTCCTCTTACCAATCTCATGAGTGATTCGCAAGCTTTTCGAATACGACAAAAAACAATTGTACGAACTTTCCTCTCGGCCAAGTAAATAAGTAAATTTGCTGCCTCTGCGATTGCCGGCTTTCTGCCTGATTGTATGTTCTTTTTATCCACTAAAGGAGGATTCCACATCAAGAAATGCTTAGCACCGGAAGGCGAAGTTGTGTAATTCACCAGTTTAACGTTTTCAACTCCAAAAATCATGTTCATATGCCGTGCAGGTTGTTCAATTGTAGCTGAACAAGAAACAAATCTATACCGATCATTGCCATAGTATTCTGCTATCCTTCGTAACCTTCTCATGATCATGGCGACATGAACACCAAAAATACCATTATAAATATGTGCTTCATCTAATACAAAAAGCTTTAAATTTTTAAAAAAGCGATTCCATCGATGATGATTCGGTAAAATAGTCTGATGTAACATATCAGGATTTGTGAATATGATACTCGCGTTTTCTATAATTTCATTCCTTGCTTCAATTGGTGTATCCCCATCAAACGTATCAATCCGGATATGAGCCAGCGAAGGCATAAAGCTTAAAACGTCCATTAAAGATCGTTTCTGGTCTTGTGCAAGAGCCTTTGTAGGAAAAACAAAAAAAGCAGAAGATTCTATATCTTTTTCGAGTTCATCCAAAATAGGTATTTGGTAAATCAAAGACTTTCCACTGGATGTACCAGTTGAAACGATGACATGAAGATTCTCCCAAAGAGCATTTATGGCATCAGCTTGGTGAGTATACATCCTTTCAATATTTCTAGAGCTAAATAAGGCATTTACCAAACTTTGAGAAAGATTACGCTTCAAAGTCCCAAATCGTGGTTCAACGGCAGGGTATTGATAAAGACTTTCTTGAACTATTTGACCTTCATAAGTAGATTCCTCGGTCAAGCTCACTAGGACATCTTCAATAGAAGATGGAGCCTTTTGCTCATGGTCCATACCTATCTTCGAAGGAGGATTAACTATAACATCAGGAGGAGAAGGTATCGTTTTTTCAGCTTCTTGAATCAAATGCTTATCCGGATCTAAGCTTTTAGCACCACAAGAATTTATAAATTCCTGTAAATGTTTTAAAAAAATTGTATTGCGACTGTCAATTTCTTTCTTTAATGCGTTTATATCAAACTTCCCTTTCTGAATCCGTGATTTCATAGTAGGACCCTCCCTTTTTTGACGTTTAATAGAAGATTCAACCGTTTGATTTAAACAAACTGTTAGGACGTAACTCGATCCTTGAAAGGATTGGTCATCAGAGTATATTTGTTTAGGTATATCTGCGTAAACGTTTTTGTTCATTTCCATAGCCAGGCTGTCGAATGACTTGTAATCTAACTCAATTAGGTCTGGTACGATTATTTTAAGCTGGGATAACTCCAAGACTGAGAGATCTCTTTTTAAAGACTGGCGTACGCTAGAGTTTAACAAGGAAAACGTTGTAGTTAAACAATTTCTTGAATAAAGAAAAGTATATGTTGTATTAATGATCTTAAATACACCGAATAAAGTCTGTAAGGCTGGAGAAAGTCTCGTCGACTCCAGTTCAACTTCATGGCTACGTTTTTTCGAAGGTTTCCTGGTTTTCTGAGGCTTTGAAAAACTTACACCCGATTCATTTTTTATTTCATGTAAACATAAATCATCATTTTCCTGCTTAACGGGCGTATCTACCATATCTAGGGCAATGAGCCAGTTTAGTTCAAGAGGGAAATTCAAGAAACGGTGCAAGTTAGAAGAGGCAAACAATTTGTAAATCATTATGTATTTCATTTATCAAATAATAATATTTTTCATTAATTTATCATTTTTCTAAATCTTCATCTTCCAATAGCTCAGCTGGGAGTCTGAAAAATTTGGCATCTCGAATAGATTCGGGCATATACTACGAGCGTTAGTGACTATCTACAAAATTATTACTTACTTCTTGTTTAACAAGACCATCTTTATAGTCTGGATTGTACTTGTATCCTTTATGATATCCAAGCTGTTTCATCAAATTAGTGGGTGCGTTTCGTATATGCAAAGGAATTTCAGCCCTGCCTGCGTTGGGATTCAAAGATAGAAATCTTTTAACATTATTATACCCTTTGTAAACATCCACCGACTTTGGAGCCATCGTTAAAGCAACTGCGCAATGGGCTAATATGACATCCGCTTCTGGCATTCCGACCTGCTGCACAGACGTAAATGCACTTGAAGCCAAAGGAAGCATAGAATTATCTGCAACTCCTATATCTTCACTAGCAATGCGCACCATTCTACGAGCGACGTACAATGGATCTTCACCAGATTCTAACATACGTCCTAGATAGTACAGAGATGCATTAACGTCACAACCCCGTACAGATTTGTGAAAAGCGGAAATGGTATCGTAGTGTGCATCGCCGACTCGATCATACACAGCTGAAGAGCGTACCAACTTTTCCTTAATTTCTTCCAAAGTAATAGGACCTTGACGCATTAATCCTATAGCCATTTCCAAACAATTTAAAGCCATTCTAGCATCTCCATCAGTGATAGCCGAAACATATTCCAATATGGAAGAGTCGATATTCGGTATGTCACCGAGTCGATCTTTTTCTAATTGGCAACCATGTTCCAAAATTTTTAAAACGTGAGTTTTGTCCAATTTTTTTAAGACAAATACAGGACAACGAGAAATGAGGGCGGAGTTAAGACGAAAAGAAGGGTTCCTACAAATTAATAAAGTTTTTCCAGCAAAAATAATAATACATACTCCGTAGTAGCACCGATCCTGAAATAGTTAGAAACGTACATAACAGTTTGTAACTTACAATGTGATAGAACCTTTCTCTACCAAAGGCACTATGTAAATATTAGTAAGGAAGGTTTCGTAAATAAAGTAAATTTCATACAAAATATATCTTGCTGAGCTCTATTGAAGCGATGGACTTCGTCTAGAAATACTATAGTCTTGCTTCCAGTTAACCGAAGATGATTCTGAGATTCTTCAAATATCTTTCGACACTCTTGTACCGAAATTGAAGTAGCTGAAACTTCCAAAAACCTCGATTTTGTAGTAGCCGCAATGATTCTGGCCAAGGTAGTCTTTCCTGTTCCACTGTTTCCCCATAAAATCATAGATGGACATTCGTCCTGTTCTATCATATTTCGAATAACCCCACGAGGACCAACCAATTCCTCCTGGCCAACATAATCATCTAAGGTAGTCGGTCTTGCTCGTTCAGCGAGAGGTCGTACGTCTCTTTTAGAAGCTCTCGGCTTTTTTGTAGATGAAGGAGTGAAAGATCCCTGAGAAGGAAAAGAAGAAGGAGTGTTTCGTTTTAAAGGGCTATTTTTTTCTTTCTGAAAAAAGGGAGAAACTTGTTTTGAAGGGGATGATGTTGCAGGTACTTCAAAGTGCGAATCTAAATGAGCATTTATGTCTACTAAATCAACTTCTTTACCGCATGTTGGACAGTTACACTTTTGTCCTTCCTCTTTTTTCAGCATATTGAAACAATATAAACGCGATAATGAATCCTGGACGCGTCAAATACGGAAATTGCGTTTCTTAAAAAAATTTTCGATGTTCCAAGTTCAGAAATTCAAAAAAATTACTTTTACGGCTTAAACAAATCTCCGAAAAAAAGCGTATTAGTCCTAAGAACTATTCAGGTGAGAGTTTGAAGTGTGATGCTGAATATGGAATTCAAGAAATACTTGGCAGGTGCAAGATAACGATCAAAGTGATTTTGTACAGTCTTTATTAATCCCAGTATTTACCAAACGGCTTGTTTTAGCCCTTTAAAATAGTATATATCATCTTAACTCGTTCTCTTACAACGTCGTTGAGTGTTAATGTGCATTAGACCCAAGAACAGAACAATTACAGACTAGGGTAATCAAGATTAGTATGCTTCACAAAACGTTATAAATCGCTACGATCCTCATATTCCGTTGAACGACTGATCGTGTGACATATCGTATTGTCTTAATTGATAGTAAAAATTGCTCTAAGCTTGAGACCTACAACAAGTGAAATTAAAAGTGCAGACTAACCATCTTCGTGCTGCTTTCCTTTTTTAAGAGTTAGAATATATAAAGTTACGGTTCTAATAACTACAAGGCTCTGTTGTCCTTTTTACTTGAATAGAAATCCTGTTTCATGAAGAGCACTTTTTACAACTAGGATTGTAAATTTTCAGGGTTTCTTCGAAAGCTATTCGCAAACAACTTTGTGAAAATTTAAAGGAAAGATTCCAATTAAACACAAGTAATTATTTGAATCGAGGAACCCTTATTTAGGAAAAAGAATGAAAACAGAAGTTTTACAAATAAGATGGCATTACGATGCTAACGACGACCATACGCCAATTTATTCCGTCGATTTTCAAAAAAATGGAAAAAACAGATTTGCTACATGTGGAGGTGATGGTAAAATAAGGGTATGAATGGATGATGAGAAGGAGGAAGTTAGTCAGGACAGAACATTCTTTTAAAGTTAAATGTACTAACATGATAGGTTTGGAAATATACATGTGATGATGAGAATTTGACTCCGAAAATTGAATATCTTTCTACGCTTAGTCGACATGCACAAGCCGTAAATGTTGTTCGGTTTAGTTCGCAAGGTAACTTTATCAGACATTACTGAAATTGTTTAGTTGTACTAATAACTTAGGGGATGTATTGGCTACCGCCGGAGACGAAGGTACTATCTTTCTTTGGGTTCCCTCTTCCTCCCCAGCAGCTACATTGGCAGATGATGCTGAAGAGCTAGCGCTTGCGAAAGAATACTGGAAGGTGAAAACCGTATGTCGTTCTATGGGTGCAGAGGTTTATGATATTTGCTGGTCTCAAGATGAAAGTTACATAGTTGCTGGTGCAATGGACAATAGTATTCGGATATACAACACGCAAACAGGTAATATAAATACTTCAAAATAGCTTTGATTTACTAATTATTTATAGGGCAATTGCTTTTTCAAAAATTTGATCACCTTCACTATGTTCAGGGCGTAGCTTGGGATCCTTTGAACAAATATGTAGTCACTCAAAGCAGCGATCGCTCATTATGCGTTTACAAATTTGAAAAACAAAACAGAGACTCCTCATTCCCCCAGTTAAATCTCAAATCACGTATTCATCGCATAGAGTACACGAATGCTCAAAATTCAAAGCCGTCTTCTATCCCGACGGAACAAATCAGCAGCGTTGAAGAAAAAAAATTACAAGAAAATAATTCCTGCAATGATGCTAATCTTTTGACTTCCGATTCTCAAATAAACCTAGACTCTGATGTTGTATCTGAGGGTGGCACAGAAAATGCGTCTAAAATTACTTATTCTCTGTACTGTAATGAAACCCTAGTTTCATTTTTCCGTCGTCCAGATTTTTCTCCAGATGGCTTGCTGTTAATTACTCCAGCTGGCAAACTTCGATTACACGGTCAGCCAAATGCAGAATCGATGCATACCGCGTACATATTTACCAGATCAAGTATTTCCAGACAACCAGTTGCTTCTCTAACCGGGTTCTCAAAACCAGCGATTGCTGTGCGTTTTTCTCCTATATTGTATGAGCTAAGACAAGCTTCAAAGCACAGTCCACCAACGACTTGCATTGAAATCCCTTATAGGATGATTTTTGCAATTGCTTGTCAGGATGCCGTTTATATTTATGATACCCAATCCTGCAAACCGTTTTATAGAGCTGCAAACCTTCATTACTCTACACTGACTGACTTGGCCTGGAGCGACGATGGTACTATCCTCTTGATGACTTCCATTGACGGGTTTTGTTCTAGCATTAAATTCACACCTGAAGAGTTGGGCAATCTTTACGAGCAGCAGGTTGCTATTCCGACGAAGAGAGCAACACCGGTTGTAACTCTTCCTACTCCAGCTGAACCTAATAAGGAACTCAAATTGTCTAAAGACTATAATGTTAAAGATAATGAACCTTCTCGACCCCAAAAAAGGAGAATTGCGCCTACTCCCTTATATCCCCAAAACTAATTCTTAATGAAATTTGAATTCTTCCATTTGTAGAATTTTAATTCAATAAAACATAACGTTTAAATTACTGAATTTAAAACTTTTGTATCTGATTTTGAAGTTTGTAATATAAATTTCCTTAAAGAGTTCCTGCTTTGACATCAAGATATTTAATAAAATTAATTATCTTATTATTGATGAAAGTTTATATTACAATTTCTTCAATTGATTGGACTTGATTCAGTATTTTAGAAATGATCCTTCAACTAGTTTTCATCAGTCCTTTCATTAGTGTTGCTCAAATCCAAAACCCCAACTTCTCAACGACGCTAAAGATACTTTCTTCTCTGAGTTTGTAATTAATTAGACCAAAAATAGTTACGATCGATCTTAATTTGCAATTGTCGGCTGGCTTTAAAAGCTATAAACATTACGGTACTCTACATCAAAGGGAATTACCAACATGGAAGAGAACATCGAATCCTTTAATGAAGATAAACTTTCTTTGATCTTCTCAAACCAGTCTGAACTACTGAAAAATATTATTCCATTCAAAAACTGGGTTATAGGAAGGAATGACAGGAAGGAGTTAGCAATTAAAGCTGAGGCCCCAAAGCTTTTGTTAAATTTATTTTCTTCTAAAGAGGCTTCTTTACAAGAAAAATATGAGGTGTTTATTGTACTAAATTCGCTCATGGCGAACGATAAAAAAGCTTTTGTCCATTTTTTGCGCCCTGAGGACCTTCTTTCTGTTATTGAGTTACTTTCAGTAAAAGATAATGTTCCAAAAAACATGCTTATTATAACCTTGAAGGTATTTACGATCATGCTTAACTTTGATCAAGCTGCCGAGTTCGTGACTCAAATGCATTTCTCAAGTCTCTTTAATCGCCTGTTCGACTTATACCGTTTGCCATCACAGAAGAAATATCCTATGTTTGATGACATCCGAATCTCTTCTTTAGCTGCTTCAGTTCTGGACTATTTGGTTTCATCGAAAAACCCACAGGTGGATTCGGTACCTTCCTTCTGTAATACCGTATTCTCTACTATCGCTCATACATCAAAACTGAAAGAATCAGTCAGGTACCGATTTTTTAAAAGTTGTGATACTTTGATTGTTAATTCACTCGCTATATTAAATTCATACTTCAAAGCGTTCTCCTGGCGTACGAACCTACCTCAAGTTAATGAGTTTGGAGAGGAAGATGATTTTGAAAAACTGGAAAACTTGAAAAAAGTAAGGCTTGTATTGTTTGGAGACAACATGAGCGAACAAGTTTGTCAGCTGTTTAGCTTAGCTCGGGAATATCATTCTCCAATTCGATTGTTGGCCCTCTCTTGTATAGTGACTCTCTATAAAAGCGGCATTCTCGGAAAGAGTTCGGAAGAAGAAGTTAAGCTTATAGTTATCCCCATTCTAATTCGACTTTTCTCTCAATCCCAAGAAACTCAACAGATAGCACCTCGTCTGTTGGCAATGTTGGTAAATGAAAACGAAGCAATGCAGAAGGTTGCAGCTAATGCGAATGTTATAACATTTTCTAAGGAACTACTGAATAAAGTCGTGAAATATAGTAATGAGGAATTTCCCGTAACGGAGGTCAGTTGTTTAACTGATGCTTTAAGGCTTCCAACTAATAGAAAAGAACAAAATGATCTTATAATGGAGGTATGTTGTTTATTTCTAATCCTGTTTCTAACTGTTATTAAAGTCTCTTCTTTTATTCATTGCTGCCCTGACAACTTCCAAAGACGAATATAGGAAGATGGTTGTGGATGCCAACTATTTGCCTATTATAGTTGATGCCTTGTCTAACGAATCAAAAAATATAAGAAAAGCTGCTTGCGAATGCATACTAAGCCTAACAAGGAGCGTATATATTCTAAGGACGGGATTGGCAGAGGCGGATCTTAATGAGCCATTGATGAAACTTTTGATTGATTCGGACGTGAGAGTACAATCATCAGCGATGGCCGTAGTCTGTAATTTACTATTAAAATTCTCTCCACTTCGTCATAAATTCTTAACGCCTGAATTTATTGACGTTCTGGTAGCAAATACTACTGCCAAAGACAAGTCCTTGCGAAAGAAAGCTGTTTGGGCATTGAGAAATAGCGTTTATGAGAATGATGAGAAACTGAAAAAGGGTATTATTCAAAAACTTGGACGCGATAGAGTTCTGAAACTTTGTGATGATGAAGATCTCGGTGTTCAGGAACAAATTCTCCAAGTCTTTCGAAATTTTGCGTGTCCCAAGGGTGAAGGTGTTTATGATTTTCTTGAAGTTGTATCGTTACCAGTTTTATTGAATATCCTTTATCAGAAACTCTTGACACAGAACCCGACTTTGATGGAACCTGGAATTTTCACTTTGGTGCATGTTGCTTCTAGTGACGATGAATTTCGAGATATTATTTTAGAAGATAAAAACATGCTTTTGCTCGTAAAAGATATTATGCTCAAGGAAGCTGAACGTTATCGAATTGAACATGTGTCAGATAATTCCAGCTCGGCAGGTGATAGCGAAATGGAACTTCAGGATGATGAGTTTGATTTGGAGATGCGTCCTGCGTTTGATGTATTAGAAGAAGACACGTTAGAATTAAATTCGGGAATCCTTTTAGCAGGAATATGGCTTTGCATAAGTTTATTATGGTCAAACCAAGGATCAACTCCTACTGAAGAGGATATCCAGGGAGCCAAAATTTTACGCGAACTAGGATTTGAAGATTGCTTGTTTTTGCTACAGAACCATCCATCTCCTGATGTCAGGGAAAGAGTAAAGGACGCTTTGGCTCGCATCCATGTTTTCAGTTAGTCTTAGAAAAGGATGCTTGAATTACAACTCTTAGGAACTCGCATGCTCCACCAAATCAAACACTGATAACGATACAGTTCTACGATTTTCCTTTTTTTTTTAAACTTTCTAATGATATAATGATTTAATGAAGTTTAGATGTAAATAAATGAATGTTGTCTGCTTTTCAGATGAAAGCTCAGCAAACCGCGTCCATTAAGAACGGTGAAATCCTTCAACCAATTGTGACAATAATAAAAGTAGGCGACGAAAAAAATACAATAAAAACATTCATGTGTATATTTATGCAATTCTTAGTCTGGGAATTTGCATTTATACTGCTATTGTTGGATACCCATGACATCCCAACCACTCGTTAACCAACAAGTTTACTAAAACTAAAACTGTACGATATAGGTCGAATTGCTACTAGATTTATATAATATTATTTGATAAGTTACCTTTAAGGTGAACAAGTCTTCCTTTATAGGGCTTTTAAAACATGAATGTCGGCCTTCCAATTGAAGAATTATTCATGAAGAAGCAAGGGTCTATAGAGAAGAATGAGGAAACATGGGAACCTGAGAAGAATACGAAGATGAGTTCTGATGGAAGTAGATCTTCTTTTGATGAATTTACTTTTTCAACTCCTGAATATGAGACAGAAAACGGAGATGCCGCCATGCGAGAATTCTTCAACTTTGACGAGTTACCACAAGAATCTTCAACAAAATTGTTGGAAGTTCCGCCTTCTCTCTCGATTGATTCTTCACCAAACCTGTCAAATTCTCAAGATGACAGTGAAGAATCTCAAGATCGTTCGGCAGAGTACATGCAGCCTCACATAGATACGGCTTACCCTTTCCTTATCAGCAACTCTCAGTTTTCCAATCCCTCCGTTTTTCCTCCAGTGACGAACTTGCAAGTTGCGAATGACCATCTTGATGGTACTACTGAATTATACTCAAATGGAGACGCCATCAAGCAGTTCCCTAATTTGCCAGCTACCGATTTTCCTTCTGCAGTAATAAACCCTTCATATCTAAGTAATCCAACTTTTGCGAATGAAAATTTGTCCGCTGAGTTACCTCTTTTGGATTCTGAAGGCGAATCTTTCCCTATATCATCTGCTCCATTCCCGGGGCTTCAAGATTATATTATATCTGTTAATCACGTACCTGCTGTTAACGAACAAAAATGGAGGTCAAGAGTGGAGACAAATATGCTATTTCAAATACAAATTCGAAGTGCTAATGATGGTGCCGTACCTTTTAAATATATCCGTTTACCTAATTGGGCCCATCGTGAAGAGAAGAAAAGATCTTCAAAGAAATCAGTAACCTACGCTGACCCTCGCGAGTACTTGCAGTTAATACCGACTGTGATGGCTGGTGATGATACTAACAATGTTGTTCATACATGCTGTATTCGCTGCTTACTCCGTGAAAGGAAGCGAAATGCTCGTTCTCAAGCAACTAAAGATGCTTGTATGCCTAACTACACTAAACTAAAAGCTTGCGAGCGTACCATGGCAGATGCTACACCAGAAGAAAAGCATAACTTTCAAATTAAACTTCTTAATCAATTCCCTAAATTGGAAGATATCGATGAACGAAAAATGATTATGGTTTTTACTGGTCCTGAGTTTGTTCCGCTTGAGCCAAATGAATATGGAAAAATTGCACATATTAATGCTAGAATTACTTGCTACTCATCGCATCAGTCTTGTCCCTATTTTCGTTTAACATGGGATTTGTATTGTTCCTCAAATTTAGTAGCTCATCTTTCCTTTCCTGAGCCCATAACCGTACTTGATGATCACAAAACTCGAAATGCACCTAAAGTGGACAAACAAGGGAAAAAAATGAATTCTACCAATCATCAAACAAAACAGAAGGTAACACAAAACTTAATACCGGCTTCAGTTGATTCAGTAAACAGACCTACCGAAAAGCGAAGAAAGACATTGTCTGAGATAAATTCCTATCTTCAACCTCAGCAATGGGCTAAGTCCGATATGGTCTCTGAAGTTTCTAATATTCTGGAGGAGGATGGTATAACGAATGTTGTTCCTAATATCCCAACGCTTCATGTGTCCAATGATTATCCGGCAAGTCCTTCTACTAATAACCATCAAGTTCACCTTGATACAATCAACAACGAAGCCATGAAAATGGATACGAGACACATTCCTCATGAATTATCTCCATACACTCAATTACCAAATGCATTTTTGGAAAACGATGACGCTAAAATAGGTCCTTATATGTCAAATGAAGAACGCTGTCAGCCAATTCTTAGAACACCCGAATTTAATAAGCAAAACGTGATTAGTTCAGCCTCTGCCACACCAAGCCCTCCTCAGTCAAGGGAACCTCTCATTTCTCGTGTTATACCAAATAGGGGATCCATTATGGGTGGCTATGAAGTTACTATTTTAGGAGCAAATTTCTTTAATGGATTAGTATGCTTATTTGGAGAGACGCCAGCCGCTGTCACTTTCTCATGGAGTGATTCAACAATTATAGCAACATGTCCTCCTGCAACGATGGCCGAGACGGTTCCCGTAAAATTTGTGAACTATCCTATGGACTCGGGCAGTTCAACGGTTACATTTACGTACGAGGATAATCTCGATAATGAACTTTTTAAGTTGACGGTACAAGTCCTTGGTTTGAAGCTGACGGGAGCTATTCAGAATCCTTTAACGCTTTCTAAAAAACTACTAAGTTCTTGGAGAGATGATTTTGCTCAGTATATTACAAACTCTATTAAACCAACCTCTAACCAAGACTGTGAAACTAGCCATGATTTTATGAGCGAAAGGATTGAGTCTTTGAAAAGCATGGTATCTCAAGTTGCAAAAGAACATAATGTTCCATTCCCGAACAGTCTTGAAAACTCTGTATTGGCCGCTTTATCTATTGTAGAGGAGACAAAGACAACGTTTCCTACAGATTTTGACGTGGTGAATGAGTCTGGCCGTACATTATTACACTATTCCGTGGCCGCTGGTCTTGCTTCTGCTACAACATTTCTTATTAACGCTGGAGCTGATGTAAATAAAAGGGATTCGTTAGGTTACACACCTTTGCATTATGCTGCACTCTATCAACATTTGGATATCTATTTACGTTTACTTTCGAAAGGTGCATTGCCGGACTTAGCCGGTGCCAACGACAAATGTCCTAATGATTTAGCTAGTACAAAGTTTAAGAGTTTAGTTGCGGAGAAAGAAAAGGAAAGCTTTACTTTGCTTGATGAAAAGGCTGATACGGAAAATGGTATAACATTGAAACAATCAAGCACTGTTGAAGAAATAAAAGGTAAATTATGGTCACGGTCTTCAACCTTATTTCCTTCTTTACAGGAATTACCCCAGAACTATATGAGTGAAGTACCGTTACTTATGCAGAAAGCTATGGTTTCTACCTTGCGAAGCATCTCTGCTATTCCTGATGATGTACCTCCTCCTTATTCTGAAGTAGCCGACGAGGGACATGTACCACAAGTGATTTCTGATGATTCCTCAAAAAGTGCTGAACATAACAAAAGCGCTTGGTGGTCACTCAAATGGCAATCCCGCCTCGTTGGTCGTGGAAAGACGAGCGCATTGACTCCGGAAGAAACAAAAGCCATTCAAGAGCAAGCAAAAACGCTAAAGAAAGCTGGACTGGATTTAATGCTTTTTTCTTTTTGGCTTCCTGCTCTGTTGGTATTGACGATATTCGGACTTCGAAGTTATGCACAGTTAATTGGAGGATATTTATATCAGTATATAATTGGTGCCTGAACTCTTGTGTTATTTATTTATTTTCTCTAATCATTTCTTTTTCATTCTTTGTTCTTTTAACTCTTAAAGTTCTTTTTTAAGACCCGTTCTTTTATGTGTGCATTCCTTCACAGTCATAAAGAAAGAATCGTAGAGTGATGTTATACAGCTAAAAGATATATTATCTGTTTTGTTTAATAGATTTATTTGGAATTTTGATGACATGCTCCACGCTTAAAATTTATGAAAATAAGTAATTCCAGTTCGCTCGATTTATTTGAGACAAGTCAATTTCCTTTGGCTGGTTGTTACTGTAACGTTAATAGCGGCAAAGTACAAAGCAAAAAATGAAGTAAAAACTCCTTTTTGAAGCTTTTGTATCCAATTTCAGAACTGGTTTGCAGGATCCATTCCCTTTAGGGAACTTTGAATACTATTGTGAAGCTGAAGTCTTGTAAATAGGTTTAAGTTGACAACGCTAATTTCCTATTAGAAAAGATGCCAACCTTACTTCATTTCAAGAGAGCACAGTAGAAGAATAAAAGCTCAAAATAGAGTAGAAAACTTTGTATCAAATGAGGACTCTAAAGATAACTTCTTGTTATAGTTACGACCATTCGACAGCAAAGATCAAATAGTACAACCTGAAAAACAAGGTTGTTTTCACAAAGCATTTGCTCAAATTCAAGGAACTAAGTTGAAGCTTTGGTCGTGCTCCAAAAAAATTTAGCGCTACCATACACGATAGAAAGAATGTCTCAGACGAATAAGGTAGCTCAATTGAATAAATTTAAGCAGTAATTTGAATTTAATTCTTTTGAAAGAAGAAGTTTGTAGGTTTGTTTAAACGCTTCCCTATAAATGGTTCCTTTGTTAGCTTGTTGCATATGATTTTAAATGAAATTCGAATGGCAGTTGACGAATTATAGTTCTGCTGAAGCAAGTAAGAATATTTCGTCTTCTCAACGAATAAGACTGATTAATGAATTAGTCCCTTTCACTTCTCTCTTGCACCTTTCGTCACTGGGATCCTTTACATAACAGTTCTCAGTAAGCGGCTTGACATTTACGATTAACTGAAAACAAAAGAAATGTGTTTTGTTTTTTTAATTAAACTCTTTTAGGTACCTCAGATGGCACAAATTATATGAGACCATCATAAAACAATAGGAAGAGCTCCGTCCATTTATTCCTTTTAATTATTTTACACTTTCGTTCTTAAATCTATTCAATAATTTCTTCTTCTTACCTGTGAACTGGATGATTTTTTCTGTGTTTTTATTGTAAACTTGAAGGCTTTTTTACGTCCTTAGAAAACGCATCTTGTTCAACTATCCAAGCACCATTCGAAACTCCTGTAGATACTTAATCGACAAAGTTGATGGAGGTATCCTCTATACAACATGATGTTGAAGACTTGTATTTAAACCAAGGTGAATTTCAAATCAACGTAAGTTCATTTCATTGAAGGTCTCATGGATGAAGGGATTTGCTAATAAATGTTAGAACTTTCAATACCGATCTGTCAGAATATGTCACGAGGTTAAGTCCCAAAGGTTTGTGACAAATTTATTTGGCATTGTTAAAACATTTACCCCTAAGAAACAAAGTCTTAGAGGAACATGTGGTGAGTATGAACAGAGGAAAAGACAAGTAAATCCAAGGAAAGCAAAAGTTTTTTAGGCTCAAAGGTTCATATAAGGATCTAGAAGGATATGGTGGAAGGGATTATGGTCGCTTACTTTAAGTCTTTTCATTTTGTTTTGCTATTAAAAAGCTAACCCAAAATCGTCTTTAGACTGGGTAGTGACAATAGAGCTTTGGGACCCTAGTTGTTATCCTCGTACTGAAGGTCTACGTATACATTTGTTCAGTAAAAAAGAAAACGATCTTCCAGAAATTACAGAAGAAGGGCAGATTCTTCTGCTGCATCATATAACAATTCGGCCTTATAGAGACAGCGTGCAAGGGCTATCTAAGACTGACTTTACCTTTCAACTTTGGACTAGAAATTTGGAAAGCTCAATTAGTAATACCTTTCGTTTATTTCATGTAAGGGCCGAGGAAGTTGAGTTTGCGAAAAGACTAGGCATCTGTTGGCAAAAACAATTCGAGCACCATACTGTAGAAAGCCAAACTCCTGCCATTGAAGTGCATCATCATAATGAATGGGGGGCTTTGAAAGACCGTGAAAACTCGGTCGTCACTCTCTCCAAAATTCGCCCTTCCCAGCGGTTCACTTTCTATGCCCAAGTCATTAAAACTTGGTATACAGAAAAAAACTTTACTGTTTATGTCACAGATTTTTCCGAAAATGAATTTTTCTATCCCGTAACTCGCGAAACTGCTCCTCATATGCGATGGAAAGGTCCTCAGGGTCGTTATTCTGTACGGTGTATTCTTTGGGATGAGCATGATTTCTATTGTCGTAACTATGTTCAGGAAGGAGACTATGTCCTCATAAAAAATGCTCGAGCTAAGCTTGATCGAATTGGTCAACTGGAATGTGTTATGCATGGCGATCCTGGCCAAAAATATAAAAGCAGCATTGAAAAGGTTGATCCTAATGTTCCTGAATTGGAGAGTTTAAAGAGAAGGAAAAGAGATTATGTAAAAAACCAAGAAGTCCCCGAAGTCGCTGCCAATTCTGTTGACGATCAAGTTAATCCTTTCATCTCTCATGAAATTAACTACCCTAAGACCTCTAATATAACTGCTCATGTTTTTAATGATTCAATAGAAATTCCAATTACTACCATATCGACTATTCTGCATTCTCCTCTGAACTCTATTACATCGCCTCGAAAACATCGACTCAGGGTACAAATTGTCGATTTCTGGCCTAGAGATTTAACCAGTTTTTGCGTTACTACATCGGATTCTATGTCTTCAGAGTACAAATGGATGTTTGTCTTTCTTGTGAGAGATGCATCAAAAACAACACTCCCGGTTATCTTTTATAGTGAAGATGCTCAAGCTCTCTTCAATACCTCTACTATATATCCGTGCGATTTAAAAGTTGAAAAGCAAGTTTTACTTAGACTTCGGGAAAGACTATTTTTAGTTTGGGGAAATTTGGAAGAACGGGTAACCAAACTTTTGTCCAAGGGCGTTTCAAGTGATCAAATTCCCAAAGAAATTGATGAAACTCCATGGTTTGATATTTTCGTTATGGAGTATATGCCTTTAATTAACACTAACTCAAAATCAACATCTTTTTTGTCAAAGAGATGGAGGGCTTTTGGGACAAGAATCATATAACTCTGTTTCTTTACATCATTAATAGTATTCTTTAATTTATTGTAACTAACTAAAAAAAGAAAAAATATAAAGACATCTAAAGAATTTCATGATTAAGTCGAAAAAAGATCTAATTTCCAAATTAAATACAGACTCGCCGACGTTCAAGGTATCGAAACGGAGTGCACATTTAAGTAGGCTTTTGCTTGCTTTCGTTCACACGATACGGAGCATCATCATCACTTTCATCGTCCACAGCAAAGAGAGCTTGATGTTCATCAGCATTTCCACTTCGTGTACCATGCTGGGCTTCCGAACCTGGCTGCTCTTGATAAATGGGCAGACTTTCATGGGAAACTGAGGATGTCATTTCAAATTCATCAACATCTTGAGCAACTTGTTCGCTCATAGCAAAACGACGGTTATTCTCGGTAGGCCTCCATATATACAAAATGGTGACCATCAAAATGAAAGAAAGAATATCAGCATATCCGTAATCTAAGAACCAAAGTAACTTCCAGTATTTCAAGTAGTAGTTCATTTGACCATTAATTCCAATTAAGATAGCATTAGTAACGACAATTGCTCCATAGGCAATTATACCGAAGCAAATAACGACCCATAAACGAGTATACATTTGAGCTTTCACGGTTTGTTTACGCAAACGAAGGTCTTGAATAGTATTATTCAAAGCCAAAACGATCCAAAAAAACATGGCGAAAATGGTGAATAAAAAGATAGGAGCAGCAAACATTAAGACGAGAGATTCTTGGTTATTGGGGCTCACAAATAAAGAAGTAAGGAAAAAGCTCAGAGCAACAAACTGTAGAGCTCCAAGGATTTGGCACTTACGAAGGAGGCTGCCAAGGGTTGGGACAACGATTGAATAACCCAAGGAGACGATTAGAACGAGAAAACCGAAATAGGATTGACGGGCAGCCTGAAAGATAGACAAAAAGAAGGCAAATACTTTACTTGCTGTTGAGTAACCATTTGCGTTGGCATAGAAAAAGTATCCAGAAGAAATGAAACCACATACCAAAGAAAGAACGACGACGCCTGAAATGTACTTTTGAACTTGCAGAAGATCATGTCTGTAGCGAAACATAATTAATGACCACCAAATGGAAACAATAACGTTCAAAATAAGCAAGGCGGGATTCAAAAACAAATGGGGATATTCAGTAGCGTCAAGCTCACCAAAATAGTTCTCCCAAGTAACACTGATAGTATACATTTCTTTGGCACCCTCCAATGGTGCAGTGAAGACACAATATAATCCAGTCTCATCCACAGGGTAGACAAAAGGTGAATCCAATGTTTTCGCATTTATGAAATCCGAGAAAACAGATTTGTGAGGTTTATTTTCATCCACCAGATAGAGCCCATATTGTTCTTCACTGCAAAAATCAGCTTCTATTTCAGGATAATCACAGATATAATGACGTTGCTGGTCTTCACCAACTAAACCAACTGAATCAACTTCTTTCCAATTGAAAATTAACAAGCGAATCGCACCATCAAAGTTTGACTTAAGTTCATCGACATTTACTAGAAGAAAAAAGTTAGTTGAAAGCGATTGAAGACTGATGTTGCATGATGGTTATGCATAAAGTAAGTCATATTTGACATTTTAAAGTCCAGAATAGCAAGATTTGATAGCTTATGATTTATCCAATATCTCTATTACTGTAAAACAAGCCAATTAACCCAGTTTACTTGAAATCCTTCTCGACTGCATTCCAGGCAAACCACCACTTCAAAAACGTACATTTAATTTCCGATTTCTTTCCATCTTTGGCGTACATTCCATTGCAGATTTGCGAAGCCATAATATCTTCCGTCTATTTGATGCAACGTTAGCAATCTAATTTTCCTCAGTATGCAACAGAGAATGAAACCTACCAGCAAACTCTTATTATCAGATGCAAAAGCAAATATGCTTTGCATGAATATTAGATACCCAACCACCAGTAATCTGAGAATTGGCATTTTTTTTTTGTATTTGGCTCTTTACAGGTTGCAGACGCTTCTTGTTGATATGAGCCGTACTGACGTTTACAACAGTTCTCTGGGCTCGCTATCATTGATAGCGAAGTGCAAGTTGCACACTAGTAAACACATGGGTTAGAGCTGCTGGAATGAAGAAAAGGAAGAAAACATAAATAAAGTTAGGTTGAAGCTTATGAACAGTGATCGGACAACATTTTTCAATTTACTGCGTGCGACCAGAAAGACGGGTAAATAATGCAAAGACGTATGTATGAGATTAAACTATGCTAAAGGTATCATATTTACATAAATAACGATGGAAGGAACTTAAGATGCTTGAGTGCAGTTCAAAGAGAACTTAGGAACGCGATTACTATAGAAAGCACCAAAGTGAGGTTCAACATTGCTGTCGGTACCCTTGTAAGACTCATCAAACGCTTCAAAGTAGTAAACGTCAATGCCTTTCTTGAGAATTTGACATAAGGCTTCATGGTAAAATTGCTTGGCGATATCGTTGGAAGTATCGGCTTCACCATAAGAAGGACCTCCAGTAGGCCAGCCAGTTTCACCAACCAAAAATTGTACGTTGTTGGTACCCTTAACATGTTGAACACGATCTAGAGCAGTAAGAGTGTCTGAGATGAAAGTATTGGTCATGTTGCTAGTATTCTGACCTTGCCAATAAGGAAAGTCGTTGGACATGATGAAATCACTAGCTTGGATCGAAGCATCACCGGCACCAGCAGCCCAGAGATTCCAACTATCAGCTGTACCGACAGGGACATCGAAGCCAAAACTCTTGACAAGACCACGAACATCGTTAATACGATCAGCAAGGGCACTCGCACTAAGGTCATTTCTGTATAAAACTTCGGAGCCAACAGTTATACCTTTGATGTTGTTAACACCATACTTGGGTAAAAATTGAGATAATGCTTGTTTCTCCTGACCGAAGTGGGCATCGTCAGTAGGCCAAACACCAATGTAAGCACTGAAATTATGAGATGCTTGAGATAAAGCAGGCAACAAGTTCTCCAGTGTGTTGCAATCACTCGTAGCATATGTACGTACGCTGTCTGTGTAATTAGCTAATGCATTCAAATCGGCCAAATAATCGTCAGTACTTTTGCAAGCACCGTTGTCATTCTTAGCACCAATGCAGAAATTCATGGTCCCATTATAGGGTAACGTGTCGGGATTGTATGAAGTTAATTCAGAGGCCGACTTATTTACTGCAAAGGCCGTGCTCGGCAAGAGAGCTAATGCAGCCGTCAACACAGAAGGAATAAGCATCATTACGATGAATGCTAATCTATTTTTAATTCAAAACACAAGAACGAAGAAAGTAAATGAAAGTAATTCTTTTTTTTTCTTTTTATATAATTCCAAAAAAGAAAATAAGATCAGACAAAAGCTTTCACTTCTGAATTCAAACGTATTTCTTTAACACATAGTTGCGGCTTTTGCTATATTTAAGTATTAAATTGGACTTCTCATGGCCGACAGAGCTTTTGATTAAAATTTTTTTTGGGCAATTATTTCGATGGCAATCATGACTGACATTATACAATCCTCAGCGCTCCGGTGGCCATTCCTACTAAAGATTACGTGTATAATAATATCTTTGAATTCATGTAGAAATTAATAAATCAAAAATAACGTCAAGGCAGAAAATGATAGTTTTTTTGTTTAATAGCATGCTTATTAAGTTAGCTTATCTAGTAAATGCAGAATTGTAATGTAGTAGGCTATTCTATAAAAGAATTCTTCACCACCAGAAATTTTTGTACGGAAGAGATTTAGTTCCTTACTTGAGAATAACGATTTTTTGCATAGACTAGTTCTCTAATAGCCAATTAAAAATTTGATCATTTCACCATCCTTAGTGACATGTGAATTTCTTTGCTAATCAAAATCCGTTCGACATTGAGAACTTGGCACTTTATCAGGTTTTTCTTATAAACGTGGAAGCCATTGGTTTTAATTATTAGTCTGGAATTCCATTCGACTCATACATCAATATAGATTCGGGTTTAAAAATTCACCAATTGGGTTTAGTTTGATTTATTTTCTCCCAAGATCATATTTTCATATGGCAGTAGATAGATGAAATTAGCAATTGCATTTCTATCAATCCAACTCCTTACGACGCATATCGTCTACTGTCATTAATTGATCGAATAGAGGAATCATTCATTGCATGAAGAGGTTTCTAAATAAAATTTATCAATAAACATAAGCATGTAATCTAGGCAATCTTCACAGAAGCCGAAGTTTCAGAACTCTTGTAGGCAGCTTCGATAATCTTTTCCACTGTCAAGACTTGTTCAGGTAGAACTGAAATGGCAGAGGACTTGCCGGAGAGGACATTATAAACCTCTTCATAAAATGCGAGGTAATTTCCGGAAATAGTAGGCACGGTACTGAAAGTAGGTGCAGGAAGTGCTTTCACATCGGCATCAACAGGAACCGTCCATAGCTTAGCATAGTCTTGAGAAGATTCTTGACCATAGCCACCTTCTGAGGGTTTCATGCCCTTATTAAGTTGACCTTCTTGAGGATCTGCACCAAATTTCAAGAACGTGCCTCGGGTACCCTTGATGCAATAACGGAAGGCGACCCCACAAGAAATACTAGTGGAGCGCAAGATCACTTCAACGGGAAGCTTGTTCTCCTTAGCAGGATAATGTAACACAATAGTAAAGTTGTCTTCTACTTCCAAGGGAGGAATTTGACGTTGGCAAAACACCTTTCCTGTAACAGATTCAGGAACGCCAAAGAGAAGCACTGCTTGATCAATCAAGTGAGCACCCAAATCATAAACTAAACCAGAACCAGGACTGGGTACGTCTTTCCAGTTACCCTTACGGAACAGACGGAAACGGTCAATATGAGATTCGAATTCAACGACTTCACCCAAACGGCCACTGTCGATAACGCTTTTAGCGGTCAAAAAGTCACCATCCCAGCGGCGATTTTGATAGATGGCTAATACGAGATTCTTGGACTTAGCCAACTCAAACAACCCTTTCGCTTCTTCATATGTGGGTGTAAATGGCTTCTCGCAAATGACATGCTTTCCTGCATTTAAAGCAGCAGTAACTGCTGCCACGTGAGCATCAGGAGGAAGAGATACGACCACCAATTCTACATTTGAATCAGCCAAAAGCTCGTCAAGCTGGGTATACACCTTGACGTTGGGATAGGCATTACGTGCCTTGGAGTGTTCGGGAGTTGCACGACGCTCCCAAGCAGCATAAATCTCATACTTTTCTGGGGACGACTCCAAGAAAGGGAAATGAAAAATGAAGGCAGACATGCCTGTACCAAGGACTGCAGTCTTAATGGGAGTCATGGTATAAATGTACCTTTATTGTGTAAGTTAGATATTAAGCTTCAAAGCTATTGCCGTATGACAAACCCTTGCCGGCAGTGCTCTTTCACTTACGATTTCAATAAACTTGCTAATAGATTATCGGGGTAGTTAAAACCAACAACGAACGAAACCGTAAAAGAAAAATTGTGGTAAGGATGTTTTCACAGGTCTACGGTCCTGTACGAATTCCCTGAAACAGAACCATCTTGCTTACGTTATTTCCATGATTTAACTGTTACTCGCGCAAGTTACAATCGATGTCGGACAAATTTCCAGCAAGGAGGCTTAAATTGAGTATGCGCAATCCATCGTAAATGAATGAATGAACCAATTAATCAAGGCATTGAATGAAAGAACAGAAAAAGTAGTAGAAAACATGACTTTTACGTTACACGCAGTTTGAAAACAAAATAAATTAACCATCATCTCTATATTATATCGGCACTGTATAGACAGACAAAAGTGATCCAAGACTGGTTTACTCTTATTTTACCATTCCAACATTCTACTTTAATATTACAATGATTCATTATGCTCATCATCTAACGTATGTGATTCCATTTTTATTTGACCTATCCATCCATTAAGAAATTCGTAATAACAAGAAACATGTATGAGCGTCAACAACTAAAAAAGATGGAAACATCCACCTCCAAAGTCATACTCCTTGGATGACATGCAAAGGAATCGTCTACCCTTCTATCGGCATTACCTACATGGTAACATATACAATTTGACGGTAGCTTTGCATCCACTACGCATACACGGTGATGTCCAGTTTAAGAGCTGGAGGGAGCCTCACGAACACTGAGAGGAATTTCATCACCCATGGCAGAGACGACAGAGACAATCAAATCCTTGCCCTCCTCGAAGCCTTCTTCGATTTGTTGGCCAATTTCACCCTCAGGAATACGAACATCATCCTTGGTGCTGCCGTCAGAAGTCATGAGAGACAAGAAGCCATCGTCAATGTGGACCAATTGGTAGTCATCACGCTTAACAACGGGAACTTCCATGTTGTGGGTGGAAGGAGATACATCTTCGTACTTACGGCCGGTAAAGATATCAACAGCGACAATGTTGACCTTAGCGTGACCGTGCTTACCAGTTTTGGAGGTGGACATTTCCACAATCTTGCAAGGGCGGCCCTTGATGACAACGTGACCGTTCTTACGCAAAGAAGAGCATTGAGTAGGGAAGGTCAAGGAGGCGCCGGCTTCACCACCTTCAAAGTCGATTTGATGTTCTTCTTCAGCCATTGTTATTTAGCTTTACAAAAAATGTGTATTCAAAAAAAAGAGAACGATAAATAAACAAGTTAAATAAACTCTTTTGAAAAAGCAACCTTTAACTTGTTTCTGAGATGTTAAAATTGAGGGAATTCCAACTTTATATATAGAAAAGTGACCACATCTGCACTTTTGTGTAATTGGCCTATAGGCTCTATGCTGCATCCAATGACATATGTCACATACAAACGATGCTTCAAAACCTCCAATCATAAGTAAACCTAAGCTTAAGAAAAGGCTTTGGCCAATCGTATTGAGAAGCTAAATTTTTAGTGTTATAATGGATTTTGATTGGTTGCTTAACTTCTCGCTATTTTTTCGTTGATTCAAAACAAAAACGTAAGAAAATTTTTATACAATCCGCTTTCGCTAAAATTTGCTAACCAGAATAGGACGCTTTACAAAGCTCGTATAAAGCTTTAACGATACAATAATTAGGCAGCGTAAATAGATAACATATTCCTTTTAATACGTTACATTGAATAAAGTACCCTAGCGCTAATTACCGTTTCTATCATCACAGGTACCTACCATTCACAGAAAAGCAAGTCGTTAGGGCTAACGATTCAGAACACTCTAGAGGAGAGGAAATAAGTATTCGATACCTTTCACTGAAGCAAACATAAATACAACTATCGTCTGATTTCGTAACCTCTGCCTGCCTTGTTTGGGTTTGAACATTTTCTCGCCAGCCATCTGGCTACTGGCCTTATGAAAGAAGTGTTTACTAAATTCCCTTTTTGTTTTTACAAGTTCAGTGAATAACTTAATTAGTCTATTGTTTTTTTTTTTTTTTTTTTTGAGCTGACGTTTACTCAGCGTTTTGTTTTTGTTTACTTTTCGCCTCCTCAGTGTATCTTGTGTAAACAATACAAGGGTCGAAAGCTACTTGATTTGCTTGTTGTTTAAATATATATATATTTATTTATAAAAGCAATAGTAATACATATATTTCTTAAGTATTCGTTTGCTTATATCGTCTGACTTGACAATGCAATGAATGAACGAGAAGGTGACTTTGCTTGGCTCAACCAAAAATCTGTTGAGCATTTACGCGATTTAACTCGTCGTCTATTCATTGGTCCGATCCCGACAAATTTTCTAAGTGGATCTACTGGCTTTTGGAAAAAACGATTTCAAAACTACTCTCGACACCAGGCTTCTTATGACATTTCCGTTGAACCTCCCATAAATCATGAACTCTTCCAACGGTTGCATACTCATGTTAACAGATCAGTCGATGAAGTCTCTATGAGCAGGATCCACTCCTATGCCTCTACTACTCGACCATCAATGGACCAGGCTAGGCCTCCATTAACTAGTCATCGTCCAAACCATCGTACTCGCTCTTCACATGTATCCAAACGAGACTCCTTTGCCAACTCCATGCATTCTAACAACCGTGATTCTACTCTCATACCCTACTCTTCTGACTCTGCTCGAGTTCGTTCTTCTTTCGATGTACAGCGTCCCTTCACCGCTGTAAGTAACCAAACGTTTCAGTCTCGTCGGTCGTCTGACCAACGATCTCTAACTTCACGTCGTCTTCGATTTTCTTTAAAGCAAAGTAGTCCTCGTGTCCTAGGTACGAATGAACATGCAAAACTAAGCGCTCCATCTTCGGACATTGTTTTTCGGACTGAAGAAGTCCTTTTGCGAGTTGAAACTTCTTCCAACTTAATCCCTACTGAATTCAACGAAATGATTGCTTCTCGGATTCCAAGAAAAACCATACTTTCCTGGGCCCCTTGTACAGTTATCGCCGTAAAAACTTCTGAGAAAGGGACTGTTCGGTTAGATTTTATTGGTGAAGAATATATGAAAACAGTAGTTGACTATATTTCAGAAAATGAACCTAATCATAAACATTATCGAAAAAACTGTCTATTTTCTTTGTTCTTGACTCCCTCTTATACCTTTTGGAACATATATAATTCGTTCGATAACTCGCTGGCAATTTGGTCCCCCTACATAAAACACAAAACTTTCATTTTCCTTTTAAATTTTCAGTGTACTACTTCTGCGTATGAATGGATTGCTATCGTCAGCCGTGCATTGGACTTCACTCCCGGACCTTCTTTTCTGATAGGTGTCCCAGCATTTCATATTCATTTGCGTCTCAGTTTTACTTGTCCCAACTCTCCTTCCGTCGTAAATTATCATGCTAACTCACGGCAAAGGAATGAAACAGCTTTGCATATAAAAAATGCTGATTCAACGGATAAGGTTTCTCCACAAACGATTCATGATACAGTTTTGAAAAATTGGGAGATTTCGGAGACCGATTTTGTTAATTCTTGCTTAAATGTTTTAAAGTTAAACCCTGAATGGTCTCAAATCGTAAACCAATGGTTCAAAACGCAAAGCGTAGGCTTGTGCTGGAGAACGTATGACCGTATTGAGTGGATTACAAACGTAGAGAGCCTTAAGTATGTAGGATTACTAGCTGCTAAAGATATCAGCCAGCTTGAGTTACGACCTAAAAATCATTACCCTTCGTTTGTCACGTTCAGAAACGGCTCAAAAATGAAGGAGCCCGTGCCGTTCGAAGGATATTTGATTCGCTTGACGACGAGCGCTGGACGAAGAGGGCGTTTTGGTAGACTGTTTCACAAAAAGCTGTACTTCACGGTTTTTAATCACCTTTTTCTTTCCATTGAGCCCAGTTATGTCCTGCCTCTTACCATTTTAATGGAAAATTTTAAGAAGCAAATGGATTTTCCATTTCTTCACGACTCCGAAACGAATGAACATCAGTCCATGTTTGACCCATTAAAAGATGTTAGCGAGACAACTCCCTGGTTTGACAATGACATAGACAGTTCTACAAAAGAGCAATTACTTGCTTTGCTTCAAACAGAGAGAAGGCGTGAATTGGATATGCTCTCATCAGCAAATGGGTTTTTGGATTTGTCGAAAGTCGAGCTTGTTAAGCCGGAAGAAAGTGGAACTGACAACAACGTTTTTGAAGTACGTATGGTGAATGGTATGTCTTTACTGTTTCAAAGCTATAATCAGAAAACAAGGGACATATGGATTGAAAAGCTTGGGGAGACTGCACGTTATTGGAAACAGCGTTTGCACCTTGATTTACAAGAATTCTATTATGTCAGGGACACTAACATTAGCATATTGCATATTGACTCATCTATTGAGCCTGTTGTTGCATCTCACAGTAATCATTGGGAAGTCTCAGAATGTATAGCAAGTACACACATCCATAACTATTGCAACATCCTAGGATGCAGGATAATTCGGGTAAGAAAAAAAAAATGATTTTATAAATGCTAATCACAATATAGGCTCAAGGGGTGCTATATATGCGAACAGGAAATCTTTATGAGAAATGCTATGCTATTTTAATTCCAGGAAGAATCATATTTTTTCGGGATGCTACTAGAACTAAATTTGGTAAACTCCATAGAAAGACGCATTTTCAGAAATTCACTTCAATTTATTTCAAAAACGCTTATATTTATACCGGTTTAACGACAATCACTGAGTTTGCGAGGGACCGGCGAAAAAATGAAGGGACAAGCAATCGATTACCCAAATGTCATGAAGATGGCTGGAAGTCTTTTGATAAAGACGAAATGCTGTCTTTTGTTATTTACTCGCAAAATGGATTGGATTATTCCATAACGAATGCTTTTCCAGATGTTTACAATATTTCATCGAAAACCCCCAATCAAAAAGGAAACAAGTAAGTATTATTGCTCAGGATCTTTACTGACTATTACAGGTTTATGTTTCTTGCTAGAACTAGACAGGAACGGGATGTATGGGTAAAAAGGATCTCTAGAGAAATTGAACGAATTCCGATTGACCAAGCTTAAGGCTATTTACCTATTATGATTTTGTATTTTTATCTTTATCCTTTAGCTGGCAACCCTTTGAATGTATGAGAAACAAATAATGGTACTTTAATGTTATAAAAGAAAAACTTCATATGCTCGTTGTATTTATTTTTAGATTTGTTTTTGTGTTCATCAGACTTTTAGTGTCATTTTGTGGAATAAGCATATGAAAATGAATTCCATGCTTCCAGCAAAATATATTTCCACTTAATTGTTTACTTTTTCTATTGTATGAGAAGTCTTATAATGATCAAAAAAAGACAACAGAATTGGCTTTTTGCTGCAACTTTCCTACTTCTGTTTACATTTCTAAAGGTAACATTGTTACTTGTCCGCTGAGAATTCCAAGGGTCCTTTAGCAGTAAAGTCTTTTAGCACAAGTCTGCCAAGCACGTCCATTCCCTAAGAGCCTTAAAGAAGTAGGTATCCACTTCGACAACTATATACTTATGCTATGAAGGATGTTCTCTCAAAGGCAATTTCAGCGATGTCTTTTACGGACGCGATTTTGTAGAGTCAACGTGCGTGGTCGGCGGCTAATACAAACGGAGCCATTGCAAAATGCTGAGGAAACCGTCAACGTGTATAAGCCAATTCTTCCTTCCAAGAAGTATGAATTCAAAATTAACACGGATCAAAAGTCTGAAATGGTGAGTCTATACGAGGCATGTGTATTCACGAATGATTTTGTCCGTTCTGCTCAGCTTTTGGGTCGCATAGCCAATTTTAATGCAACTGATGAAAATATGTACCCATACATTGAATTTTATCTTCGACATCTAATCAATTCTGAGGATTTTTCTCTGGATTCCATGATTCGAACAACGAGAGCGATCCTTAAAAAGTCAAAGCTTCCGGGTAATGCCACGATTTATGCTTATTATTTCCAGGCAGCCTTATTAAAAGAAGGAAAGGATTCTGGTTATCCAGTTCTTCATCGAATGGCTGTGGAATGGAGATACAGGAAAGGAAAAGTTGTTGATATTTTATCCCAGACGTCCATTTTAAGTAGCGAACAAATACAAGCGATCATTAGAATCCTCAACATTCCTTTAGAAACTCTCTCCAATAGCCAACTAGCTCTTTTTGGTTTTCAATCTTCTAATTTGACTGAGAACGATCTTATACGAAATACAGCAGTAAAAGGAGAGTCTCGATTGAAACCTGTACCGGCGACTGAACATGTTTATATTGATAAAATTAAGAGCAAAGGAATGCGTCTGGATGCCTTACTAAAGTCACTAAATAATATATCTACTAGTCCTGAAGAGTTACCAGTTGATGAAGTATCATTGGAAAAGGTGCCTAGCTCAGAACTCGTCAATTTGGCGAGACAAAAGTTGTTAGAAAAATCTTCGATTGCTTCTGCTATTGATTTATGGAAGGCTGAGTATGAGGAAATTTTCCAACGCGGAGGAGCTTTACCCAAAAATAAAGAAGCTTCTGCATTGTTTTACCAGTGGTTTGTAGAGTTGAAGGAGTTATTTAATCAAGAAAATAAACGTCTTGATGCTTTTTACCATAGAATTGAAACAAATGCAGGAAATCCATATATAGCTGAGGGCTTTTGTGGTCCTTTTCTGAAGCTTTTGAAAGCGGACAAACTTGCTGCTCTAACAATCATTGAAGTAATTCGCTCTATTTCATCGTTTTCTAGTCAAGAAGAAATCGAGGAAACGCATGGGGTATTGATTTCTCGGTTGACTGATGCTGTTGGGCGGAGCTTTGAACGCGAATTCTTATCTGAACGTATACAAGCAGAAGAAAGAGAGGGACATATCCGTTTAAGGGATAATCTAAAGTATGTTTTTAATAATCCTCGTGCATTTAGAACTGCCGTTAAAGAGTTGAGACGTAATGCCGATGAGAACGATGGGAAATGGAAACACGCTTTGGAGAGCTGGCCAAGGTATGTCACTACCAAGATTGGTGCAATTGCGATATCATTGTTTTTACAGGCTGCAAAGATGGATATTAATTTTAAGCGTTCGGATACCGGGGAATCTGTAAAAGAGTCTGTGTCCGCGTTCGCTCATACGTATCAATATATCCATGGAAGAAAGTCGGGAGTACTTCGTCCTAGAGTTGAGCTCTTAAAATTAATAGCAAGTGAATTTCAGAACCCTCTTATTCATCCACAGATGCTCCCAATGTTGGTACGTCCGAAACCCTGGGTGCAATGGGACAAAGGAGGTTATTATTACTCTCGAGAGTCAATTATCCGTTTGAAAGGTTGTACTGAACAGTTGGATTATGTGAAAGAAGCTTCTCGTAAAGGACATTTAAAAAAAGTATATGGCGCTTTAAGCGCACTTGGTGATGTGAGCTGGAGAATAAATCGCTTTACTTTTGATGTTATCGTCAAAATATGGAATTCAGGTGAAGGTATGCTCAGTATTCCTCCCAAAAACGTAGAGGTGAATCTTCCACCTTACCCTAAGCAAGCTTTAAATCCAAATGATCGTGCAACGTGGTACAGTCTAAGGGATAAGCTAACTAGAGATAAGGCAACCGCACACTCTCAACGCTGTGACTTTAATTATAAACTTGAGATTGCTAATTCATATCTAAACGAAAGATTCTACTTTCCTCATAACATGGATTTCCGAGGAAGAGTATACCCAATGTCCGCGCATTTGCACCATGTGAACAACGATTTTTGTCGTGGTTTACTAGAGTTTTCTGAAGGAAAGCCGTTAGGTCCTAATGGACTCAATTGGCTGAAAGTTCACCTAGCTAATTTGTTTGGTAATAGCAAAGTTGATTATGCTACTCGTCAAAAGTTTGTGGATGACAACATTGAAGAAGTCTTTGACTCGTATGATCGTCCCTTGGATGGACGTAAATGGTGGACATCTGCTGAAGATCCTTTCCAAGCGCTTGCCGCAATTGCAGAAATTGCAAAAGCAACGCGCTCCGAAAACCCCGAGACTTATGTTTGTCACGTACCTGTACAGCAAGATGGGACTTGTAATGGGCTACAGCATTATGCGGCTTTGGGAAGAGACCCCGATGGTGCTCATGAAGTTAATCTATCTCCTAATGATCGTCCTAAAGATGTCTATGATGCTGTAGCTAAAATTGTTATAAGCAAATTAGAACATGAGTCTATGAAAGGCGATGAGATGGCTTCTGCTTTGAAAGATAAAATCGACAGAAGCGTTGTTAAGCCCACCGTGATGACTAACGTTTATGGCGTTACTTATGTAGGTGCCAAAAATCAGATTATAAGTCAATTAGAAAAGCGAGGAGATATCCCGAAAGATATGCTTAACAATTACTCTAGTTATTTAACCAAGATGGTATTTCGAGCCCTTCGGTCCTTATTTGAAAGAGCTCATGAGATTCAAGATTGGTTATCTACTTGCTCGTATCTTATTTCAAATTCTTTACCGGCAGAATACATTGAGGAAGGTCATAAGGATAAGTTGACGCCCACTATTTGGACAACTCCTCTCGGTTTCCCCATTATTCAGCCTTATAGAAACTTTAAAAAGCGACAAGTGCAGACAAACCTCCAGTCAGTTTGTATTGAGGACAGGGATAGAGTAGCTTCCGTTGAACCTAGAAAACAAGCGGCTGCTTTTCCTCCTAATTTTGTGCATTCTTTGGATGCAACACATTTGTTTATGACATGCCTGAAAGCGAAGGCAGCCAACATAACATTTGCTTCCGTCCACGACTCCTACTGGACTCATGCATGCGATGTCGAGAAGTTAGGTAGTCTGTTGCGAGAAGCTTTTGTTGAGTTACATTCACAGAAAATAATGGAAAAATTGAGAAATGAATTTCGAAAGCGATATAAGAACTATATGATTCAGAAGGATGTTGCAAGAAGGTATGATTTGTGGATATCAACTGAATATGCTGATAAAAAATGGGTACCGCTGAGGATCCCAACTCTACCTTCACAAGGTTCATTTGATTTAACGAAGGTTTTGGAAAGCAAATACTTCTTTTCATGAAAATATCTAAAATTTTGGTTTCAGAAGCGTATAAAGTTTGAAAGCTTCTCCGCTATGTATAAGTATGCATGATTGCAGTTTTTAACAAGTAGACTGCAATTTGTACGAAAAAAAATACTCTTTCCTTCTTAATTTTTAATAGAGTGAAGTTAATTAACGGTGAATACAATAGATTAATATATCATTTTTGTATATTATATACAATCTATGACATGTGGCATCAGCGTTTCTTAACTCTGTATTGATAGTTTTGAACCAAAGCATTTATTAAAAGGTGAAAAGTAGTGGAAAGCTTCTATATCCTGCGATTATAGACAGGTTGATGGTTGAAAAAAGGAATTAGAATAATGGTGAAAGGGTTGCATATAATAATTAACAGACAGACGAACGTACACAATAATGAAACAAAAAAAACCTAAATAACCGTGTATTGAAGGTAGAAATAACTATTACTTTGGTTCTAAACAATTTCATCCATAAGACGTTGTTGAAGCTCAATATTTTCTAGGAAGCGTTTGGCGTGATTTCTCAAATAGGTACGATTAGCTGCGATAATGTAGGGCTTCATCAAAATGCGAGTTAAGCGACCCATAAACGAGCTTGGGAGAGTTTGGGGTCGGATGCCAGAGTCGACGATTAATTTATTAGAGTAAGAAAGGGTTATTAAAGTAAAGTATAGCTTTAAAGAGGTAAAAAAGGTTAGCAAAAGTAAAGAAGGAATAGATTCTGCTTCGAAAAACACGGCCCAAAGGCTAGTAGGCTGCTGGGAGTCCGGCACACCTTGAGCAGATTGAGTAGAAGTGAGCATTTTGGCAAACCAGCTCAATGCAAACAAGACGGTAAAGACCATATTTAAAATAAAATCGATTGCATAAGAATAAAACAATATGAGTGCATGCGGCACACTATCCTGTTTTTTTTTATTAGCAAACGAATGCATAATGATTATCACACAGAAAATCCCTGAAAAGAGAATAGAGTTAAAACATACCCTTGGAATGTAAACTGCTAACCAAGAAAAGAGAACTAGGGTGAAAATAGAAGTCATATACATGAAAATCTGCCAAGCAGAGACAGCGGAACCTAGTTTGAATTAGATTAGACAAGTAATGAAGGAAGGAGCACTTACTCTGAAATAGGGATACAATTCCGTAAAGACCAGACAATTTGTTAATGATAGCAAACCAAACGATGACCTCGCACCCAACACGAAGACTACATAAGCCAAAAAGAGACTGCAAGAGTTAATAAACAGGACCAGAATACATTGTATGAAAACTTTGCTTTGAGTAGAGCATTTCAGAGCCAATTTTAGAGTGCCACAATGCCCAAAAGTTCAAGAACGTACCCTTGGGAGAAAAAATTGCTCTAGTAAGTTCGACCAGCGGACGCGACGAAAGCTGACCATATTGAAGAATTTTACAAGGTTTTATATCCAAGAAACAACGACCAATTTTCCAGATGTTACGAATAATGATGAAATAGACCGACAAAACCGGAGGTTAATACAAAAGGGACAACCGGAAACAACGCCACATCCAGTTTGATAGATTAAAAGAGTCAAATTACTATCACCAAGAATATAAAGGAGAATCCAAAGTATATTTTTCCAGGACGACCAGTCGTACTTTCGTGCCTTAATACCCTAACAATTCCACAGTGTTTCGTTATAGTATACAAAATGCGTTCAAGATAGGGCCAACTCCCGATCGATACGCTTCTTTTCAAAAGATTTCTTCAAAGTATGCTGGTTCCAATGGAGTTTGGCGTATGCTTCGTTGTAGCTTGGAATGAACATGGCTAAACACTAGAATTCGTTTTTCAAATAGAGAAATAGAGAGTGTACCGAATTCTCATTTACCGCAATGAAACGCTATCGTTAAGGTTAAAGAATTGTTACGAGGGAAGTTATAGGGAAATTAATTCACAAAGCAGAAAAGAAGAAACTCTTTCTTTTAATTTCGTTATAAACGGTACAATTCTCTTTTACTAAAGTTCTAGGAAAAGCGACGAGTTTGTCGATCCCATTGGTAATTGGAGCAATTCGCTATTTATTTAAGCTTATATTTAAGCGACCATTATCACCTTCAAAAAGACTTGTATTAGGCAATGTGTTGGTGGGAAACATGGTTTTCTATATAATTTATGTATTTAACTCTACGAAAAACCGAAAGAAAAAAGAAAGGACACCAAAGATTTACAACCCACGAATGTGATCTTCCAAATTGTGCATGTGACTGTTTTTAACGAAAGAGAGACATGACGACCGAGGGCAGCGCATAAGTTCTCCAGCGCACACATGTCAAATTGCTTGTAAAGATATAACCCTTTGCAAGTGCCAAAGTTGTGCGGAGACCATTGCATCTCGCAGGTAGTCATCTTAGTACTCTATACTACAACCCTTTAACGGTGGATTGTAGTGAGTCGGCAGGCTACTACATGTTTTCATAGTAGAGTGAAAGAAAAACATGAAAATATTTCACTAATATCATATCCTAATTATAGTATTAAATATAAATGTAATAAATATAATTTGAAAGCTATTCCAAAGACAAACAAACCAGGCAATCATCGGAAGTATAGTCCATTGTTATAAAGTCGAACATACAGATGAATTTGGGCAACTTAAACATGTGTATTCCTCTGTAGTAGCAAAACAAGTTCGATTTTCAAGAGAGTCAGAGATCCATATCCGGTTCTCTTTTCATGACCATCGTAATCTTATAAATAATCTCGTAAATAGAAATTATAACGATTTAACTTTTGTACGAGCGGATTCTTGTAAGCTTTGTTTACTCAAAGCACAAGAGTTCGACTCGCGCTGTTTTCATGATGAACACGAGCCAGAAGGCTCAATCAATAAACCCAGCTCTTTGAGCTGCCAAAAAGAAGCAGCTAGGAAACGAAAAACACGTTCTGAATGACAGCCATAAGTATTCTTTCTGAAGGAGGATATTGAAATGACTATTCAGATGGTTTTTCAACTTTGGTCTTGCATCCACTTTACACGTCTTTGTCGTAAAGGTATATATGGCTCTAAGGTAGGATGGTTCTGCTTTGGTCTTGTACGGCCTAACTTAGCTTGGGCAATAAAATAGGCAATAGGCTGTACGAATAGTTTTCCAAGCGTATCGATTTGGGTGTCTTTAGCAATTGGGAAGACTTTTGTTGTTTTCGTAGTTTTCTTAATTATAATCAGTCTATTTCCATTGGTTTATTCCTTTTTTTTCCCTTGGGAAATGGTTTGATTTTCCTTCGTTTTCCTATAAACGAATGTTTTTTAATCGTTTTAACGTTTTTTGTATGATATTTCTTCTCGCTGGAACGATCGCTACGTTTACTTTTCGCAAACTGTTGGTTCGCTTCGAGTAAGAACGATTCCTTTTTCTCCCTCTACAAATCAAAATTTGGTTGTTTCCTTATAAAGCATAAAAGGAAAAAAAGGAAGAAAGGAAGAAAGAAAACGAAACCTGTTTGAGCGGTTCGTAGATTTTTCGTTGTTTTTGAACATATTTGTACAAAACCTAAGTGAACCCTGAAAACATTTGTTTGCTTCCATTCTCTGGTTATTCCTTGGTCTTCAAATGGCTTCGACAGAAATCGTCTTTATTGTTACATTGGTCTTGTATTTAGTCATCACAAGATGGAAACGTAGAAAAGAAGATTCGATCATCCCCGAGCCTGAACCAAAACAACCTGAATGGAGAGACTATAGCCCTTTGGAGCTTCGAGAGTTTAACGGGGTCCACCGTTCCTTAGTTTTTCTTGCCATCAAAGGTACCGTGTACAATGTAACGCTGGGATCCAAGTTTTATGGACCTAAAGGTCCTTACAGTGCATTCGGTGGACACGATGCAACTCGTGGACTCGCAAAAAGTAGTTTTGATGACGAATTTATTCCAGATTCAGAAGCTGATGACTTGGATGATTGGTCGGATCTAAACGACGAAGAAAAGCAAACACTTGATGACTGGAAGGCTTTTTTCGATCAAAAGTACCCTGCCGTTGGTCGTTTGATTAGCAATAAAGAAGCCTCTCAAGCTCGTACAAAGATGAACAATTCTCCCGAGAAAAATTAAAAAGGAAAACGCTTAGCTCTACTGAATTTTCCCACCTGTCTTTCTTTAGTTTCTTTGCTGTTCAGTAATGATATTTTATGATATTTTTTTCACTCCTTTATAAGATGTCCCTCTTGTAAAAAAAGTGAAAAAAGAAAAATCAAAAGTTTGTATCTGTACAATTCATAGAGTCCGTAATGGTCGGCCCCTAATTAAAATCACAATGGCCACATATATTTGAATGCTTCTTTTCTTTAAAGCTCTATTCTCTATTTTATAAATCAAAATAAAATAAAATAATAATCCCTTGCTCTCGTTTTCTTCCTTTCACAATTTGACCAGCTCTGCCTTTAGTTTGATAAAAACTCACCTTTTCGTTAAGATAACTTTGTTTCGTAAACCCCACAACCCGAACCCTGATGCCAGCGTCACTTCTTTTCCTGCGAAAAAAAGGTCAACAGTTGCTTTTCAAAAGCAAAACAACAGAAAAAAAAGCCAAGCCAAGATGGACGTTCTATCCAGGGTTTTGGATATGAAAAATGAAGATGATGATGAATTTTTGGATATGCCACTGACTGCCAGTGAGTTCGAAGCAAAAAAACAAGAGTTACAGGAAGAGTTGACAGCTATACGAAATGGCACCTGTAGAACGCTATTGGATTTGTTTCATGGCTTGCAAGAAAAAAAAGAAGAAGAATTGGAAATTGAAGAACAGTGGAGACGCCATTTAATGGAAAGAGCTCAAGAAGAATATGAAGCAGAACTGAAGGATGCCCGAGAAGAATACGAGCAGCGCTGTAACTCTCTTCAAGCTATGGTTTTATCACACTTGGCTGAGAAAAAACGACACATCATGGAAGCCAAGGATATGTTTGATATTGCCAATGAGTCTTCCTCGCTTCTTCTACATGATGCGTCTTCCCAATTTATAGATCGTCGAAAATTAAGACATCGTCGAAATGCATCATCCAATAATTCCACTTCAAATCAATTGCCAACTCTCAACTTCTTTGACGACTATTTACTTTTCCCTACAGAAGAGACAGCAGAGATTCCCGAGTCCATAAAAAAGACTGTTCGAAATTCAGTCAACTCTGCAAGACCATCCAATGTCGAGCTATCTCTTTTTTCTCCTCTCTTGACAATGGCCAATGTGAATATCTCTGCTGCCCGAGATCGAGATTTTCGAGCTATGGAGCGAGCGGAGCGTGATCGTGAAAAAGCTGTCGATAAAGGTCTAACAGGTGCTTCTGAAGAAGATGTCAAACATGATTTACAGCTATTAAAAAAGGAGATCCTTAAAAAACGGTGAATGCTTCGTTTTTCGTCTACTCTTCCTATGTTTATTTACAGTCCATCCTACGTTTATAGCTCTCTGTCTAGCTATCATCTATTCGGCTCCATTCGAACCTCTTCAAGATGCTTAATTGTTTCAGAGATTGAAAATAAATGGATCTTATTTATTTCATTTCATTCAATTCTTGATTCCCTCCACTGTCTATCCGTGAAATTTTACTTCTGTCTTCTCTCTCGGCAATGCTCAATCTCGGTAGATTAAGGCATTTTGCTATGTTACGTTATCCTCTCATGTTTCTGTATCAGACTCCCCCACAGAGTTCTGTTCCCTTTTCCACCACTTGATCTACTATCGTGCTTTTGTTGATGCCAGAGCCTAACAGTATACAACAAGAATTCCCTTTCAAAGGCTTTGTTTACATACTCTTCGTGAAGAATAGACCACAAGAACTTACTTAAAAAGAAGTTTCTGTCATCAGTATACAGATTTGCGTTGCGAAGGATTAGAGGACGTTGTTTCGTCTCCAATTTCTGCCTATCTCTTCTTTACAAGCCTTCACTCTTACACTTGATTTTCATTTTCTTTGGATACTCTTCATGTTCTTTTTCAAACTTTGATCTGTTGTTTGACTGAAAAGATATTGATTTTTGTACCCTTTGTAATTTTGCGTGCTTTAGCTGGAGTAAAAAGAATTATCTGACACTGTAGTTTTGATTCTCTCCTCCTCCTCTTCCTTTAATTAATTTCTTGCGTTGTACATGCCTTTAGAGTGACTGGAATTGTATCTACTTTACCATTGCTGGTACCAAGGAACGCTTTGTTTCCCACCGTGTTGTTCATTCCTTCGTTTCTTACCATTGGCTTTCATTTTATAACTTTCCTACAGTCTTTTTGAGTCTTTAATCATTTAACAAACTATCTGATCAGAGTTCAGATTTCCCATCCTCTACCAATCTTGGGCAAATTTTATTTTTATCCCTTTACCAGAAGTATTTTTAATTGTCTTCTTTCTCCTTTATACGGTTTCTCCTTTTTTTTCCTGTCGTTTGTGACAAACTTTCTTTTAATTTCATGCGCTCTCGACAAAAATTTCGTGGTTTTCATCCAGACCGCTGGACAAAAGTCAGTCTCCGTGGCATCGGTGGTGGTGTTCGGGCCTTGAACGGAGTAAAGGCATTGAACGGAGTCAATGTTCGTGTTTCACTACAATGGAAGCGTCTTTCCAATCGCCTTCATCGAATTCGTAGAAGAAGTCGACTGGGTCGTCTTTCTATCAATGTCCGTCCAAACAGCTCCTGGCAAGTTTACTTTTTGAGCTCCCTTCCCTTACGAAGTTTGTCGCGCATTTGGGGTCAGTTCAATCGTGCCAATTTACCTACATTTTTAAGATATCCAGGATTTAAGTTGTATTCTTGGGTCTTTCGCTGTAATTTAGATGAATTGAAAGACCCAGATTTAACTCATTATCGCAATTTTCAGGATTTCTTTTGTCGTGAGCTTCGTCCCGAAGTTCGTCCAGTCGATCCGGATTCTTTGGTTGTTTCACCTGTGGATGGTAGAATTGTTTGCCAAGGCGTTGTTGATAATAACTACATTGAACACGTAAAAGGACTATCTTATTCCTTGGAAGCGCTTTTGGGAGGTGTTTCTACAGTTGATCCCGCTATTGTTGATTTTAGACAAGATATAACTTCAAGTTTGTTGAAAAAGCATAAAGAATTTGCTTCAAATTATTCTATCCCTCCATATCATGACAGATGTAGTCACTTTCGAAATGATAATGGGTTATCGACCAAAGATCCTTTGACTGGCTCAGATACTCAAAGCCAAAGTGAGACTTGGAATAATAACAATTCCACACGTGACTCTTACTATGACAATTGCTGTCCATTTAATGCTTTTCAGGACGTGACAAGTGACACAAGTTCGGTTCTGTCGGATGCATCAGATATAAGTACTGATAGTTTTTACACCTCAATTATGGAGGATGACGATGATGTACCTTTAGATGACTCGAACGGTACAACTCATCCAATTTTAGATAACGGAAAGCCGAATTGGGATGTCTGGGTTCAGGAAGCAGATGTCGTCGACATTGACTCTTTACCTTGGAGAAATATTCAACCTAATAATCTTTTATTTTATTCTGTTATTTATTTAGCACCTGGCGATTATCATCGGTTCCATTCGCCTGCTGATTGGGTGATTGAGTCAAGAAGGCACTTTTCCGGTGAGTTGTTCAGCGTCTCTCCGTTTTTGGCAAGAAGACTGCATAATTTATTCGTTTTGAATGAGCGAGTTGCTTTACTTGGTCGCTATAAGCATGGATTTATGAGCATGATTCCTGTAGGTGCTACAAATGTTGGCAGTATAGTAATTGATTGTGATCCTACATTGTCAACAAACAGAATGGTACTACGCAAGAAGTCACTAGGCTCTTTTCAGGAAGCAGCCTATAGTGATGCGTCACCTATTTTGAATGGAGTGCCGATAAATCGAGGCGAACAGCTTGGTAGATTTCAACTAGGAAGCACCGTTGTGCTTGTCTTTGAAGCACCTGCCGATTTCAAATTTTCTACCCACCAAGGTCAATACGTCCGTGTCGGGGAGGGTCTTTGAATATTCTAACTTCCTCGTTGGAAAAACTTAATAATGATGACGAATTATTTATAAGATTCTTGGTTTTTGATGATTTATTGGTTAAAGTGAAGTATAGAACTTTTGTTTCTTGTAAACATGTTTACGTTTAATAATATTGATAATATTCTTTTATTCCCTTATATACGATTTTGATTATTGCTGTATGTATACAAGATGTACTTGGGCGAGAAATACAAGAAATCCATTGGAGAAATACTTTGTATAACTTATTTTGAAATGCTAAATTAAGCAGATTTATTAGCAAAAAGAAGTAGATGTTTTGTTTAAGAACCGTAGAAACATGAGGAATGATGGGAACTGTATTCTAAGAGACCTGGCGCATGCAGCTTTTTAAACATTTTGAACATTGTGATGAAGAGAACGAAAGCCGTAAACTTCATGGTTTACATGATATACGTTGTGAAGATTTTCATCATTGACATTCCAAGCGCGACTAGCAAAAACGTTCTTTTGAGGCAAAAGAAGTTTTTCATAAGAATCCTTAAGTACATCTTGTAAGATACTAGTGTCCCGCTTCGTTTGAGCAGATGAAGGACTAGTAACCCATACTGCGCACTTTGTAGCAATTAAATCATGCAACGTCGGGACCCAAGAGCTATAATATTCAGGATTAGCAAAATCAGGCATGGGTATAAAGAAAGTATCATAGTAGGGATCGAAAGGTTCAAAGGTGCCTGTCTTGTGTAGATTATGATAATAGTCTTGGTGAAAATGAATTGTGAGAGGAGAGGGAAGATCACTCATATTTGCAGGTTTCACAACTTCTGGTCCGACAAAATGAAGTTGAAACAGACGGCCTGGAAATAAGAAGTTAAGGCCCTGAAGCCATAGTGCAGGAGGCAAGGCACTTTCAAGTCGGGCACCAAGAACAAATATCCTTGTAGGACGGGGATCAGTGGATTGGGCTGATGTAGGGCGATTCAGCATGTATCTTTGAACGGCTAAGGATTGAAGTCCTTGAGGTGTCAATCCATTTTGAAGGTTGTATGGGGAGTTTTTGTGTAAGAGGCCGCCAATAGTCATAGGATAAGTCAGCAAACTTGATAAATGTCGTGATGTCCTTTCAGAATTAATGCTAGGAAAGCCTCTAGTATAAAAGTAAGAATCCCAGGACCAAAGAGCAATGGCAACGTCTTTCTCGGCTAAGCCAGGAAGATTGGCAAGCTGAGGGATAGAGTTTGGCCTAGTTAAATCATGATAGTCCTCATTGATTTGGCGTAATTTAGGGATTAAGGCATGATGGACTTTGTCTTGTTCCCAATGAGCTTTACTGCAGTGAGAAGGGAATCCTGACTCTGGACATTCATAAGAAACTGGTTTTCCTGATATCGGACACTTGTAAACCTGTCGGATATGCTCTGCTCGTAATCGGAGTGCTTTTACAGGAGATTTCGAAAGAGGAAAAAACAATTCAGGTTCTGTAGCTTTCTTTCGAAATAAATTCGTGATCCTAAGGTTTTTTAAAATATTTTGAAACATGAATCTACCCAAAACGCGCAATTATCAATCGTTTCTGCTGGTGGTACTACGCTAACTCTGTGCAACTTGGATTTCAGCAACCTCAAAAATGAGTAGCGGTCGAGTAACAAACGGTTTGTTTACATATCTGTAAACAAATAAGGAAAACCAAGAACAAAATGAAATGAAGTACGAAACCTCTATTGATTCTTTTTCTTTTTTATTCTAACAGAGGGTCTCTTTCCTTCTAAATGAACCAGGCATTCTAAATATTTGGGCGATCGAGGAAAGACAAAAACACGGTATAAGGCTAATGGAAACGCTTCCTTTCTACCTGAAAGTTATTTTGCAATGCAAAAAAGATTCTTTTTCTTCAATGGTAGCTATGGATTTTACGAATGACTTGAGAAGTCATCTTTGAGGAAAGACACGTTGGCGTTTTCATCTAAATAAACAAAAAAAAAAAAAACACCAACTAACCATAAATATGGTTAAGAAAAAAAAACTCGACTGAATGGATGATTCGAAAGTTTGCGGCTATACGTTTAATGTCTATTTGAGGGTTTTCATCTCTTCAAGAGAATTCCATGATTACCATAAATAAGCAACACTAAAATGCCCATGAACTCCTTTGTCTTTTGAGCTGTCGTATAAATTGTTTTTATCAGTATTCGTCCAAGTATTATACTTGGATTCATCCAACACCTACCCTACCGGAAAGTATAGTCGGGCCAGGTGCAAATTTAGAGACTTCAAGATTCTCAAGTGCGCAAGAAGTCTTCGAATGTCAGCATCCAAGTATGCTGAATGGTCGAAAGACCAGCTCATAACAAAAATCTTAGAGTTGGATCAACAGTTACAGAGAAGCTCTGCAGGAAACACACAACAGCAAGCTTCCTCAACTGGAACTCAGCAGACCGTCCAAAAAGAACTAGAAACATCAGGTATTCATAAAAATGAGGACTCGAATGCTTCTACTCAGCAAGCAGCTTTGCCTGCCAAGAAAGTGAAACCTCCACGCCCTTTCCAACTAGAAAAAACGATCTTTTTGGCTTTCAGATTTGCTTATTGCGGCTGGGATTATAATGGATTAGCATATCAGACTGAACCTACACCTTTACCTACTGTAGAAGGAAAAATATTCGAAGCTTTATTGAAAGCTCATCTCATTGAGAGTCCTGCAACATGCAATTTCAGTAGATGCGGCCGTACAGATAAGGGCGTTTCTGCTATGGGCCAGGTCATTTCGCTAAACGTGCGACATTCCGAACGAAGACCTATTGTCTATTGCGATGTATTAAACAGAATATTACCATCTGATATTCGAATCACAGGATATGCTGTTCCTCCTCCTGAATTCAATGCTCGCTTCTCCTGTAAACAAAGACATTACAAATACTTGTTTACAAAGTCTTATCCCGGTGGAACATTGGACATTGACCGGATGAACGAGGCAGCCGCCCTCTACTTGGGAGAACACGATTTTCGAAATTTTTGTAAAATTGATGCTTCAAAACAAATTACCAATTATCATAGAAGAATTTTAAGCTCAAAAATCATTTGTGTTGATCCTACAACCGAGCTATATGCATTTGATCTGCAAGGAACGGCTTTCCTTTGGCATCAAGTAAGATGCATGGTGGCCGTTTTATTTTTAGTTGGTCAGCATTTAGAGCCTGTTTCAATCATCAGTGATTTATTGGATATCCAGAAAGTCCAAAGTAAACCAATATACGATATGGCCAGTGAGTTTCCATTAATTCTATACGATTGTATGTTTGATAATATCGAATGGGGTTTGCCAACAGATGTCGAGACAACAGCCCCCCGTATAACGAAACATCTATATGAAAAAACCTACCATCAATGGCATACTCTTCGTATTCGTGAGCAGATAGCATCCTTCATGCTGGATATAGCTAATCAGAGGATTTCTCAATATGGAATTTTACAAAACACCGGAAGCAGCGTGAATATCGGGGAAGGAGAACTTAAAACATCTAAAAGGTATGTACCAATTCTACAGAGAGCGCGACAAGAGTCTGTTGAGGTCGTTAATGAACGTTATAAGCGTAAGAAGGGACTTGGTAAACCTACTGTTTCTGAAGAAGTATCATCAATGAACGAAGATTAATTGTTTGTTGATAAAAATTTCTCTTGAATATTAAACGCGCGCTTTTACGATACGTAAGTATCTGCATACATAAAAGTATTCTATAAAATATGGGTATTAGGAAATAATTTCTTGCGGGGTTATACAATAACTGATTTACTTAAAGCCTACAGCTCTTGGTATTGGGATTGAACAATTGTAGATTTTTTTTGAATGATCTAGACTTTAATAATCTTTTACATAAACTTCGATAAGCTGGAAAGCCTGTTGGATTCTTTTTGTGCTTTGCTTTGCTTTGCCAAAGGACTGAAGCTAAAGCATTTATTTACGATGCAAGATCCTATATATGAAAACCATGCCATGTTCTTTAAAGCTTACTTTCTTTGCAAAGTTCTAGCTTGATTATTTATAAAGGAATCATATGACATATGTTTTCAACAACTAATTTTGGATGCATTGTTGTAGTTTACATTGGTGGCATGCTCATCTGTCGTTGTTGTGCAACAAACTACCCTCTTAGTTAGCGGCGTTTTACAGACGAAGACAAAGAAAAAAAAAACATCATAATGATATTGTTTGTAAAATGCTGATGCTACCAAAGTTAACAAAACTCTGCAAATTAATTTACATGTAGCGGACAAAACCAACACTGTTCTTTACCAAGTAACGAGAAATTCATAAATGAAAGTTCAAGTATAGATATGATATATTATCATGATCAGAAGAAGCTTTGATTTTATTTTGTAAAGATTGACAAAATCACCTTTCCGTATTCCTTGTTTGGAAGGGTGAAATGATAATAAGCTAGCCTTTCATTTGGAGCCTACATTATTAAGGCCTCATTCGGATACTTCTTTTTCATTCGGAACAAAAAGCTTTTCTTTCTTTAAATAGGGAATGAGGCATTGTGGTAAAACCACACTTCCATCAGGCTGCTGATGACTTTCAAGCAAAGCGATGACAAGTCTAGGGATGGCAGCAGCTGTTCCATTAAGGGTGTGAACAAATCCAGAATCCTTAGAATTTTTATACCGTGTAAGTAAGCGTCGTGCTTGATAATCTAGACAATTTGATGTAGACGAAATTTCACCGAACTTCGCCCGCGAAGGCATCCATGCTTCGATATCATACTTTTGAGCAGCTGGGGCACCAAGTTCTTGAGTTGGCATATTTAATACCCTAGAATAAATCAAGAGTTAGTAGTAAGTTCTTGTTTCGAAAATTTATAAAAAAGAGCAACGTGAGCTTACCTTGCCGAAAGACCTAAACTATGTATAAAGTCGATTTGCAATTTTATTATATCGTCAAATACCCTCGAAGATTGAGACGGATGAGTCCATGAAAAAAGTTCAACCTTTGTAAATTCATGAAGTCTGTACAGCCCTTTGGTATCTCGACCACGAGCACCTGCTTCTCGTCGATAGGATCGAGAAACCCCAACGACTCGTTTCTCCTTTAGATCATGAAAAGTCTGTCTGAATCCAAGAGAGGCTAGACTGATCTCAGCTGTACCAACAAGACATTGCTTAGGCGAGTTGCTTTCGTATTGGTTTTCTAGTTGATATATCTGTTCACCCTGTTCATCCCGAGGCTGAAAACCACAAGCAAGTGCAACATCAGAGCGGACTATAGATGGAGGAATCACGAGAGACCATCCTCTAGATTTCGCAAAGTCAATAGCATAGTTAATAAGAGACATTTCTAATTCAGCTACTTCCCCTTTTATGTAACAGAATGCATGACCACTAGTCTCCGAAGCACTGAGCAGATCAATAGCATCACCAGCAAGTTCCAAATGATCCTTAATATAAAAATTCTTTTCATTCAAATTTTTTTGTTCTCCTATGGAAGCAACGCAAACAGCATTGTCTTCGGACCCTAAAGGTACGCTAGGCAAAGTGGAATTTGGAAGACTTAGGCAATAATGATATAGTTTCTTTTGGATATCAGAAGATAGTTTTTCAATAGAGTCGATTTTTACTTTTATATTTTTTGCTTCAGAGACCAAAAAACTTCGGTGCTCCCCATCTTTAGAAGACTTGATTAAACCAGTAATCTTGTTCTTTTCACTGACGTATGGGGTTAATTGATTTCGAACGGCAGTATGCTCTTCGTATAAAGATTTGATTGTTGGTAGCGTTTCTGCCACTGCACGCATATTTCGATTAACACAATTCTGATGGATTTCGCCCGAATGCTCGTAAATATGTTTTAAATTCAGCATTGCCTTCCAGGAAGAAGGAGCTTCCTGATATTTTGTTGAGTAACTACGAAGCCATAATTTCTGAGAAAAAAAGATCGGTTGCCTAAGAATGGATTGTACTGTCTTCATGCAAAATAGGAATTGTTGAACTGCCCTGGTTGGAAAACGAATGGATTCTACAAAGTTATCAGCCTATAATAAATAGAAAAGGAAATTTCTGATTTTCTTTCTTCGTTTTTAGATTAAATACGGCTACGAAGAGTGGAAACCAAAAAACAGGCTTTCCATGGTCACTTTTCAAGTTACTTGAGGTATCGTATTTGGAACGTTAAGATGATAATATTCAAAGAAGTCGCTTTTATTAAACAATTAGCAAGAATAATCAGATTCATTATAGGTTAATTTATATTCATACCAGTAATTGAATAACTTGCTTGGGATTTCGCTCGAAGGGATCTTCAACAGCTATTGCTTACTATGAACATTCTTCATGACCGAAATGCTCTCTTTTACTTATTCTTTTGAAATCGTTTCAATGAATATTAGTAACAAGAATTAGAGCAACAATGAATCGATGTAGTTAATTTTTAAGGGTCCAAAAGACAGCAAGGAAACAAGAGATGTACAAAAAAAGATTCACTGAAAGGAAGTAGCACGTACTTAAATGAAAAGCTTTCTCTGAACCTTTAATGATTTACTTTCTGCTTTGAAGTAATTCATTGATGAACATTTCCATGCGTCAAAGTTGCATTAGAAATAATGCTCAAAGGGTCTTGAAGAATTGAGCTCGATTTGCTCATTTATTGTATTTTTTGAGTAAAATCGTTTTTATGATCTAAACTCTTCAGTGTATCATAAATTGAGAAGGGAATCTTTGATTCTCCAATCCTCGAGAAAGAATATCGAATTGAAAAGAAACACATAAAAATCATTTTCTCTGAAAATCCATGTTCCAATAGAATAAGGAAATAAAGAAGCTCAAGCGAATAGAAAAGACTTGGGATGAGAAATTTTAATATGGTTTAGGAGGAGCAGGTTTGGGTTTAGGATTCATAAACAAAACTCCAAACGCAACAGCTGCAAGAGTAAATCCTTGAGATAAAACACGGTACTTCATAAATCGATTTGCCTTGAGTTCGTTGCCTCTTCTCAAGTGATACCCTGAAATCAGGAACGATCCTACAGTCATGACGCACCCAATAGGAATTAGAGGATTGTGAATGAGTACATATGTAAGTTTTTCTGAACGAGACATCGTAGTCTCTGGATTGGAAGGTTTCGTTATTGAGTCCATTTGCGCTTGTTCTCGCTTTTGTTCTACAGGATTCGAGCTCATTTTTATTGTATTTTCCGCACAGATGAAATTCACAAAATAGATCAATTAACTTCGTTCAAGAAGAAAGAGGAAAAGTAGAATGCGAGAAGAAGGAAAAGGTCTACCAAACGTAAGAGAGACTCAACAAGCCAAATTTCAATTATTGCAAAGTACTCAGTAATTGAATACAAACAATTTCAAAAGTAAAAACAGAGTAAAGTAACGATAAAAGCAAAAGGTCATTAAGATCCTCCAAAAGTTCTTGTACAATGATCGCCAGGATGGTTCTTTACAGGAGCTTTTTTTTTTATGGCGTATTGGAAGCAAATATTTCAAATGAAATAGAAAAGAATTATTCGTTGAAAAGGACTCCAGTCCAAGCGTTCCGGTTCTCTTTGTTTTTCACATATTTTTTGTCCTTCCTCTTTAGTATGATTTTCGGTGAATACCGGAGATCCTTGTCCGAATACCGATGCTAGGCTTTCGATATTTAGCGATAAATCACCGAAAGTTCACCGTTCATTATTGTAGAGTAAGTGTATCCAGTGTCGAAAGCAAAACGTAGAGAAAGAAAAGATCCACATGAAATGGAACGATTGGATGACAATGGCTCATTCAATGGAGAAAAAACTTCTTCTTTTGATGGAATGAACGAAAAAGTAATGCCCAATTCATCCCAGAATCGGTTGAAATCCAGTAATTACAATCTGGAAAATGACATCTTCAATACCGTAGGTATTTGGAACAATGACGCTCCCAAAGGAACGCAGGAATCATTACAAGAAGGAAATGATCTAATACCAGCGAATCAAGGCTTGGGTTTGGAGTTAGATCTCGGAAACATTATGTTGGAAACACACAACCTGGATTCTGCAAATTGGAATTCTGGAAAATATGATCAGGAAGGTGTTGGTATTAATGATAATAACTATGATTGGCAATATTTTGTTTTTGATGAAAGAGAAATAGGCTCTATGCTTCAATTATTTGTGCAAGAGTTTCGGCCTGAGAGACCGTCTTTGCGATTAGCTCCGGCGAAACTGTTTTATCTGGCTTCAAGATTTGCTTACTCGTATATGCCGAAAAGTAAGAACATAGGACATGATCTTTTGGCAGGCTTTCTCGATTCGGTTCATCAAGTCATACAAGCGAATTGCCAGGATATGGTTTTGTGTGTCATGTGGCTAGCAAACGTTTGTCTGCTTTCATTCTATCTTCAGAGGGATGCGAGATTGGAAGAACTAACTGGAGAAATACAACGTGAATGCTGCCAACTAGTATCCGAAATTTATCTATTGGTGTGCAAAGATGCCATTCGCCGTATGGAGGAAAATCTAGAAGAAGGCATGCTCAAGTATACAGGAATACAGGGTTTGGACTCTATTCTTCATTCAAGAAGCTGGAATTTCTTAAGGCGTCGTCATGTCACGGATAATCCTTCGTCTCCTCGCAGCACCCCTTCAGCTTCACCACGTAATATTACTAAAGTCATTGCTTCCACCCTTCATCTATTAGAAGTATTTTATGTTCATCCTCTCTTACGTATTCAGTGTATAGAACGACTGTATCGTTGGCTAGCTGCGCGTCTCTTCAACATTGTCCTTTCCACTAAAAAATACCACTCCCGAGCTGCCGCTATGGAAATTCGCTTCAATATTTCCAGTTTGGAAGAATGGTCTCAGACAAACTCTGCAAGGCTCAAAAAGCCTATTGACTATCCTGGAGAAGACTTCCAAGTCTCCCTTACTCCTCATCTTACGCCGTTAACCCAACTGCTGCAGTGGCTTCAGTGTCTTTATAGATTAAGTGAAGAGGACGAGCCAGAAGCCTTACAAGAGACTCTTGGATCTTTAGATGCCTTAAATCCACGCCAATTTCTTGTTGTTGCAAAATCTTATCGACCAGATAGTTCTGAGACGAAAGTATCACGGTCATTTTTAAAGCGCCTTGAGGTCTACCATAGAGAAGAATTACGAAAAACCTTAGAAGCTGCTCAAGACGATGGGGTTGTAAATGAATTTGAGTTAACGAAAGATGAGGACCAATTGCAATCTTTGACTTTGCCCACGAAAGCTCAACTAGCAAATGCATATTCAACCGTTGCTTCTGCAAATGCATTCAACAACGATCGTAAAGTCCTCTTTCAACCGCATGTCTCCAACGACATCATTGATCGACTAGAAGAAAATGGTATTTCTATGGATCGGGCCGAGCTTCCAACTAGCGTTTTTGAAGACGAATTATCAAAACGAGAATGGCGACCAGATCAGGAAGTAGAAGAGTTGATGGGTGCGTAGGAGAACCTTTGATGACTTAATGAATATGCTTGTATGGTTTTTTAAATGTTGTATTTTTTTCTTTACCTTCGTTTTGATCTTCTGGTTTCTTGTTTGTTTAATGCGTGTACACCCTTATTAATTCCTAATGCAATACAGTTCTCATTCAGAGACATTCATTTTTATCAGTTTGCTAGATTTCGTCTAACAAGGATTGTGTTTCATATATCTCCTAATTTCACCGCATTAATAAATTTATTTTCTATTTATCTTTATAACTACTCAGCAGAATGTATTTCTTTCTTGAAGTAGTTTGACCACTGTATATAAATTTTCTACGAAACCTATATGGAACTTGGAAGAATTATTGCAGTTCCTATCAAAAGTCAATTTTCACGAAAATGTCCGGAAAAAAGCAAAAGACTATGAAGTACCAAACTGATATTGAAAATTATGAACTAGGTAGGCCAGAATTTCCATTTGGTATAACAGATTGGCTTGTTGACGAGTTTTGGGTTGATGACAATTCTACTATTTTAGATCTGGGAGCAGGTACGGGGAAGTTGATTCCTCGAACAAAAGCTGCTCATCCTAAGAAGATTATCTCTGTGGACCCTGAAGAGAGTATGCTAAAAGAGCTGCAAAAGAAATATCCAACGGTAGAAACATTAGTAGGCTCGGCAACGCAGATTCCTTTACCAGACGAAAGCATAGACTTGATTTTATGTGGTAACTCCTTCCATTGGTTTGCCAATCCAAAAGCACTGCAGGAGATGCATCGTGTTTTGAAGCCAAGGGGAGCCCTAGGTCTTGTTTGGAATGTCCGAGACGAATCTGTACCTTGGGTAGAAAAAATAAATAAACTATTGGACAAGTATCGTGCGGGAACACCATCATTCAATTCTTGGGAATGGGCCCAATTATTTCCTGGACACGGCTTTCAAAAGGCTCGCTACTGTGCTTTTCCTTTTGCTCATTGCTCTGTACCAGAGAATGCCATCTATAAAATGGTTTTTTCTTTATCTTACATGTGCACCCTTTCTGAAGAGGAAAAAGAAACAGTCAAAGCTGAGCTCGACAAAATCACAGAAACGGTGCCTAGAGTGCAAAACACAAATCAAATCAAATTCCCTTACCAGACGATGGCCTTCAGCATAGAAAAGGAGTGTCCCAAAAAAGCATAAAAGAATTATAAATTTAACAATGAGTGATGCTGGGATTTATTATCCTGTATACATCTTCAAGCATAACCTTTGGCAAGAGATGCCTCGTACAGACTGGTCCTGTTCCTCCCTATTCAATGCTCTCTTCTCATTAGTACACTGTTGGAAACAACTATTGATTTCTGTACCCAGGATGATGCAACGATTTCTTCAGATCAACTATTCATTGGACATGTTCTTTTTGGCTTTTGTAAACTGTGAGGAAAATAACCACATGTTTTTTTTTGGTTCATCTTGAAACGCTTACCTACTTTATAAAATGTGACCTGAAACTATAAATTACCAATTTGAAAGACCCAAACACTGTCTTATGAAATGCCAAATGTAAAGACTTCTTTGAACCGCTGTTTCTTTGACTCTTAGTTTATATGCAATTAATGTTTTTCATTCTTGCCGTTTGAGTACTTTATCTCATTATCTAGAATGAATCAATCTTCCTTCCCAGACAGTTTCTGCTGACAACCACCTTGATATCCAAATTCCCAATTCTTAAGGAATCCTCCATTTCAACTGCTCGAACAATTAAAAAATAACTATTAAAATCAAAATATTCACATATATTTTGATTGGATATGTAAAAAGAGTAGGCGTGAAATCACATTCTCCTCCGTCCTTGACTGCTGGTAAACTTGTTTGGTTTTTAAAGGAAACATCATCGCCGAGCATAGAATAATTGATAAAATATAGAATTCAAAATTGTGATTCCCAGCGGGTCAGCTAAACTGTTTTAAATTCGAAGAATTGGCGGTTACACTCATTACAAAAAAATCAAAGACATCCTAGAATATTATCTTTTTACCTGTTCAAGTTTCATTTTATCCAATTTTCTTTCTTGCAAACAATTCTTTCCATGAACGCACCTCCAGCTGAAGGAAGCTTAGAAAGACCATATCGTTCAAGAAAAACCAGACCTTGTGACAATTGCCGACTTCGGAAAGCGAGATGTGTCATTGAAGTTGTAGGTAATTCTTGTGCTTTATGCCTAACGCTCAAGATACCTTGTACATACCACTTACCGCCCATAAAACGCAGCAAACCCAAGAAAAGATCCGACTCTATTTCTGATGATCCGACTTTTGACAACCCATCATACGGCGATGATTACTTTATTAACAACCAACCGTCTGTTCTCCGTAGCCAGCCTTCATTGGATATTCCTGAAAGCACAGCTGCATTAGCCAAAGCAAATCTGAAAAGTCAAAGCAACCAAAGCTCTCAGAGAGTTCCTCTGAACCTGGCAGGAATTACCGAAATGTATCATACCTCTGACGATAAATTCGACAAGCTGGGTTTAGATATTTCGCTTAATTATCCCTATGTGTTGGGTCCTACCTGTGATTCTGACATAGACTTGATTCGTGAATATTTCTCCTTTGAAAACGGTGTATGCTCTTTTGATAATATGACTTTAAAGTATGTTTCTTCAAACTCGAAATCCCCTGTTATGTATATTCTTGATCCTGCATATGAGAACGACCGCCATAGTGATTTCGCTCGCTATGAGCGCGCATTGCACGACCTTTTAGCTACCCATGTTGATGAAACAACAGGCCGTATACTAGTTGATTTGTATTTTACTCATATTCATCCTGCATATCCTATTCTCCATGGGCCGCGCTTCCTTCTCTCTTACAAAAACGGTGCGAGGAACGTTCCGTCTATTCTTTTAGCTGCTCTATATTCATTATCGCTAATTTACTGGAATAAAGATTCCAGGCTTTCTAATGTTCCCCCTTTGGATCAGCGAAAGATGTGGAATTTAGTTGAAGATGGTTTAAACTTTCATTTTACTCAACCAAGACTAAGTACAATACAAGCAGCTTTGTTGTATTTAATTGGACGTCCGCTTTCTAATATGTATAGTCTCACAAGTATCCTGTCGAGAACGACTGTTTTGTCTCAGTTGCTAGGTTTTAATCACGATTGTACAAACTGGGAAATCCCAAATGAAGAAAAAACTATCAGAAAAAGGATATGGTGGGCCATTTTTATTGCAGACAAGTGGTACTCCATGTATTTTGGTTTAGCAACGAATATTCATGAGGATGATTATGTCGTCCCAAAGATAAATTCTAACGAGACTTTACCTCTCGAAATTACTTCTTCTACGTCTTTCAAAACGTTCTTGAAAATGATAGAACTTAGTATGGTACTGCAAGATATATTACAAGATTTGTTTACCATTCGAGCCCTAAGCAAGCATTACAAGAACAATCGCTCCATTTCTTACCAGATTAGCGGATTTTTTAGTCGTCTACATTCCGCTCGTCCTTCTAAACTTGAAGAATCTGGCCTTGGAGCTGCATCACTTAGGATCCAGTTTGACGCTGTGGAGATTTTATTATGGAAAACCGCGCTTCGATTTCATCTGCCAGAATTCCAGTCGGAAGATTTATTTACTTGTGTTGAACAAGCCATTTCCAATTTTATGGAAATTTCTCCTGATTCAATAACTGACTTTTTCTGGCCTTACGCTGGTTTTCATTTTTCAACCCTTGTTTCCCTTCTGATTCGCCTTCATTTAGATTTTCATGAAAGTAATACTTATGGAGCAAGGGCCTTTTCCCTATTAGATGCTTTTTTGAGGCACTGTGTAACACTTCATGCAGCTGGTTTTGATATTGTTGAAATGGCTATTGGCCGTTCGTCTTCTTTATTAAAAGAGCTGGGCAAACAATATTCTCACTTATCAGCTCTCCAAAGTGATATTTTTCAGTTGGATGATCCACTTGGATCCGATATTTTTCAATTGACTCAAGAACAAATGTTTGATCCATGGAATCCAGAAGCATGGTCATTTTCCCGGCCATGATTAGCTATTTATTTTTATTGCATAGAAACCTAAATTACTCTATTTATTGATCATCTTATGTGCAGGAATCCCGCAACATAATGATGATACGTTATGAATTACAGATTCTCGCAGTGAAATTGTTTTAATAAATAAATGAATAAATGTTGATTTGTAGTTAAAACATAATACTCACTGTCTAAAGTTGAAGTCAATAACTAACTACACATACCAGAGCTACGAAACAAGACACAAGAAAGGACAGATGCAGAAGAATAATACATTGAAGCGAAGCTTGGCTATGCGTATCTATGAGCGTAAAGTCGCGCGCAAGGAACTAAAAAGATAAGACAAAAATCTTTAGAAAATGCTCCGAACCTTTGCTTCCAATCGGAAATATCGACAAAGGTACAAAGAAAAAAGATTGCATTAAACAAAAAAGGAAACGAACGCAACGTAAATAAACAACACCTCAAAATAACAAATGGTTATTGAAAGCGGAGGGCAACGTTAGTCATGGTATATCACATAATTTAAAACTTGTACTCAGGAGGAGTGTAGTCTTCAGGGATGTTGAAGACACGCTCCAAGACTTCACCGACGGCACCTTCATCGTTACCAACACGGGAGACGGCACGGGCATTATCAATGGCGATTTGCATACCGTTCTTGACGGCGACAGACCAGCCAGCAACGCCGAACATGGTCAAATCGTTTTGACCATCACCAAAGGCGATAACATTCTCGTTCTTGATGTGAGGAAGGATCTTGCTGGTGATAGTTTGGAGGGCAGTACCCTTGTTACAGCTAGAGGGAATCAATTCAATACAGTAAGCCAAAGCTTGGGTAGTAGTGAATTTGTCCTTAGGGAAGGGCTTCAAGATATCACGGACAACATCGAGCTTGTCGGGGTCTTCACAGACAGCCATCTTGATGACCTTGATTTCACCAGACAAAACCTTAGCCTTGGCCTCTTCAAAGGGCATGGACCAGACAACCTTTTCACCGATTTCCTCCAAGCGCTTAACGTTCTTCAAGTCTTCACGACCAGGAGTTAAGATGTAAACATTTTGATCATCGTAAACGACGTTAGCGATGTTGGGGTTGTGCTTGGTGGCTTCAACAACCTCCATGACAACCGAGGGTTCCAAGTATTCGGCAGAGACAACCTTACCTTCGTTGTAAAGGATACAGCCGTTAACGTGGGCAGCAGGGAAGGCATCCAAACCCAAGGGGATACGGATCAAGTCAACAGCAGAGCGTTGCTTACCAGTAGCCAAGACAATAGGGAAGTCAGGGCGGGTTTGACGAATGTAACTCATGGCACGGTAGGTACGGAAGTGGAAACGGTGATGGGCATCCAAAAGGGTACCATCAACGTCAGAAATAACCATCTGAACAGTGTCAGCGGAAGGAATGTTGTCGGACTTATCAGTAGCACTCATATTCGTAGATGTTGTGGTGTGTAGTGTGTTCAGAGAAGGAAACAACTCACGGGGAGCCCTTGCTCTATATATGTCTGTCAAGATAACCAGAACAAGCCTACAACCCTTAATTTTCCGGAAATTGCGTCATTTCTTTCTTCCGGCTAGTGGGTGGAAGCGACCATTGGAAAATTTTTCCGTTAAGGTTCTTTTGTGACGTAACCCTGTCAACAAAGGAAGCTTGGTTGAACGCACTCCAATGAACTTGCTTCCACCAATTTGTAGAAACCTTCGTAGAGTTCGGCTCTTTACTTTTACATTCGCTGAATGACCGAATCAACGATTTGCTATGTCAATCCTTGTGGTAATTTCTTTGGTATGTTTACGTCGAAGGTAGATAGCTCGTCTGTTCTCGTTATTGTGGATATCGTACGTTCTCCTGTGCATATAATTTCGGAGTGCGACTTGAAAGGGTTGCTGCTTGTAGTAATTATGAGAGGGTCGTCAACCAATGTTAGTAAATTTATACACATATCCTAGGTTATTTGAAAATCGATAGCTTTACATATGTAGAATTAAACGTTAACTAAGGCAGTATTAGTATGTTTAACCATTCATGGAATCGATATTAGTCTTCTGTAGCAAATAATTCAAGAATGAAATCTAATGATATCTATTTATTAAAAACTACTCCTACTTGTAGCTCAACAATACATTCATTCATAGCAAGCAAAATTAGTATTTATAATAATAACAAAATGAAAAACATAAACAAAAGAACGAACGATCTAATTACACAGGGAAAAGACGATTGCACGCAAACGTTGACATCCAATTATTCTTTCTTTTCTATAACGGAAAAGAAAAAGTAAAATGAGCAGAATATAACAGAAGCTTAAAAGCAAGCCGTATGGAAATAAAACGTTGAAAAAGAACGAAACGTTGGCGTAAATTTGAAAGCTCAAAACCGTCCTGAAGAAACGAGATATCGGTGGCAGTCAGAGCCCTTAGGGAAAAAACAATTAGCAATCTATAGAAAATTATTAAAACAGCTTAATTAACGGGATGTAAAGTCATTGGGAAACTTCTAACGGATTCAAAGGAAAAGTATAGAATACAACGGAACAAAAGGGATTCGAATTAGCAAACCAAAGAAGTGGTTGTAGTGTGTGAAGTATAACTGTTATGGAAATGATCCCTCAACAAGTCTTCCACGGCAATAGGCTCAGTGGTCGAGGGACCTAGCCCAGGCAAAGGGGCCACTACATAGTCAATGTTACCCTGCAAAAAGAAGGGAATGGTGTAGCGGTCGTGTCCACTGGTATTACAAACACGGTGCACTGAAGACTTGTAGCGGTTGTTGGTTAAGATAGCCATGATATCACCTAAATTGGCAACCAAAGCACTGGGACGTGCAGAAACAGCGACGAAGGACTGTGAAACAGGATCTACGATTTGCAAGCCACGAACTTCATCTTGCGCCATAAGTGTCAAAGCATCAGCATCAGTATGGTCATTCACTCCGGTGCGGTTATAGGATGAGGGGTACCGCAAAAGACGAATGGCAGTAGTGGGATCGGAGCAAAATTCATCAAATGCGTTGGGCGCTAAACCAAGAGATTCGGCCAAAAGACACATGACTTGATTGGCAAAAGCAGCCATTTCATCGTGGTACTGGACGAGGGAAGTACGAAAATTAGCACCTGTATTGGAAGGCCATTTATTAGGACCTTGAAAAGGGCGGAGGAGACGTTCCTTGGAGAGATTGTCATTACCAAAATAAAAGCTTTCGCGGAATTCATTAGACATACATTCAGAATCATGAAGAGCGGCATTGTTGCTGGTAGATGGGGTAGAGTCACCGAGGCCGGTGTTCCAAGTAGTCGGTGATGAGTCAGGGGGTTCAGCGTACGTGGAAAGGGACTGAGCAGAAGGAATCGGGCAACCAAGAGATGAAGGAGTAAAGGAAGAGCTACCAGGGAAAGATAGATCATCGTCGAGAACCACTCCGTCTAGAGAAGAATCTTCTTCACCTTCTAAAACAAAGTCCTTGAGCAACTCATAACCGCGGTTGCTAAACATATCCTTGCTCAACATCAGTTTCTCATCAAAAGGGAGTTCAAAAAAATGCTTGGAAGCGCGAAAAGCATTTTTGATGACATCTTTGCCGATAGGATGGTTTAAAATTTGGAAAAAGCCGGTGGATTCACAAGCAAGGCGGAGCTGCTCGACAATCTTCTCTCGCGCACCCGGCTCGTTGGCTAGCAAGGGGCCAAAGTCAATGACTGGACAAAGACGTTCTTCCTCTTCAGGAGTGGCCGTCCTTACAGAATCAGAAGTATTTTGTATTAATTGAGACAACATGATTACTAACTAATCACAAAGGAAAGGACAATATGTTTCTAAACTTTTTTGTCCTGTTCTGTTCTGTTCTGTTCTGTTTTGCTTTGCTTTTGTGTGGAGGAAAAAAGTAAAGACAAATCAATGAAAAATGGGAAACGTTCTTCGGAATAACTTCTAAAGATATCAATAAAAAAAATCTTTTTTTTTTCTACCGAGACTATGAATTACCACAAATCCCGATATAAAGATAGACGGATGGCTACCTATTAGAAACAATAAAGTCTTTAAAGAACCAAGAGCTCAATTACGAGCGAATATCTTTCCCCTAAAAAAAGGAATAACTAAAGGAAAAAAAACAAATAAAAAGAAAACCCCTCGATAAAAACAATCTATGGTCTTCAGAGGCTTCAAAATCGTAAAAAACCAAACTTTCGTCAAAAAAATTGGTTCCTCAAAGTCTAGAAAGTGAACGGTAACCAGGAAACACTTATAACAAAAGGAAAATAAAATAAACAAATGAAAAATTAAAATAAAAAACCCCCGTTCTACGTTTCAAAAGACAAAACGATTTTGTGTCAAAATGGACGTTGAAGAATCGAAAGGATTATTCTTAAATAGAACGGGGAAGAGTCCATTTATATTACATTTATTCCCTTATCTTTCTTTTCTGACCATAGATGCTTATCTCTTCTAGCCAGAGGCAAACAGCCAATGAAAATCGATCTGATAGATGTCAGGTTTTGTCAGATAAAACAACAAAAACCCAAAAAGTAAAAAAAACAAACTTAAAGATAAACAAACGATACAATCGGAAATAAACAAAAAAAAAGGTATCAAACGAATAGGAAAGCTAGACGCATTTTACTGGACCCAATGGGTGAGTTTTTTCTCACCCATACTTTGTCCTCTAATGGATGAAAATTTCCGTTCGATAAAAGTGGTATGTTCAGAAAAGTGGGTTCGGGCGTGAGTAGACTTGGAATGGAACGTTTGTTGAAAAACATTCGAGTCGCGTCGCCGCTTATTTAGACTCTCTAGTTTTCATTGTAAAATACAATCCACAGAGTTTAGTTGTTCAATGTCTCTATTTCTTTGATCTGAATGTTTCATCCAAACATTTTTCCTTTTTTTCCTTCTCTGTCTGATTTGTCAAAAGATTCATTTTCTCCAAAACTCGCTCTGCAAATTTGTTACTTAATAAGGTACGCGAAAATTTTCATCTTATGATGTTTGTACCCTGGTGATCGGCAGCGTAAAGGGAGTGCAAATGTGCTTGTAGGTGGTGGAGTGAATTATGGCATGTCTATGCTGAACGGACAGAAAAGGAGAGGCACGATTTGACGAGTTGTTTTTGTTCTTTTTAACGAAGATAGTATTAGAATGACATGTTGGTTTTCCTAGTTAATTAAAGGATTTGTTTATTCTTTGGGTGTTTCGCATGTTTACGTTTTTGTTGGTAAACAAAAGGTCTCTTAAAGAGAATATTCCCTTCGGATAGCATAATGAATCGAAACGTCAGGATGCTGCTGCTTTACTTGTACTTCGCGGAAACCACCACCTGATTGTTTACGTGTACAAACGGAATGCAAGGAGATGCAAAAATCTTGAAAATCGAGTATGTAAATATAAACAAAGGAAGGATACTCAAGTAAAATAATAAATAAAAAAAGGTAATGTAGAAACCCGAATTTCACAGAAGTATTCAAAATATCAAGTAAGTTCTTTTGGTAGTTGGAACTCTAAGCAAATTGCCAATTCGAAAAGGAAAACAATACAAATGTTTATTCTGTTAAATCTTCTTCCATAGAAAATCCCAAGAAAAAAACCAGCAACAATGGATGAAAGAAATAGAATCCATATTATACTACCAAACTCGCGGACTTAATTTATTTCCATTTCAATCATTAACAGCATTTGTTTACAATGTTGATGTCTTCATTATGTTTTTTCTTCTAATGTTTGCTCTGTATAAGAGAATACCCTTTCCACACATTCTTATATTGTCTCAGAGTTGAGTTGACATTTCCTGAATTTGCCTGGTTAAGATTATATTTGTATGGTTTTAGAGTCGACACCACAAAGAATTGGTTTTTGTATTCGATAATAGAAATTCGCGATTGCTGAGCATTTGATAGTTTTTTTTAGGCCTTTGATTTTGTCTAAATTTGGTTTGTTTTCAACGACTTTTATGCACGTTTGTTATAACTTCCATTTGAATAGGTTACTCTTATAGGTGCTTTAAGAATCCCATAACTATATCTATTCTTTATTGAACTGCTTTCATTTTCATTTTTCATTGATATTATGTCCTCAGAAGGGCATGATGACCAAGATACTTTGATGGAGGAAATCTCCTCGCTAGAGTTGAAACGTCAAAACTTATTAGCAACGCTAAAAGAATTGGAAGAAAAACGTTTGAAACAGAAGCATGATTTGCCAGATCCAATCAAGTTATTTACACAACCACCCTTTCAAGTTCCTTCGCTCAACTTTGAACGTCTCTCAGGAGTTTCCTTCTTCATTCCACACGATCCAGAAGAACAATCTAGGAAAAGGATGCTTGTAAAGAATCCAAAGACTCTTCAAATTTGTCCTGCTCCTTTGATTCCTCTCTTGGGTGCTCGTTTCGATTTCATGATGCATCCCATGCAAACCATGTTTCCTTCTGAGAACCCAGATGCTTCCTTCCAATATGCATCCCTCAATGGAAATGCATTTGAAGCTCCCCATTACATTATTTTTCGTGTTTTCGAAGATGCACTTTCAATTTACAAATACACCCTCCCCAACTTTTTCCGTCTAGATATTTGGGCAGACGAGTACTTGGCCTCGAATCAGCCAGATAGACTGCGTTTATTTCTATGGAGAGTTCACAAACTATTAACTGCTCATGCTTGTCGAAAAAACTTACTTTCTCAACTCAATAACACTTTTCAAGAGAATTCTTCCATACAAATCTCTGCCGACTTAAGTTACACCCACTTGGAAATCGACATCAAAGAAAAATGGAAAGCTAGATTTTTTTGCTTTATGGACTCTACTCGTATTCAGCGGTGCCAAATCTATGAATACAATCATACATGGCATCGAGATTACATTATGGAAGCAAGTCTCATTTCTGAGGATGGATGGTTAGACATTTTACAAAGGAAAATTATAAAAATCATCTAGTACCAGTAAATACTCCTTTTATTGATAGTATTACTATTTTCCAGCCGCTGCTCCCCTTAAACATATGGTTTTTCTGTGCACAGCCAACCTGTTGTCTCACTGAACACTGAAGCTGCGCTTTCACAAATTAAGAGTTTTTTCTACATTTTTGTCTCACTTCAGTTTTCGTCTTGGTTTCAGTCGCTTTGCAACCTGTGTTTCCAATTGGTCCTTGATCCTATCCATTCGCCTTTGATTTTCAGCGAAATACTCTAATGTCCTTTTTATAAGCCATGTCATATACTCCTTTGTTACAAATAGCTGAATCCTTTCTGAAGCATCTACAACTCCAATTGGAACGTCAATCTTTAGGCTCGTCCTGATTGCTACGATATATTTGTTGGTGCTTCCCTGAATCCCTGTTTCTCGAAATCCACAGCTCATTGCTACTCGTTGTAAGTGCTGAGCTGTCTCCAGGGATCGAGTTTGGACATGTAATATCATCGGCTCAAAAGAAAATTGAATCTCTCTGGATCCTTCTGATGGTGACTCAGGCAATTTTCCATACTCTACAGATTCCGTATTAAGGGGAGCAGGTAAATCTGTGCATGGTTCGTGAGATACAAAAAGCCAGTAACCACCTCCCTTCCTAGAGGTTAATCCTTGTACATAGATAGAAATTCTTCCAGAACATGAACTTGAGGTTACCCAGTCTGGGTGTGAGTTTATTACATCTAGTAAAGGAAAAATAGGGCTATCTGGATTTCCTTTAGGAGAAGCATCCGGCAAAGAAGAAGCCAGTCCTTTCAAAATTTCTTCTTTTTGAATATCAAATGTTTCTAATTCACTATTGTAATTCATTAACGTTAAAAGTATTGCAAAACCAACATGAAATTGGTTTTGCTTGTGGTGAAATTTTTGGCCTTGGCTTTCCCTTAGTGTACAATACGTTTTGTTCCAGGATTGAATATTTATTTTCAAAGTTCAGGATTTTTGCTATTATTTTGGAATTAAAACAAAAATAAACAGAGATTCAGGTATTCTTTAGTTTTATTTTCTTGGTAAAACCCATCTATCAGTAAGAAACCTTATGGTCTGAGGTTAGATCTTTGTTTGCATTCCCTACTTCATTTACGACTGTACATTTTCCTTCGTTTTTATTTTTAGAGCATCTATACGAAAATGAAACGGTCGGGTCAAAAAATACAATCGAAAGATACAAATGTGAAGAGATCGAAATTTGCCGATGCTAGACATATTCAGGTAGAATCTCCAGCATTAAAGAACGGTGCTGTGGACATTAAACGCTTTGTCGAATCCAGATCTTTTGAAATTTCTGCATTACAAGATGCTATGCAACGGTCGAAGCACTCGAGTGCTCAACGTGCATTTCAAGCGCTTCCACGCTGTCTTAGAAGACGTGCGGCTTCTCATAATATTCGACGGATTCCCAAGGCTCTACGGGACCGTGCGTATTATGAAATGCAGCTGAGTTCTTCTGCTACAACACCAATTATTCCTTCCAAGCAACGCCTAAAAAGATTCATAAAACGACTCCACAGAAAATTAGCACGTCAAGGTCTACGTTCTCAAATTACAAACTCTGGGCAATTACAAACAGAACACTCAACTGAGGATTCTAGGATTCCATCCTTAGCTGCAGTAAAGTTAGTAAGCGGGAAGTTTGCCGGACGGCAATTACGAAAAGTTTGGTTACCAACTCACCTTTGGACTTCAAAACGTGCTCACATGATTAATGCATGGGGTTATGCAATTCCAGAAAGTCCAACTGAAAAGTCTTACCGGCCTACTCATAGAGCTGCTTTCTGTTTGAATGCCATTGCATTTGATATGTCTTATCAACCATTAGTTTCCATTAGTGGGCCTTTAAAGGTTCTCCTAGAAACGTTCGGAGAATGTTTTACCACAGGACTCCCCGCTGCATACACCCGGTCTTATCGTTCATTCACCAGTTATGTCAGAAATTCTCAAACGAAAGAGCTCTTATGTCCTTGTTTATTACAATGGCACAATCCTAACGAGGCATGCAAAACAAAAATTCCGGTTCGTAATTCTGAAAATGTAGTACAATTAGTTATCCGACTGCATGCTTCTGCTTTTTTAGATGCGTGGAATCATTTATCAAGCATTGCCGTTTTAGATGATCAAATTGCTATGCATGATTGGAGATTGGAATTGGCTTCATTCGACGTCTTGGGTCCTGACGCTAACTTAGTTCTTCATGACATTTTCCCAGACATTCAGTCTTCAGAAAAAGGAACATGGAAGTCAATTTCCACGTTACCTACTACTTCTCTTCCATTTGGCGCATCCATTGGGTTTGATGCATCATTGGTAAATAATGAATCTAAATTGAGACAAGAAGAAAAAAGAATGAATGAAAGTGGTAAAGAAATCAGAAACGATGAAGTATTAGATAGCAAAATTGGTTTATGGGATAAACATGAAATACCATCTTTTGATATTTTTAATTATGTTCAACAGAAAAGGCACTTGACGTTGAATGTTCAAAACGAATTAGTGCCTATTTACATTACTCATCGACCGAAATGGAATGGGTTAACTGTCATATTGCCTTGGGGAGCAGCAAAGTTTTTCTGGCAGAAGTTGATGTATCGGAAAGGTGTACGATTTGGAGGGCTAAAAAATTTGCATCAAATTGCTTTCGAAAAAAAGATGCCTTTTTTTCCTGCTGATTTTCCTGATACAAAGAGCGGACAGGCATATGAAATTCAACGAAAGCAGCGAAACGAGGAACACTGGAGAAGACGACCACCGGCGAAACGAGTTAACTATGAAAATTTTGGCAAGAATTTCTCTGAAATTGGTGACCCATTTTGTTGTTATTGGGAATACTTCTCTGATGACGCACATTCCGATGTCATGGACCGAACTGCTCAGACGTTTTCAAGAGTTGAAATTCGAATGGTACAAAGAGGTGCTTTACACGATCGGGCTCGCATCTATAGTATCGACCAGGATCAAATTGATGGTTGGAAGAAACTGATTTATGACAAAAAAATTACAGCAGAAGCTGCTGAATATCCTCCTTGTCCGAAGGCTGATGCCTTATCTGGATTTGTGACAACTGCTAATTTTAATCTGACTGCTGGAAGGCCTTCAGGCATTGCTAGTATAAAATCCGTGACGCTGGGTGGAAAACCCCAAGGTTATTGTCTTGTTCGTAATGTGGGCTGCTCTATTCCTCGGTTGGCTCAATGGAAGTTATTGCTTTAAAGTTTTCATAAACATTTGCTTTTCTTTGAAATGCCTTTCCACTCTAAAGTATCCTTTCCATGGATTCCTTGCTACCATCCAATCTTCCAAATATAGAAAGCGTAACGCTTAGATGGATCATGCTAGTAATCATTCTTGGATGTAGGAAAACTACTAAATAAATAAATAAATAATAATGGGTTCAAATTTCACAGATTCCATAGTCAATGGCTCAATACAAACTACGAAGACATGTATGGGAGCAGCAACCGTTAGTCGGATGCAGGAAAAAAAAGAAAAGAGAGAAAATCATTTCCTAAGGACTTGTTCATAGCCTCCAAGGTTTTTCGTGTCTCTTACTTTTTTCTTTTACGGTATCATAGTAAGCTTAAGAAAATATCTAATACCGTGCAGTATGCAAATTTTTGTTAACGGCAATGAGGATGCTTCCTTATTTAAGGTTTCTTTAAAAACAGGAAAACAATTTTATCGTTTGCCAATACTCCAAAGGCTCGTATTTTGCTGCAAGTTCCCCCTGTTGGTCTTGCATTTACCCATTTTTGAGAGAATGGAAGGAATCATTTTAGCATCTGCAGCAATCGCGACTGTTTACATTGGCTCAGAATGGTCAACACGCGAAACAAATCCAGAAGAAAAGCATACAATTAATAAGAAACTTGCAGCATTATTTCCTGTGTTTGGTGGGCTTACGCTTGTAGGCATGTACCTGATTCTCCGTTATTATGGGAAAGAGTATATCCAGATGATTTTACAGGGCTATGGCAGTTTTGCAGCAGCTATGTGCTTTTTACGGACCTTGAATCCCAAATCTGCTCTTGGAAAGTCTCTTTGTTTACTTTTGACAGCTGTAATTACTGTCCACTATGTAAAAACAAAGCATTGGTTCACTTCGAACTTGCTTGCGTGGACTTTGGCAGCCAATTCCATTAGTATGATGCGAATTGATTCCTTTGCTACTGGAGCTGTTCTTTTAGCTTGTCTTTTTGTTTACGACATTTACTTTGTTTTTGGCACCGATGTCATGGTCACTGTAGCAACTGGGATCGACATTCCAGCCAAATACGTGATTCCCAATTTTTCAAAGCCTGGTCGCTTCTCTATGCTTGGTTTGGGCGATATTGTTATGCCTGGACTTATGGTCAGTTTGATGCGTCGTTTCGATGTTAGCAATGCGCAGACGTCCAAGAATACGAATACATCTACCCCATACTTCAAATGGACCCTTCTTGCTTACATCCTAGGACTTGCTATCACCAACTTTGCCTTGTATTATTTTCGTGTTGCACAACCAGCACTCCTCTACCTCAGTCCTGTCTCTATCCTTGCACCTCTTTTCACTGCTTGGCGCCGCAAAGAGTTACCCTCTTTATTTGCCTTTCGTAGTGAAGAACAAAGTGCTTCCGACGACAAAAAGAATGACTCTACCCAAGAAAGTAAGACAAACTAACTGACGTGTTAGGACTCTTTTTTTGTCTTTCGTTTTCCTTTCTACTTCTATTTATGCCCTACCTTTTCCTAAGATTCTTTCTCTTGATGAATCTCCCTTCCACTCATTATACTTCTTTTTCCTCCTTTAGCACAGTCCGTAATAAGACTCGCAAATCTCTTCCTTACATGACGTGAAACCAAGTCTAGGAATCTGTCTCATAAACAAGTAACCTTTTACCTTTCAACTTAAAGGAGAGCTTTTTAAAAAGATTTACTTATTTCTCTGCTGTATAAAATTTTTCTCGTTGAAGGTGCTTCCTAGCGTTTCCTGCAGTTTTGAAGGCCTTGCTTACGTTGACTTGGGGATTGAATCCTTTGTTCTCTCTAAGTATATTTTATATTCATTGTTTTTGTTGAAGAGAAATAACTGTTAATTCTCAACATGTTTGGTTTAACGACGAAAAGAATATTGACCCTCTTCGCTCGAAAACGTAATACAGTAATTGAAGAAAAACTTACAGAATATATGATTCTTGGTGAAAGAACTAATAACGAACAATTTCGATATCAGTTGCAGGTCGAATTGGATCCTCCTACTCAAGATCAAATTAGTATCATGCTCTCCAATATACAGAAGGATCAAAGTCATCTACTGATTTCGGGAGCTACTTCTGTCCAGGACGCATTAAATAAATACCAAAATGATTTCCGTACTTTTCGTCGTCCTTGCCTTGTCGATTGGGACAAGGGAAAAGTAAGTCCTTACTCTTTACTTTTGCAGACTCGGGATTTCAAACAATTATTGTAATTAATTCACCAATTCTTTGTTTAATTGACTTAAAAATGAAATATTTTTGAGGAATATGGCCATACATTGTACCCAGTAAGATCACATGCTGATTGCACATTTCAGGTTAGCAAAAGATCTGTAATGTTTCTATTCATTAAACTAATTAAAAAAAAAAACCAATAAATTGCTGTTCATGCAAATAAAAATCATTCAACAGCCAGAAATCGTGTATAAATAAATATTTACTGAAACTTATAGAAAAATGTCATTACCTATAAAGCGTCCAATTACAATAGGTGATTTGCGATTTTATCTTTTCAAAAAGAGCATTTGTGCACTAGCTCTTTTTTCAGAAAAGACAGTAAATTACACGTGACCTTCAGTACTTAGTACTTAGGTAAACGAGACAGGTTCGATAGGTTTGATTCATCACTTATTAAATGACAAATCTCCTTTTCTAAAACAGTACCATAACATCATAAGAAAATAAAATAAAATAAAAACCAAAACGAAAAACAAAAACAAACATAGGAACTCGTGACCTATTGTACAGAAAAGACCTCAAGTCAGTGGATAGTTATGCACCGTGAATACGTTGATGGCGTCGCATATTACTGCGAACGTTAAACGCTTTTCCGCAACCCACATAATCGCAAACAAATGGACGTTCACCAGTATGGGAATAAGTATGAATCTTTAAGCTCGATGGCCTCGAAAAGCCTTGAAGACACTCGGTGCAACGATATCGAATGGTGGAACTTGAGATTGTATTGCTTTGCTGATTCGATTTTCGGACATTTGAATGCCTCCTGGCAAAATGTGCTCTCTTCTCTATGGAAGAAGAATCTTTATTAGCTTGACTTTTTCCCTCCGAAGCTGCAGTAGTATTAGAATTATTTTGTGCAAGGGTAGCTGCAGCAGAAAGCTCAGAAAGAAAAACATCGTGGAAGCCATTCGAGTGCGGATATCCTGGTTGAGAAGCTGCAGACGTATTTTCGGGAATAAAACCACTTTGAGATGAGGGATGAACGTCAGGAGTCAAACCAAAACGATTCATGTCTACCACTCTACTAGAAGCGCTCTCGGAATGTTGAGGCTCCGCTTCGTTTGAACTGGAACGATTCGTTGGTTCTTGTGCTTCTGTTCCAGCATGGGAAACGAACGACTCATGCTCCGAAGGAGCGGGACAGCGTATGAATCCATCGCTATTTGGTTGAGGGTTTAAACGATTTTGTGAAGTTGAATTTTGTGCACAACCAGGACAAATGAAAGGGAGATAGGGTGGTTGAAAAGGAAATGTTAGAAAGCTGCTGTTCGGATGGTGCGGCGTTACCGCCGAGCAAGGATTCGCAGATGGCGGAATTGACGATGGGGCAACCGGATCAACGTGTTGAGCGGGCTGAGCATGTTGATCAGCGGATTTGGAAGGCTGATGTTGATGTACAGCTGCAACAGCAGCAGCTTCATTTGCTTTTGCGACTAAATATGCATAAGAAAAAGGGTTGTAAGGAGAAAGGAAGCCTGGAGGTAGAGGCACATCCGGTGAATTAGGGTTGGGAGGATGATAATGAGGAGATGAAGCAGCAGCAGCCGCCATTATTGCAGGGTCTGCCATAGATCCACCTAATATGGTGGAGATAGGAGGAAGTCTATAATGAGCAGAGGAAGGATTAATCATTGTAGGGGATATGTGAGGATGACCATGAACAGTAGTACAACAACAAAGACTACTGTTCAGTGAATGATCTGAATGACCTTGAGCCAAAGGAATGGAGGAGCCTGGCATGGTAGGGAGAATATTTTCAAGGTTATTTTTATGATTGTTCAAAGGAGGTTGCCTTGGCAAATCATCGAGCTTCGAATGTGTGGTTGGAGGTACAAAAGAAGGGCCAACGACATGAGGATACGGACAGGCCGGGGGAACAGAAGCAGAATGTTGGTCATTCATAGAGTTTACGTTAGAAGGATTCGTGGGAGCAGAAGACGCAGTGTACGACGCCCGACAGGTTCCTTCGACGGCAGGAGTTTCCGTTGACATGATATAGAATAAGCACACTGTAGGTTATACAGTAAAAAAATAATAAACAAATTTCAGGCTAAAACCAGCAAAAGAAAGTATTATAAGCTTCTTAACTCGTCCAAAAACAAAGGATGGTCAATATTCAATAGAATCCGCACAATAAGCAGATAAAAAATTGGAAGAGAACCCACTAGCTAAGAAAGCACAGTGATCTATTCCCCAAACAAATAGAAAAAGCCAACTTGAAAAGAGAAAATCACTGTTTTTCTCGAGAAAAAATTAAGGGCTAGTTCTTCTCCTTGTCTTTTCCCTACAAAAGTCGAGATACAGATTAACTTGCTATAATGGACGGATGCAATCTCGCTTTCTTCTCGACAATATTAATGAAGCAAAGTAGCGAAATAAAAAAAAAATATATAATAAAATAAATAAAGGTATTACTTGTTTATCTCCCAGTCCAAAAAAAATCCACCGCTAAAGCCACTAATGAGTAATTAGGATTCAGATATCCTCCTTAACAACGACTCTCAAACCCTTGAAACCTTCTCCACGAAACTTGAAATCGAACAAGTCAATCAACAAGATGATAAAAGAGTAGACCTGTCGATGCAATCGATAAATTGACAAGGTGAGGCAACAAAAGTAGTCGACTTCTCTAGACAAAGGCAATTTGCGAAACCACAAACGTTTTCTTACAGATTTAACTATGATTTGACTTGAATTGAGTGATAGTTTTCAAAAAATCGTCTAATTCCCACTAAACGAGATCTTCGTAATGTAAATGCAAATTCGCGATATGAAGAAGTAGTCAAGTACATTGCTGTTAATACTTAAACTGCCGACCTTCATATGATCGGCGGTTGTTACTTCCGTTGTACCTTTGATGAAGTGTAGGGTGTCGCTGATCATCGGTAATTTCATCGGCGCAGATCATGATTTTCTTTGTTTATAAAAAGAAAATAAATTCACAAAAATTGATACCTCTATAGAAAATGGTTGAACTCTTTTTACAGCTGTTATGTAATCAAATCTATAAAATCTAAAAAATATTTTAGAGGGAAAAGGCCTTGGAAAGTGACATGTAAAAAATTCGATTTTTCTTGCATTCGTAGGGAAGAACATAAAACGGAGGTATTTGCAACTTTCAGACAAGAATTTTTTCCCTTCTTTCTTAATAATGAACTACTTAGTTTGTACTGTGCTTTTGTTCTTTCTAATTTATTAACTTACAGACTTTATCATAGAATTCGGGTTAATTACAGTACTACATAGGCAATAGTACAAGAAAAGGTCCTATGGTAGAGCGGACTTATGACTCAATCCTGGTCGTAAGTTCGAGTTGCAAGGTGTACCGAAAAGTGCGCGGTAGGAGAGTGGAACTCCGACGGGCTCATAACCCGTAGGTCCCAGGATCGAAACCTGGCCGCGCAATTCATTTTTTATTCTTACTGGCTGAATACTCCTGTTTCTGCTCTTGCACGTTTGGAAGTTCGCTGATCTGCCATACTATGGACTCTTGTACGATAATTTCTGCTTTTAATGCCCACCAATATTATATGCTAGGTCGATTCATAAAATAAAAATCAAAAAAGCTTGCTGATGTACACTTAATCTTTACTGTTGTGAAGCTCTCTACACACATAAGATCTATTAAAGCGAGCCATTTCACAGAAAAAAAAAATTGAAACATCAATGATAAACTAATTTTAGACACTATTTTTTAAATCATAAATCGGATATATCTTTAATGAGTCTATCATCTTGGAAAGAAAGCCTTTTTTTTATACACGTGAACCTAAACATTCTTGACTTGACTTTGATTTATTACCATAGATCGGGACTCACGTCCCAAACATAACCGTACCTACTAAAACCCCGTATTTCTTTTTTTTCAACTAAATTTCAGCGCTCAAAACGTAACCGTTTTCTTTGCTGGTTTAGAAGATGGTTTTGGCGCAGAAGGCCTATTAACCTCCCTTGCATATTCATGAAAGACATCTTCATCGGCACCTGTCGTACCTGCAGTTGCCAAAACATGCCCGTAACTAACATCCTCCTTGCGTACTTGGTCACAGTCCTTGGCATAATGGTGAACAGATCCACAAAACTTACAACCACCACCTTTAGGATATAGACCATGGGGATTCTTCTCACATTGACCAGCCAAGTGACCCTTTTCGTGACAAATAAAGCAAACTGCAAACTGCAATGGTCCCTTTTTGGGACAGGCACTTAAAGTATGTTCTTTGCTTCCGCAGCGGAAGCAAATGGAGACCTCTGATTTCGCTTCAGGGCAATGTTGTACTATATGACCTGGTTTTCTGCATGCAAAACAAAACTTATCCTTCATTCTCATATTCTGTCTCCTTATCCTTCGATGTTCTGAACGGCTCTTTCGCTGTCGCTGATCCGACTTCGAGTCTGCTCGATTGTTCATATTGTTCTTAGGGTCCTCAGCAGAGCCATCACCGTTGTTGTTTGGAGAGTCATCTCTCGCAGCTTCAACTGGTTTTGCTTGGTAGGGCGTAGCCTCCAAGAACTTTTTTCTCTTTCCCATGTTAGTGATTCGCGCCATTTTTTAAAGAAAAGAATATGTAAGAAATAATAATATAAGCAAAATTATAACCGCTAGAAGAAAGCCCAAAGGTAATCCAAAGATCCTGCTAATTCTTACAGAATTCACTTTTGTGAGTTCGGTTTCCAATGCTTTTAAGCTAAATCAATTGAATGAACCCTTTTTTCTAATATATTTTCCGCTCCTTTGCTTTTTTTTCTTGTATATCGTTTCCCTCTGATGCAAGTGGTATTTTGCTTTTAGCCAGAAAAATTTCAAAGCTGCTTCATTCATCAGAAGTAACATATAGTCGCTCTGTCACAGACAATGGGTTTGAGTAGTGGGACCATTATTCTTATTGTTACAAGTCTAAAACTAAAGAGCTAGATGTTGCTCTCATTGCTTTCTCCATCCATGGTCAGCATGTTAAGGAAAATTGTTTATCATGCTAACGGCATTTACTATCATTCGATGAATTGTTCAGCATACTTAATATTACTTTGGTTAAACTTCTAATTTATATGCTCCTAATCTATACTTTTATGTACTTTCTCTCTTTTTTTTTTATTTTTTTTATTTTTTTTATTTTATATACCTATTCTTTCATTTGTTTATATTTAGAATTAATGGGTATTGGCGGCTGAAGTAACAAGGGTGACACCAATGGCTAAAGAGCATGTTAGATGCAACCCTTCTTCCTTCTCCCATTCACTTTCATAAATATGAGCGAGGAGATTGCCAGACTAACAACGGTACAAAATTATCGTTCAGTAGATTTAATCGGTGATTTTGCTGGTGAAGAACTCTTTCTTATCGATGGTGATTCTTTAATCTTCCATATCCTTGCACAAGATTGCCAATTTTTAGGCAAAAATGGTGTTCAAATATTGTATGCTATTTATCTTTTAGAAAAAGAACTGGCCAAGTTTAAAAGTGCCAGACTGAATTTTTGTATTGTGTTTTTCAAAAACTGGGAAGCGCTTTACTCTAATTATGATGACATTTTGCGCTCTTCCCTCCTTTTATTCCGTAGAGTAGCCATCCGTCATCTTCGAAAATATGTCCCTGTATTTCAATTCAAATCCTTAACAGACTCTCAATGGAGTGTATTTATTGCCAAACACCGTCCTTACGGTTTTATGGTCCTTGACAACAATAAAAATACCAAGGAAGGAGGCCTTGCTATTACTGATGAACAATTGATGGTATTTAAGTCTTTTATTTTCTTTGCATTATCCGATGGCGTACCTGTTGCTCTTTTAGGATCTTACGAGTTTGTCGATAATAAGATTTCGATGTGTATATTGCCTTCCTTTTTTACTCGCTCTACCGAAGCTGTAGAGGAAGCTTCCAAATTAATTTCTGATTATTTGGAAAAATTCGGCAAAAACCGTCAATCGATAGATTTGCCTGAAGTCAATATTGATGCCTGTCCTACGAATGCAATGCGTGTTCAGACTCTTGCTGCTGCTTGGCTCATAAAAAACGAATCATCTTCCCCATTAAGCCGTGATCTAGCTAAAATGATCGTCATTTCAGCTGCTGTCCTTGAACATCTGAATTTGAATTCCCGTCCTCAACCTTCATTCCCCTTATACGAGGACCCAGCTATTCAAAAATTTATTTCGTCATACTTAGGCTGTGCTTCTTCCATCCTCAATCTGTTAGATAGCAAGGTAGACGGTTTCCATGACCTTTTCGATGCTCGCTTATTTGTTCGTCTAGTATCTGATGTTGCTCTTGGCGAATTTTACATTCCTGATATCTGCCGTGAGTATGCTCTCTCCAATTGGAAGTTAGTTATTGATGCAATTCCCGATGCCGGTGATCTTTTTGATTTATCTTCTTTTTCTTCCATATCTAAGGAACTTTGTACTCCCATTGAGGCTCCCGCTAGCGAAATCGATACTTCCTTGGTTCCATACGGTGATCCCGTTATTTCCCAGTTTTACAACACTGAGGAATGGGCCGTTCAGCCCAAGGAACTTCAACCTGTTGAGACAGTTTTGGATTTCTCAAAATTGCGTATCAATGATAAGTCTGCCACCTCTAAGCGTTACGACGATATCAGTGCAACTAAAAAGACCGGTGACAGTAACAAAGATAAAAGGCAGGTTGATAGAATGCGTCGTCAGGACCAATTCTTTATCAGCCATATTCAAAAGTATGCCAGCTCACTTACCGGTGCTAAAGGTGGTCAATTGAAGCGCCAGACCATTTTCACCCAAACCCTTAAGGAAGCCAAGAGTCAAAGTGAAGAAGCTCCCAAAAACAAATCCAAGGCTAAGGATAAGGAAAATGCCGCGAAAAAGGGTAAACCTGTTAAACTCTCCAAAGCCGAACAAATCCGTGCCGAAATTGCTGCCAAGAAGTCTGAGAAGGAAGAAAATAAGAACGACTATATGTGGCGGGAAACTAGGAACGAACTTGGTCGTATTAAAGATCTGAATCTCCGCTCTAATCGTATTGATCAATTGTTGAACACTAGAACCTATGATCCTTACATTGAGAACGAAATGCGCTTATACCGCATTCGTGTCTTAATTTCCCTCTGGACAGCGGCCTGTGTTACGGACGAATCTAAGGAAAAGAATATTCGCATAGTGGTGGAGATTTTCCGTGAAATTAGTATTGTCTACCCCAGGCCCATTACTAAGCAGGTTAAGACTGCTCTTGACGATACACTTACTGCTTTGGGTTTTGAAAATGTTATCCGCAAAGCCAAGAAACTCGAAACCCGTCCCCTATCTTTTCCCTTTGTGCTCCCTGATTTAGAGGAAGAAGAATTTGATTTGGAAGTCCCTTTCACTTCTCCTACCTTCCAGTTGCTCCATTTCGGTGAGTATATGGAAAGATCTATGGGAAGCGCACCTGATGACCGGGTTGCTTTTGATCCTGATGAATGGCAGCGTCAGACTTTGGATATTCTTGACAAAGATGAGTCTGTCTTTGTTGTTGCACCTACCTCTTCAGGTAAGACCTTCATCTCCTTTTATGCTATGGAGAAGGTTTTACGTGATAATGATGAGGGTGTAGTCATCTATGTTGCTCCTACTAAGGCTTTGGTGAACCAACTATCCGCTGAGGTTTATGCTCGTTTTAACAAACACTACCCTCATGCTGGTCAAACTGTTTGGTCCGTCTACACTCGTGACTATCGTATTAACAATCCAACTAACTGCCAAGTGTTAATTACTGTCCCCCATGTTTTACAAACTATGCTTTTGCAACCTGCTTTGGCCAATGCATGGTGTCCCAAGATTAGACGTATTATTTTTGATGAAATTCACTGTATTGGACAAATGGAAGACGGAATGGTTGAAGAACAATTACTTTTACTTGCTCCTTGCCCGATTGTTGCACTTTCGGCCACTGTAGGTAACCCTGAGGAATTCCATACATGGCTTTCTGCTCTTCAGCGTGCTCATGCTAATCCTATTCATCTTATTGTTCACGAACATCGTTACTCAGACTTGAGAAAGTTTGTTTACGGCGGTGCTAAAGAGTTTAATGGATTACATGTAGAGGGTGACAATGGCCAAATTGCCCTAATCCATCCTGCCGCAGCTATGTCTTTCTCTGAAGGTACCACCACAAATTTGGCTTTTGAACCTCGTGATTGCCTTCAATTGTACTATGCTATGAAGCTAGTTTCCAAGGGTGATTTCAAGGTCAGCAAAAGACTGGACCCTGACAGATATTTTGAGGACATCCCTTTCATTAAGAAGGTTGACGTTGTGGGTTATGAGAAGAAGATTAAAGCCACTATTGACACATGGGCTTCTTTGCCTAATGCATTTGCTCCGAACTCTCCCTTGCAAGCCCTTATTAAACACTTCTGTAATGATCCACAACGTGTTGTCAATAGTCAGCTTCAATTGTATAATTCTGCTTACTCTTTGGACGCTATTGCGTCCAATTTATTGCCTATGCTTAAAGATTTGCATACTCAAGAGTTATTACCCGCATTGTGCTTCAATTACGATCGCCAAGAATGTGAATATCTTGCCGAAACTGTTTTCAAGGGTCTAGTCGAAAAGGAACGTGATTGGCGTGAAAACTCTGAAGAATGGAAAGAAAAAATGCGTGAGTATAAGAAATGGCAAGCTGCTGCTGGTCAACGTGCTAAACAAATGGAAAAATTCGAAAAGACAGCCACTGAAAAGCAGAAAGAACAAGCCTTAAAGGAATCCGGTGATACTAGCTGGATTGAGTTCTTCGATCCGGAAGAACCTTCCCCAGAGTTTTCTTTTGCTGGCGCCAAATCCACTTACGGCAAGGAAGAATTATATCGTGATGTGGAATCTTTACGTAGACGTCAAGTCGTTCCTGAATGGTTTGTCGACGCTCTTTATAGAGGTATCGGTGTACACCATTCTGGTCTCAATCGACGCTATCGTCAAATGGTTGAAGTGCTATTCCGTTGTGGTCAACTCAGTGTTGTCATTGCTACTCGTACTTTGTCTTTGGGTATTAACATGCCTTGCCGTACTGTTGTGTTCTTGGGTGATAACTTACAATTAAACGCCCTGAATTTCCACCAAGCTGCTGGTCGTGCTGGTCGTCGTGGTTTTGATTTATTGGGTCATGTAGGATTCCTTGGTGTCCCTTTGCATAAGGTTTACCGTTTGTTGACCACAAAATTATGGGATATTCAAGGTCAATTCCCTCTTACTACCTCCTTGGTCTTACAATTATCCCAACTCATCTCAGGTTCACAAGCTGCTCCTTTTGCACGTAATACTATTCGCTCGATTTTGGATGAACCCAAGTTCATGCAAAACGGTGCTGTTTTGAGCAACCAGGTCAATCATCACCTTCGCTTTGTTATTGAGTATCTACTTCGTGAAGGATTGTTGGATGACTTTGGTAAGCCTATTAATTTGTCCAATCTTACTATGCATCTGTATTATACCGAGCCTAGCAACTATGCTTTCATGAACTTACTTCGCGCCGGTATATTCCATAAGATTGCCGACAAGTATTCTTCAGACAAGTTGGGTGCTTTAAACGATACCATTACTATCCTCTGCCACTTATTCGGACGCATTCGCATTAACGAGCAGTTTGCTCTTTCATTGAAGAATCGTGATGAATTCGCTCCTTCAGAAATCATTTTGCCTTCTCTTCCTCAGGATATTGTTGAGGTATTAAATGCACACGACGAACGGGTTTTGAATCTGTATAAGACGTATGCTTATTACTATCGCGAACATGGTAATGTTGGTGTTGAGGAGAATAAGTTGCCTTTATCCAATATAAAGTTTGATGGAACAGCTAAACTTTCCAAGACGGTACCCACTGGTGTGGTTTCCGACTTTTGTGGATTAGCTGGTTTCAGCGATGCCACTGCCAAGAGTGTTTCCGATTTTATGGAACAAACACCCGATGGTGTATTCCTCAAAACTTCTCGCTTACCTGTTTTCGAAGTGAATAAGGGATCCCTCAATGCTTATCTACTTGACTTCTTCACTCATGGAAGTGTCGATCTTTTAGTTGAGCAGAATGGTTTGAAGCAATCTGAAATCTGGTTTGTGTTGAACGACTTCAGTTTGGTTCTAGCTACCATTTGCAGCTGTATTGGTAATTTACTCAATTTGGTTACCGATGACGATATTGAAAATGCCATGAGTGCTCTCGAAGATTCTAACGCTGTCCAGGCGTCTACTGAAGGTGAAAGTGGTAGCACTGACTGGATGCAAAACATGAACGGAAATTACTCCACTTCTCTTGCTTCTCCTGAATTGCAAGACAAGATGGACATGAACCTTTTCAAGGTCTACTGTATGTTCCTTGAAGTTCGTAACCAATTTGATGCCAAGTTCAGAAAGATGTGGGCTTAGATTTTTCATTTCTTTTTTGTTTTTTTCTTGTTCACCATTTTTTATTGAGTGTTTTCTTTTTTATAAAAAAAAAGACGCTTGTGGTTTATATTTTGAAAAATATCATAGGGATTTTAGGATATATGAAAAGCAATCAAATTGGATATTTTGGTACGAGAACAGTTGATTTCCATGCTATTTGGTACTTAATTAATTTAATGTTTTGAAATATGGTCTTGATGTAGAAAAGTAGAGATCCTAAGTTTCAGTCGCGTAGTGTAGGAAATTTGAGAATCAAGATTGTGAGGTTTCTCAAGCCTTTTACCTTTTTATATACGTACATATATATAACTGCTTAAGGTATTTACATATAATAATGTTTTAACAAAAGATTTGTTGAGAAGAACGGTTTGACTACCTTAACGATAGAAATTTGTCAGTATTCTATATCTTCCTTTTCCCAAAGGATTTGCATATATGTTGAATCTAGATAATTACAAGACGATTGTTAGCAATTTTAGAGCATCTCAAGACGAGATTCAATTTTTAGACCAGCAACCTCCAAAAGAAGCTAATCTATACGGTAAATGCTACAATAACCTTGACAAGAAGTAATACTAATAGAGTACCCGAATGGGGATTTAGTACTCGATAGTTCCTTTAATCCTCCTCACAATGCTCATTTGGGGATGTCTCAGAGTGTTCCTGAAGGAAGTTATCTAATTTTGCTTTTGAGCATTGCAAACGCTGACAAAGCCGAGGCTCCAGCATCCTTGGACATTAGATTAGCAATGCTGGAAGCTCTAAAACAGCGTATTAAGAACTGTAGTGTCTCGATTTCCCTTTGTAAGTATGCGCTCTTTGCCGACAAATGTGTATGTCTGTCGAAATACTGTTCTCCTAAAGAACAAATTTATTTGGTTGGTTTTGACACATTGACGCGAATTTTGGATTGCAAATATTATCCAGAAAAATCCATTCAAAAAGCTCTTACTCCCTTTTTTACGCACTCTCAAATTCTCTGCTTTTATCGAGAAACAAATGATTTAACGACTGAGATGCAGGAAGCGTACTCTGCTAAGCTTGAGAAAGGGGAACTTGAAAACGTGGCTACCGCCTGGTCATCTAGGATTAGCTTTGTTAAAATGGACAGTGAAATGGGAAAAGGTATTAGCAGTACAGTAATACGAAAAGCCATTTCTTCGGGCAATGAAAAAGTTCAATTGCGAATGATACCAGCGGAAGTTTTGAACATCATCAAGCATACTAAGCCCTATCGCTGAGCATCCTACGTTCTCTTTATTTTTACCGATTTTTTTGAAAAGTGACTCTTCTGGGTGTAAAGATCTTGCAGAAGGCATGATTTTTTATAGGTGAACGAAGAGCATTACCATAGTATTAGAACAATTTTAAACATAATTAGACTAAACTACTATTTATAATAACAATCCATAGAATAACGATCCTTCCCAAAATTTAGACCAATGTTTTTAGCAAAATTTCTTGAGGATACCTAGTTGACGAAAATTCTAAAAAGCCAAAGCACGCTTAGCCATCTCCAGAGCACCCTCAAAAGTGGCATTTCCTCCAATGAAACCCGATGCATGAACAAAAATACAGTTAGATATTCCAGTAAGTTCAGAAAGCTTTTCATCACGAACACCTCTCCATGGTTCGGGTAGAGGAAGACGAGAAGTGAAAGAAGTAGGATCGATAGCGACAGCTTGAACACGCCAGCCCTTTCCGTCCGAATAAATAGCATACTTGAATTGACCCTCTATGTTAAGTTCTTTTTCAATGTCATAAAGGTGACTCTTCCAAGGAAAGAACTTGTCCATAATCAAAATAGAAGAATCCTTTGCTTTGAGGACGGCTTCACGAGCCAAAGACTTCGCAGGTAACCAAGAAGATGCGTAATGGTTGACGGTGCGAACAAACCAGTTGCCAATAAACTCAGAGGCCTTATGGAAACATTCCAAGAAGGACTCTTCGTCTTGTTTTTCAGAGTTCCAAGAGGGGATATAAGTAGACACCATTTCTGGAAGACTCATGGCGGCTTTGAATGTGGGAGTCAAATCAGCGGGGAATGGTGAAATACCATTATCATTTGCATCCAAACCTTCAATAAACGAAGTATAGATTTTTTCATACAAGATGTCCAAGTCTTCTTGAGAAAGTTGCTTGCCCGCTAAGACCGAAGAGATCACCTCCTTACCAAAGTGTTTATAAACCAAACCTGCACTGGAAAGACGAGTCTTGTAGTTGGAAGAAAACGTATCGCTAAATTCACGTTGATGGTGATCAAAATACTTTACACCGTCATATTTCCCGCCGACATCTACAACGATATCGCAACTGTCTAAAAGCTGAGGATCCCTAGAGCGAACCACTTTGGCGTTACGATATGTTTCGATACTACGAAGCATGTAAACAGCTAAAGCTATAAGTAAAAGTTAGCTTTTCAAATCCCAAATCAAGTAAACCAAGCACGCGGAAGCAGGAAGTTAAGTTATTAAGTCTTTTTTTTTTTTTTTTTTTTTTATTTCATTCATCATGAACATCAACAAACCTCTATTCAGGCTACAACCTCAGTATCAATTTCAACATCCTAATCCGTCAAATGAGAACTTCGTTTTCTGGACCATAACATAAAAATGTCAACCTTCAAGCATATCTCCTCTTGTTAAAGCGTTTTCAATGTACACCAGATGTCAATAACTGTCCAACTTCATTCCTGGCTTCAAGTCCTTTAATTTCCCTTACCTTCGTCCGCATGAAATGCACCATTATGCGTAGCGATTGTCTTCAAGGAACTCATCATAAAACGATGCAAATTCACTTTGGATATTTCCTCTTTCCAAGGGAGTTTTCTTTGGTCAAATTCTCAAATTCCTTATAGGCCTAAAGGATTGCGATATTCAACACATTCCGTAAGAGTAAATAAAGACCAAACGTAATTACTAATAACAGAGCCTTGTACACGATCAGATACCTCGGTAACCATTTTACCGAGGTAGAACAAACTGTTTGAATGTACCTACAAAGGATGACGGAGTGTATTGGAACGCAGGTTCCTAAACCGTAAACAAAAGTTTTATAACGAAGGATCAAACAAGAAATGAAGAATGGTGGACTTTGAAAATACAGAATTCGATTCTATATACATCGGCTTTTAGTACATCATATGAACAGAGATCGCAATCCATAGTAGCTCTCTGTTCTCGTTGAAACATGCAGTATTTCTTTTTTTGCATGCATACTGCGTCCTATTCGGTCATTCAAATGCAACAAGAATTGCTGATTTAGAAGAATTAAAATCTACTCAACAAAGGTGAAGAACCTATCCATCTCAGTTTTATCAGAAACATATTCCGCACTGGATTAATTCACCGGTTCAACCTACAATGAATTACAGAACAAAAGCCGATCTGCTTTGCTCTTCTACTTGGAAGCACAAAAATCCCACACAAACCACTTACTACTAAGTAAAGGGAATTACAAAAACAACTACTTGTCTCTCACAATGAACTCAAAAGTTGAAAAAATTTATTCATATCAACACTTCCATGTTTAGGCAGAGGTAGCAGGAACACGAGCTAATGTCTGGTTAGTAAAAAATTTTTAAAAAAAGAACGTCGCCACATACTGTAAATGTACTGCTTAGAGGAGTGGTCCACCTTATTAATAACACCACGCTCGGCCAAGTCCTTGATGGCGATACGAGCAAGAGCACCGTTGATCTTCATACGGTCGACAAGGACAGAGACAGAAACAAACTTGAAGGCGGGAACCTCCTTGTTGATACGGTCAATGAGGTTCTTGTCAAAGACAGTGGCGTGTTGAGCCTTGTCCTTCACTTTTCCTTTAGACCATTTCTTCTTAGGGGCCTAATAATGTTAACGTTTTTATCCTCCTTTTGTTCTCATATTCACTTACCATTTTTGTAGATGGTTTGTTTGACTTAGATGTTCCATTTACGAATAGCAAATCGTGACTGTTATTTGCGCCCTACCCTACTTGACTTTATTTAGGGTAGGGCTTTCTTGGCAAGGTGTTATGAAAGGTATGAAAATAAGAATCTGGCTTGTATTTCATCATTACGAGTTTTAAACATTGTGTTGTCAATAAAGTCAGTTAACTTCAAATACTAATAGACTTGAAAGTACTAATGGCGTATAATGGGTTTTTAAAATATATTTTTATTATAAAGCAGTTTTACGTGTATTAAAGCAAAACCAAAAATTCAATCAAGACCAGCTTGATAAAATTTATCATATCATCAATCATTCATGTCAATCAAAATCAGTAAAGTTATTGAGAGAAGCTAGTAGATTCGGTTTATTAGGAATAGCTGAGCTAGTCGAAGTAGCTTGCGTTCCAAAAGTCTGAGACTTTTGCTTGTTATTGGAATTCGAAACCTGCATGAGACCTTTAAATTTACGACCACTAGTTCGTTGCGTGGAGGAAACGAGAGTGGAGGTTTTTGAGTTTGAAGAAGAAATATCGTCGACACCTTGATCTACTTTATTCCTCTTCGATTTTTGCATCATTGCCTTAAGTGTTGCTGGTAGAACAATGTCATCCTTTCCATTCAAAGACGTCTTTGAGATCGTCTTACTTAGTTCAGAGCGATCAACATAATTTCGTGATGCTTTCTCCAAAAGTTCGTCTTCTTCACGAATTGCATCCTCGTCAGCATCAATTTCGGCAGGATCAGATCCTGGACGCTCTTCTCCAAGCTCAGAAGATCCTATACCAGAGTCTTCATCGTTATTGTCCAACCACTTAAGGTTATCAGTAGTGTTTAGTAGATTATCCTCAACTGTAGCCAGGAATGCTTTCCTTTTTTCTCCACCAAGTATCTCCAAGTTTTCATGCTCCATCAACTTCCTTCTTCGAAGCTCCTTAAGCTTTTCTCGTCGAATTTCGCTATGCTCATCATCATCATCTTCGCTATCATCTAATAAGCCTACATTATTTCTACGTCTTTTTCGAAGTCCACCGGTAGTTACATCTTTCATCAGCTGTTCGACTAATTTACTGTCCCTATCAATTTCTTGATCCCGAGCATACTGAGCCATAGATGCTATTTCTTCTTTCTTAAGCTTTGTTTCATCATCAATCATATTCTTGATTTCTGGTTCCAATTCCTCATTTCCGTCTTCGTCCTCGGAAGCTCCTCCCAATCCAGCATATTCATCTTCAGATTCTTCTGCCTGATCTTCTACGAATTCTGTAAAAGGGACATTTGAGTCAGCATCGTTTGGACGCCTCTGTAGTAAATTCCTTTTAGGAAGAGCAGTAGCTTCATGATTATCATTATCAACTTGAGTTTTTACCAAATGGCTTGGCTCATCTTTTTTAGTCGCATCTACCTGAGTCGGTACTGAGGAATCCACTTGGGTAGGAACCACGGCATCTATCTGGGTTGGTTGAGTCTCATCTTCTAGCTGGGTACTATTCGATAATGCCCACCTAGGAGGAGGCTGACTGAAATTTGCATCGATAATAGAGAGCTGTGAATCTGAAGGAAGCATACCTTGTAAATAGAAAGCAGAGGAATCTTCTTTAGTTTCTTTCTCTTCCTTACATTCTTTTGATGATTGGGAAAAGTCATGAATCCGTAAATCATCCTCATTATCGGAATCCACCACCCTCATGTCCGATGAAGAATAGTCCTGTTCGTCCATTTCATCATCATCTAATACAACGCGATTGTTTTTCCTTTTCTTCAGACTTGTATCAGTTGACTCGCTTTGCGTTGCCTGAATAATTACGTCGGAAATTAATGTCTTAGGGGCTTTATCTGAAGGAACGCCATCAGAACTAATTTCTTCATCCTCATCCGAAGATTTACCTCCATCAAGCTCCTGCTCTTTCTGCCGAATCCTTTCCGCTTCCTTTCTAGCACGTTCAACAAACCCCAGTTGCTCTTCTTCATCTTTTTCACTACCAGAAGCCAAAAGTCCCTGACTCTCCAACTCTTTTTCTGTTTCTTCTCTTTCAGCTTTTGACATCATTGCTGCTCTTTTCATCAAATCTCGATTGAATTCTTTGAAATTGAATCCTTTTTCTTCAAGCTTGGCGTTTCGTTTCGAGGGTGACCGAATACCAGCAAGTCTTTTTAACCTATCAGCAACAGTATCAATATTTTCTGATGATTTGACTGACTGTATCGTATCCAGCGTCACTGTTTTGGGACGAGTCTCAATTTCCAAATCAGAATCCGAATCTGAAGTTCCAGTATATATGTTTTTAGAAAGTCTTTGAATTTTTTCCTTAATAGATAACTTTGGAGGTGTTTCTTTTGGAAACATATTATTGAACAGACTTGACTGACCTAAATCGGGCAATTTTAGTTCACCTGGTTCCATTCCCTTATCGGTAATATTTTCTGAAGAATCATTAGGAGTCAATGGGTCTGCATTATTCTTTCCCTCCTCTTCATGATTGGCGACAACCTTTTTCTCTGTTGACATCTCATTAGGTGTTTTCTGTGCTGATGGTGACTCATTTGACATGTCTATGCCACTTTGTGTTTTAGGCTTAAATCCAATTTTATCAAAGAAATCGTTTATAGTTACTTTTTTGCCAATCTTGATTTCGGGTTCCCTCGCTACTTCACGCGTCAGTCTCGCAGTATTTTGATGAAGTTCAAGAAGTGCTTTTCTAGAGGCTTTTCGATATCCACGTTCCATTCCATACGATTTACTCTCATATCCCAGATCCTCCTGATTACTATCGGCACCTGATGAACCGTCATTGCCGTCGGTATCTCCTTCAAGGTTGAAAAGGTCCTCTTGTTGTGATTTCAATTCTTTCTTTTTCTTTTCAACTAATTGCTTTAACCGAGATTCACGGTCAAGCGGTAAAGCTTGAGCTGAATCTTGTTCTACAGGAGAACTTAATATTGGGGTCCGTTGGGAATTGTCACTATCGTTTCGTAAACTTTCATCCATATGATTTTCTTTTTCAGATGTATTATTTATTTTCTTCTCATTCTGTAGTTGTCGCTTTACACGCTCGTAAGCTGATCCAAATTTGGACTGCAGGTCTTTATCCATCTGAGTATTACGGTCATCTCCAACGTCTTTAGAAGGAATATCTTTTTCAATTATGGTAGCACCAGGCTCATATTCATCATCAAACTTCGCCAGCATTCTCTTGACACGAGTTCGTGGTGTCTCTAGGAGGTCATTTGGAGAGTTGTCGTTCTCTGAAAATTCAACATTATTCACTGCTTCTCCAGAATCCATCAATGGACTCTGATGTTCTGTATTCATATCCAAAACTAGTTTATTCTGGTATAGGTTTTGTTTACGTTTGTACACGACATACTTAATATGACTCGGCAACGCGACGCGTCGCGACTAATGTCGCGACGCGTAGTAAAGAAATGAATCTATATTACGTAGTATCTATTTACATATAAAATAGTTATAGCATACTTTCCTGAACAAATAATTTTATTAAGTTATCAAAATGAATTATATAAAAATTAGAAAGACGTAAGAAGTATAATGGTAGTTATCGTGTCGGATACTTGAATTTTTGCTGTATTGTAAGACATCAAGTGATAATTATGATATCTATAGAACAGGTAAAACTTTTAGCGTCTAGAACTTTTTGCACGCGCAGCATACAAAAGTTTAAATCCATTGCAAAGAGCGGTCATGTCAGCATAAACATTCCCTTGCAAAAAGTAAGCGTTCGGAATTACTTTCACAGGCCATGCCAACACAGGAGAAGTTACCCCAGCTTTAAAACAAAGGACAAAATATCCTGGGTGTTCCTGATCAGAGCAGAAAGTATAACAAGAACGCTTGGGATTAGCTTCAGAATAGCTTTCTAGCCAATGCTCAGTATCACTACGACTTCCTCGTCTATATTTATCATGCATGCACATTTCATCGATCTTTTTAGCAATTGCTTTAATATGCATGACAATCAATTCATCCAAATCACTATACTCATATGTCATGTTTTCAAAACGACCTTTTACGATAAGTCGTTGTCCAATGCTAAATTCGTTTTCTTTATCCAGTTCCAAAACATCAATATGTTGATACGCAGATTCACCGACTTTCCAAGTTACTACAATATGATCAGAACCTTTAGATGACGGACGAATTATCAAGTCACCAACTTGTAACTTAGATAAATATGCTTCTGCCTGAGAAGCATTTAAGTCTTTGAACAACGGATGCTTGATAACACGAGCGACTCGCTGTTCAGCCTGAGTTTCAGCTTGCATTTTCTCATTGTCACGATCTTCGGCTTCTATATCCCAATAAGCTGTCAAATGGGAACGATCCTTTTGTTTAGCCAGCACAGTCTGTAGGATGCTGTTTCTTAAGGAAAGCTCTGCTGTAAAATTTTGTTCATTTAGTGAGATAATGATAGCCTCAACAGTCTGACCTGCTTGAAGGAGTTGAGGAGGAGGAATATAGTCATCACTAACCTCATCAGCTTTAATGTCGCCATCAACATCACAGTCGAGCTTGACAGCAACAAACCGATTAGTAACACGCTTCACATTAACAGGAACTAACGTATCAGGGCGCAAGTTTCTTGGATTTTCACCTGTTAGCATAAGGAATATTTCCGACGGAGTAAGTCTATGAAACATATTTCTTTGTTCCCCGTAAGGATCCTTTAATTCACGACGAACTTTTTCTAATGTACTTCTTTTACGTTGATTAAACTCACGCTCTAATTGATCAGCATATTCTTCAAGGACAAGTTCATCAAGCTTGGCCGCTTCATTTTCCTCTAGTAAGTGATATACAACTCCCTTACTAGCTTCTAATTCTTCAATGTCCTCTTCGTCTAATTCCAAAGCATCACTGGCCATTTTACGAGCGAGTTCGTAATCTTCATTATGGATACGAGTTGTATCAAGGATATCCATATTTGGGTATTCATCGTTGGGTATAATGAGGAATGAGGAGCAATTGATAAAAATTTTCCTGGTGACAATTTGCTTAGAAATTAAGTCACTTCTGTTATCAATACGGCCGCCTAGGGTTGCAATTTTCTTTAAAATGTAGTCTGCTTTACGGGGACCTAACCCTGCAATGTAAGGAAGGATGTTGGCCTCGTATTTGTTATTAACAGCCTCATTAATATCTATTCCAACAAGAGAGGATACGTCCACCAATGCAGTTTCAAGATATCTCCACAAGGTCTCTGAAGACAAAAGATGCTGCCAAGGATCAAATGACAAAGACAAAAGATCATGACCCAAAGCCGCATATTCGAATAGGGGATTCTGCACATAGCGAGCCAGCGCAATGCAGTATAAAGATGTAGTGGAAAAACTTGGAAATTCATCGGTTGCGCGAGAAGAGTTTTGGTAAAGACGAGCGATCTCATCGTTTACCATGATAATGTCGATGGGATCATGAGAGCTCAAAGAAACCTGAACATTCAGACGTACTTTATGGGCAGAAACACTCATCCCAGAAACACCAATCACATCTGGGTTGACTTTATCAACAAAGTCAGTAAACATAGCTTGATTTGCAGGGTCCTTAAAATCAGGCAACTTCAATGAATCAGCGGGTTCGCCCATATCATTAACGAAAAGACAAATGATCGCATCAGATGGTTCGCCTTTGCCATTTGAAACAGCCAAGACTGAAGGAATAGTACCGCGATCAAAATTTTTCGTTGAAGGCTCGTAAGGTGCTTGATCTAATCTGGAATATAACTTCGCACGACAAAGCATTCCTAGTTCATCCGAGTATTTAGATCGGAGCGTTTCGCGAATTGCGCCTGGTGCTAAAGTTGATAACTGCCTAAAGACATCTTTTAATACCATCTCCCGCTGAGAATTCCATTTAGTGGCGTTCTCTGAATAGTTATCGGATAAAATCAATTCAAAAAAGCCATTAAAGACATCATTCTTATCATTGAAGTCGACCGATATTTGTACAAGTCCTTCTTCTTCTGCTTTTAACATTTTAAGGAATAAAATAGGAGATTGTTCAAAAGATGTCAATGGCTTGCCTTTCAAGTATTTGAATTCGTAATATGGATGCTCATTGTCAATCTTACGAACTCCCTTTTGCGTTGCTAACGTGGATACAACGCCTGTTTGAAATAGTTTATCTCTAAATGCTTTTCTAAAGTAGGGATCATGAACAATCTCTTCAGCAAACACCTTGCGAGCTCTTTGCAGGACCAGTTCGGGATCGGTAAGCTCATCGGTGACATACGATGTTGCAAGCTCTTGAGGTGGTACTGATACATCTTCAACAAAGCGAAGACGTGCACCTTGGATAGCATTAAATGAGAAATCTCTTGCACTAATACCAAATTCTTTCACAAGATGATAAAGAGGAGAATTCTTAGCCTTTTCGTAAAAGGAATATTTCGATACTTGAGGACGGCGCAGACCAGTACCCACCAACAAAGCACGATCCCGAATTTGTTCGGAATAAGTGAAGTGAAGATAATCATTTATGTCATCCACTGTTTCCAAAGAAGATGCTTCTTGACATAATGTAATTACCATTTCATCACTGATACCTAAATCAGTATATAACTTCATCAGATCATTCTTCTTGGAATGAAGAGACCAATATCTGGTACACAAGTTGAAAATACGCCAGAGATCATCTTGGTTTAGTAGCGGGGTGATAGAATCACGTTGACGGTCATAATGAACAATATAATCTCGACGGTGTTGCCATATAAAGGGAACTTCCAGGCTTTCACGAACGAAGAAATGAACGGCATGTCGTACTGCAAATCGGAAAGGCTCAAGTAATTCGCTATTTATATCAAGCCGCTTTTCCAAAAGTTGATTGGTTATCCAATGACTTTCATCGAGCAATTCTTGATCAGTGCAATCGGAGTTTCTTTTCATGTATAACTGCATGCGTTCAGGTTCGTCGGTGATACGGACGATTTCATCCTCTTCCGTAAGCATTTTTTCTTGAAGTTCGCTGGGCTCAAAGATCGTTTTTAGACTAACAGGCTCCTGTAGTTCATCTTCAACGTCTTCATCTTCCAAGGCAAAAGCATAGTCGGTACCATCACCAAAAATTTCATAAATTTGGAAGTAGTCATCTTCGGATATGCCCAATGCCTCCGGCCTAACGGATTCAACTTGAGGTGTCACATCATACTTTTCTTCTTGAGGCTCTTCGTCTTCAAATTCGTCCTGTTCAATGAAATCTGCAAATTCATCCATAACCCCGTTGCGTCTTCCATATCCACGGTCAGGTCCATCAATCTCCTCTTCTCTCCCACCTTCTTCTTTTTCTTCTTGATCTTCATCTTCTGAGAAAATTTTTTCAAGGTCTTCCTCCTGGTCGCGCCCTCTCTTCAGTCGTTTTAATTTTGTTCGATTATCCTGACCAGTATTTTCCATGACCAATTCTAAATCATCCTCATCCAACATACCTTGAGGTCCTTTTTCTTCCTCGACGCGCTTCTTACGCTTTTTCTTCTTCATAATTTCATGAGGAGCTTCATCTTCTTCATCTTCCACTATGAACCCTTCACGGATTGCTCGTTCAGCTTCCTCGTCTGTCTCAGATTCTTCAGAAGAGTCATGGCGTTCATTATTATCCAAACGGTCACCTTCACCTTCTTCTTCTTCATTCATTCCATTTGTGTTTACATCGCGTCCGTCTTCTGCAGGGCCATCATTATTTTTTTCAACATTTGGATTTTCATTTGGTGAACCAGAAACCCCAAGTTCACTCATTTCTTCTAATATCACAACAGAAGAACAAATTCCTGAAACCTGACGGTCTGTTGTGGTTGAGCCTGCTTGGATTTGTGAAAATGACCTTCTTGGCAGTGAGCACTTGCCTTAATAATGGCAATTGTTGATATAACGCACCTTGCTATATCTCGCTAAAGGAATCATTTAGCAGAAGGTTCAAATTTTTTTGACAACAATTTTGGATACCACATGGTTGTACATTTTGTTGCTCTTTCAATTTACTTGCCATACTCTAGTAGTTACTTAGAAGTGATACGCATTCTGTGAATTTTCAAACCGTACTCGTAGAAAAAAGTATTGTATATTGAACCCCGTATTTACCAAACATGAAATAAGTTGATTTCACAAATCATTTCACATTAAGTGAAACGCCTATTAAATAACCTTTTGTATTCCAAAAAAATGTATAGTATAAAACTCATTGAACGTAATGATAATTAGTTAGTTAATTGTCTTAACGACTCCAGTTCCGACCTGCATCTTGAGACATAGTAGAAGACCGCTGTTTTGAATAAACATTTCCTTTGTTTTTGTAGCCTCCGCGGCGTTCTTTCTTATCAGTGCGTCCACTGGCACCGATGGTGATATTAACATTAGGAGGATGAGCAAAACCAAAGGATTTGGCTACCTTTGCTAAGTCTAGTTTATTAATGTCAAAAATCGATTTTAGAGAATAAGAGGCATATGCTTGAAGGTATGCACGGTATCCATCTTTAGCAGATTGCTGCAGGTAGTAGTTCTTGGAAACAAGCTTTTCCAACTGAGATTGTACGTTGGCAATTTTGTTAGCAGGGAACTCGTATTCATTCAGAGGAACCTTGGCATTCTTCAAATAGCGCAAGAAGCCAAGTTCGGAAGGAGTAAGGAACATTAGACACTTACCCCTCTTCTGATTACCTCTAGCCGTACGACCGACACGGTGGATGTAATCACGAGGATCATCTGGTGGATCATATTGAACAATCCAGTCCACTGCAGGAATATCTAAACCACGAGCAGCAACATCTGTACATAATAGGATACCTCTTTCAGCGTTGCAAAATTCGAAAAACGTGTTCGTTCGGCGTTGTTGCTTCTGCTTACCGTGAAGATCTAGCACAGGCAAGTCGATGTAGTTCAGAAGTTCGGCCAGGTACTTCACAGACGCACAAGAGGACATGAAAACGATAACCTTTTTCTTCAAGTTTCTTTTCAAGAAAGAAAACAAGAGAAGGAATCGTTTGTCAGAATCTACGACTACGTAACCCTGCTCCAAACCTTCTACCGTTGAAGTGTCTTTCGAGGAATCAACGTTGATGTACAAAGGTCCAGGTCTCAAAGAGATTCTAGCCAAGTCCTCTACTTTTGTAGTTTGTGTGGCAGAAAACAGCGACGTTTGACGGTCCTCAGAAGGAAGCACTTTGACGATTTGACGCATTTCGTCTTCGAAACCAATTTCTAAGATACGATCGGCTTCGTCAATGACAAGCGAACGAAGGTTACGATAAACGAATCCCTTGGTGTTTTGCAAATGATCCAGCAATCGACCGGGAGTGGCCACTAATAGGTTGACACCCTTCACAAGCTTCTCAGCTTCAGCACGGCGATTCGCACCACCAATGACAATACCATAAGTCTGATGATGGTATTTCAAGACTTCCTTGGCAACACCAAAAATTTGAAGGGCTAATTCACGGGTTGGAGACACAATAATGACACCTGTACCATTACGCGGCTTAAATTTTAAAGCATATAGCATTTCAATAGCTGGAATCAAGAAAGCAAGTGTTTTACCACTACCGGTTTTAGCGGCACCCAAGACATCACGACCAGCAAGCAAAGGAGGGATCGTACGAGCTTGTACTTCCGTCATTTTTTCGAAAGCCATATCTTGAATTGCTCTTTGCGTGTTCTCCGAAAGATTGAGTTGTGAAAAGTTTTCAACCTCTCCCTGGATACCTTCAGTCAAATCCGCTGTTCCACGGACTTCTTCTTCTCCCTCTTCTTCATTTTCTTGGTTCTCAAACTCCTTGAAGTTTGCTTCTACCGAAGCATCCTCTCCTTCACTCTTCTCTTCCTCTTTGGCGGTTTTCTCTTTTTTCACCTTTTTTTTCTCGGGGGCTGATTCCGTAGCATTTCCATCCTGTTCCACTACGGCAGTATCCTTTTGTACTTCCTCTGCAGGTTTCGCTTCGGACTGAGCCTTTTTACGCTTCAATTCCGTTTTGCCCATCTTTGAAACACCGCTTGGCAGTATAGGTTCCTGGTGAGTTTTCTTTGTAGCAAAAAACCCGGTCTGTTCTATGTTTTCACTCGCAGTATCATTTACTGAGCTCCTTGCAGTGCAGCTTCTCGTTTAGCGCAATTTGTTCGTACTTGGAATACTTGTTAGAAGCATATGCTATTGACAATTAACCATATTACGATAATGCATACTCTTTATTAAGAAGTTTTGGAGTAACCACCGGCTTGTTACCTCTTTTAACGCAATCATTTTCAAGATCCGTTTAAGCCACCTTTTAAGCCACCTTTTGACTGGTGAAGGGATTTCAGCAGTCTCTGCTTAACATACTCTTCAGTTTGGTCCTTCTTTTCTTTCAGAATCATTTTCCCTTCTTATACATAGTATAGACGTGTGGGTATCTTGTAACTCAGTCGTAAAATAGGTTACGGCAAACGGGTAAGAAACCTAACATTAGCCAAAGAGCCTTCAGATATCGGTGAACGAGAAAAGTTTTCAACCGGAAACTTGGCTCCAATATGAGGCTCCTGCAAAGCCCAATTCTCTCCCTTTTTCTTATTTTTTTTGCTATTCAATCGGTGCGAGCGAAGCCGAAACAATTATATGTCAAATCGTTGACAACATGTATGACCGATTCCCAGTTTTCCGCTTCGACACTAGATGCTGTGTATTACCCAGGTAATACCTCTATATACTTTGACGTTTCAGCACGATCTCTTGTGTCTAGTAATGTATCAATCCACGTGAATGTTAGCGCTTATGGCTTTAAATTAGAGAAAACGATAGATCCCTGTGACATGAATATTGCCGGGTTTTGCCCTATGCAGGCTGGAAACATAATCTTGCAAGGAAACCACGATTTGACAGGTGAAGTAACAAAGTGGGTCAATGAGCTTCCTAGCATTGCCTATACAGTGCCTGACTTGGATGCAAAAGTTACCGTCAACATGTACGATACAAGTTCGAATGAAAGGATTGCCTGTGTGAAGACGAACGTCGAGAATGGTCGCTCTGTGTACTATCATGCTGTGTATTGGATTCTGTGCATGGTGATCGGTGTTCCTTTGCTCTTGTTTCTGCTTTTATCTCCCATATTTCAAACTCCAGCAATGTGGGAAGTTTTCGAGAACATGGTTGCGCTATTCCAGTTTGCACAGCTGCAAGGTATGTATGCCATGATGGCGAGTCCTCTTCCAGGTATTGTCTTTAGTTGGGGACGTAACTTCATCTGGTCAATGGGTATTATTAAAATAGGGTTTATGCAGGACGTGTTTACCTGGTATGTAAAGTCTACTGGTGGTGACCCTTCTGTCCTCGTTGAAATGGGTTCACATGGCAACGTGGGTCTCGCAAAACGTGGGTTAGATTCTGCATCCCTCTTTTCCAAAAGGGATTCTAGTTCAGGTTCCTCTTCAAGTTCTAATTCTGGTACCATAACCCTTCGTGGCATCAGACGTCTCTCCTATATGATGGGAATTGAAACGACAAACTTTTTTATTACCGGCTTTTCGTTCTTTATAATTCTCCTTGGGTTTACATTATGTATCGCTATATTGTCTCGAATCGTACTTGAGTTGTACTACCTTATTGCTAAAGATAGGGCACTAAAAAGACAACGTGCTCGTGAATATTGGAAAGCTATTGCAAAAGGTGTTTTTTACCGGGCCATCTTTCTTGGTTTCTGGCAAATGAGTGCCTTATGTATGTGGGAAATATATACACGTGACTCTTCAGCATTGGCATTCTTATCTATGTATGTAATTGTAGATATGGCTATTTTATTGCTATACGCTTTTGCGCGTACTATGCAAATTATTCGCAAGACTGGTGCTATTTCAGATCCGGATGCATTGTTCAACTTGTATTCGGACACTCAGCATTTGATGCGGTGGGGCTTCATGTACGTGAGCTACAGACATCGCTTTTTCTTCCTGAGCTTTTTTTTGCTTATTGTAATTTTGATAAGATCGATGTTTATCGGTTTCGGTCAAGATTCTCCGGTGGTACAAGGTTGTGCTATGTTTGCCATTAGTGTTGTGGTATTTTTCTTTATGGTCGTTGCTCGACCATATGCAACAAAGCATTTAAATAGCATGCACATTGGTATTTCTATCGTAAATATGATTAGTGGTGTATTTCTTCTAATCATGTGCAAAGCGTTCACGGTGAACGAACTTGCTCGTCAGGTTATTGCCATTGTGTTCTTCGCTATCAACGCTATTACCATGTTGGTATTAATCGTCGGTATCTTCATTCGTAACATCGTAGTATTGTTACGAAGAACAAAGAATGGTACTTATTATCGTATCTTGGATGAATCTAATGAAAAGAGTTCTTCTCTAAAAGATTTTCCCAAGCATCCAAGCTCTGAGATGAATGTTTTCCATGATCCAGGATTTACAGGAACAACATTGCGGGGCTCGACAGACTTGCGTACGACCGATAATCCATTTTCGAGTCATGACGATTCCACGAACACATATTCTAATTATAAATACAACTCCCCATGGCAAGCTATCGAAGAAGATTCATATGCTAAATTACACGGAACGAACACGAACGAATTTTACAGGGATCCTAGTGCCATCGAATCTTTAGGTTACAACGGAGGACATCGACGAAGACCATTGCCTGAGCCATCTTTCTATTAGTCTCATTCTTCCCACTTTTTTAATTTCATTATAAGAAGCGTATGTAGCAATACAAAGTGGATTTATATATTAATATAAATCCAATGCCGAGATATTTCGTTGAACTTGAATGTGCAAGTTCACTAAGCCAAGATGGAACCGCTCTATGCATTATGAAAAAGACGGCATACTGTCAGATCTCGGAGAAGAAAACCCCTAAATAGTTGATACGAGCATGAGTTTACCTTACTTATTTATTCGAAGGACAATCATTCTTTTCGTCATATTGCATATCTTTTGCTTATAAGTTTTATTTTTACGTTGTCATTTCAAAAGAGATTTAAGAAAACTTTTCGTGTTTTATATGAATCTATGTTTTAAGATACTCTCTTTTTGTCCAGTTCCTGTTTTAATTGTTTTTATCTTATCTTTATCTTTATTTTTAAATGTAAATACAAATCTGAATACCGTATTTAATAAACGATAGAATGGTTTTGTAAAGCTGTCAAGGACAGTATAAGTATATATTGGTGTACCGAGAAAGAATTGTTTGGAGAACTATTTCAAGAATGGGGTGCATTAATTAACCAAGCGATACAGTCCAACACTGATAAATCCTGTGGCTAATGACAATAGGCCTAACCGTTTTGTACGGTAATGTGGGGTACTTTTGGGAATCCTTGACTGCCAGTAGGCATAAGCGCCAAGCCCTGTAAATGCTGTAGCACCTATGAGGCGACAGGGCAGACAATCATAGCGCTCGAACCTTGGATCGTTAGGATTAATGCGAGATTGCGGTTGTGAAGTAGACATAATATAAACAACGAAAGACAAAAGGATCTATGGCAAGAACTTAAACAGAATTAGAGTGAATTGGCTACAGAAGAAACCTCAAGGAGAATAGAATAGACGAGTAAGTCGAGAAGAGCAGGACTAAGAAGCAAAATGCCCTAGATAACGGAAGTTTTCTATTTATTCAAGGGAAGCACGTTCTTAATGACGATACAGGAAGAAAGAGAAAACGAGGTAAGCTATTACAGCAAATAAAGAAGCAAGTACTCTGGGGTTTAGCCCAGACGTCGAAAATCACACGAATTTCGATGGCTCAAAAAGCAAAATGAAACATAAAGCCGGTCTTCGTGTTTCTTTCAAGCAACCAAAAATAAAGCTTGTCAAGGCTTATTCAACACTAGGCTGTTTTGCAGGATTCGGCCCAAACTTCTTGATTGTTCTTTAGGGTTTGTTTACATATTTAACGATTCGCTACGAAGTTGAATCTTTCTCTTCTTTGTTTGCGCCTTGGTACCTTGTACATCGTTGTACTTCATAAATGAAGAGCAACGAGTTCGGGGTTTCGAGAAGCCGAGAAGTGACTTAGTAAGAGATTTAGAAATTTTCTTAGCCAATTAGTTTTGCAATCTCTAGCGTTCTTTCAACTTGTTTAATTATCATCTCTGCGCTATCTAAATAACGTTTAAGGCACTACAAGGTGCTATACGACGATTTGTTGAGTCTCGGTAAATGCTCAGCATTCGGGGTCCGAAAGAATAGAGTAAATAAGTTAACCACTGCCATAACGAAGGAAAGAGCGGTGACTCAAATTTAGTCATAAACAACAATCTACTTTAAGTTTTTGCCTTCATAGTAGAGCAGGAAAAAAAGAATTTAGGAATGGCAACTGAACTTCGTAGAAAACTGGTTATTGTGGGAGACGGTGCATGTGGTAAAACATGCCTTTTAATGTAAGTAAATGATCTGGTTTTGGGGAAACGGACGGCATTCTGCCGAAGAAAATTGACAAGAGTGATCTTCTTTCGCTTTGTCTGATTTTTTTGGCTTGGTTCTTTGAAGAAGAAAAGGTTTTAGGTTCGTTCATATTCAGATGCCTTTTTCACAGAAAGGGCTTGTTCTTGACTTGAGCAGGTCTAGTCACAGGGCTTCAGTTATGAATGAAAACGTTGTCGTTGAACGGATTCAAAGAGTTCTTTCCTTGAACGTGTCAAAGATTTACATAAGGGGGCATCTTCCTTTGCGTTCCTTGGAGATATTGGTTTGATATGAATTGTAAGAGAATCGATTTTTTATCGTTATTAGCCTTATAAGCTGTGGTTTTTGCTTATAAGGGCTCTATAAATTTTCCATTCCTTTTAAGCCCCTTTCGTTTCTTAAACCATACAGTTTTATCTTTTTTTTTCGGTCTTCAACTCTTTACTAACCTTCCATAGTGTCTTCTCTAAGGGCACCTTCCCAGAAGTTTATGTTCCCACTGTATTTGAAAACTATGTCGCCGATGTAGATGTTGATGGACGTCACGTAGAATTGGCCTTATGGGATACTGCTGGTCAAGAAGATTATGATCGTTTGAGACCCTTGTCTTATCCTGACTCTCACGTCATTCTTATTTGCTTCGCTGTCGATTCCCCTGATTCCCTTGACAACGTCCAGGAGAAGTGGATTTCTGAAGTCCTTCACTTCTGCTCCAGTCTTCCGATATTGCTCGTCGCTTGCAAGGCGGACTTGCGTAATGATCCAAAGATCATTGAAGAACTCTCTAAGACTCAACAGCATCCCGTTAGTAGTGAAGAGGGACAAGCCGTTGCTCAAAAGATCGGTGCTTATAAGTATTTGGAATGCTCTGCTAAGACAAATCAAGGAGTTCGTGAAGTTTTTGAATCTGCCACTCGTGCTGCTATGTTGAAGCATAAGCCAAAGACGAAGCCTTCTGGTGGTAGCAAAAAGAAGAAGCGTTGCATTTTGATGTAAAGTGGCCTCTCTCCTATGGAATATCATCATATCTTTTCCATCTAGATAAATCGTTTCCGATTCTTTTCACTCTATCTTTATTATCATATCTGTAATTTACCTGTACATTTCCGTTTATCCCTTCTTGCTAGCTGTGTTTTATGAATGGATGCTTTTCTGTATGGCTTCTCTGTCGGGGTGAAATGCATTCCTGTGTCTGGGCACGGCTTTTTATTGAATTTTTCTCGGGTCATCCTTTTATGAGATGTTTTGATCCAAGTTTGTTTGGTAAGTTTTCTGTCTCCGCAATCGTCTCAAAGCAACACATTATAATCAAATTGCATGCGCTATTAGTGATCTTTACTTTCTTATTTCTTTGCTTCTGGTGTCCTCTTGCTCGTTAAGAGAGACTTGCTTTTTTTACATTTCTTTGTATGATGAATATCCCCATTGCATGCCTCAGTCTTCATTTGAAGAACTTTTTGAGAACCCTTATTGTTTAACTTTCTTTAAATAGTCGTCTAGCTTGGTCACTATTTTATTTTATCGGAAATTGAAAAATCTGCACAGTGAATATTAGATTTTTAGATTTCTCCCTTGTAGAAAAAACACAAAGTAACTTAAGAAAATGCTGTTTAGAAAACTCATACTATGCTGATAGTGGATGCGCGGTTAGTGAGATATCAAGCAATATAAAGAGTGCCAAGTTCCCCATCCAATGGCATTACCTATGTTTCGAAGTTTAAGATTTAGGTATAGCATACTTGTCGTACGGGAGTTTGATCAATAGCAATTGCTTATTAGCGTCCTATCGGAAGCAGAAGGTTGCCCATTCTTGCAAACCTCCGTGCGTATTATACTTGTTTTTTAAGCAAATTGCCGAATGGTTGATGCCGTACTTTAAGCTTGAGAAAGCATTCTGTCATCAGTCTCTTAGGAAGTTAGCAACAAACTAGCGTAAATCAAAAATTTGGTACCTAATGCTGCCAATTATCTTATATGACAATATACATATATTCGGTTCGTAATTTTATCTTCGTCCGAGCTTCAGGATCATGGGACTCCGAGTTTCATGAGCTTGTTTCAATACTTCTTATTAATCCAGTTTTCCTTTCATATATACAACGAAAACAATTTCAACCAACACCTAGGAACTCCGGTTGCAGATAAAAAGGTTTCAGTTTCATACAAACTTCTTGCCAATCTCCTAGATTTTCATATTCAGTTTCAAAAAAATAAGTGTTGTTCTAAACTCGAAAGAAGTTATGACAGTAGTATAACAGTTAATTATGGCTATCTAGAACATATATGTTATAAAAACATCTTAAACAAAATTTAAAATTCTCAATCATTCCTATAAGAGCAACCGCAAATTTTAGTATTGTAGTGAATTCATCAACGAATAGAGCAAACTAACTTGCAAAGACCAAATTACAAAGTTAAGGTTGTCTTTTCTATTTTTACTAGCAATATTCAGTACATGGTTCATGGTGTGTATATTTTTTTTCTTCCGTCGCGTGAATGAAACACGGTTGTTTGTTGATAAACGACGCGTCAACAAACGCGATGCGTGTTTTCATTCACGCGGTGCAAATGATTCTGACCTGTTTGTAGCTAATAAACACGCGTATCGTGAGATTATCTGATTGTTATCTGGTAGATTTGTAAACGTGAATTTCTAAACTATAATAACAGATTTGACTTTTCTTTTCAAATTCCGCGCTTTTGAGACGCGATGAAAGGATTCTTTTTTTTTCTTAGTGTACCAGAATTTTCATTTTTTGAATGCTTAAAGTTGCAAGCGTAAGGCCACGAACAGTATTGAATATCTCCAGCGGCGTATTTACCATTTTGTTCCTTCAGGTTTATTTACATGGTATGTTACGAAGATCATGCTACTATGACGCGTCGCGTGTATTAGTTAATTTGAACGCGACGCGTACCAGCGCGTTCTTCATTTGCTATATATAATCCACACCTCCTCCACTTCTATGTTTTAAACAAATACAATGTTTGTCTACAAGAGAGGTAAGTATATTTTTATGTCAATGAAGGAGAATAAATAAAGGCTTGAAAGAAATGAACTGATGGGTTTGTTTTCACGAAGATTTTAAGGTTGTTTAAGCTTCTTGAAAGACCTGGAAAACTCGGAAATCTTTTTCAGTTAAAGAAAAAGAGAGTTTGAAATCTTATTGATTCGTCCTTTGTGTCTTGCGTAACGCTGTTGTCTTGAGCTAGCTACAAATGGTCTTTATACAACGTTCCGTGGCGGAAAGCGTTATGTCTTTCATTGCCTTTTTGAGTGTTTAGAAGCAAAGCTAACCTGTTCTTATAGACGGACATCAGGAAAAGGTTGCATTTGACAAGATCACTGCTCGCGTTTCAAGACTTTGTTATGGTCTTGATTCCGACCATGTGGATCCTGTGGCCATCACTCAGAAAGTCATTTCTGGTGTCTATCCCGGTGTTACAACCGTGGAATTGGACAATTTGGCCGCTGAAACTGCTGCCACTATGACTACAAAGCATCCTGACTATGCTATCCTTGCTGCCAGAATTGCTGTTTCCAACTTGCATAAGCAAACGGACAAGGCTTTTTCTGTCGTCATGCAAAAGCTTCACGATTATGTTAATCCAAAGACTGGAAAGCATGCTCCTATGATTTCTGATGAGGTATACAACATTGTTATGAAACACAAGGATGAATTAGACAGTGCTATTATTTATGACCGTGACTTTACATATAACTTTTTTGGTTTTAAGACTTTGGAGCGTTCCTACTTATTGCGTATTGATGGAAAGGTTGCCGAGCGTCCTCAACATTTGATTATGCGTGTGGCCGTCGGTATCCACGGTGAAGATATTGAAGCTGTCCTTGAAACTTACAACTTAATGTCTTTGCGTTATTTTACCCATGCTTCTCCAACCCTTTTTAATGCGGGCACTCCTCGTCCTCAAATGTCTTCTTGTTTCCTTGTTACAATGAAGGATGATTCAATTGAAGGTATTTATGATACCCTTAAAACTTGTGCTATGATTTCCAAGACTGCTGGCGGTATTGGTATTAATATGCATAACATCAGAGCTACTGGTTCTTATATTGCCGGTACTAATGGTACTTCAAATGGTCTTGTTCCTATGATCCGTGTATTTAATAATACTGCTCGCTATGTCGACCAAGGTGGTAACAAACGTCCTGGTGCTTTTGCCGCTTACCTTGAGCCTTGGCATGCTGATATTATGGAATTCCTTGATCTTAGAAAAACACACGGAAAGGAAGATTTCCGCGCTCGTGAAATGTTTTATGCTCTTTGGATTCCAGACTTATTCATGCGCCGTGTTGAAAAGAATGAGCCATGGACCTTTTTCTGTCCTAACGAAGCACCTGGCTTGGCTGACGTTTGGGGTGAAGAGTTTGAGGCTTTGTACGAAAAGTATGAAAAGGATAATCGTGGACGTCGTCAATTACCTGCTCAAAAGGTTTGGTATGCTATTTTGCAATCTCAAACTGAAACCGGCAACCCTTTCATGCTTTACAAAGACTCGTGCAATCGCAAGTCAAACCAAAAGAATTTGGGTACCATTCGCTGCTCTAACTTGTGTACTGAGATTATCGAATATTCTGCTCCCGATGAAGTTGCTGTCTGTAACCTTGCTTCAATTGCTTTGCCTACTTTCATTAAGGATGGCAAGTATAACTTCCAAAAGCTTCACGACGTGACGAAGGTCGTTGCCCGTAATTTGAACAAGATTGTTGATATTAACTATTATCCTGTACCCGAAGCCCGTAAAAGCAACTTCCGTCATCGTCCTATTGGTTTGGGTGTTCAAGGTCTCGCTGATGCTTTCTTTGCACTTCGTCTTCCTTTTGAATCTGCTGGTGCGAAGAAGCTGAACATTCAAATCTTCGAAACTATATATCATGCCGCTGTCGAGGCTTCTACTGAATTGGCTGAAAAAAATGGACCATATGAGAGTTATGAAGGCTCTCCTGCTTCTCAGGGTATTTTGCAGTATGACATGTGGAATGTTACTCCTACTGAATTGTGGGACTGGGCTGGTTTAAAAGCTAAGGTTGCCAAGAACGGTCTGTATAACTCTTTGCTGGTTGCTCCCATGCCTACTGCATCTACTTCTCAAATTCTTGGATTCAACGAATGTTTTGAGCCTTACACTTCCAACATGTATCAGCGTCGTGTTCTTTCTGGTGAATTCCAAATTGTCAACCCTTGGTTGTTGAAGGATCTTGTTGAACGTAACTTATGGAATGAAGAGATGAAGAACAAACTTGTCATGCTCGATGGTTCTATTCAAGCTATCCCTGAGATTCCTCAAGATTTGAAGGACCTCTATAAGACTGTATGGGAAATCAGTCAAAAGACTGTTATTGACTATGCTGCTGATCGTGGTCCATTCATTGATCAATCTCAGAGTTTGAACGTTCACTTGAAGGATCCCTCTTACGGTAAGATTACAAGTATGCACTTCTATGGCTGGAAGAAGGGCTTAAAGACCGGTATGTACTATTTGCGTACTATGGCTGCTGCTTCTGCTATTAAATTCACTGTTGATCCTATGATCCTTCGTGAGCGTAACAAGCAAGTTTCTGAAGAGAATCGCTCTCCTGTTAAAAACGGAAAGGCTGAAAAGAAGGAGGATAAGGATTCTGAGGATGTTGACATTTATAATGAAAAGGTCATTGCTTGCTCTATAAATAACCCCGAGTCGTGTGAGATGTGTTCTGCTTAAAAAAAGAAAAGCTTTGATTGATTTTGTTTATGAATGACTTCCGTTTGATGTATATTATAGGTTGACCTTAATGGTTCTACTGTCTTTCCTTTCTCTGTTTTAGTGAGCTGGCTCCAATCATTTTGAATTTTGAGGTTGAGTTTTAATTTAGCAAATAAAAATTTGTTTTTAATGGACTAAATTTCATTTTAGTGGGTAGAAGTGTAGTAATAAGGATCAAACATTGCTATCGATATTATTGCATCCTGTAGATGGGTATTGTACTCAAATAACAGCTTAAGCACAGAGATAAAGCGATAGCTATGTACAGCAAAAAGAATGGTTTTTAGTATACGACATTCGGTACAAAGGAAGCTTAAGCAGACTAGCGACAGATCTGTTCAATGTCATTATGATCACTATGATGCTTTAAATATAAGTTTTCGTAATGCACGATTTAAATATGTTAAAGAGTTATGAGGTTTGTTACTAAATTAATTTTGTCTTTTTGGTTTCATTCCTTGGTGTTGGTTAATTCATTGCAAAAGCAAGGAATAGAATAGCAATATTTAATTCTAAGAATAAAAGGAGAAAAGATTAAGGAATCAAAGATGAATCGAACTGTACACCAGGAAAAGCCTTCGCTTTTAGGGAAAGCTTTAATATTAATGACAAGTTATTATGGCCCATTTTATGATGATGGTGATAATACAGGAGCCTGTTATCCAGAGATCTTTGAACTCTTTCATATCCTTGAAAATAATGGGTTCGATGTTGAATTTGCTTCTGATACTGGAGACTATGGGTTTGATTGTAAATCAGTACGGGAACCCTATGCCACAAAGGAAGCGCTAGATGTTCTGAACGATCCGGAGAGCATTTTGATGATCAAATTGAAGACAATATCTCGCTTGAGTCGTCTCAATCCCAATGACTACGATGCAGTTATCGTCTCTGGGGGATATGGATGCTACTTTAATTATTCTCATTGTAAAGATGGTCAAGGGTTTATGAAAGCTATGTTTAACAAAGACAAGGTTATTGCTACAGTTGCTGAAGGTGTTCTTTTATTAGCCTGCACTACAAGAGACGATGGTCATACCTTGTGTTGGAATCGAAGGATAACCGGTTGTACTTGGAGAGATTCAATTCAAAGCGGGGTGCATGATGTTATGAAGAAATTACATTTTCCTTCTACTGAGGATATAGCCAAGGAAAGCGGTGCTATCTTTAAAAGTTCGCCGGTGTATCATACAGGTGGCTTTGTTATCGAGGATGGAAATATTATTACCGGATCGAATACAAATAGTGCTGAAGCGGTTGCTAAACAAGTTTTGAAAACTTTGAAAAAACAAGCATTCTAGGTAACTTAAAGATCATACTGAAATTCCTAAATATCTTAGTCCGAATTCCAAGGGTATATGAATTTCCATTTACTTAATATACCGTAAACTCCCATTACGGCCTCTTGCTCTCATCAATCACGAATTATGATCCAACTCAATAACTACAAAGGTCAAGCTTTGTAAAATCGTGTGTTACTTTCCAAACGATATCATGCAAGAAAAGAACTTGCTGGACTTGGCTTTATTCTCCATAATATATGTTGCATATTAAATGATACAGTGAATAAATAAACCGTCGTGCCAACAAGGAAGAGAGAACTTTACGCGACAGAGTGTACGTAGTAAACATTTGTGAATTTCTTAAAAAATTTTGTCATAATAATAGTCTTGGTTCTCATTAATTGTCTTTCCTTAATCAATCCTTAGCATCGTGGATTTTGGTTTGATTACTATAAGTTATTTACAAAAGTAGCTAACAAAAAAACATGATGATATTCAGGTAAGTACTGGTTTTCGCTGAACTAATAAACAAGACGAATCTGGTTCTTAAAAATATAGGAAATGATATCTTATAAAATGACTATTACTTTGCGCTGTTTAGTCTCTTCAGTGAAATTATCCACTTGTATAAATTATATAAAAAGTCAAGAAAAATAATTTCCATGAACAATGCAAATTTTTGAGTTATAATTGTTAACTAAACTGACGATTAATTGAGAAGATTAGTACCTAGAGACAATGAAATAGAAAAACCCAGTAATTACTATTAGGGAAATTCACCAACAAAAAAAATCAAAATAAAAGGACCTAAAACCTATTTTACAGGATCAGAAGATTTCATAAGATTTGCTGCATTTTCTTCAGCAGCTAATTTTAAATCTTCTTCATCGTCAAGTTCCTCAGTCGGCAACGGATGGATTTGAATGCCGTAAAAGACAATACTACCCATACCAATACAGGCTGCTAAAACACACATGGCCACAGTAGCAATAGCTTTTGATGTCCAACCAGCAGGCATTTCACCAGGAGGAGCAGGAGCACCGGTCAGGTCGGATATATTGAATGCGTTTCCTGCACCGTTACCAGAAACATCAATGTTCTGCATCACACACTGGCGACGGACGAATTCGGGAGCAGTGATTTCGGGAACTCGATCAGGAGCCTCGATAAATGTAGCAACTAAACCACTTTCCATATGCCATTCAATATGACAATGCAAAAGCCAAGCACCCGGATTGTCGGCAAGGAAGCGAAGACGAACAAAACTAGTGGGAAGAATTTCGATGGTATCACGACGTACGGGGTTTTCATATACATTGTGTTCGGTTTGATCATTGTATTCACCAGCTTCCTCTTCACCTCGTTCCAGAACTTGGAAAACGTGGCCGTGCAAATGGAAGGGATGCTTTCCGGTATCATGATTGTCGATAACAACATCAACAGTTTCGTTATATTCGAAAATAAAGGCATTGGTATAGGGACCGTATGTGACGGGCTTCATGTTGTAGTCGTCATAGTCAGTTGAATTGGCAATCATAAGACCTGGAACTTTTGGATATTTGAATGATTTTTCATTAATTTCAGCATAGCTTGCTCCATCGCCAAGAGTAAAGAAGTCAAACCAGAGAGAGACATTATGATTGGCCTCACCCCAGTTAACATCATATAAAGGCTCCAACTTTGCATCATCATAGCTGTCAATCTCATTGACTGAGTCGGCGTAATTGTAAGTGGTCTCCGAGTTATATGAAAGCCAAGCGGTCACGTTAGGATTATAGTTATCAGGGATTTGGTCAAAGAGAGATTCGTCCATATAGGCCGTCATAGCATAATTACGATCAGTCGAATTTTTGGCGGTCACAAGAACGCTGTAACGCTGGGCAGTGGTTATGTGAATGGAGGATACTTCCTGAGGCTTGGTGTATACACCATCGACTTCGATGACGGTCATGTTGTGATCCTCAAGCATAACGTCGTAATTATTGAAGGCGCCTAAATTGACAAAACGGAATCGATAAGTTTTTCCTGGTTCCATTTTGAAGGTAGAGTTGACAGCATCATTTATGAGACCAGTGTCGGGCACAGGTTCGGCACCAGTTGGGTTGTGCCAAGTTGTAAATTTTTCGGGAACAAGTTTGTAAAAGGGTTCGTAGTACCAGTCTGTTAAGCTGATGATATAATCCTCGTCGTAGTCGTATGGTTCATTGGGATTATTGATAACAAATGAAGTGCGAAGACCATCGGGATATTGGCTCATATCGTGAGAGTGAACCCAGTAAGTACCAGTTTGACTAGCTGTAAAGTTGTAGTAGTAGGTAGAGCCAGCAGGAATAGAGCACTGTGTCATTTGTGGGACACCATCCATATAGCCATTATGGCGCTGAAACATACCATGGGAGTGCAAGCTACAAGTACGGTTGTCACGAAGTTGATTGTTCATCTTGATGATGACTTGATCGCCGTAATCGACGACAAGTGGGTCAATGGGCCATTTATTATTGACGCCCATAACCCAACGAGGATGGCCGGATTGGTCAACGTCCAAATTATCAATATCCGTGACATTCCATTCAAACAAGCGGGTTTTGGCTAGAGCACTTTTCCATAGTGCACTGAAGATCAACACCAAAGACAAAAGGCCTTTTTTGGTAGGAAAAGGATTAGCAAAGGTCATTATGCGATTAAATACAAACAAACAGTCTCCAAAGAAAGGATATCAGTATAACTTTAAAATGAGTTTGATAAACCAAAAATAAACTAGAAGAAGAAAAGAACGAATATATAAACAATAAATGTTAAGGAACAGGAAACCAAAGAGCTTAAGCTAATGCTCCTGAATAACAAAAAATAAAAGAAAAAGAAAAAGAACAAAGTTTGGGTTCAACAAGGTAAGGTCTTTTGGGTTTTCTACCTAAGCCGGCTTGATCTGATATAGAGGGTGGGCATCGCTGCCCTAAGGACTTTATTTTATACGCAGATTTTCTCATCTGATTATTTTGTCCACTTTGTGTGTGGTGTCTAAATTTGCACTCCTCCTCCTTTGATGATCAAGAAATGCAAACTTGGACACACACATAGCCAATCGGAATATCCATGGTAACGTGCTTTAGTTATCAGATCATGCCAGATGGAACCAGCATTGAAACCCAAATCATCAACCTAAAACAGTTTAAAATGGGGTGAAAAGCCTCCATTGTTGAGACCCATATCAGATTTAAGGAAGAACTATTAAGCTCCGTTATTCTGATAAAGTAGTATAAACGAGGTGGAGTGAACTTTTTTCGTCCAACGTGTGTAAACAATCAATTTAGGAACGAACTTTTCAAAGTAAACTCAAAAAAGAAATCGAAGAAATATGGGAAACAACGTGTTTTCTGTCCCGATTTACTTTATCGTGCTGCGTGAAACACTAGAAGCATCTATCATTGTGTCAGTGCTCATGTCATTTATCACACAAACGCTGACGAGCAACGAGGGCAAAGTATCAGATCCAAAACTAAAACGTAAATTTATGATACAAGTGTGGGTTGGATCATTTGTCGCACTATTTATTTGCTTGGCTATCGGTGGTGGATTTATTGGTGCCTTTTATGCACTAGGTAAAGACCTTTGGGGTAATTCCGAAGAAATATGGGAGGGTGTCTTTTCACTTGTTGCAGTCATTTTGATTACCGTTATGGGATTTGCAATGCTTCGTGTTTCGCATCTTCAAGGTAAATGGAGAAAAAAGCTTATGCGTAGTATCGCGAATCGAAAGGCTCGTGGTATTAGTAGTTGGGGTAAAAAGTACGCCATGTTTTTGCTGCCCTTCTTTACAGTGCTTCGTGAAGGCCTTGAAGTTGTCGTTTTCGTTGGTGGTGTCGGTTTAGAAACACCGGCCACTGCCTTTCCTCTCCCTGTTGTTTGTGGTCTCATCACTGGCTGCCTGATTGGTTATTTCATTTATAGAGGTGGAAATGTAATGAACTTGCAATGGTTTCTGATTGCCTCTACCTGTATACTCTATCTAATTTCTGCTGGTCTCATGGCTAAGAGCGTCTACTATTTTGAGCTTGATCACTATAGTCGCCTGACCGGAGGTGACTCCGCTGAATTGGGTGATGGACCTGGTTCCTATCCCTTTCAACAAGCCATTTGGCACGTTAACTACGGAAATCCCGAAATGAACTCAAATGGTGGATACATGATCTTCAACGCCATTTTGGGTTGGATGAACACTGGTACTTATGGTACCATTCTTAGCTATATTTTTTATTGGTTGTTCGTCGCCGCCTGCATGGTGTTAATGTGGTGGAGAGAGCGTCGCTTCGCTCAGAAAGCCGCTGCTGCTGGTATTAAAGGCGGCAAGGATCTAGAGGCAACTGGTTCTACCTCTAGCGAACAATCTAAAAAATCTTCCCTTGAAATCCAAGAATTGAAAACTACCAATAAAGTGGAAGAAGAAATCAAGCAACCGGATACTATTGCAGAAGTCCGTCAAACTGCTTAGTTCATGTAATTTTTCCCTCTTTATGCGATTCCTTCTTTCCTTTTGTTTCCCCCTTTTCTTTTAACATATTAAATTGTTGCCTTATATCTTATTTTATATACTTGCATACTAATATCTAGTTGTTTCACCACAATATGTTTAATCCTTAATGAAATCTGGTTTTTTTTGGTAACGCATCACTATAAAACAAGAGCATAGAGGAGTCTTAAAAATATCATAAATTATATCACCTCCGTTGTTATCGTTTCCTTTCGCAAATTTTCATGATTGACTTTTATTTGCTTTATTGGATCTGATAATTTTACAGTCTCACAATGTATCTATACTATCTAATCAAAACAATCAAGGATCTATGGAAAAAGAACAACAAAGGACTCTTATCAGATCGTTTTTCTTTCGCAGACATACATAATTACATACATCACTGAGGAACAAAAATGATGAAAAGAAAATGGCTGCATATTTCTTTTTTTTTTTATTATATCCTTCGATTGTAGTTTCAATCCTACCAACTATTCTTTTCCACTTTTACAACCCAATTTTATCTGATCAGAGTTGTTTATTAAACCATAAACAATATTTATTTTTCGGTGACGACATATTCGTAGTGACTGTTGCGAAAAATTTAATCCCTTTCAGTTCAAATGTTATTTTATTTTACTTTTTATATCTCTTAAATAGAATTTCGAGATCAATGTGCCTCGTTATCATTATTTTCGATTTTTAAGTATCTGATCTTACTAATTCAATACAACGTTGTCCCTGCAGCCGTCATGTAATAACGAAATCGTAAACACTTGAAAGGATGTAAGGAAAAAAACTGTGTTGATAGGTTTTGTATGATAAATTATACGGTAGAAACAAACCTCGGGATATTAGAAAAGACACTAATTGTCAACATGGTTTACTCGAGTAGTTTATTGAACGACAATCCTGTCCAGTACGGACATTAAATAAATAAAAATAAACACCAATATTTGGTATGGAAACACAGTATAAGAAACTATGCATACAATTCTTTGTCTCAATCGAATTCAAAATTATTTTCTTGTAAAGCGATTCAACTGAAATATGGGAAATACTAATTCAATTACAAGAATCTAAACAGAAGTTAAAATTTAATTTGAGCAACAAAAAGAAGATTCATAAAAATAATTTATAGGTTATTTTGTTCCTAAGGAATCCGTGAAAGCTGCTTTTTTGTTGCAGGCTGTTATCCAATAGTCTAATAAAAAGCAGTTAGTTAATGTGTCTGCAGTTTCGTGTTTTGTTCGTTTGCTGTTGCTGTATGAATACGAAAAAATCCATGGAAAGTGAGTAACTTTAACGGTATGAAAGTAAGTTAGTCATTTTCAAGTAAAAAATTGTTAACAGTTCACAGAAAAGTGAGATCTGCTATGTAAACAAACGCGAAACTAGCGAAACTTGTTATTTGTTCCTTGTGACTCAAACGTATCTTTAACGATTTATTAACAATAATCGCTATAAGAGATAGCGTAACTGAACCCATCACTATCCTGAGCAAAAATGTTGCGTAAGTGATGCGAAATTTCTTGCTGGAGTTAACTTTTTATTTCTTCAATTCCTGCCAATTGGGCTGATTTTGACTTCCATTTTGTGCTTTTGGAATGACCAGGTAGAGCTTCTTTAGTTTTGGCTGCTACTTCTGATGAGTTTTGCGTTTGCGAAATTTTTGCATCGAATACGGATCGACAGCTTGGTATTTGACGCTCTTTTGCTAATTATTCGTTGAAATTTCTCTTTATTTGTTTTAGATGTCGGAAAAGGAGCTGAAATTCGATTCAAGCGACCCTCCTGCGTACAACCATGCTAATGTTTACAATGTTGACCTTGAGAAGGGACTTCCTTTGTATACACCAAAAGACATAAACAAAACTTCCAATTCAACTTCTGTCAAAGCCAAACAAAGCAAAAAAACGATAATTACTGAATTTGATAGCTTCAATGATTTCTTTACCGACTTTAGGAAGAAGACAGATCATTATTTCCCTGAAAATGTAGTCGTTAAAAGTAAATCGATGTTTTTCTGTTTGATATTGGCTTTATCATTCCTTTGTACATTAGCAATCTCCTATCGTTTCGAACTATTTTCTTTTCTGAAACAAGTATATATGGAAAATGGATACAGTTTGGCCCTTCTTGGACCTTTAGGCATTTGGCTTGTGATATGGGCAATATTCTTTGCTCTTTTCTATGGTAAGTGGAGCATTGTTGTTAATAGCAAACGTTATTAGAATGTGTGTTACTAATAAAGCCTAGCACTTATTTGGCCTTTCATATTGACAATACGGATTGCCGCTAAAGTTATAATCTTTATCGTGGTTGGTCTTGGTAACGGTCTTGCATGGTTCGTTAGTGTTGGCTTCGAAGGTCTCGCATGGTTCGTTGGTGCTATCTTTTGGGGAATTTATAACGTTCTTGTTTTTGGCCTTGGAATGGGATTTGAGCGCTCAGCTGAAAACACCGGTTCGCCTACGCTTCCCAGATATCAACAGAGAGATGATGCATTAGCTCCTCCGCCGACAAACACGAATGAAGAAATCGAGCTTCAGAGCAATCCTACCACTCAAAGTTAATGCCTACTTATTTGCCTTTCTTTTCTCACGAGTCTTAACTCTTCCGATTGAAAGTCAGTAAATGAAAAAGAGAACATTACAAGCGGTTTATTCCGATGAAGGTTTATTTCTATGCTTTTGATTTGTATTAATATAAATGGAAATGACGGAGAAAAGTGGACAATAGAAAGGCATGCATACAATCCGCTCATTGAAAGGAACCGTAATCTGAGATCATTGGCATCATACTAGGTTCTTAATGATTATTATTACTATTATTCTTATTCTTAATTGCAATTGAATACGATCGTTCCATTTCTTTTCATTGAACTTGTAATTAGTCTTTTGTCACTTGTAAAGGAACAGCTTGCAAAAATTCTATCGAGAAAACGGTTGCAAGCAACAGTAGTAGACGTATTAAAAAAGAAAAGCAAAAAAAGAAAAGCCTACAGCACCCCGGATTCCCATGTTGTCTCCAACCATAGTACTAACGAGGCCCTCAGACGCTTAACTGCAGTGATCGGACGGGAACTGGTGTTTTCGCCTAGGTGTGGCCGTAGACGAAAGTCCTTTAAAGTATGAAGGAATATTATCCTTAAGTTAAAACTCAAATTCATAAATTACGAAGAAAGAAATGCATCTCTGCTTCTGAATCATTGTTTTCATTGATATGTAAAGACTAATATATCGGTCCAAAGAAGGCCGTAAAGAAAGGCAACGTATGCTTCCAATACTATGAAGAAATAAATAAACATATATAAATAATCCTACAGCATAGGGAAACGTTTCTAGAATACTAGGGCTTCCTGGGAAGGAATGCAAGAAAGGTATGAATAGACAAAAGATCCTTTCGATGCTGCTGTTTCATTCTTTGTCATTCATAGAGGAGCCGAGAGCAACATCATTCATTACGAAGTGCAAATTCACATGTTGACCATGCTTGATCATAAAAATTTCATTTTTGCGGTGTTTTCACGTCTTCATAAAAAAAAAAACACTTGTCTTAAAAGGAAGCACGTCGGCCACAAATGCGCAGACGCTTTACACCACCATCAGGAACAATGATCATACGGACATGCGTCTTAGGAGTAGAAACGTTATCAAGATCAAAGAAGGTATGTTCCATATGAGGACCGAGTTTTTGAGCTGTTAAGATGGTCTCCCAAATACAATGGGGACCAGGGACATGGTCAGGAGAGTCAGTTGCCTCCAAGATGACTTCCTTGGGATAATTGCCCTTGAAATGATTGGTATCGACAAGGACATCATCAATATAGCCTTTAGTACCAAGTTTCACGATAACCCAATCAACATGACCAGGCTCTCGGCTCCTAGCTGTTTCCCAGCCATCGCCCATGTTAACGCCCCGGCCAGGCAAGATAAGATTATCTTTTCGTCCAAAGTGTTGGTCACTGCACTGAACCACTAGACCTCCCAGGTACATATGAGCCAGATCCAGACGAACGTCCAAGTCGGCAGGGAACACAGGAGCAACATTCCCGTACACACGGAAACGAGCGATTCCCCCGTCGGGATACATTTGTAAACGTACATGTGTATAGCTTTGATCCGAAGGCGTTTTCAGCCGGAAAAGATGTCGCTGAGAAGGTCCGCACGATACTTTGGGAAGAATCGGGGTCCAAAATGCATTAGTATCGGGAACTTTATTGGGAGAAAATGTAGCTTCAACACTCACAGCCGGCGCATGGTTACCAATAAAGTAGGCTGTATCGATTTCAATCCCAGCAATACGACCACTGGAAGCACCTACCTTGGCAATCACCCAGTCGGAGGGTTCAGAGTTATGTCTTCTAGTTTCCCATCCATCATACCAAGCGCCAGTGTCTACAAAGACACCTTCCCTGCGAATCGGAGCAGTAGGCGTAATTAGATTTTCTGCTGATGCGAAAAAGTCATCACTTCGGGCAATAATTTGACCACCTAAATCACGAGAAATCAAATCCACGCAGTTTTGAGAGAAAAATGCATCGCCGATCTTGGGTGCGATTTGTTCAACAGCTACAGTAGACATCTTGTAAATGTTCACTATAGGAGATCTTACTAGACAATTACAATTATAAGAATCGCTCAAAGACTAACACCAAGCAAAAATAAAAGTCAAAAGAAAATTTAAAAACTGAGAAGAAAAAGAAAATCCCTTTATAAACGCTTGATAATGTTTTGGAATCTTATAGACGCAGTATCTTAACCCTTTGTATCTGGAGATTTATATAAAACAAACAAATACCTCTTAGTACGATTAGACAAAATTTCAGTTGGCACAAACGGTGGGCTCTTATTTCAATAATTAAAAGGTGTTTTTCAACTGAAAAAAAAAACTTGTAATGATTTGGTAGAAAGATTGTTTCCAAAATACTGTCTGGGCAGCATTCTCTATATATGTCTCTTCAGTTTAGATTAAAAGGTAACCGACATTTCGGGAGATTCTATAACGGAGATATTCATTTTGTTTTCTTCAGTAATGACACATTTAACCTGAAAAAGTTTCGCATACCGTCCTAATCACCTGTGTTTCGAAGTTTTATCCCAAGGAAAAGAGAAAAGAAGGAAACAGTTATAAATAAGGACGAAGTAATCGAAGTTCATTCTTAATCTTGAGTCATTTTTAAAGAATTTGACGTTTGTTTGATTTCTCGTTCCTTCTCTAGAATCATCTCACTTTGAATTTTAGATTGGTTTTTTGGTTTGTTTTCAACTAGAAAAGCTTAAGCTCTTTTGGGGTTTCACAAAGCCAGCCAATTTACTTAAGTTTTCTATACAGGTTCAGCTTTTCTATTACCGCCCTTCTTTTTCGCTAAATTCCACATGGTACGCATTCTTATTATAAATCCCAATTCTACGGGTGAAATGACCAACAATGTAAAAAAGGTCTTAGCTTCTTGTACACCGCCGAATGTCGAATTGCATTTCCTTACTTGTCCTCCAGAAGGACCCGCTGCTATTGAATCCATGTACGATGGAATTATCTCGACATCGGTTGTTATGAAATATCTCAAGTGTCATCCTCCTCAATGCGATGCCTTCCTAATCGCTTGCTATTCGGATCACCCTCTGGTTTCTGCCTTGCGTGAAGCTTATAGAAAACCTTGTCTTGGCATTATGCAAGCCTCGATTTTCATGGCTTTGTCGGTGGGTCGTAAAGTAGCGATTGTTACAACAACAAACCGTTATGGACCATTATTAACGGCCGGTGTTCGGGCCATGGGTATTTCTGACAGCGTTTTCGGTGGAGTTGTGTCCACGGGTTTGACTCCCTTGGAACTTGAATCGAAGCCGCATACTGAAGTAGATGCTCTTGTACAGCAGAGTTCTCGCAAAGCAACCCAAGAAATGGGTGCAGACGTTATCTGTCTCGGATGTGCTGGAATGGCTCATATGTTAGATGTTGTTCAACAAGCAGTGGGCCCTGATATTCCCGTCGTTGAAGGAGCAAAGGCTGGTGTTGGCATGTTGACTTGTCTTGTTCAAATGAATTTATTTACTTCTAAAGCCGGTGCATATCAAGCCATTCAGTTCTAGTTAACAATTCCAGCAAACGTAATGCTTTAAGTTGGTAGAGTTTTATTTTTGCAGCATTTCATAGATACTTACCAACTAAAACGCTTTAGCATATTGTATTATACAAAATAGATTTTTCCTAAATGTTAACTAAAACTGAAAATTAAGAAATATTTCACTAACTATCTCAAAGCAAAATTTTGAATAACGAATTAAATACAAAAAAGGACTCCAAACAAACAATATCAGTTTTGGAAATTTTTGTCAGATGAATGAGAAAGGCTCAAACCATGAACTTTTAGAGAATAATTATATTCTGAATATACATAAAAGACTTTTTTGTTTTGTAAAAAATACAATCACTTAAATAACAAAAGCGCCGGGGCTTGATATAATTGGTAAAATCCAACGACTTTAAATTAAAGTAACACAGAAATCCATAAAAAAAAGAAATAAAAACAGAGAAAAGAAAAAACGTTGAATCATAACCAAAATAAAAAAAAAACAAAAAATGTAAAAGGCGTCGATAATACACTAACTTCTCTTGGTAATCTTGTTCATAGACATCAGAAAGCAAGGGATAGAAAAAGTAAGATTATTCTTCAACTAACATGTTGATAAAAGAGGTTTTCCATGTTTGCTTTCGTATCCGTTTCCCAGAAAAACTGCTCCAAACTCATAGCAAGGCTGGGAATGAGAGGCTTTTCATCCTCTGCAGTCATCCAGTTGCTAGCATCCAAAAATCCGGTTTCTGGGGGACCGTATAGCTCAGATTCATTCTTTGGAGCATGCCAAGACAGAGAATCAAACAAAAGGGGGTTTTCTTGTTCGTAGTATGGTAAATATTCGGATTGAGTCATCGTAGTTTGGTCCAGTGAAATCCCAAGTCCATTCAATTGCCTTGCCTGTTCAGCTTTTTCGGTAGCGTCGTCCGGAGATCGACTGTTTGATCTAGACGACGGAACATTAAACTGAAGAAAGGGAATTTCTTCTACAAGATATTCATCGTCAATTCCCTGACTAGTCAATTGAAAACGTTCAGATACCTTCGCTTTCAAGCTAGTTAAGAACGAAAAATCTTTATTGGAAAAAGAGGACCCGTCTCTGAGGTGCTCAAATATCTTACACATATAACGTAAATCATTATAGGCTGTCATTGCATATTTTGTTCTTGGAAAGCTTAAAGCATAAGCTCCTTGGATAATGCCTGCGTTCAAAGAATGAAATCGAAATACCCACCAACGAAGAGGCTCGATGGGAACTAAGCACATCAATGAATAAAGGATTTGGATGAGATCATGGGAGACAGAAGTGCAAAGAGACAAAGACTTGGCGTACTGATTCCTTTCTTCGGTACGCGTAATGGCACGTACAAACCAAGGGCGATGCAAGTACAGTAGGGACTGAAGGATGATAAATTTGATAGAATACTGTTCCATGATAACGATTGGAGAAGCGTTCTTTGTATCTTCGGTAACTTGAAAATATTCTGGTAGCTCATTTTCCAAATCCAGTAATTCTTTAGTTAAAGTCTGTACTTCCGAGTAACTAGGAGGAGTGAATTTGAAGGCCCGATTTAAGACATTCGCCAAAAACTTAGATACTTTAGCTTTGACAATAGTAAAACTAGCTTCGGTTCGTAAAGGAGACGGTTCTGGGATGACTGGACTATCAGGTTTGATGCTAGCATCTGCAATATTGGAAGGAGGCAAAACGTTGGTTTGATCGTTACTAATCGCATATGGTCTTCCTAAACTCATCGAAAGCATTCGGTCCAAGAACAAGAGCTCTGCCCAAATCATTCGACGCATATGCAATTGGAACGCGGAAAGTTCAAATACCTCTCCGTCACGGTGCATTCCCATGGCAACAGCAATACGTGCGGCCGTTCCAATACAGTTCCAGGAAAAGTTTGTACGTTCAAGACAATCACAGAAGTATGAGTACTGGCACATGAGGATGAGAACAACGACAGCATCGACAGAAGGGACGAAGGAAGAGTACGAGATATCAAAGCAGAGTTGAGCACGAAGGTAAAACTCATGCGCTAGCGATTTTTTGTTTCGAACCAGCGCCGGAGAAGCAAAAAGCGTACCGAGACAAAAAATCATATAGGTAAGGGCAAGGAAACGAGGTTGGGGCGGAGACCGAGAGGGATCCTGAGCGTATAGAATGAGACGAGCCTTTTCAAAGGAAGGGCGATGTATGACATGGCAGCTCCATCCTACATTGTCAAAATAGAGGTCTAAAAGACGGACAGCAAATTGGGGGACTGGGAGCATGTCGCATAAATTGGTTGGATTTAATACGTCGGGAACGCGATGGCTCCAATGGAGAAGGGAAGAAGAAGAGGAAGAAGGGTATAACAAAGACCTTTGAAGGGTAAAAAATTCGTCTTCTTCCAAATTTGGGTCCGCTTGAGGGATGCAAGATCGACTGGAAGAGGCACCATAATAATTGAAATGGCCGTGAGAACTTACTTTGAGACGGCCAAGCATTTGCGAAACGTCTGCAAGCTTTTTTTCCTCAGACGGTGAAGATTCTAGAATGGTGTCATTGTTTTCTGTCACCATGGACTGGTTCTGGGATGCTGATGATTGAGTCTGCGCAGATGACGATGATGATGGTGGAGGCTGCTCAGCCGGATCCAAGTATTTATCAAATAAAGACTGAATTACTTCTTGATCCTTTTCAGCTACGAACAGGGAATCATGTTTTTCATCGTAGGACTTGACAGCTTTGTGTAGCTTGGAAATTCTAACTAACAATAGCTTGATCAATTTATCACTATATCCCAAAAAAGGGAGTTGTTAGCAATGTAAAAAAATTCAGTGGAGGAACTACGGAAGAAAGATTTAACGGAAACCGAAAACAGATTCTACCAAGCCGGTTTGGTTCACGAGCTCAGAACTCGCCTCCGTCCACCGACCATAAAAAAAAAGGACCTACCTCAAAGAAATGACAATTCCATCTGGGCATAAATGGGCAATTCCTCGTTTTCGACAATTGGAACAAGGCCAAACACGATCACACTAGAACGTTAGTCATCCATTTTCCAGTTATTCCAAAGTAAAAGTACCTTTAATTTCAGACGATGGCATTCTCTACATGAAGTGATTTTTCGATTCCTTCTCGTACCTGGCCTTTTTCCAGGAGTGCTCATTTAGGTGCTTTGGTTAAACGGGATCCATGTTGTATGGAGATAACCTGGAAGCATCTCTATGCCTATCTACTGGTTCTTGCTAAGGGGAGACGCGTAAACTAAAGAAAAGTAAATACAAACTACAGAGAAATCAAAAGAAACGACAGAGAAAAGAAAAGGAAGAAAAAAAGAAATCAAGTCCAACTTGTTGTTTTTGTTCTTTTTCTCAATGTCCTTTGTTTACTTTTCTGCTTATCAGATTGTCCCGCATATGAGTAACGTGCTACCTATGATCAGATAAGATCTTGAAACGAATCGTAAACAAACAACTTGATTGTACAAAAGTTGCAAGGAATTCAGTGTGAACCCAACGAAAGTGAAAACAGTTACATTTGTTTTTTCTTTATCTTTTTCTTTTCTTTTCTTTTCTTTTCTTTTCTTTCTTTTCCTATGTTCTTAGGTAAATTTTAGGAACAACGAGTTGATAGAACGTCATTATCTTTATTTCAGATTCCGGTATCGTGGATGAGATAGAAGTACCGATATACAGGGTCGTGTTTCTTTCTTTTTATACCAACGGAATCTTGTTACAGTTTGTATTAATCGTTTGCCAAACAGTACGTTCGTTCATTCATACAAGGTAAGAAAAAGCAAGGAATTATGAGGAAAAGGAATTTGTCGAAAGAAAATGAAAAAGGAAAAACAAATGTAAAAAGAAATGAAAAGAACGTCTAATAATTATTCGAATTTATTTCCTTTTGTTTTCCACCCATGTATGCGTTTATCGAGATACTAACTCATTTAGTGTTTGTGTGGTATTTTTTATTGTTGTTTGTTGTTGGTTTATAAAAGCTATTAATATGGTCGTCGCATCTCGCAAGATTGGAGACACCGTAGTCTCTCCTATTGGTTTTGGATGCATGGGTTTGCATGCGATGTATGGTCCTTCCTCTGAAGAAGCGAATCAAGCTGTCTTAACCCGTGCCGCCGACATGGGCTGTACCTTTTGGGATAGCTCCGACATGTACGGCTTTGGTGCGAACGAAGACTGCCTTGGCCGTTGGTTCAAGCAAACCGGTCGCAGAAAGGAAATCTTCCTTGCCACCAAGTTTGGCTACCAAAAGACGGAAGAAGGCGGTATCTTGAATAATACCCCGGAATACATTCACAAGGCGCTTGATATGTCTTTGAAACGATTGAATGTCGATTCCATCGACTTGTACTATGTTCACCGCTTCAGTGGTGAAACCCCTGTCGAAATTATTATGGAGACTCTTAAGGGTTTTGTTGAAGCCGGCAAGATCCGCTACATTGGTCTTTCTGAATGTAGTGCCGAAACCATTCGCCGTGCCTGCAAAGTTTACCCCGTTAGTGCCGTTCAAATTGAGTACTCTCCTTTCTCATTAGAAATCGAGCGTCCTGAAATTGGTGTTAAGCAAGCTTGCCGTGAAAACAACATCACAATCGTTTGCTACGCTCCTCTTGGTCGTGGTTTCCTTACCGGTGCTTACAAATCTCCCGATGACTTTCCCGAGGGCGACTTTCGCAAAATTGCTCCTCGCTACCAGAAAGAAAACTTTTATAAAAACCTTGAACTTGTAAAGAAATTGGAATCTATTGCTGCTAAAAGCAATGTCACTTCGGGCCAGCTCAGCTTGGCTTGGATTTTGGCTCAAGGCGACGATTTCCTCCCTATTCCCGGCACAAAGCGTATCAAGTACTTGGAAGAAAACTATGCTGCCAAGGACATCCAACTCTCTTCGGAGACTATCAAAGAAATCCGTGAAGCTTCCGACAGTGCTGAAGTCGTCGGTCAAAGATATCCTCCTGGCCCAGGTGCTAAGATGTTTATGGATACACCACCTTTGTCTCAATGAAGAATAAAGGAACCTTGTATACTACTACTCCTACTACTCCTTCAAGATTTAACGAACTTTCATAACAGATCGATTCTTTCCTCATGTTCAAAAAAGCAATCACAGATGCTGTATTCCATCTATGCTTTCTCATATTTTGATAGCTATTGTTTCTTTTTTCAACACAATTTTTAATAACACTGTTTGCAATCTTCATCTGGTCTACAACATTTGAAACCTTACTGTACTACTATAACCAATTATACCTCACTTCATCATTTACGAACAATAACTACATTTATCACACACAAACTTTCTTCTATAGCCGGAACAAAACTTTTCATTGAGAAACCTAATTTTCGACAGCGGCAGCACCACGCAAGAGACCAGTTCTGCGGGCAGCAATAAGACCAGCCTTTTGACCAGGAACGGATCCACGGGGAACAGTGGTAGAGTGACCAACGTGTTGATGGTTACCACCACCATGAGGGTGATCGACGGGGTTCATAGCAACACCACGAGTCTTGGGCCAGCAGTTGCGCTTGACCTTGTACTTGTGATAAGCACGACCGGCCTTAAGCAAGGGCTTGTCGACACGACCACCACCGGCAATGATACCGACGACACCACGAGCGGCAGAAGGGACAACCTTCTTAGAACCAGAGGGCAACTTGACACGGGTCTTGCCAGTGTCAACGTCGTGGCCAACAATGATGACATAGTTACCAGAGGAACGACCCAAAGCACCACGGTCACCAGACTTTTCTTCGACGTTGGAGGCAATGGTACCTTCAGGCATCTCACCGACGGGCAAAACGTTACCAACGGTTAAAGCAGCGTTCTTACCACAGTAGATGAAT